AAATAAACTTCAACCCAGAACGGGAAGAGGCTCGCCCTCACAGTCATCAGGTCCCGGCTACCGGAAAAGGGCGAGGCTCGGACAAACATAAAATATCGCCCGTCCAGCCTCAGCCTAGGCTCACAGGCTCGCTAGCCTGCTACTGCCCGGGCATGCATTTATTCTATTTATGAATTATTTCTATACGCTCTGCGGACGTGGAGAGTTTGTCTCGGGAGTTCAACTGCGTTATGTCGGTCCGCGCACTGGTCATGGTCCCGCTCATGGGATCTTTGCTGTTGCTAACCCCCAATTGCGGTTGCTCCCGGGGAGTCGTCTGCTTGTTTGCGGCTGTAATATTACCACCTCCCGCATTGTTGTTGAGCGGGGGAACCGGCAGTCGCGCGGAATAGGGAGGGTTGCTATTCGTGGAGGGAACACCTGCTGCGCCTGTTGTCCCTGCGCCCTTGTTGGTCCCAGATAACGAGGCAGGGTTGGACTGGTTGCTCTGATCTAACGCCGTCAACACGTCCCGGAGTTTGGCGCCTGAAGAGAAAAAATTTTGTTTGTGTGTTAATAAATTTTGGCGTTGATTATAACACTAACTCCGATGTCGTGAACGTCGTACTAAGCATCTTCAGGTATGCACCTGAGCCTCGTTCTCTTCGCGATCATGCAGAAAGATACTATAGTTATAGAGAATTCAAAAGTGACCTCAGAACAGAGGCTGGCCCCGCCCTCCGACACAGACGAGAGGTCCATTGTATTGTTCTATCTGGGTTAACATCAGACCAGGACCACAACCGGCGGCAGAAAAAAATAGTGGAGTATTGAAAAAGTGAACCAAAAGTTCGAGTTCCTCGTAAAAAAAATCATCATAGTACTGATGTCGAAGTTCCTCATCTTTGCTTTTTCCGTTTCCTTTCGCATGGAGACGAGTTCGTCCAGGATCTTTTTCTGCGACTGTTCGAACATTTTGCTTACGGAGGTCATTTTCTCCAACTCCTCGGCGATAACCACGTTATTGTGGTGTTGATCTCCTGCTCCTGTGGCAGATTTGTAGTCCTTCATACTATTCTGGTCCCCGCCCGTCGCGCCCCCGGTGTAGTAATTTATGCTGTTCGACATGCTAAGCAGCGGCTCTCCACCTGGTGCGCCGACTCGCAGGGAGTTTTGGTTCTCCAGCAAAGTGGGCAGCTGTGTTGGGATTGAGGTCGAGGATGACAAGTTGGCCTTAGAATCGAGTTGGTGTGCCGGGTCGGCTCCCGGTGTACTGGTGATATTCACTGCGGCTTGTTGCTCCGCTGATGATCCCACACCGGCTTGTTGCCCCGCTGATGATCCCACGCCAGCCAGGCTTGTAGAGCCGGGAGGCGCTTGTGCTCCTGTCGTGCTTGTGCTAGTATTCGGGAGCAGTGGACCGCCGGCGGCTCCCGCGGTTGCCTTGTTGGGTAGTTTCCCCGTGGGTGACGAAAGAAGCTTGTTGCTACCACCAGGGGCCTGTAGTCCTGCTCCGGGTTTGTTGCTCACGGATCCTCGTGACGCTCGACTGGTCGTGCCGCTGGCGGGGCGGGTCGTTGTATTGGGCTTAGTTGGCGAGGAGACGACCACAGAGGAGCTCGTCGCAGCCGGCGGCTCTTGGTAGTGGTTCGTTGACGAAACAAGATTTGCCGGGTCTTGCGTTGCTGTGCCGGCCGAAGAAGACAGCGGCTGCGCACCTACAAAACCGGTTGCAGCTGCGCCACTTTTTCTCAACGCCACGCGCTTCGGCACGACCTCTAGGAAGCGGGACTTCTGCACTTTATTCTCCGTGTTTATTGCCGTAAACGCGGTGGAGACCACGGCCTTGCTCTCGCTCGTGGACAAACCCAAACGATCGGACAGCCTGTTTTAGATGGTGCGGATGATTCTGATGAATTGCTGACAACGAACTTACTCAACATCTACATTACATATCACCAGCTCGAGCCAGAAACATTATCATATTAAAAAGAAAATCCCAGAGGGAAAAAGTTTGAAAAATCGCACTGTAGCGACGTAGCGAACTGAACAAAGTCACCAGAAGTAGATACTTACTCGCTGAAAATAACGAAAACCAAAACCATTCCTTATGAGTATTTTACCACGGCAGCAGCCTTTCCTCGACCGAAACCTCCTCTTGCCGTGCGGGATCCAGGTCGAGCCAAACGCGCTCGAAGAGCTGCGGCGTGAAAATCTCTTCGTTTGCGCCGAACTGCCGGATAAGCGCTTGCGAAAAGTTTAGCACTGCTTTTTCTTCCTCCTCACTGAGTGGCGAAGTAGAAGTTCCTGGAAGAACAATGGACGTGGCTGATCCTGCCGGTTGTGATGTCCCTGCCTTGTTACCCCGTGACGCGGATGGACCACCCGCCTTTACCCCTCCCGCGGGACTGTTGGCTCCCTTCTTCGCCGTTGCCTTTCCCCGCGGGGTGGTTTTTGGAGCGGCGGCAGAAGAACTACCGCGCACCGGCCGGTTCATTGTCGAGGATGGTGTGATGGTTCCAGGCAACTACAGCGACGGGGCAACTCAATGCCAATTTTTCGGCAGGGTTCGAAAAGTTATTCTTGTTTTATGTTCCAACGCTAGGAATAGGTTCGTTGGAAACAAATGGTTTCTCTTTCTACTGTACTGAACTAAACTACTTTTTAGGTTTGTTAGTACAGGAACGACTTTAGGATGGGGGGACAAAAATTTTTGCTTGAAGTAGTAGTAGTAGATGCGAAAACCCTAGTAGCCTTTTATTTTTGTTTTGCTTGGGGGCGGGCTATCGTCTACTATCAGTATCATCTAAATGCACTCGGGGAAAAGTATAATGTCATCTGACTTTCCATTTTCACGCGCGAACATGTTTTGCCGATATTTGCTTGAAGAGCCTTCAAAGAAAAAATGTAAAAAACGATACTTTCAACCGAGAGCAAGATGAATACGCGGTCGTTCCAGCGTCACTGTTGGCACGAAAAAAACGCAGAGGCCCGGCCTCAACAAAAGGACGAAATTGGACGACAAAGGAATCTGTTGGCCAAAAATATAACTTGTACGACATCGCATCTTCATACACAGAGATACGGAGAGAAACCTGGACGACTTTGAATGAAAAAACGAAGGAGGTGGTGCACAGAACAAAAAACAGGACGAGACGGCCACGGCACTGGGAGAGCAGAAAATGCGTAAACGGAGAACAAGCGTACTTATACTTACAATAACGCTTTATCACTCGCAAGGCAACGTTGAACAGAAGGAAAAAAAATCCCCCTGAAAGTTCCTCCGCACCTTCTGTCGGCATAGCTGGGGTTCGGTCTCCTGCGCTGCCACTGACACGTACACACGAACGCTATGTCTATGTGTGCACTCTACAATATGTATCTATTTTTAGTATTTGCATTCGCTAGACCGTTCTCTTCTGTTCTCCGTCTATATCCAGGCATCGAGACGGCTCTAAGCGTTACGACAAGTCTTCGGTAGCTCCGCACCGGCACAGAAAGAAATACATGACCATGGGCCCGATACAGGTCACCAGGTTGTTCAGGTGCGCCAGCCACGCGTGATCTTGCTCGAGCGCGTCAATTTGCTTCACGCATATCGCCCCGAGAAAGCAGATCAGCATGATTTGAAACAGCGGGAACACGTTCGCGTAGAGTCTGTGCGGAGGGCAGAAGCAGGAAAGGCGGTCGAAGTAGGAACGTATTTTTTGTAACATCCGAATACCATTTCCATTTGGTCGAGACCTTTGCGTTTGCGTAGTACCACGTTCGTGCGTGTAACGCCAGCTTCCCCTGGGTCGACCTTTCGGAGGTGCCCGACGTCTGCGCGTTGGCCTTTCGCACACTCAGCACCCGTTTCGTGATTTCCGGTTCCCCTACCGCGGCCGCCAGCGCGTCGACGTCCTCGTCACTGCTGCCGAAGAGGTAGAGACTCCGCCCCGACAACCTTCGAATTTTCGCGCCGAGGAACGTGAGCGCCAAGACGCAGGAGAAGCCACAGGCGGAGGCGATCCCGAGCATGGAGGTGTAGACCTTGAACCACAAGTGGTTTTGGAAATCCGAGGGGTTCAAACTAAGCAACTTTTCCACGACGAAAGCCAGGAGAAAGCCAATGAGTATCGCGAAAGCGTCGGCCCCCGCGACTTTCTGCTCCAAAATCTGCTCCCCGAGCCGGCCACAGGCGAGCTCGTGTTTCAACTGAGTCAGGGTCGGGGCTTTAGCGGGGTCGTTGGTCGCATTCTTGTTGTCCTTTTCCTCGTCGAATTTGGCACCACCAGCGGAGGTGGCCTCTCGGCGTGGTAGCTCCTCTTCTTCTGCGTGCTCATCGTCCCGTCCCCGATCGTCGTTGTGATTACATCCGGTTTTACTTTTACGTCCGGTTATAATTTCTCCTTTGCTTTTCTCCTTATCTTCACTTTCCGGGCTGATTTTCTTGTCCTGTCGCGGATAAGCCTTGTCCCAGACGACAACGTCGCCCGGATCATGGATCGTCTTTTGCATGATCGTCTACGAATAATGTGACACAGATGAAGCCGTGACCTCAATTCCTCGAACAGATGACCGGCGGGTCACTCAAGAATAGGTTGGAAAAGCAAAACAAAGCACGAGGTGCAGCAGATGTTGAAAGTCGTGATCTCATTGCAGCTTTCTCGACGACCGAGGATAAGAAACTACGGCAGCGAGAGCGACGGATGATGTTCAATAAGAATACTGCAATTCAATTCTTACGTACGCATACCGTGCAACGAATAAGTACTATAAGTACTTGGCGGTCCCATCAGGCAAGAGTCAGCATTGGAAGCCGAACTCCAGTCTTTGCCAATACAGCGCCGACGGCGACGGAGGACAACCGACAACTGCTCAGCTGTGTTTAAAAGTGAAAGGTGGACTTGTGCACCAAATTGGAACAGCGGCGGAATCCCCAAAATCATGAAAGAGTAATCTATTCCCGTACCAAAATTCAACGCAATGCGGCTTGCAAGTCGTCGTGGTGGTGGGAATAAAGGGAAAGCAAAAGATTTTTATCGCGTCAATGCATTATGCCCTGCAGAAGTTTGTCGCCATTCATTTTGTCCACAGTCGAGCAAATAAAAATGAAATCAAAGAACGGGATCGTGGCAGGTAGAGGTACTTACTCGCACTACTCAACAAAAGTCATCACTTTGATTCTATAATGAAATTCTTGGTCGTCTAGCTCTCCTACGGAAGTCCAAACACCCCCAGCACTTGCAAATCCACGAGCTGCTTCTCGAGAAAGCCCGGTCGCAAGTCGTACTCAATTTCGCCCTGTCCATTGCCCAGCGGGAGCCAGACCGTTTTCTTCCCCGCGAGAAAAGCGCCGGTCAGCGTACGCATTTCCTTGGCCATGTGCCGACCACTGTTTATTGTGACGTGCAGAGCCAGCGGAGCCTCTTGCTGGTCGCGGTCCTTGTCTTTGTCAGCAGCGGCGTAGTTGTTGTGGATTATTTTGGCAGTGTTTTGCTTTTGGCGCGGTGACCTATCCTGTTCCTCGGCATCGCTTTCCGTGTCAAAAGCGGTGGTAAGCGCCAAAACATCATCACCTTGTTGGGCATGAACATCATTCTGCTTCTGCTTGGGAGACGGGTCCACTCCGGACGAGAATACTGCGTCGTCGCGTCGGTAATTCAAATGATCCACGTCAAAAAGCTTTTCCAGCAACATCTTCTGTTGCTCTTCTACTTCGGTGCCGTTACCAGCACCAGTCGTATTCATCTTCACGTCGGGAGTTCCCTGCACAAGATGATCTGCTCCGTGCCCCGTCACTGAAGCAGAGGCTGCTTCTCGTGCTGTTTGGGACGCAAACACTTTCCTCGCCGGGTCCACCGCTTTCGGCGGGCTGAAGTCCCATTCCGTGCAGACACTGGCGGCTTTCTCGAGATTGCCTGTAGTTCCTGGTTGAATAGAATCGGGCGAATTTATTATTTTCGTGTTGTTGATTGCACTTGCAGGACCAGCTCCACCACGACTCGGCGCGGCCTTGTTTTGCGGAGTGGAGTGGATGGACGGTAGTTCCTCGTTTATTTGCGGTGGTGGAGGTGGAACAACAGGAACAATTGTGGTCGAAATGGCACTTCTGGAGGTGGAAGTCGCAGCAGCACCCCTCGGAGCTCCGAAAGAAGTTGTACCGGACAACTGCGCAGCAGCAGGAGCAGCATTGCACGTCCCCCGGGAAAGTACGGGGCTGCAGCTGCAGAGTCGGGAGGACACCACGGTCGAAATTGTGCCGAGAAACGACCGCAATTTCTCGTCCGCGGTCGTGGAGCTAGTGCGTGTGCGCGGCCTCGGATAATTCTCCACCGGTGGAGATGGTTCTTCTTGTACTACGGGCGAAGATCGAGCTGCACGTTCTTGCTGCACGACTAGTTGTACACTCCGCCGCCCTTCTTGCAGCTCTACTGCAGCTTCGTCAAACAGGTTCAGGAACTTCTTTTTTTCCGAAGTAATCTCGCCCCAACACGCTTTCCACTGAGACGGGCTCGAAGGAATCGCGACACAAGACACCACGTTGCTTCCACCTTGGTCCTTCTTCTTTCCCGAGCCGCTGGCGCTCTTCACCAATGGCTTGGCTGTGATGCGGATGCCGAGAAGATTGTTGCAAGATGAAGATGAAGCCGTAGTGGCCACTGATCGCTCGTGTTTTAGTTTTTCTTCTTTCTTCGCATCATCTTGCACTTGACCTGTGGAAAAATATAGCGAGCGCACGAAGTCGATTGTCTCCGCGTATTTGGAGGTTGTACTTCTCGTGCCACCGCTGCTTGGAGCCGCCGCGGGGATCATGTTCAGCTCATTTATTTGCTGGTTGTACTCGACGTTCTTTCTCGTCAGGTCACCATCGTGCGATGGTGCAGCGGAAAACGCAACCTCCACTGGACCGAACCGCAGCGTCATGTGCCCGGTCAGGGTGTTCTTATCTCCGCCCGCGGGGAGCTGAATTAGCTGTCTCGTTTGCGTCAGACGCATCTTGCCGAAAAATTTCTTCAGGTTGGCTGAATCCACTTCGATAGCGGAATGTATTTGCTCGAACAGGTTTCGGATGTTCAACGAGTTGACAGCGCTACGATCTTCAGCCTTTGATGTTCCTTCTGCATGAGCTTGGGCGGAGGCGTTGGTCGTGCCGAGGTTCATCGCTTTATTTGCACGATCATTACTTCCGTTCTCCTTCTCCACCATCAAACCAACCTGCGGCACGACATCCGGCTTTGCAGGTGGCGCGCCCCACGCCGGAGCAACGCCAAATCGCTCTTCCCACGACTGTTCGGACTTGTTGATATCATTTATTATTTGGTGGCTGCCAGAAGGGCCAACAACAACTAAATCTTCTTCTTTGCTGAAAACACGACGACCACTCGGTTTATTTTCTTTTTCATTCGCTTCAAATCGCCCGTCCACCGCTGCAAGAACTACATCTGCAGCAGGACAAGAGGAACTATGAGCACAAGTCAACCGCATCCCCGGCCCGACTCTTGGAAAGCGGAAAACCACATCGGCGACGTTTTCCAGTTTTTCGGCAAATTGCTCATTCTTCCGCGACTTCCCACTGATCATCTTTGCAAACTGGTCCACCGTGTTGAAGTTCGGGGGGAGGGGCCAAATGTCCTCCGCGACTCGGTACTTGACGGTTTGTTCGACCAGCTTCGTGTTTTCGTAGGCTGACTCGGCACTTTTATTTTTCCGGCCCTCCACCTTGACGTCTTCCGGCAGCACGCCGATGATCTTCACCTGCGGGCGCAGAATTTGTGGTCTTCGCTTGCTCTTTTTCATCTGGTTGTAGAAGTTCTTCTTCGAAGATGTTCTTTGTGCTGCTTGATGTTCTGGATAATTCTCCTGCTCCTGCATTTCGTCATTTATAACTTCAACGTCGTTTTCTAAGCAAGAGAAGCACTGCTCGATTTTTTCTCGCAACGCAAACTGCCCCTTCTGCGAAAACAGCACGCCCCCGCCGGCGGAGATCACCGGAATTTTTCCGCAGTGCAGGGCTAGTAGCACCGACCACATCGTGTACGGCTGCCGTTTATCAAATGTAAAAATGTCTGGGTCTGGAAGAATGCAACTTGTAATGCTGTCTGCGGATTCTAAAAATATCTGTGTTGCATGAGCAGCAAGAGGAGTCAGTTCTTTGCACGCGGAGAGGGAATTTTTCATGCGTAATTAGATGATGATGATGATGAATGAGAGTTTTACGGTTCTAGTCCAGTTTAACCCCACCACTCAGTGTGCAGCCTTGTACCCCTCCACAGTTCCGCTGTTTTCATGCGTAATTAGCATCAAGAAGCTCTCAAAAAATCTGTGATGCTAGCACCAGTATCACAGACCTCACGGGTCATGACAAGTCCCGACTCTTCCAGACCCAGACATATTTGCAATCCATACCGTTCCTGTCCCAGCGACATGGTGCGCTTTTCTATCCTATGTAAAAACGTCCCCACACCAGAGTTGTAGTGCAGATTTGCAAAGACAGGAAGACTTGTAATGCGCATCCCCATGAGAGCCATTTCCAATCGTGTATTGGAATTTGTGATGCTGTGAACAGGATGAGCAGATGAATCTGTGATGCGGCTGCACTTGCAAACCTGCACTACACTGCGGAGTGCAACTTGTCATGCGTGACTCCCAAAACTCCTAGGTTTGTGTTGCAAAATCCCCATCCTGACTCTGGTGTGGGGACGTTTTTACTCCGGATATTTTCCCAGGTTTGCTTCACGTTGGCGGAGGTGAGTGAAGAAGTACTCCTAGAAGTTGTAGATCCGGTCGTTGCAGATGAAGCTGCATTTTTTCCCGAAGAAGACGCTGCACTGTTGGACGTCGGGGGCTTACCAGAAACAGAATTTACAACGGCATGATCCGGATAAAACAGCGCGTCGCCGTCGATGTGGACCAGTTCGGGGTGTTGTAGGTGCAGCCCGCGGCCCGCATCAACCTCGGACCTCCGGCGGTCGTTCTATCGAAAGGAAAAATCCCGCCTCCCCATATCGAAAAGGTACGTTGCAGAAAATTTGCAATGCTGATTTGTGACCACAAATCATAGCTTCTGTCTTGCAAGAACGCAAATCCAGAGGCTCCGCCGCATTCTGCCGGCGGTTTGTGATGCTGTTGGCCCTACAGACTAGACGTTTGAAGACATGCTCAGCGCCTAGCCCAAAACCTCCCTACTCAGGCTTAGCATAGGCCTGCAGTCTTGTCCAGCAAAACAAATCTGATTTTTTGTGTAAGTACGCAAATCCAGCATCAGAAACTTCGTTTTTATATGGGGAGGGGGGGGTTTCCTTTTGTTTGATACGTTCATCTCCTTCACCAAAAATTCTGCAAAGGAGCTTTTCCCGTAGCCAATGGGCGCGAAAACGCAGATCACAGTTGTGGTGTACCTCGCTTGCTTGGAAAACGCGTCTACTGCATCGATTTGTTCTACTCCCCCACCAAGGCCGAAATTACGCAACGCCGACGGGGAGTCGGGGTTATTTGTGAGGTCCGTAGAACAAGCAGCTAGCATTCCATCTTCCTTGTACGCCATTTTCCCGGTTTTCAAGAGCAAGTCCCTCGTGTAGTCCGCCAGACGAATGTGGAACCCAATTTCACTTTTCATCCTCTCGTGTTCTGGTTCTTTTTCCCCGCTTACTTGATTTATTTTTTCTTGTCCTTCCTTCACTTTTTTCATCATCCACCGTGCTGTGGCGTCCACAGACACTGCCTCCTCTGCACCACTCGAGGCTAATTCCAGCAGTGGTTCATCCTCGGAGCGGCCTTCCATGGTCTCCAGCTTCCGCATCACCTCTTTGCTCCGCAGCCCGCACTCGCAGAGAAATTGCAGCCAAAACTCCCGGCCCTTCCGGGAGTAGCACCAGTGCTGGACGTAATCCTTGTAGGCCTGCAGCGCTTTCGGCGAGTTCAGCGCGACCTTGTCTCCGAGGAGGGTGCGCAAGCCGAAGGTGCGACAGGTGTAGTTCGGAAACTTGTACTTGATAATCTGTTTCTTCATAATTATATTCTTAGAAGGGGCTTCTGTTGTAGGTACTATCTCCGCACCTCCCCCGACCGCAGGAACATCGGCCGAAGCAGTGTCATTTATTCCCCCCTCCACTTTCGTGAAGCAGTGCAGCACCAGGCCCTCCAATACGTCGCCGAGCACTTCCTGGTGGAAGGACCGGGTTTCGAGACGCAAGCCGCTCAGAATCTTGATCAAGTTGTTCTCCGTCATGTAGTCCCTCCCCGCCGTGAGCTTTTGCAGGAACTCTTGGACTAACCGCTTCCCCTCGATGATGATTGGGGGGTCGTGGGGAAGGTGGTAGTTGAGGCAAAAGGTGGACAACTCTTGGAGGTCCGCATAGTGGACGAATTTGGAAGACGAAGGAGAACTGCTGGTGGAACCGATGCATCGCACATCTTCGGGCAGCTGCTCGAGGACCTGACCAGCCGTGGCAAATGATGCTGTGCCCGTCCCCAGCGCGGTCACAATCACGCTTTCCTTCAACACCCTCGCTCCGTGGGTCTGGTCCTTGAAGCTCATGCTCTCGGCACAGAGACACTTGAACCTGGTGGCCATCTGCTTTACCAGGGAAAAGTTGCCTGCGAGGTGCGGCCGCCACAATCGGGCGGCGTCCTGGACAAATTCCGAGCCTCGGTCGCAGCTGTTTTTCGACGTCGCCGTCCAGCAGAAGATTTTTTCTGACGACAGCAGTGGGGGTGAAGACGTTGATGTGAGCAAACGACCTTTGTCTGCTCTTTGATGAGTCGTACTGTCGCTGGACACTTGTACTACCTCCAAGTCAAACGCCACCACCATGGATAAGAAGCCACTCCATTTGCGGAAGAAAGATAACTTCTCTGCGTTCGCGTAGTCTTCCAGTTTGATCTTCGGCAGCGCCGTGTCATTATCGAATTTCGGATAGAAACCATACGAGACGACTTCGCCCACGGACGAAGGAATGCCGCTCGCCTTGTCGTCAGCACCAGGTGCTTCTAGCAGTACTTGCGACGCGACAGACGTGGATTTTTGGAGCTTATCATTTTTCATGACAAGCTGCTTGTCCTTTTTCTTCTGCTTTTTCGAAGATGGCGAGGACTTTCTGGAAGATTGAGGCGTTTTCACTTCATCCAAAGAATGATCTTGTTCATCTTGTTCGGCTTTGAAAGCCCGCGGCGTGGATCCTCCTGGCGTCCACACCAGCGGGAATCCCCTGGGAAAGCCATACCTCTCCCCCAGCTTTTTGAGCTCAAAGTCGTTGTTCCCGCGAATCATCACGACGAATTTCTGCCGTTTCAGGAAAGTGAAGGGTTTGGGCGGGAGGATCCGGTGGCATAGGAATTTGAGCCGGTTCCTGTCGTCGGTCAGGAGCTGCTCAAGCGTTTGGTGGATTGGGGCCTGGGAAAGCCTCAGATCGGCGAGAAAGTGAGGCTTCAGAAGCGCCATCTCCTCGGGGCTGCAGCGCTCGGTTTCCACGTAGAAGGCGGTTTTTTGTACAACTTCTTCTGGGAGTGATGTACAAGTAGAACTACTCCTACTTTTAGGGGAGTGCTGTGGGTAGGATGTCGTCATCTTTTCTAAATGAAGTTTGCGCTATGCTCGGTAAAATGAAATAATGGAAATGGGCCGCAGTCGAGTTCTACTTATTATCATTCAGTACGAAGGTGAATACACGCTTTTCAAAAGTTTTTTCCTCGTCTTGTAAGTAAACGTAGTGAGTAAATGAATCGCCGCATCAGTTCTGAATCTGATCGACTTAAAGATTAAAATTTGCGACAAGTAAGCAGGTGGACGGCGCTGCCGGAGAGGGAACCAGAACCAGAAACTATCACGGAAATGTGGGCGGATCAATATCCGATTGATGCTTGAGTCAGAATCGACAGAAAGAATTTTCTTGTTCACATCATCGCTTCTTTCACCACCATGAATAGGATCGTGGAGATCTTCATGCACATGCAGCTAGTCGTGACATAATCAAAAACCCGCTTCACGATCTTGATCTCGTCGCTTGCTGCATCGCAACGTCGGCAAGGGTGAAAAGGATCGCCTCATAAAAACAGACAACACTGCACCTGCAAGAGTGATCTACATCTTGTTTTTTCAAGCTCGCACTTTTTCACGACTGCGTGGCACAGGGATCTTCTTTCTTTCTCGCGCAAATAGACCAGTGACGACGGGGACGGACAAGCAGTGGAGTAGGACTAAAGGTAAAGTCTGTCAGCGCTGCCAAAGAATACACAACTTCATCAGCTGTAATGCCTGTGCTCGATGATCGAATTCGGAACTGTACCGACTTGAAAGAACAACGTGTAGGAGTTCGTTGCATCAAACCCCGGCTGCTGCCTGGGCACAATTAAGACAAAATTTTCATGATGATTTTCTGCTCTCTTTTCGTCGTTGTCGTGCTCGTGATAAGGCGGCAAAGAAATCAGCATAGTACTCTTCGACGTGCTCGGTCGTGCATATGTGCTTCGCCGTTGCGCGGACGCGGTCACAAAGCAGTAGTTCCACCTCCGCAGAGAATGAACGCGTTCTATGAATATCTTTCGACGTCGTGATCTTCACATGTACAAAGAACTCTGGACAGAGGTACACATAATAAGTAGATATCCATGTCTTCATTTTTGAACCTGTTGTACTCAATAGCTCTAGTCGCTCGTCTGCTAGTACGACCAGGTCTGCCACGAAGGTTGGCCTGGTTGCGGCAAAGGCGAAGCCTCCAAGGACGAGGACCCTCTGCCTCCCACAGCCACAGCAGGGCTAAATAAGGGATTCCTCATCTTCAGCCGCGCCTCAGTCGTCATCGTCCAACCCCGCAAGCCATGGCCAGAAGACCGGTATATCGTCCACGTGGGAAACGTAGATGGGGACGAAGACGGAAACGGGGAAATCGCTGCAGTAGCCGCCAAAACCCCCTAACGCGACTCCGCCGCCCCGGACTCCGAAAACCTGTTTCCGATGGATATGGATTTGGAATTTTGCATTTTGTACGATTAATCACTGTAAGACCGAACGAACCACGAACCGGTCGCGATGTTCTTCTATAAACGAACAAGTGTAAGCGAAGATGCACAAAAAAAACTAAGTAACAGCTTCACCAACCTCAGTGCTGAGCATGCCCTTCGGATGTGTCAAATCCAGTCCCTGCAGGCGTCTGGAGCACAGAACCCCGGTATGGATGTGTCAGAGTTGAAATCGACAAAGTTGAAATAATTTGTCATGCATAAAATGGATGCCAGTTGGAACCCAGTTTCCAAGTGGCGCATGACAAATTTTGATGGTCCCTAAGTCCAGTTTGTCATGCTGTTTAGGCAAAGAAGAGTGATTTTCTCATGCTACTCTAGCAGCTCGAGCTGTAACCCCAAACAGGCTTACAATCGGCCTCACTTGCCTGCTCTGCAACGCACGTGCCTCGGGTCATGCATTTTATGCATTACAAATTATTTCAACTTTGAGGATTTCAAACCTGACGTTTCCATACCCGGCTGCGATGCCGTAGAGGGTTAGGAGGTGCAAGCGGTTCACAGCTTTATCGTGTTGAACGTTGTACGCAAGCTCCTTCTTTTCCTCTATCAAATGCAAAAGTGTCTGGGTCTGGAAGAATGCAACTTGTGATGCTACTTTTGGAATCTACCTAAAATCTGTATTGCATGAACAGCAAAAGAGGTGTAATTTGTGCTACGCGGAGAGGGCATTTCTCATGCGGTATGAGCATCAGAGAGCCCTCGCAAAATCTCTGATGCTAGGGCATGCATCACAGACCTCATCGGTCATGCAAAACCTGCATGACAAATTCCTGCATTCTTCCAGACCCAGACATTTTTGCAATCCAGATCCTCTAGACTTTCGCAATTCCACAGCTGCCGAGCGGTTACTACCTCAGAATTTTCATTTTCATCTTGTACCATGTTTGTATACATCGTAGTATACTGAAGTATACTATAGTATTGCTTTCTTTTTCTGCGTCGAGCTTACCCCGGTGCTGCTGGTAGTTCTGCCCCGCTTTCTTTTTTAGAAGCATGCAGATGAATTATACTAGGGCCAAAGACGTTCAACGGCCAAACAAGCAACTAAATTCAACGTACCGGTGCCAGCACCGGAGTGGTGAACAAGGCCATATTTCGCATGCCAATCGTGCAGTCGTGCCTGAGCAACGCCCAACTCAGGTTGCCCTTTCGTGAGCACAAGACCGCGCCGCCGACGAAGCCGGCGGCAAGGCCGTACTGGAAGCACTTGAAGACGTTGTGGACGCCCAGGAGGAAGCCAGGAAATTTCAAAGTGAAAAAAGCCCCCACCCCGTCATCATCATCATGTAGTGGACACCCCCGTATCGGAAACGGAAGATGCGCGAATTTGTTATGCTGTATTTGAGTACACAAATCAACTTGTATTGCTAGAAGGCCAGGAGACGAAGCTGCGGCCTAAATTGCAGGTAATCTGTCATGCTGTTTCCCACTTCCAGTTGCCTCCTGTCATCCTGGAGCTGCAAGGCTTTCCCACGCTAGACAGCACTACAGTCCGCATCTTTTGCCTTCTAGCATCACAAAGCTGATATGTGACCACAAATCTGCATCACAGATTTCCGTTTTGATATGGGGAGGAGGCATTTTTCATTGTAATAGGAAACCGCACGTCCTCAACCGAGCGTGAAGGGCGGAGGAAGTACAGCACCATGTTTGCGCCACGACTATGATTCTATCTTCTCCCCCGGACCGCGCTACTAGGCACGGTCACGAGGTACTTACTTGGCCGCAGCGCGGTAAAGAGAGGACGTCGACGTAATGTCGACGTGAGGATCTTCTCTTTTTGCAGGGGCCGCCAACAGACACCAAACAGCACGAAGACGACCCGGCAGTTCAGTAGTCGACCGCAATCCAGATGATGAATGCGCACATTCCCACAATGAAGGGCCACATCTTGATCGTTCGGACGTTGAGTGTCCTTTTGCAAAAATACTGCGACGGATTGTAGCAGCGTCCGTGCTACAGATCCAGTTTCACTTTCAGCGAGTAAATAACTGCTGAATTATACGAAAAACAAGCCTTCCGTTGATGAAGCTGTGCCAGCACAAGCCTTCGCGTTCCCTCTCTTCTATGTAATGCAGATGTGTCTCCTCACTGTCCGCTCGCTCAACAAGAAAATGGGACACAAAGACAAGACTTCTTCATCGGACGTCGAAAGTACGTACTTGATTCCACGCTCGAAGATGGTGGTGCTCCAGTAGTTGTAATGCTAGCTGCTCTTCATCCACGTCCTTGTAATTGTAAGTTGCCGCCACCTCTCTCTAAACGTAAACACAGCACGAGGAAATCGTGCTCCGTCACAACCCTGGTCTTGCAAGATTCGCGTCGCAAGAACTGCAGGACCGTTTCTGTGTCTGAAGAGAGAAGTTCCATCCAGCTGGAATCGATGAAAATTTATTCAGATTTTGATATTTTGATATGTGTTTTGACCTACCCTTGAAGCAGATGATCATGTGGTGGTGGTCTTTGTTCGATTACAAAACACAGTTCGAACGTAGGGAAAAATCATCTTCGTCGCGGTCGGTCGTAAGTATGTTTATCTTGCGCTCGTCATTCGCAGAGCAGTCTAGCAGCTCAGCCCCTTGATGTGCTATCCTTGTACGCAGTTAGCAGGCGGGCTTCTATCATGAATCATCTGAACGTCAGACTCACTGTTGCACGACCGTCGGGCCCCCTGACGAAGATAAATCGCAATTTTCTCCTTATGGCACCGCCTGCCCACGTTGTGTGAAAATTGAACTAAATGGTTTTGGTCAACAAATTTGGTGTATCTATGGGTGAAACAGTCTTGTGAAACTCCAGGTTACAACAACTTGGACTTATTCTAAAAATTGTACAGCGCCCTTACAATCTAGAATAAATATTCAACTAAAAAGTATCTCTCTTACTTGTCAATACAATGAGTTCTCATTATTTTATAGCTGAAAAAATTGAAATTCAAACAACCAAGGCGATTTGCTCCCTTTGCCGATGATAGCATCTTGCAATCCTTGTGCGCGGAAAGACAGTTGCTAGCAGGGCACGAAGCAAACGCGGCTGCGTGAGAGGATCAGCGCAAATGAGCTAGAGTATGACAGAGTGTTGAGCTTAACCTTAAAGGTGTGGAGTATTTGCATTCTCTATGAACAAATACATAGCGAAGCATAATAAATATGCACGAAAAATCGAAGTCCGTTTCAAGTTCATCTTCCTGATCTGGTAGGTCACTGAGGCGCAATGGTCGTGGTGGTCTCTAGCACGAAACCAAGTCCGTGACCAACATGGTGCGTAGGGGTAGGACAAGTAAAGTAATACGTAGCGCAGGCATTAGGCAAACCGGTGAAATACTTGACTTGCGCGACAGGGAAAAAACACGGCAATGACATACGTACTCCCAAAAGACGACACTTTCAGAGTGAGGGTGGCTGATGTCCCTGGACCATTTCTAGTGACAAGAACAAAGTAGTGTGGGTGCAGCTGCGGGTCGCAAGGCAAGAATAGAAAATGAAAACTACGCTAAATCAAAACATGAACCTGAAACCAGATTCGAAGTGCATATATTTGATATTTTGACTTGAGCTTTGCAGCTCTGTACCTCCACCCACCGACCTCCTTGTTATCTTATTCCGCTTCGGTCGAAAACAAAACTGACACAACATAACACACCAAATTTACTGACGCAAACGGAAAAGCGTCTCGAGCTCTATCATCCTCGTCGTAGACATACTGGTACAAACGAGGCACGAGATACAACAAACCATGATGAAACAAAGCAACGTTGATAGATACTTATTTCAACCTCTAGTAAACTGCTACAAATCACACAAGATCGAGCTCTTTTTCACAGGAACAGTTTAAAAAATTTCTATTGTACTGTACTACCACGCATGATCGTTTTTGCGTTGTCGCCATGGTGCAGCAACTGCTCGTCAAATGAGTTTGTACTCCCGTTTTGCAAGGCTACACAGAAATTCTTGCAGGCCATCCATACACTTAGGAAGTTCGTCATTGGCGTTGCTCAGCGGATTTTGTTCTGACGAGCCATTTGTAGCCAGTAGTCGCAATAGCAGAGTGCTCCTACCTTTGACACCTGCTAGAGGCTTTTGCAGGTCTGGCGCTACATATTACAGCAGGAGCTGACGCTCAGCCTCAAGCAAAAGCTGAAGCTGCTACGATCCTAAAAAATTATCAAATTTTTCGTATGAAATTATGATCATGTCGCAAAGGTGTAGCCCCTTCAGTCAGTTCGCCAAAACTTCGTAATTGTACAGGTTTGCTCATCAGGTTGGAAAATGTATAAAAAGGCGAGAGCGCCTTAGTGCTAGCACTCTTGTCATGGTCATGGTGGTCGCGTGTCGTGAGGGTAAAAAAATGTGGCTTCGTAGGGTAACAAAAAAATAGGGTGAAAAAATCTTTTCGTCGTGAAGAATATTTTTATGCTATCTTCTATTTTATCATGTTGCCGTGTGGAGCTAGTTGTGCAGGCTCTCCCCCGTTCGTTCTCGTGTCTGTTTGAAAAATCAAAAAAGTGCAGCTACTTGCAGCTCTGAAACTTCGTGACGGTCGAGTCAAGATTCCATCTGGTTTCCGAAGCAACGAATACATCGTAATATGTTCGTTCGCGACCTTCGTGGTGTGGTTGCTGCATGGCTACAAATTCCACATGCCCGCTTCCTCGTGATATTTTCTTCTTTGTGGGGCAGCCCTTCGTGCTGCAAACTGTGGGTGTAGTTGCCGATGCCGTTAGAAGCATTTTCGCACTTTTTTATTCTTGTCCGCCACACAGGCTGCATCAGACCAGACTACTACTTGGCTTCGTCTAAACTTAGAGCTCCGACAAGTTGTACTATGGCCGGGCAGACAAAAAAAAGGATGATGATCTATCATCCGCTCTGGTGACACCTCCTCAGAGCGACGTGTGTGGTCTTCTCGAAAACTAGCTTCTCGTTTCTCCCCCACTGTAGTTGATGTTCTTCACTGCTAGAAGTTGTTCACGGTTCTTTTTGTGCTGATCCACCTCGATGCAAGCTGCGGGCTGTTCCTTGGTTCAGTCGTCCTTCGTTTTTCATTCCCAGTGGAGGAGGCCGCCGTGTTCCCGCTGGAGGATGAAGCCGAAGGTGTCACGCAAGTAGCCGCTATGCTGGTAGAACGGGTAGTAGCCTGTGGTCCTTCGGGTTCTTCGAGCATCAGTGGTTTGAAGATGTTGTCGATGCACTTGCAATATCAAATGCAAATATCTCTCTGGCTCTGGAAGAGAGCAAGGTTTGTCATGCATCTCGTGGATCACAAAGATGGTCTGGAATGCACCGACGAGAAGCATCACAAATTTCGCAAGGAAGAGCTTCCCAATACTGAAGAGAAATTCGCCTTTTGCGTGGCAAGAAGTGGGTATTAACTTTTGCGGTTCATGCAATACAGTGAGTTTTCCTTTTCTGTACGATTCAGATTTGGCATGACAAACTCGGACTCTTCCAGACCCAGACACATTTTCACTTGATATGCAACTTTTCGTGTTCGATTTTCCCCGGACGATGAGATCAACATGATAGCACAACTCCTTTCGTAGATTAGCATAAAAATGCTATTCTTCACTAGACAGGTGGCGCTTTGCTGGAAGACGCGGACGGAAAAGGGTCGTAGTAGGTTTTCCGCATCAGGTGATAGAGGGAGGACCCCGCGAGAGCGGTGTTCACCGCTGCTAGGTTGTAATTGACAGGCGTGATCACGAAACTCCACCTGTAGGAGGTCGTATGAATGACAATGATAGATGAAATTTGATAGTACTTGTACCAGCAGCGCGACAGTACATCCATGCCTGGCAGAAGCGAGCGGCCCTGCTCTTTATTCATTGCATGCACGTGCAAATAATTTCAAGGTTTTGAAGAATGGCAAAATCATTCCATAAAGATAAAAGTAGCAGGTACCTGGTCCAAATGACTCCGGTGGACGCCAGCGCGAGCTGTTGGGCGGTCGACACCTGATCGATGGGCCTTGCGTAGTCGACCAGATTGGCGATACTCAGGTTCCATTTGAAGGTGGGCGCCCAAAAGTGAATGGTAAAGGGGCCCGCAGGGTGCGCGAGAAACGTGTGCAAGGCCGAAGGCATAGGCATTTTTAGAACCTGGAAAGTGAAGAGTAGTAGGGTTGTTTCCTAGAAGTATAATTGCGGTACTTTTTATTTTACGCTGTTCAACAAATATACTTTAAGTAAGTATACGGTCACATAAATTCTTGAAGACCATGCTGTGCTATCGTGCCCTCATGCGCAGTAGTCAATACTTGACTTTTCCTCTAGGCGATCGATGGTCGTTGTGCTGGAGCATTTTCGAAACAAAATATTGCTTCATACCTGCGCCTGCAGCTTTGGGACGATGCCCGGCCAGGAGGACTGGCTTCCGCCGCCCGCAGCCATAGCGAGCGACTGCCCCGCGGTGGCGGCGGCGGTGCCGCCGGATATGGCCGCTTTCTGGTTGTCGTGATTCCACTTGCGAACCAGCTGCGTGCACTGTGCGGCCTCGTTAAATGCGTGGCACGCAAGCAGAATGTAGTTTCTGAAAGTCAAAGTTTTTTGAGTTTTTGGTGTTCTGCTTCTTCGTCTAGCTATGGATGGAGAAAAACGAACTACTCTTGCATTTTCAGAAGAACAATAGCAAGAAAAAAAAACGGAAACCCCAATTCTCTATATCCTCACCTCGGCTGCACCATCCATGCGAATCGCATGAAAAACAATGAGTAGACGCAGAGGGTATGAGAGTGCACAACTCCGCCTCCCCCTCTCTGGAAGGTGATGAGCAGCAGTAGCAGTACCATCAAGAACGGTAGGAGTGTCTGTGGCCTCCACGACCGCATGAAAGATTCCCAATATGGATTAATTTCAGTACTTCTGCTCGAGGTTCCAAAATTTGTGACGCAGAAAGTGCTTCAAGGCAAGATCAAGATCATGTGGGTTTGGTTATATATTGGTACTATACTATTTTACAAATCATGAGAGGTAGCAGGTGGCGTCGTGCACTCTGATAGAGGGTTCCGGTCATGTTGTAACTCACCACGTCGACGCTTCTGAACTGCATGTCGTAGACCGCAGCGAGACTGAGGCCCCAGTTTGCGACCGGACCCCAGAAGTGTGTGGTGGTGATCCCGGTCTCCTTATTGGTGACCACCTGGACCGCACGGGAAACGAACGACATTTTTGCAGCAAGTTACTCAACTTTTGTTTTTTTACTCAAGTTCCTTCAACAAGATGAGCAAAAATGCGGCCTTGTTCCTTTGCTCGGTGTAGCAGGTGTTGCGAATTACTCATACAGGAGATGTAGATGGCTCGCTCCTCCCTGCCCTTTATATGAGTATTCTCGTCCCCGTAGTTCTTGTCAATTATAGTTGTACCTGAGCAGCACGCTATCTCATAGAACAATTAGAGACACACTCAGAAAAGTGCTCCATCGTTTTTGCGAAAAGGAAATCGTTACGTACTACAACCAGGAAAAACATTGATGAGAGCTTTTGTTCCGCCACTCCTTGACACCTGGCACTAGATGACGATACTAGAAGTGCTATTCCTCGCACTACCGTGGCTGCGGTGCATTTGAATGTCCAATTTGAAACGATTACGATTCCTATTTACTGCATATGCTATACCTAGATCCACAATTTCTTTAAACCGACTGAAGATAATGAAGATGTTCAATTTTCTGTACCGATGGATAGAGGAACCGAAACGGGTGGGCGAGGGGTAGTGAGCGAAGACAGGGTCTGGAAGTGATTTTCTGGTCGTGAGGATTTTCGCCATACTCTTAATTATATTAAACGAGTAAACATATCAGTCATTCAATCCCCAAGGAAAATTCACAATATTATCAGCGACATTTTATTGTTCTCTGCGGTTGGCGAAAAAAAGCACGAGGCCTTCGAGCTGTTCTTTTCTTGGTTGCGATATCTCGTCAGTAGAGGAAAACATTCATTCTCAGAAGAAAAAACTGCCCTTTAAAAATCGACACTTTGTCCTTGTCAAGAGTCCCCCCCGTATGCCCAATAAACATGGCTCTGTACCGACTTTCGACTTTTAAATTCTCGCTTTATTTGTGTTGGTCATGTAGTGCGTAGCACAGCGGACACGGACCTATTATTCGAACAAGCTGAGGGCGTAAGTAGCCGCATCCACGTTGCTTCCGAAAGGAGCATTGATTTGCTTCGCAACAACTTCTGACGTCGACATACATGATTCCCTCTCTTCTAAACAGAATGAATATTTTTCCGTTGCACTTATTATCAAAAGTCAAAATGGACCTATCAACTCAAATACACGAGTACCAGCGCACCACCCGTGCACACTGCCGTGCAAAACGTAACGGCAAACAAGCCGCGTTTCGCGAGGATGAACTGGCCTTTCAACAGTGCTCTCTGGACAGACAAATACCGGTACAGGCTGTACAAGAGCAGCAAGCCGCCGTTGGCCCAGAGAAGCCCCGAGGCTAGCGTGATCTTCTCTTTTCGCGCATTTCTACTACTTGCTGCGGAACTTCTGTTGCGCTGTGTGCTCGTTGATAGGAGTTCTTGCTGAGATTTTTCAGGAACATCCGTGTTCGTGGAGGTTTTTTGTTGGTCCTGCTTTTTATTTTCCAGGGAGTATTTCGATACGCGGTCGGCTAACTCCCGTTCGGTGTGGTACGCGGAGAACAAGGCCGTACCTGCCGCGGTAAACGCAAGGCCGACCTTCGCCCATGCGAGAAAGGTCCGCTCGTTTGCGAGATGGTCGCGGGCAACCGAGCCGGTGTTTTCCACGATCGCGTGCGAGCTCCCGAGTGGGGATTTTTGGTCTTTGCCGTTGTCGTTCTCGCTCGTAGTTTCAGATGGGGGGGAAGGGGCTGAGGAGAAAAATCTTCGGTCGATAGTACTATAATCACAAAGGGGCGGGACGCTGAAGAAGCGGTGACTCCTTATCGCAAAAGTTACTCTAGCACCGCAAAGGGGCGATGTGTAGTTTGGAGGGCGAAAATTCATGACAAGCAGCCTCCTGGAGACCGCAGCGCAACCTCCTGGAGCCCTACTCGCGGGAGAATAGTGCGCGAACATTTTGACGATTCTTTCGTATGCCTCGAGCCATGGGAATTGGGCTGTTGCTCAAGATAGCAAAACGAAATCTGCGAAATGGAGATCATGTCAAATATTTTCATTGTCGTAAAAATATCAATCGACACAGTTGAACGCTCGCACTTTGTAGAGTTTCTTTGAGAAGTTTAAGACGAGTTGATGTGCGGGAGATGAGAGAGCCTAATTCCATGACCTTTCACCGACGTGCGACCGACACTTCTTATTCAAACCGCAAAGCGGTAACCTGACCCTGCTTATGTTGCGTGTCCTCGGCAACAAGAACCCTTGAAACGCAATCCTTTGTTTGTCCGTCGAGAACCAATGATCTGCAAAAACGAGATCTCCCTGCAAGTTAATTTTGATGTACAAGTTTCAACACTTTCATCTACTTCCTTTCGTCCCTAGTAAAACACTTCTCTTTTCGTCTACCCAGCCTTTTTTCCTGGCCGTCGACAGCTCTTTGAACAGTTTGTCCTCCTCCGAGGTACTATGCTGATTTCTCGCAGCTTCTTCTGGAGGGAAAAAAAACCTCTTGCACACAGCTACAATGTACGTAACATCTTCCTCCTCCAGGAAACTGTGGGTGGGCAGGTACAGGCCCACCGAGCCGAACTTGAGCGCGTGAGGCAGCTCCACCTCCCAGGCCTTGTAGCTGCCCGCGACGCCCCGTGCGTATTCGTAGTAGTTTACCGGCTGCACGTGCAAGGGGAAGAAGTAGTTCCGCGACTCGATGCCGAATTCTGCGAGATACTGCCGCAGCGAATCCCGGGTCTTCTGGTCTTTGGTCTCTATCCCGAATACCCACGGCGCGTCGAAGAAACACCGGTTCTGCATGATTGTCTTCTCGTTGATACCGCGCAGAGGGAAGAGCGGAGGGAGTCTACCACTCTGACTGTTTTCCAGCTTGCTGGTGGCTTCCGACTTCGGGGTCAGGAAATTTGTGTCGTCTTGTTGCGCACCTTGTTCTTGCGCAGGAGGAGCTGCTAGTGAACTATTTGACTCCCCCATGTGGTCCTCTCCCGTCTGCGTCGCGGTCGTTGGGTCCTCCTCGTCTTCCCCGCTGCTGGAGGACGTTGCAGTCGCCAAAGCCGCAGTTCGCTCCGTTTCCGTCCCCTCCGGGTTGAACGCCGTCAATTTCTCGTTCCACAGTGCCTTCCGGTACCAAAACGCGATCTCGTGCCGCTTCTCCACCTGCTGGTGGAGGTTTTCGCCGATTTGCGAGTTGAGAAACGCCGCGCCCAGACCGTTGATCTTGGCGTTGGGCGCGGTTTCAAAGTGCAGGAAGTGAAACGCGGGGTCAAACCCGTGGTTGATCAAACTCTTCAGCCGCGGCGCGTGTTCCTCTGAAATGCTGTGCACCCAGCCACCGTCGCCCGCGGTGATCTGCTTGTTGGCATACAGACTGGAGCAACTGAAATCGCCAAACGCACCGGCGAGCAGGTACCGACCCACGGTAGGATCCTGGTAGTTTTGTTTTTATGTACTTCTGCTTATTTTTTTGCTTAGGCACAAGTACTGGGATTTGCAACCTTCACGACGATGTTTGTGTTATTTGGGTTCTGTTTTTGTAGCGTTTGCACTCCTTCCTGTGCGAATAAATTGAAGTGCTGGGGCTGACGACACAAAAAGAAAAATATGATCCAGCATCGCTTTCCCATTTATAATAGAGCTTCCCCTCAGTACTCTCGGCTCGTATTACAGTGAAAAGTGCCCCCCACCCCCAAAGTTGCAAAAATTTGTGATGCGAAGTTTCCAAATGAAAACCTTTTGTCATGCATGAAAGGAATATGAATCTTTCTGATGCAGATTCTAGTGGTGTTTCGCATTGCTTGCATGACAAGCACCGCTCTTGCTGCGATCTTTTGCAATACAAATTTTTCCTATTCACGATCGGAAATCTGTGATGCTGATACATGCAAGTGGGCGAATGTTTCATTTGGAAAGGTTTGCAATACAAATGCTTTCAAGTTCGGGGGTGGGGGCATTTTTCATTGCAATAGCTCGGGATGGTTGTCTACCCTTGCGCCCATGCACTCGCAGATGTCCTCGATTAGCGGTAGATTTTCCTGTTTGTATGCTGCGCAAAAGTATCGTACTCGTAGTAATTGCAGTCATGCATTACAAATCTTTTCCGTAAGGCAGCTCCGCATTACAAATTTTATTTCTCATGCTGAGGAAATTTGTAATGCATTGATAGTGATACGAATACGATACTTTTGCAGTTCATAGTTTGCAATACTCGGCAATTTCCCGGATCTCGGGGCATACGATCCCGTAGGTGTGGCAAACGATGACCGCTTTCGTCCTGACCGATTTTTTGGCCTTGATCTCCTTCAGCGACGGGTTGATGTTGTCTTTGGCGCAGTCCGCAAAGATGGGGATGCCCCCCGCCAGTTTGACCGCGTTGGCGACCGCCACCATGGTCAGTGCGGGAACGATCACCTCGTACTGGTAGACGTTGATGCACAACAAGGAAACGTGCAGGGCCGACGCGCCAGAAGAGGTCGGAAAAGCGACCGGAACCGAGTAGGTGGCGCAAATCTTGCGATAGTTTTAATAAATAAGATCATTCGGATGTCATTTTATAAGGATCTTCAAGTTGTACTTAGCACGAGCAAAACGAATATCTATCTTCACAAGGAAGATCGTACTAGGAACGAACCAACATACACACGCCGAACGGCAGGACGGATCATGCAACCGACACCTATTAAAAATGACCCGGAGGAACAAGCTGCACATTCATAAAAAAACATTTTCAAACGCAAACCTTCTCTGCCATTTGCCGCGGCCACCGTGTTCCCGACGAGATCTCGCCGTTGAGCATGGCCGTTGTGACATCGTCGACAGTATCGCAAAAAAAAACTGTTTCACTGTGAATTTGTGATGCAGAAAATGGAACACAGAAGTATTTGTCTTGCTACACTTGCAAGGCATTGGAATTTCAAGCGTGTTTTCCTTTGGGAAACGCGCATGACAGGTTTTTAGTCTCATGTGTAGCATGCTTGTGAGGCAGATCTTGCAAAATCATCACAGTGAAACAGTTTTTGCTTTGCATAGACAGCTGCTTTGGTGTAATACGGCTCAAGAACGCGAAAGATTATCCCAAGATCTTTATCGTACGTCGGTTCCTTTTTCGGCATGTACTCGGTAATTTTCTCGGGAAGTTGCTCGAATTTCGACTCTGACCGGTTGGCCAACAGGTCGATAAACAACTTCGTATCCATGGTTTGTTCCTTGCGAATAATTTATCAATTATAAGCGCGTGTTCCTGCTGTAGTGTGGCTTCGGAGGCCGGAGGCGGAGCTCGAGCTCCGCTGCCGTTTTACTATTTCCTGTCTGCTAGGCGTGGCGTAACACGTGCGCTGAGTGGTCACAACTCTGGCTCTTTAGGCGCGAAGTTGCACAGCTTCTGATCTGTGTAAAGACAATTAAATCTTCGGAGTTGCTCAATATTTGCTCTGAAGCCAACATGGGTACCTATACAAAAGGTACCGACTTCAGCATCATCCGCACTTTATTTGGAACGTCGGCTGCAGAGTGCGCGATCGAAAAAAGCACCCTTGAAGTTGACAACGGAGACCAATGATAACGGTATGATCGGTGTCGATCACATCAACAATAACGTCAAACAGAAACTCTCCACAAAAAGCAAAAAGGCGGGATCGCTAATGCAACGGTGACGAAAAGCATAGATGTGCAGTGTTGATCAAAGACGATCAAAAAACAAAATAAAACCTCTTGGGATCTTGTTCATGTTGATGAAGAAGTGAAGCTCTAGATGCCGGCCTAATGGGCAGCCATGAGCTTCTTGCTTGTGGATTTACCATTTTCTAGGAAGAGCGTCAGCAGCTCCACGGACGCGGGACACTGATTGGCGAGTGCTTTGAATTTGCAAAACAGGCCGCTCACGAAGCAAATCATTTTTCTTACCGAACCTGCAGCGAAAAAAACAAACACAACCTGTAGACGACCGTTCAGCGGTTACATCAGTTTATACCGTTTCGGTTTCTGAGGCCTTCGCCGGCCTGGTTCTTTCGTTTTCTACCAGCTCACAGTACAAAATCAATATCTTCAAACTTTCATACTTACTACATTAGTCCTCTTGCCGCTACATGAAGGCACGAATTCCACTCACTTCAATAGACTTAGCCCGGATTCGGTCATCATCAATGTTCTGGTCAATTATCTGGCTTTTTTGATTTCGTGAAGCTTTTGCAACTCACGATCTCTCATCGGGTTTCTTGGTTATATTCACTCCATCAAGTTATACGAGCTGAGTTTTTATCTGGGTGGAAGAATCTCCTTTATCAAGTTCAAGTAACGAAGACGGATGCGTCGAATACTTTTCCAGTACTCGACTAGCCCGGCTTGTCTTACCAAACTTTGCTTTCTCGTAGCGCTGATCATCTCGTGTGGTCACCTCGTCGGCGAGCTCGCGTTTGCCGTGGCTGCTACTTTTTTTGTGTACTCTTCCAGCTTGTCCTGTATCGTAAGGAAAAATCCCCTCTCCCCATACTGAAGAGGTAGATTTGTAGAAATTTGCGATGCTGATTTATGGTCACAAATGTCTTGCAAGAAGGCAAACCAAGAAGACGCCCTGCATCATGCCGGCGGTTTGTGATGCTGTTGGGCCTACAGCATAGACTTCTGTCATGCTGAGCGCCTAGGCCGAAACCCCTCCACTTAGGCTTCCTATAGGCCTGCAGTCCTCTACTGCAAGACAGGGCTGATTTGTGTACGCAAATCCAGCATCAGAAATTTTGCTTTGATATGGGGAGGGGGGATTTTTCCTCGCAATATCCTGGGCATTTTTCACGACCGTTTCCCGCTGGTCCTGGTTCAGCTTGGTCGCCATGTGCTCCTGTTGAACGAAGGATTTTCTCTCATGCGATCGCGGGAAAGCAGCTTGGGCTTGGCCCGGGACGACCGGGATACGAAATACTAGTCATGCAGCGGACTGTCGTGTAGGTGTAGATAACTCGGCTTATTCGAATCATGATGCGAAAAGGTAGAGGCTACCCCGAACAGCACTCAAAAAATTATACCTTCATGCTCTTCAGGGTCATAGACAGCATTTGTTCGAACTCAGTGGACATCGTTTCCATGCGGACTTTCAGTTCTTCGATTACCCGATCCTTGTGGCGGATGATGTCGTTCTTATCCCTTACGAGCTCCTGCAGTTTCTGTATGACTGAGGAAAAAGAAGGATGCTGAGTGAACTCGTCGCGAGAAGTGTAAAAACAACGCGACACAAACTTTTCTACCGAAATTTTTCCTTCCGCGTCAGGCTTTTGTGTTCCGCATACGGACTCCTCTCTCAGGCATGGCACTTCCTCTTCCAATTTCTTATACCTTTGTCTTCGTGGAAAATTCAGTCGCATTACATTTACATCCGGCATCAAATTTTGTTTTGGCATAGCTTTCTCCGCCTACTTAACTTAATGGCGGAGCCTTGTTTTTGCCTTTTGGTACAGCTGTTGAACATGATCCCTCTCCTTTTCATTTCATACCATGCTGTGACATATCCACTTCTTCTCGCTGTTCCGTCAACGTCGTTTCCAAGCCTGTTGTGCCGATTGATAGAATCTGCCGCAGGTAATCGTAAAAGCAGCTTACGCTTTCGCTTTCGATCCAATTAGTAGGAAGTTCTGCATCACAAATTCTGGCGTGTCAAGCAGCGAGCGTGAACCATACATCGTGAAAGAACAAGAACGCAACATCGATCACTGTACTGTTGATCTTGTGGATCAGATCCTCCTGCATGGCCTTGTATTGTCGCGTGAGGTCGGAAGTCACTGCGTAGGTAGTGCGCTTTTCCAGTGTAAGGTCCTCCTGCATGTTATCAAAAGGAACAATTCCCCCTCCCCATATCGAAAAGGTATGTTTCCGAAAATTTGCGTTGCTGATTCATTTGAGGCCACATATGACATTTGTCTTGCAAGAAGACAAGGGCAGAAGCTTCCGCCCCATTATGGAAGCGATTTGTCATGCTGCTGGCCCTAAAAGTGAGCCGCTTGCCATGCTGAACAACTAGACCCATACGCCCCTACCTAGCCTGGGGATCTGGCCGCAGTGCCTCTCTGCAATACAAACCTGATTTGTGTACACAAATGAATCCAGCATCAGAAATTCCGTTTTGATATGGGGAGGGGGGATTTTTCCTTTCGATACATGTGATCCAGCTGCGTTCGTGTTTTCATCGTCGAGGACCGGAGATTCTGTTGTATATTAGTTATAGTGCTAAACGAAAACGGAAACACAAAGATCTAAATCTATAGTGCAGAGAAGCAGCCTAAGCCGTCGTTGCAGCACGTCGACCATGACCGAAAAGCTGCATCAAGTTCAAGGACCTGGAACCTTATCAAAAATAAGTGCCGATTGCGGCCGAAAAAAATTTTCAAACGAAGTTCAAGAAACTAGACAGGTCGTACCTCTTCTATTCTCTTCTTCACCAGCAATTGCCGCTCCAAGGTTTCGATCCTCTTGGTAAATTATCGAAGCGAAAAATACAGGTCGTTGTTGCAAGGTATTCACGATCTTAATCTTTACTATAGAACGGAATAGGATTTTGACCCCAATTTGAGGGCAACGTAGACAACATACACACTCTCTTCATGATGGAAGACGAAGACGCATCTTCCACATCCTGAGCGAATAAGTTTAAGTGTTCCACTTCTTGCACATGACAAAGAGAAACACCGGCAGCTAAAAACAACCACGACCGGGACCAGCTTTTCCGCGATACGAGGTCTATGTTGTCCTCCTGCAGCTGCACATCGACGTAGTTTGGGTGGCTCGCCGGCAGCCTTGGGATCCCCGGCAAAGGTGGCCCCTTGTCCTTCTTCTTCGATTTTTTGCCCATCTTCGCGGGCAAGCTGGCTCAATTCTGTCAACCGAAAGGACACGCTCCTTCAGCATGTACTAGGAGGGGTACGAGGTTCTTATTCGTAACTTAGTGCATAACTCAACAAAACGGCGACAACAGAAGATACGAGAACGAAAAAACGCAAGTACGCAAGCGTCTCAAGGAAATGAAGCAAGTCGTTGCTCAGAAGTGCCGCGCTCACAATCAGATCACACAGTGGAGATCCTGGTTGTATTCAAAGTTAGTCCTCTAGTTGCTTGACTTGAGGACGTGGTAAGTACAAGTGCATGCTACTGCTAGCATCGTTTACGAACGCACGGTCCGCATAATATCCATAGATAATCACAGAAAGGTTCTTCCTCGTTTGTCCCTCCAACGAAGTATTTTTATTTCGCGCGAGAACAACAATAAAGCTTCAGCCCTGGAACTTCCAACGGCAGTGGCCAGAAAATACATGTCGTGGAGGTCTTTTTTTCACACCACACTTGCTGAAGATGCACTTTCAGATGTACCAACAGCAAGTAGGGATTTGTATTGATCGTGAATGGGAATCGCTCAACATCAACCAGTATTGCAGAGCAAAGCGGGTCATCTCGCAATAGGTCTACTTGTTCTAGTTCTCATCTGCTAAATTGTTTTTTCCACCTCGGATTTGGATTTCTTTGTTTCTCTTTGAAAACGATGAATCCGCTCAGTTTTCCTCAATCCTGGTCAAAAAACGGCCCAGAATGTCCGCGTTGCACAACACCTTTTGGAGCTCCGTTTCCCGCGAGCGGCAGTCGTGCGATTCGCAGTACTCCTCGTCCTCCGGTAGTAAATGCTCGTTTTGCGGGATCATGACCGTGAGTACGAACGATGTTCCGGGTCGCAGTGTGGTTGTCGGCTGCACCAGGAAGTGCGCCGGCAGGTCTTCGGCTGGCGAGGCGCAGTCGCCAAAGTCAAAGGCCCCGGGGAGGTTGACCCCCAGCTGCTGGCGAAAGGGAATCGTGTGGCTGTGCGGCAACGCGACCGACTGGTCGTCGGTCGCGGTGGTCCTCAACGTCATCTGCCTTGAGCTCGGGTCGTGGTGTGCATAGCTCGGGTCGATGATATGGAATTTCCCTGTATAGGAGGAGCAAGTGGAAGGATCTTCTTCATCACGGCTAGCACTTCTACTTTCCCCCCTTGAATTTTTCCCTCCTACTGCAGCTGCTGCACCAGAAGATGCTCCTAACTCCGGTGACAATTTGAGGCGGTACGGGATCTGGAAACGTTCCATGGGCAGGCGGCGGTAGCGTAGGCGGCGGAGATCAAGCTGCGCCAGAAACATCTGCAAGGGTTGGTCCTCGCCGGGAACGGTTGATGCCTGCACGTGGAGAAAGAGCACCGCATTCTTTTCCACGATCGTGTTTTTCTGCGTGTCCATCACGAACGTGTGACGCGAGGTAGGTCCTTCTCGGAAAGATTGTTCATCATCTAGTTCTTCGCTTTGGCTCGAAGAAGCAGGTGCACGGTCGTGTGCAGCAGCTGAATCGTTCCTCTGGACTAAGTGTTCCTCGTCTGTCGTCCTCCGGGCGCCGCCTTGTTCGTCCGCGGCCGATGGAGCGTTCATCATCTTTTGGTGTTCAATGTCGTTGTTCCGAATGAGCAAAACATTGACGAATCCCACACCGCAGATTTGCGCGTATTTCTGGAGTTTTCCCGACCCGAGCGTCGTGCCCACGAGACAAGAGCGTGGAAGCACCTGGACGACGACGGTTTTGATGTAGTAGAAGCGTCTCGTCCCGGTCGGCGAAAGGAAGTGGTGGCTTCGCAGGAACAGCGGCAGCGCGCGCGCATGTTGCGGGTGGTAGAAAAACGGCGCCACCCGTGCGTGGCCAGCCAACGACCTGGCCAGTTGCGGCCAGTTCTGTTTGGGGTCTTTTTGAAGCTTCTTTTCTACGATGGAGCGAAGCCAGTAGGCGTCGGAACACTCCTGTCGTACAATAGCAGTGACCTTCCAGTCGTGAAGAGCGCGCTCGTCTTGCGAAGCGAATGTACCGCATGTTCCGCGCGTCAGCTGCACATTTTTTGTACAATTATAATCCGGCGCTTCCTCGTTCGCATGAGACGATAATTTTCCTTTGAGTCTGTCGAAGTGAGTTTGTAGTGCCGCCGAAGGTAAAAAGTGGTGCCAGCCGTTAGAACGAAAATTTTGGATCGCGCTGCACAGCCAGAGCCGAAACCAGCGCTCTCGAGGTCGGAACAGGAGCCGAAACATTGCTGGTTCTGCGGACGACAGACACGACGAGGGCCCCCGCGAGACGACGCCATTGTCGGCACTGCGCTGCTGATGGAGAACTTCTAAGGCCAGGAGTTCCTCCAGCTCCCTAGCTGTGCCTGCTTCTTCTGGATCACACAATTCCCATTCTCGAAGTTCAATATTCCGAGTCCAGGTTTCTCGCTTCCATGTGGGATGATTCGTCGTTGCGAAAGAGGGACGTCGCCAGAAGCTGGCCGCTCGCGCATTGTATTTTTTATGTGGGTCAAGAAAAAAGTGCTTGCTCTTTGCGCCCTCCTTGCGCTTCCGCAATTTTTTGTAGTCTTTTCGCATCTCTTCCTCTCCGTCACCATCGGCAAACGTGACCAGGATGCGGTCCCGATCGCGGCGGATTTCCACATCGAACTTTTCCGGAGAAATAAGGTGATGCTGAGTAGCTCCAGTCGACGTATCACCAAGAAACGCCGAGATGAAGTTGGTGTCTAAGGTTCTTGAGTGAGAGTGGTGTCGCACGCACAACACGCGGTCCTTGCGGCAGAAAAAGACCCGGTCTGACGCTTGTCCCAGCGGAGCGGGAGAGGATGGTGCCACACCTCCTACAGAAGTGCTGTGCTCCTCGCCTTCAGGAAGACGCTCGACGTGCACTTGTGGAGGCGCCCCCGGCTGCAACATTTGTTCACATACTTTTTCCGAGAACAAGAGACGTTCCTCCTCGTTCAAGCAGATCTTTGCGTCATCGCAGCTGCCGTTGCCACTTCGCAGGAGGTTCTTATCGAGAATCTCGTCTGCTGCCGCGGCCGCAGATCTTTCGCCCGCATCGTCCATCCCAGCGGGGGTGGGTCTCGTTCCCAACCACGCACCGATCTTGTCTTCCCGGACAACCCAGAAGGAAAAGGAGGAGGCTGCATCATCGTCCAACGTGGTTGTAATTCCATGCCGTGCCATTTTGTATGTGTTTTTGCGTTGTTTGGTTGATCGCGACGAACCAAAACTACATCGGAAGATAAGAAAGAAATAGGAAATCAAGCACGGGGTAAATACCGGCCACCGAGAAGAAAGCCAACTAATTAGTTGTTTTATCTAGCACTAGCAGGAAAAAAATGCTGAGGCGCAGCAAGAGAAAGGAAGCTTTATTCGGGCACTGCAGTCAAAGTAGGACGAGGAGAGGGAGATGACAATGACAGAATTTAATAAACGAGAGTGTCATCAAGATTTTTTTCTGGATGTACTATTTCAATACCTAACGACCAAACCCAATCTATTGTTAGGCGAAAAACCGAAGCTGCGCACTACCCAGTATTTTCTCATCCCAAAGATCGCGGTAGAAAAATTTTTGCAGAAAATATGTTCTTCATGAGTACGATTACTAACAACTTAGCGTGCTTCTTATAGCCGTGATTACGACTGTTCATCTTTTGCTCGTAATATGCAGAAATTGAAAAAAAAATGAGCACTCAAACGTCGCACAGAGACCGACCAGAATGCTATGGTCGAAGCATACAAACGGCAGCATTTTTATGTTACTTGGAAACCAATCAGCTTGGTACTCAGTCACCGTGGCTGCACCTCTACCAACCTTGCTGCATTCATACGAGGGGATCGCAGTGTGAGGCGTCCCACGTCCAACCTAACACATTTCGAACATTCGTGGCATGCGCACGCTGGGTACTAGACCTCCGCCAGATTTGCAACTGGAGTGTGCTGCTACCACTTCTGCCGTTTTTATGAATGTGTTCATGGCAGACATCACAACAGGTTCTACTTTCTGCTCCTCTTGAGGCACGTGGAGTGATAAAGCGTCTCTGTGCCACCTGCCGTCAGGCCTGCGTTACGTAGTCGTAGTACATGTGTAGTCGCAATAAATCTTGTCGTCTTTGTGAAAAAAACCTGATCATCAAACGAGCTCGCTTCGCTTGGCTCTTGCTCATTCTCCCTCCACATGACCGGCGTACCAGGCGGTATAAGTAGATTATGGAAGAACCATTTTATACATCCACTTTGGCAGGCTGATTTTGATTTGGGTTTCTCACTTGGCAGGCTGGGTCGCGGGTGCGGCGGCACCTCCTGCGGACATGAGGTCCGTAAGCTTGACCTTTTTCCCCTCCAGGTCCTTCTCCAGCTCCACGATGACCTTGTCCGCTCGGTCGAGCTCTTCCTTGATGTAGTTCAGTCGCTTGTCCACGTTCCCCTTCGCGTATCAAAAGGAAAAATCCCCCCTCCCCATATTGACAAGGCACGTTTTCGAAAATTTGTGTTGCTAATTTGTGACCACAAATCGTCTCTGTGTTACATGAAGGCAATTCCACAGGCTCCGCCGCATTCTACAAGCGGTTTGTCATGCTGTTGCACCTACAGCATAGACGTCTGTCATGCGAAGCGCCAAGGCCAAAACCTGTCTCCTCAGGCTTAACATGGGTCCGCAGTCCTCGCCAGCAAGACAAATCAGATTTGTGTACGCAAATCCAGCATCAGAAACTTCGTTTTGATATGGAGAGGGGGGATTTTTCATTCTGATATCGCGTCCTCCAGGTTCTGGCGGACCAGCACGGGGCCGATCAACTTGTAGACCACACCGTCATACTATGCACTGCAAAAGTAATCGTACTACCTAGTATGAATTGCATTACAAACTTTCCCAAGAACAAAAATGCAATGAATTTGTCGTGCTATTTCAGGTAGAAAGTTGGATTTTTTATGCATATCTGCAATTAGTACGAGTACGATACTTTTGCACAGGATACCTGCTCCAGGATCGCGAATTCCTTCGCCACCGTCTGGTTCTCCTCCTGCTGAGTCAGCAGCTTCATCCGCGAATCGTAGTTCGTCTGCAGCTGTTTCTGCAGCTCCCGGAACTCGGTCGCCAACGCGGTAACCTCCGGTGACGGCTGCGAAACCGGACCCCCGCCACGCGCGTTACCGCTGCTTGCCACCATTTTTTTCTCTTTTGCGGACGAGGCTCAATTGATGCTGTTAGGTCTCTTGCTTCTAGTTTTTTTTGTGGCGGTGAAAGACGGTATTTCTTTGCTTAGTGTAACAGTCAAGTGTAGTCAGTCTTCTCGTCCAACTGGTGTGTTAGGGTCAGACAAAAAAGGAGACACGACGCTCGCTGCCGGATGAAATCAACGGTAATTTTTCTCGAGTCTTGGCTCGCTAACTCTTCATGTTGTGCAGTCCTGCTCGTGAAAATGATGATAATTTTTGTTCAAAAAATTGAAAATGAATTTGATGATGTAGTATTAAGTTGCCGTGTTCACCTTGTTGCTGAGCTTTTCCTTCTACTTATTTGATCCAAGATTCTACCAATCGATTTTTTCTTTTTTCCTTGCTTCAAATTCTGCTGGAGCAGTAGAGCATTGCATTTTCGAATTTCGATTTCTGAATTTCCTCGTGTTTGCATTACAAACGTGTGCACACTTCTGCATTCTCGGGGCGAGATCACCTTTCTGCAGTGAGTACTATTGCGCCACCACGAATTTTGGATTTACAGATCTTGTGGCCAACGCGCGCCAGGGCAACAAAAAACCAAAAGCTTACAGATAAAGGCCCACCAGGTACGACCGGTTTCGTAGAACAAAGACCATATTTCTTTTTCCACTCCTAGAAGTTGTAGGGGAAAACCCGAGGCCAGAAGTTAGATCCTACAACTGAGACTGTGAAGAAGTCCTGTCAGATTGGTTAGTCGGTCCTAGACCAATTCTGATTTCCATCTGCGCAACACAATTATGTAGCAAAGCTTGCTCTTGGGTTTCTATATTTTTCATCGCGGTTCGCATGGACAAAAGCGCCCCTCAACGCTAGCAGCAGGTACCCCTTCCACCTCGTCGGCCCAACAAAAATATCTTCAAAAATACACATTACCTACAACCTGCCCTTGCGTGCAGACGATCGAAATCGACGATACTGTGAGTGACAGCAAGAAGTTTAAATCTTTCTTTGTGTCTAGCTGGTGCAGTGCTGTATTGAGAGGGAAAAATAGAAGCAGATCCCGCCCCGTGGTTTGTTGTAGTATTCTCAAGACAGAAATTTCCAAAACTAAGTACAATATTCCAAAACTTCTGCTCGTCTATATTCTTGTTCATCCGGCAGTTGTAGATTGGTACGTACATACAACTTGATACCTACTTCGTAGAAGAACTTACAAAACGTTTGCGGGCAAAACAAGTGAGTGCAACAAGCAGCGCGATCTCATTCTTGTGTACACACCACAGTGCGAACGGCACATCTTCAGAAAGGGTCCGACGTACGAGAGTTCGCCTTACGGATCCAACGAACTACCGTCAGCAGGAATCATGTCCCAGTCCTCCCGCGATCCGGTCTCGTCACCAGATGAAGAAACCGTCCAGACGTTAACTATCGAAATGAAAATGATCCCCCTCCCCATATCGCAATGAGAATGACTCAGTGATGCAAATTTAATGTATTGCATTTGCAGCAAATAACAAGGCAATAATTTTACGCAGATGCTTTGCGTGTGCCGACAGTAGTACCTCTTGAAGATCATGAGTACAGCACAAATTATAATCCCGCTTCAAAAATCCTGTGCTGAATAGGGGATGAGGGATTTTTTTCTCGCAATATCGGCAGCAGCAGCTTCATTGTCGACTTGTCCTCCGTCACCCTGATTTTTACTTTCCGTTTCACCGAGCGGCTGAGGTTCTACTTGCGGCTGCTGGTGTTGCCGGGATGCATTTTGCAGCCCGTCTACTTCTGGGCCGCCCTGGGTAGTTTCTTCCAGTAACATCACCTCATTGGCGGAAAGTCCACCACCACCGTACTTGCTGGTCACCCAGTCGTATCAAATGCAAAAATGTCTGGGTCATCTGGAAGATTGCCAGGTTTGTCATGCATCTTTTGAATTACCCATGATGTCTGTGATGCATGCCCTAGCATCACAGATTTTTAGAAGACTTTGTGATGCCTCTACCGCATGAGAAATGCCCTCTCCACGTAGCACAAACTGGAGGCCTTTTGCTGGTCATGCAATACAAATTTTTCTGGAATCCAGAGACAGCATTACAAGTCTAGAATCTTCCAGACCCAGACACTTTTACATTTGATAAGTCGGACACCGGAGAATCCGCGTACCTGCGACGCAGGCCCGCGGCCTGCTCCGCCGTCAGGTTGGGTTGCCACTTGGTGAGCAGTTTGGCAATCACCTTGATGCCACCTGCCCGGTTGGTGTAGTAGTAAGTGGGGGGCGAAGTTGTAGTTCCGCAACACGCTTCTTCAGCCGCACCGGTGCTCCTCGTCGTCGCGGTGGGCATACTATTGGTACTGCCGTCGTTGTTGCCCCGCCCCTGCTCTTCGCCTGTGACGAGTGCAGCTGCTACCCCGGCGGCCCGTGCTGATGTACAACTCCCCACGACCGGGGAGGGAAGAACTCCCACCGGGACAGCATCCAGGCTGAAAACTGCAACGGCAGAGGACGAAGCCGACATCGCAGATGATGTCAACTTTGTGCACGCAGATGATGTCAGCTTTGTGCACGGCTGAAGGCCGAAGCACCAATCGAAGTTCAGCAGCTCGTCGAACTGGTCGTGCGAAATGGGGAAGTCCCACGTGTCCAGCAGGTGGTACATCAGGTCGGTGTTCTTGGTCGAGAGGATGGCGTCGATGTGGTCGGGGTGCATCTGGGTGGTGGCATCGAACAGTTTCAGTGCTGCCAGCGCCAGCTGGCTCTGCGGCGTGTCCACGTCGATGCCGGCATGTTTCCAGATCCTCATCGTCACGTCGCGCTCGATGTTCCAAGCGCCGGGCTGCGTATACAGACCCCGCAGAATGCGGAGCTTGAACGGGTTTTTTGCGATCGACAGACTGGCCACGGTGCGGGGGCTGCTGCAGCTGCTCGTCTTGCGGCGAGTTGTTGTACTAAAAGTTGCCGTGGAGTTGTTCTTGTCCGTGGTCCCCTTTACCACTTGTTCCACTTCTCCCGCCTGCGCTGCAGCAGCAGCGGAAGTAGCTGCAGTGTCGTACTCTGTAGCAGTTGTCGTACCATTCGAGTTGATAGCGATGTATCAACTGTAAAAATGTCTGGGTCTGGAAGAGTGCGCGATTTGTCATGCAGCTTTTCCATGACCCATGAGGTCTGGAATGCAGAGCCTAGCATTACAGATTCTGCGCGATCTCTCTCATGCTTATCCTGCATGAGAAACTCCCTCCCGACTTGGTCAAAACTGGACGACTTTTGGTAATCATGCAACACAGATTTTTGCATGCTTCAGACTTAGCATGACAAACGTGCATTCTTCCAGACCCAGACATTTTTACAGTTGATACGATGCAACCTTCGACAATTTCCAGTTCCGCTTCCTCCAACAACTTTTTCACGGTGTGTATCCTCAGTAAAAACGTACCCACACCAGAGTTGTAATGCAAATCTGCATGCTGAAAATGTTTCTCATGCGGAGCCCCATGAGAAGCATTTTCTAGTCGTGTTTTGTAATTTGTCATGCTCCAATCACCATGGTATGCTAGATCTGTGATGCTGCTTAGCTAGCTCAAACAGCACTACACTACGAATCCAAATTTGTCATGCAAAACAGCCAAAACTTGTGGATTTGTCTAGCCGATTCCCCATCTTGACTATGGTGTGGGTACGTTTTTACTCAGGATACTGTGGGTCGTCAAATCGCGCCGCGGCAGAGACAGAAACCTGGCCAGCACCCGTATGGCGTTCTCAACTGTTACATTAACATTCTCAACTGTTACATGATTTGTAAATGCAAAATCACAATCAGAATCGACACGATCAAGCTGCTTCGCATGACAAATTCTCGAAGAGCCAAACAGGCTCGGAATCTTTGCCAGATCTGTCATGCAAGACCCGCAAGGTGACCCCTTTCACTTTTGCCATTCTTGCATCACGCATCCGTGTAACAGTTGAGAATGTAACAGTTGAGAACGCCATAACCCGGTTCCGAGCCCCGGCCGCCTCCTGGTCAAGTGCTGGACCGTCCGCAGGCAGGGTGAGCGCAGCCGCCTCTGCGTCAACCTTATGGGAGTGCCAGGATCAAAATCGACAAAATCCAAAAGTTTAGTTAGTTGTGTATGCATAAAATGTAGGGCACGTAAGGCCAGTGTTGGGGAGCAGGCAAATGAGACCAATCGCAAGCCTGTTTAGGGGAAGACGATGGACTGCCAGAGTTTTCATGACAGGAGCCGTCTTCTTTGCGCAAACAGCGCGACAGACTGGATCTTGGTGCTCCCGAAATTCGTCACGCGCCACCTGGAAACAAACTGAGTCTGAGGGTCCAACTGGTATCCTCGCTTTTATGCATCACAAATTACTTATTTCGACTCTCTTGATTTCGATCCTGACAGTTCCATAGGCTTTCTCGGTCTCGTAGAACTGCTCCAACACCTTTGTGGAGACGTGCACGGGCAGTTTGACCCGGTAGTGGTCGAGCAGGTTGAGCAGGAATGGTTCGTGTTTCACCAGATTGGTTTTCCCGTTTCCGTCCGTGATATCAAATGCAAAAATGTCTGGGTCTGGAAAAAAGCAAGGTTTGTCATGCTAGGCTAGCAGGACTTTCAAGTCTGTCATGCACGGTACCCAAAAACCCTTTTTTTCTGTGATGCGAAGTCGGAGTTTGTCATGCCGAATAGGCAACACTTAGAAGCTCAGAAGCTTGTCATGCTAGGCAATCATTTATTGTGGGCTCCTCATGCTACGTCACTTAGCATTACAAGTTTCCAGACCCAGACATATTTGCAATGCATACAACGTGACGCTGGTAAGCAGCTCCAGAAAATCTTCCACGATCAGCGGTTCGAACGGTTTCACCTTCTTCGAGAGGTGGAGGTCTACTCCTGCGTTGGCGAACTTCTGCACGTACCGCAGGAGCCGGGCCTGATCGACGGCACTACCCAGGCGGACCAGCGCCGGTTTTCCCAGGTGCTCGCCCACCGCCGGCGGGCAGCTCCGAGGCGCGACGGCTTGCACGTCGGCCGGAGTCGTCAATAACCAGCTGTTCTTCTTGAGTATGGAGTCCTCTCCGACGATTCCGTGAAAAGCGGAGGGTTTAATATCTTCGTGGAGCGGATCGTATCAAATGTAAAAATGTGTGGGTCTTGAAGAATGGAAGGCTTGTCATGCTTGTCTGGCATGACCCATGATGCTTGTAATGCATGACCCAGCATCGCAGATTTTTGGAAAGCTTCCTGATGCCGTTTCCGCATGACAAATGCCCTCCTCGCGTAGCACAAATGTGGCTCCTCTTGCTGGTCATGCAGATTTTTTTAGAGTCCAAAGTTAGCATCACAAGTTCCAACTTTCCAGACCCAGACATTTTTGCATTTGATAGATCGCGCAAGGCGGCAAGGAGCGGATCGCTCTGCATGTCCGCGAGTTGCAGGAGGTCGTAGCGGGTTATCAAATGCAAAAATGTCTGGGTCTGGAATGTTGCCGGAAGTGTCATGCATATTTTGCATGACCCAGGATGTCTGTAATGCATGACCTAGCATCACTGATTTTTCAATGGCTTCCGGATGCCTATTCCGCATGACAAATGCCCTCCCCGCGTAGCACAAACTAGACTCCTCTTGCTGATCATGCAATACAGATTTTTTTAGAGTCCAAAGTTAGCGTCACAAGCTCCAACCTCCCAGACCCAGACACTTTTGCATTTGATACGGGTCCGGGGCAACCCATTCCAGTTCCGTAGAGCAAACAGCATGAGAGCCTCGTTCCGGCTGCTAAAAATGGCCTCCACCTGCTTGTTCGGGAGCTCTTTGTCCTGCGCGTTCAGAAACGGTCGTCGATGGTATCAGACTAAAGCATTTACGGGATCAGACTTATCTATGGAATCAGACTAACGGAATCAGGCTAAGGTATCGAATCCGCGTATCGGAATCAGGTTTACGGATGGAATCAGACTAGTGGAATCAGGCTAGTTTCGTTGCAGCATCGAATCCGTGATCTGGCCTGGTCGTAGTTTGTTGTCGTGCTCGGTCGTGTCGCCGCTGCTGATCTTTCCGTGGGCAGAGCGAAAGTTCTGTCGTGCTGTTAGTTATCCACGAACTGGTCGAACCTGGATGCCATCTTCTATGACCCTGCGACCCAGTGCCACTCCGCCACCGGCAGTCTGCTTCCGTAAGCGCGTCAGGCTTCGCAGCGACAATCTATCGACTCCGCGGGGGACTACCTGAGATTTGTATTTTTTGGAAGATGGTTCCGAATCGCAATAGAATGATTGGCGCAGAATCTACACAGCAACGTCTTTGCGCCTCGCACCACCGTTGCGCCCCATTCTTGCGCCAGGTTGCTGTTGCTGGGCCTCCACCACGGCGTCGTCGGCTCGTCTCATGCGTACGTACCCAATCATGCGCGGCCAGACCCCCACGCGAGATTCTCACCCGTCTCTCTCGGCAAACTGTCAGAAAACCGGCCTGCTGCTTTGCTTGAGTCCCGAGCGAACCAGCACACATATCCTGGATAACAACGTCCCCGCCCCATATGCTGATTTGCATCAACAGAAAAAACTGCAGAAGAACCTTCGCACGAAAAGACCTTGCAGTCGTGTTGGTTCGGGGGTTTGTAATAAATGCCATGAATAGGATGCGTAGGCGCCGCGGTGATGCGGCTCTCCCCCTCCTTGCTAACCCACACGACACTGCAGATGCAAATTTGTCATGCGTATCTCCCAGCAGAGCCTGGATTTGTATTGCAGATTTGCCACCTTGACTACGAGGCGGGGACGTTTTTGCACAGAATGGCATAGCCTGCCGCCTCATTTTTTCGCAAGCTCTGCTCACGTGCGGGCACGGCCGCTCGACTCCAAGTTGCGACACAGAGCAGTCGCCTGAACTACTCGACGCAGCCGGAACGTCGGGAGGCAACCCTCTGGAGAAGTCTCCCCCTCTCAAGTTTTCGTCCTCCTCGGGCGCCTTCCAAAGAGAGAGGGCACTCAACTGCGACTATAACACCTCTCAAGCGCGCCGCCTTAACTTGCAAACCGCTCACGGTGCGCAGGTACTCCTTGCAAACTGCAATCGTGCAGCACGTCGGCCATCCCTCAACAAGAACCCCACAGGAATCAGCTACACCGCCGCACTCGTTCCTCAACCGGATAGAGATAGAATCCCGAGCGCAACAAAATTCAAACTCAAGCACGGGGCACATAGACGAAATAATATAGCGTCGCTGTATCTAAGTCGCGCGGGGCGTTTTGCCTTTGCGTCTGCTTTCATTCGTCTTCAAAAAAGTGCTCTGAAGAGTGTGACTCCGTCTACAAAAAGAAGCTGTGGTGGTAGAGGAGCAGATTGATAACGAGTGAGTGGCTTACTCAAGTATGAGTCAGTAAATGAGTATGAAAGCGGTAGGCACGAATAAAGAGCACAAGCAGATGAATCGAGATGAACGTAGATGGCCCAAGTTAGTAAGTAGGTAGAATGTGAAAAAGGACACAGTAAAGACTCGCAACGAGCACGCTCTGTCTACATCTCCCGTCAACTTCAAAATCAAAAGCCTCCCCGACGCCTACTCGCCGTCGGGCGCCGACGCCGTCACCGATGGAGCTCCGAGGGTTGCCGCCGCGGTCTTGTTCCCCTCTTTGCTGGGGCGCGCTGACACCGATGGGGCTGTGGAGCTTGCAGCGCCTGTCCTGTTGACCTCTTTGCCGGGGCGCGCTGAAACCGATGGGGCCGCGAAGTTTGCAGCGGCGGTCTTGCTGTCCTTGATGTTGCCGCTGGCGAAAGAACTAGGAATGGACTTGACCTTGCCAGCCTCGCTTTTACTGCCTTGTCCTGTTTATTGTGTTGAGATGTATGCTCAGTGCAAATTGCGTGCAAATGCGTCTGCTGGGTCTGGAAAGTTGTGCTGTATGATGCGAGCGAGCCCCACTCTGTGCTGCATGTGTGCTCCGCATGAGAAGCGGCGTTTTGTCATGACAAGCAGGAGGACTTCTTCGGGGCCTCGCAATACAGACCAGCATGAAAAGGCTTGCTAATTTCCGACACCAGACACATGGATTTGTATTGCAAACGGCATAGCAAACTATCACACGCAATAAATTCGCGCGAGCCAGGAAAATTGTGCCGCTAGAGTGTGGACGATGGAAAAACTCTTTGATGCTACAGCAGACAGCTACTGGAAAGCAATCTAAAAGCACTACGATAGTACTACACGCACCGGCACTGGAGCCGGCCGCCGGGAACGGACCTATTGAACTCGTTGGAAACACAGCACCCCTGGAACCACTTACGACCGGAGCCTTTTTCGCCTGGGCGGGGACAACGGAGGAGCTGCTGCTTCGGTATCCTCTAAGAGAAAGCGCCCACTCTACAGATTGCGATCTCTTTTTGGGGGCTAGGGATGCCATTGCAAATGAAATCTTCATGCAAACAGATTCCCGCTCTGAAGAAGATCACCCACTGCAAGGAGAACAATGTCTCGACTCAGGAGCCCACACACATGACAAAGATGCGCCTACTTCTTCCCTAGACCATGACAGCACGGGTGTAGGCACACGCTCTGTAATGGGTGCGCTTTTCCATAGGATATCACCGCGCCGGCATTTTTACTCTTGGCACCGGTGTCCGTGGAGATGTTCGGGCTGTTGCGGCTCGAGGAAGCTGCTGGCGGCGGCGGTTGCGCAGCTGGCGGCGGCGGTTGCGCAGCTGGCGCTTTGCCTTGTCCCCTGCCGGCTGGCTTCGACGAAGACGCTGCTGCTTCCCGGAGGGGGACAAAAAGGGCATCATATTCCACGCGCCGCTGGCGACTGTCCGTAAATTTCAGGTGCTGGACGGCGAGAACATTGATGGCGACCAAGCAGTTGACGGCCTGCCCAAGGACGTCGCGCAACTTCGGGCCCGTGCAGCCTTTGTAGTGGCCATAATAAGTCTTGCTCCTTGATTCGCCCTCCGCAAGCAGGTGGGAGATGACGTCGTGCGCGCTGGGTCTGTTCAACGTGTCCACGACGGCCCTGACAACATCGGCAAAGTCGGCGCCCTGCGTCGCATCCTCTTCCTCCAACAAGCCTTCCTTCTTCTGCTTCAGCAGACCTTTGGCAACCGCCTGGACTTCCGTGGCCTCGGCGTAGCTTCCAAACTGCGTCGCCTTGGTGAACATTCTCAAGCCGATCCCGGCCTGGGAAACCTGTTTATTTGGTATTTGCGCTGCATGTTCAGCGTGGTGAGACTGATAGAAAACACAGGGCGTTTTCATTGAAGAAAAGAGAATGGCGCTCTGCGCGAGTCACTTTGTTCGCGTTGGAAATTATATAGTCGCGATGAGGCTGCTGCTCGAGATTCATGTTACCCCAACTGAAAAAGCAAAACAGCATGTACCTGAAAGAGCCGCAACGAAAAACCCGCATCGAGCCAGCGTTTGAAGATTGGCCGCGCGAGGGCCGTCCAGGGCGTCGGGGGGTCGGGGCACTGGAGAGCGTACTTCTGCAGGTTCATCTCCTTCCACCCCATTGCCTTTCTTCTCAGCGGCTTCCTTTCCTTCGCCTCTGCTGCCGCCGCGGCGGCTTCCTCCTCTGCCTTTTTCTTGTCCTTCTCCTTGGCGCGCGCAACCGCAACACCCTCCAGGAAGGTCTCCGCGCCCTTCTGCGCGTCGGTCGTCCCCTTCCTGCGGCCGCGCTTGCCCTTCGGGTCTTTTTCCGCCGTCCAGGTGTCGGTATAAAATGTGTGCTTGCAGTCCAACCAGATATGCAAAGATCTGGGACAACTGCAAGCCTTCGCCTTAAGCCTGATCACCTCATTGGTGCGCGGGTCCCGTTCGACCTTGGAGGCTATCAATTGCAAAGGTGTTTGGGTCTGGAAATTTGTGATGCATTTCAGTGAAAATCTAAATAAAGCACACTGTAACGCATCGCCAGGCATGACAGATTTATCCTTGGCTCCGTGTTGCGTATTCCGCATAACAAGATGACAGACGATGACAAGAGGAGCTCTTGCTGGCCACGCAATGCAAAGCCCAGCGTCATGCCCGACTAGCATGACAAACACAGATCCCACATTCTTCCAGACCCAGACACTTTTGCAATGAATAGAGACGACGACCGCACAATTTAACCCGAAGTCCCGGAGAAACTGAACGGAGTGGAATGGCGAGCAGTTGTCATCTTCCTCCCCCTCACTGGCACTGGCGCTCTCGCTTGCGGAATCGCAAATGACCTCGTCTTCGTCCCGATTCAACTCAGCCTCCGCCTGCAGAGATCCGTCGTGGTTTGGGTTCTCCCCAAGGGGAGGCCTCGGCGCAATTTGCAGCAGATGTTTTTCGAACTTCTCCTTGTCCACCCACTGCACCGGTTTCTGCAACAATCTCGCGGGGATGCCCAGGGTTAGCAGAATGTCGTCCGCGTCGACACCGAGATCGACCAGCGCGGCGCGGAGGGAGCGGCCCTCCTGAAAGTCAAACTTGTCGTCGTCGTTGAACGGCACGAGAATCGCGCTCTTGAAAAGTTTCATCTTCAGATACGGGTAAAGCTCGCGCCAGTATTCGAAAGCCGAAGGCGCCGCAAGAACAGCCGGGCGCTCGTCCTCCTCAGCTTCCTTTTCCTCTTCGGTAGGAAGGCGCTGGAATGTGATTTTCGGTTGCTATTGTGAGGAAGCGCCCCCCTTCCCGTAACGAAGCCAAAATTTGTGATGCTGCTTTCCTCCGCGCGACGGAGAACACCGATCAATCACATAGGTCAGACGCTCGAAGGAACACCAGCGCCGTTTCTGACTACAGAATGCTGTCTGACTACAGAAGGGCTTCAGACGCTCGAGCACCTCGCTCGGACTACAAACAAGCGCGCTTCTACCGCAATAGTTCACTGCTTCGTATACCGTAGAAGCATAGTAGCACGCTGTCGGGCCCGGCGACCGCGTTTGTGTTCCGGAACGGCCTAGCGCGCAACTTTTTGAGCATAATGCGAGAACCTTTGCGAGCCCAGTCGAGCACGCCGCCGTGTCTAGAGACGAACAGTGGACGTCGCCGGCCGGTAGCGGCACCGTTCCGCGACGAGACACGACGTTCCCGCCTTGCCGACAACGGAAAGCCTGGCCCTGGTCCGTATCCCTGTGAAGAGGAGCCCGAGACCAGAAACAGAGGGGGACAAGGCGAGGCCTAAGCTTGAAAGTCGCAGCACTACTTTTGAAGACTTGGAGCAAGGGTTCTTCAGGTTCCAGACTTTTGCAGCCACATTCCTACTGCTTTCTACGTTACTTGGCGCGAATTGTCCACCATAGCATGGGGACAAGGCGCGCCGGTTAGACTTACAAAGTTCCAGAAAAATGGACCAGAGCGGCGGCGTTTGGTGTGCTGCCTACTGTGATGGTATCTGGCGCGAGGTGATCAAGATAAGGTCAGCAGAGGACTAGGCGAAAGAGAAACAAGAAACAGGATTCGGCCGCTTTACAAACATATAGAGCCGAGCGCAAGCCGCAGTTTTAGACGCGGACAAGGCGCGCAAGCCGCGGCTTTAGATGCGGACAAGGCGCGACGTACGCGCTACGGCACAAGTGTGGTTTTGAGGAATGCATCTGCTCCCTTCATTCTAGTATGGTAAAGCTGATTTGTGGAAATCTGGATCACATATTGCGACTTCGATATGGGGAGGAGGGCTTTTTCTTCGTTCCGGATAGTTGCACTGGCTTCAAAGTTATTAGCTCCGGCGTCATCTTCGTCGCTTCTGCAGTGGCAGCGTCTGCACCAGTTCCCGTCGTGTTTGCAACGCTTGTTCTACTGGCTGCAGCTGCGGCACTGCCCTCGTCCGCCGGTTTCTCCGGAAGAACTTCCACCAGCTCAACCTTTACCCGGATCCCCAGCACGTCCCTGTGCGTCAGCTTCGCTCTGGCGGCTTGCGCAAATTTCGCTCCGGCACTCAGCGACGTAGATGTGGTCGGGGGAGGCTTTTGGTCGAGGGTCTCGACGTCGGGGTCGTCCCCCGTCTCCATCTCGACATCCTCCATCTCGACGTCCTGCATCTCGACGTCCTGCATCTCGCCGTCCTCTATCCCGACGGCGCCAGAGACTCCAAGACCGTGCCCGCTGCTTGTGGTCGGGAGCTCCAAACGACCCGGCTCCGCATCGCGCCGCCGACGACGCTCCTGCTTCTCCTTCATCTTCGCTTTCAGTTTTCGGATTCGCTCTTTCAGCTTCAGCGCCTCCAAGTCATCCTCAGAATTCTCGGACAGGGAATCTTCACTCAGCGAGGTTTCTTCGCGTTTTGCCATCACAGCGCCTGCCTTCGGACCCCGCGCGTCAGTACTGCCGCCACCTCCCAAAATTTGAATTTCCTCGCCGAAAGAATACTTTCCATCGTCTGCCAGCTGTGCGTCGAAGTCATCACCAGTCGAGTATGGGCCGCAAATGTGTCTGAGCCTGGAAGAGCAGTGCAGATGCAAAGTGAAAGATTACATGACATCACGCAGATGCCAGCTGAGCACATGACATGGTCGCACCGCCTGGAGGATGTCGAGTCAGGAAGCGACCACGCCAGCGACTCTCACACCCTAATCACTATCCTGCATACGACCGAAAGCATGCACAGACCGACTCGACATCGGCACTTTTCCAGACCCAAACACCCAATCAGCAGATACGGCCATCAACTGCAATCTTTTCGGATCGTATGCGGCGGTATGCACTGCAAATATGTCTGGGTCTGGAAACTTGTAACGCTGTGTTGGGAACAGTGAATGCTCTGTAATGCGCAGCCAAGCATGAGAAATATCTGTAGTTCTTTTTGTTACGTTTTTCGCATGAGAAACTGCGTTTTTGCATGACAGGCAGAAGGGCGGAAAAGGGTCTCTTCTACTTCTTGGACACGCATCACAAACTTTTTTGTCATGCCAGACAAGCATGACAAGTCTCGCAATCTTCCAGACCCAGACACTTTTGCATTTGATAGGCGGGGCCGTCATCGTTTCCACCACTTGCGCCCATCCTCTTGCCCTTCGGCTCCGCACGCTGCGAACTGAAACCGAGCCCGGCCGCTTTCATGTTCTTCTTCCCCAGTACTTGGGCGAAGAACAGGCTTCTCGTTTCCTTACTGCTCTTCACCGCATGATCAAGCGGCGGCCCGTGCGGGTCGTCCCCCGATGCTTCTGAGTCTGGCACGTCCGAGTCCATCACTTCTTTGTTGTTGGTATTGCCGGCAGCATGCACAGTGGCGTCCACACCCACACGTTGCTCGCGGAAGGAATCACCAGAAGCGGCTTTTGCATTCGCGGCGGGCAGGAACCCTTCCGCAGGTCCTCCGGAAGCTTCGCCACCGGCCTGCTGTGCTTCCGCGGCCGTTTCCGCCGCATCTTCCTGCGGAGGTTCGCCGGAACCCGCCTCCCCGGCCTCTGGGTTCCCACCACCCAAGCCATCGAAGTCCACTACAGGAACTGCCTGGCCCTCCTGCTGCTTTTTCCGCTGGAGTTCCCGGAACTCGCCCATCAGCTTCCGCACCTTCTTCCAGTGGTGCCGCGCCTCGGCTGTTCCGGGCCTGTAGTCGCTCAGGGGTTTGTAGTTCGGCTTCCCGGGGGAGCAATCCGTCGTCAACAACCAGCATGCCAGATCAAGCGAAAGGGCGTTCGGCGGCGCCGGGGCGCTTTTTTGTTTCGAATGGACGTAGTTCGGGAGGACTGTAACAAGGTATTCTTCATCTTCCCCGAGAAAGCGCTCGTGGATCTCTATTTCGCCTTTTTCCACACGGTCCCGGAGCTGTTCCCCGCTGAGCTCTTTGTACTGTTCTCCCAACCTGCTGCCGGGGGCGAAATGTCGGACGCTCGCCTTCTTTTTGCAGCTGATGACGGATTTGGAGTGCCCCGCGACCTCGGCCACGAGCGGCGCATCCCACCGCAACAGGTATCGGCCCGTCGGTTTGGGGACGGCGTTCCCGGCGGGACCAGTCTCGTAACGCAACTGCTGCTCGACATACCCTCGGTTGCGGTAGTGTTTGGCAGTTTCCACGCCGAAGTGTTGGATTGGGTCCTTGGCCTTCCTCGCCGCGTCCCTCTGCATCTGTTCAACACCCCAGGCGCGTTCGGTCGTCTGCTCCGCGTACGGGGGCCGGGGCGTCTTGAAGTCCATGCCAGTCATTCCGGTGCACCAACCGCTCTTCGCGACAAAGGTCCCATCCGGCAGCGTGTCGAATTTGGTGCCCAAGAGGTAGCGGAAGTCTTTTTCTTTTCGGCTGCGGACGCGCTGCAGGAGGAGGCAGGCCGCGGCACTAAAAAGGCGTGGGTCCAATATGAACGGAAGCCAGCGCCATACGCCTTGCCACGCCCCGACTTTATGCTTCACCGTTGTCCTCTCGATATGTGGCAAATCCCTTCTCAGGATCGGACGCGTGCCGGGGTCCACAAAGTCGCCACCATCTTCATCGAAAAGGGACTCCGCGTCGCTCAAAAACGGATCCGCTTCGCTTTTTATTCCCTCCCCCGGTCGCTTGCCTTTCGTCGCAACTGCCTTCATCGGGTCGATTTTGGAAACCAACGCCGCTGCGCTCTTCCCGGGGCGGTAGACACGGTCTAACAGAGCCTGGCTAATTGTTGGGGTTCCGTCCCAGGCCGCGACGGCAGTGTTGAGCGCCGAAACACCGCAACGGCTCTCCAGAAGACGCAGAAAGCTCTGCATTCCCACCTCGTAAGTAGCAGTCTGCTCCTCGACGACCCACGCTAAAAACCCGACCAGTTCGGTCAGGCAATACTCTCCCTCCGGGGTTTTCCGTATCTATCAAATGCAAAAATGTCTTGGTCTGGAAGGATACGAGGTTTGTCATGCACATTTTGCATGACCCAAGATAGATGTCTGCGATGTCTGCCCCAGCATCACAGGTTTCTTGAGGCCGTCCTGATGCCTATCCCGCATGAGAAGTGCCCTCTTCCCGTAGAAAAAACTAGGCTTCTGCTGCTGCTCATCCAATACAGATTTTTTATAAAAATAAATCCAAATGTAACATCACGCATTCCATTCTTTCCAGGCCCAGACACTTTTGCAATCCATAGTATCGGGACCGCGGCAAATTTCATAGCTGGCCGACCCTCCTGCGCCGTCGTGTCTGCATGGCAACAATCACCCGCGTGGATTGCTTTTATTTGATGCGGGTTGCGATCTTGTCCCAACGCCACAGAATGGTAAAACGCGAAAACGGCCAGCAGCAGGTCGCTCGTCCAGTAGCAGCCTGTTTCTTCGAGAAGGAAACAATACGGAGCCGGCGAAAGGTTGGAGAGGTCAAATGGAGCCGCGGGCACGGGGTTGCCCTTCGCCAAGTCCATGATGGCAGCAACGGTCTTTGCATTTTTAGACTGCAACTTCTTCCGAACATCCTTGACAGCACTGCGAACATCGCCAACGTGTGGAAATATCCCAGTCTCGTTGTACATCATGGTCTCGATGGAGCCAGCGGCCATCTCGGGATTCGCGGCCGAGATCTGCAGTGCCCGGCGGCGAGCTCCCGCGCGGTCACCGGGCAAGCGCGTGCCATGCTTCAAGTTGTTCGCCGTCAGCTCGAGGGTCCCGCCCCGGTTGCCCTTTGGCATCGTCCCGGTCAGCTTGTACTTACACTCCCGCTCGCCGCCCTTCGCTATGCTGAGGCAATTACGGCAGAAGACCGTCGTCTGCCCCGTCTCCGCTGTGATCTTCACGGTCCATAGCCCGCCGGCTTCCGCCGCCATTCGTTCTAAAATAGCCTTTCGGGCACCGCCAAGGTCCTGCTGCCACCCCGCGGAAATGGTGACTTCCACCGTCAAAGCCGGGGCATCGGATTCGCTGTCGGCCGCGGCGCCATTGCGACCTCCATCGGCGTATCCGATGCAAATGCGTCTGGGTCTGATTGAAGAAGGCAGTGAAGCAGGCGTCATGCAAAACTACGCTGTAGATCTACCGCGTTTTCCATGACCGGAAACCCTTCGAAACGAGCAAAAAGAAAAAGCTGACGCATCCTCTGAAGAATGCGCAACTCTTGTCGTGTCCAGATCTCGCAGCGCCAGACATAGACACATCTGCCACGCATAGAGCGTCCTGCTGCTGATCGTCCGCAACTAGCAGGGGTAGACCTGGGAGTGAATTGCTCGCGTCTCTGTAAACGCCACGCCCCCCGTGGCTTCGAAACGGTCATCCAAAATCCGAAGTGAAAAAGCTTTGCAAATAAAAGCGCAGCGGGTAGTGGTAGCCTATTTTTCGCCCTAAGTGCTACTGTCTCAGAATGTCACTGCTCCTGTCCTTTATTCATCCAAGTTTTGCAGCTGCTCTGTCTTGGTTGAAGTCGTTCCACACTTTGCCCTGCCTCCCTTCCGCGCAGCGGAAGCCGGGACTTCGCCTCTTTAGACAGAGCCGAAGTTGCGGCCTCCGCTGCGGGGAAGACAAGCAAGCTCTACAGCGCGTGGAGCGTGAGCGTTGGAGTACGCCCGGGGGCGCGAGATTTGCCAGGATTTTCCTGGAAAGTCCGGGAATATTGATCTCCCCGCGCCTGAAAAGGGCCTCCGTTCCTATCTAGACAGGGCGGGAGGCTATGTCTTTCCGTATTTTTGTAAAGGGCGCTTCAGTTTCTACCTAAAGGACGCCAGTCGTGGGCTCGTATCTAGACAGGGGCTAACGGTCCATTTTTCTGGGTCTTTTCCGATGGCTGGTTTTCAGTATAAGTCAGCCTTTTTACAGCGGTGCAGCCGTTTGGCGTAACCGCAACAGTGCTAAGAGAGATCGCAAAGCGTCGCATTTTTCTGGAACTTTGCTGCCCCCGATGGTAGTCCGGACAATGAACCTCTCCGGCCGTAGGGCCGCCAGCACGGCAGTAGCATCGTGTTTGCTTTCACCCACGACCTCACCGTGACCATGCTGAAGCGGGCCACGAATCAGGGCGCCGAGGTGAAGTACGACGATGCCGCGCGAACGACGGCGGCTTTCAACGTCCCCAGCCGCAAGCCAACGGAGCGGCAGTACGGGGATACGGAACGGGAGCTGCTGCTGAAGGCCCGCAAACCGGCCACGACTGCTAGCTACGCGAGGAACTATGAAGGGCTTCGGCAAGCACCTGATGGCATTTTGTGCCAGCCCACCGATCGGCGCGGACGGGCGTCCGCGCAAAATATTGGAAGACGACCGGCTTCAACATGTACACTGCGGGAGCCGGAGCTTCCTGCACTTCCTTCGACAGCGGCGAAGTTCCGGCGGCCGCGGCGCGAAAGTCAACCCAAGCTCTTTTGCTCTTCAAATAAGTTACTTTGCTCGCCCTCTTCCCCACAACGAAAGCCGGAACTGCAGCTTCGCCGCTTTCGCAGGAGGCGCAGTCTGTACTTCCGCCGCGTGAAAGTCAGCGCAAGCTTTTCTTTTCTTCAAGGAGGTTGCTTTGCTTGTCTTCTCCGCAGCGGAAGCCGGAACTTCGCCTCTGTCGAAAAGGCGAAGCTAAGCCGGAACTTCGCCTCTGCCGCAAGAGTCGAAGTTCCAGCTTCCGCTGGTGCGGGGAAGGCAAGCAATGCAAACCATCGCAGTCTCCTTGTCTGGGCCATTGTTTGCACTCGCATTCGGACCTCGCAGGGCAAAATCCGAATGCGGGACGCCGCAATTTGAAAGACACACACCCCAGCCTTCGCCCCATCTACTACGACGCCTGCTAGCCGGCAGGCGGGGGGGCGATAAGAAGGGAGAGCGCTGCCACTTCACGGCCACAAATGCCGCCGCCGCTAGCGGCCCCTACAGACACTCAGTGGCGCTCAATTAAACCGCGCCCGCCATGCGCTGGCTCTTACGACGGCGCGCTGCGGCCCCCCTGCGGAGGGCTGGGCCGGGAGCCCCTCCCCCGACGGCGCCGCTTTTTTCAGTCTAGGGCACGCGCGATCATTCACGAAAAGCATCGGCGCAAGGTGCTACTGGTAGCCAAAAAAGGCATGGCGCGCGATTTATTTGTACACTATGGACGACGCTCCGGCATCTTTGCACTGACATACCCAATTGATGAGCTCATACTGCGACGCACCTCTTTTATGATTGATTTCCAACTACGATACTGAGACCGAGACCCTTTTGCTGAAGCTTGAGAGTTCTGGATACATTATTCACACCGCCATCGATTTTCGTCGATTTTCATTTTCATGATTGATATCCATTTACTTGATTATCGATTCATCCACTATACTTAAAGTACCTGCGACGGCGTCACCATCCAGCAACGCGAGGGGGTCCGGAGGGTTCTTCTTCGGCCGCCCACGCTTCGGGGTGTTCCCCGATGGTTCCGGCAGCTTTTCGAACTCGAAGAAAAGGTTTTTTTTCCCGACCGCATGCGCAAGCTTCTGCTTTTTGCTTCGGGGCCCGAGCCCGTTGTCGCCTGCCACATTACTGGCACCACCGTCCCCCGCACCCGAAACCGAGGCAGCGCGTGTATGGGGTTCTCAGCTGTTGGCTACACACTCAGCCCCTACATCGATGAACTCGCGATGCTAAGTAGCCCGACCGAAGCCAAAAAGTATCTTTGCGTGATAAAGTAGTTTAGCCCGACGGATCACGAAAATAGTCTTTCATGAGAAACCCACGCAGCTGCTGAGTGTGTAGCCGTAACGCTTGAGAGTCCCATAATGCTCGCTTTTGTCGCCGGCGTCCCCCGGTGTTGCCAAGGCAGACAGGAGGCCCTCCTTCGCCGAGAGTTCCTTCTGCACCTTGTCCCGCTTGCGCCGCCGTTCTGATTGGGACATCTTGTTTATCCGCTCGGCAAGCTTGCGCGAGGCCGGCGGCGGCGACTGTGGTCCCTGTGCCTGCATGCTTTCCTGACCGAGCGACGGACGGAGGCGAAGGAAAACGGACCGACAGTCCTTTTGCGATCAGGCAGCTAGCTGCCAACTTTGTCGTGCATCGCTGGCAGGGCCTCGTCTTTGTGCTCTTCTATCTATGCCGCCCAGCTGAGTGGTCTTCGTTTAGGTGAGTTCATGTGTACTACCAGACTTAGCGCTCTACTTCTAGTTCTAGCCTTTTTTCTCCTCTAGTGAATAGACGAATCTCAACAATCCAGATGCTTGCGTAAGCTTTCCAAAACGAATCACAGAAGGGAGCCACTGCCGCTATCCGTTCGTTTACCAAAAGACAAAAAAAGCGGCTGAGATCTTGACCAATCAATCAAAAAAACAGCAAACGGCCGACGTCTTCATCAATCAAAAACCAGGATCGTCAGTCTGTGGCTATTCATACGCAGACGAGCGCATGGGCTCTGAGCCAATCTACACGCGCTTGCGTCATGTGTCATCGGGTTTTGATCTCGAGCTCGATTTTCTGTCTCTTCAACAAGGAATAAAGCGAGACGCAATGCGTTCGGAAATAAGCGCAAGCGGAGAGCACAACTTACTTTGCGAGGGCGAAGCTGTCGCCCTTCCAGTTCCGTGGTGCTGCGCGTAGGTGCGTGGTCATCGTGGTGGTGGTGCGAGGTTTCATGCATGGACATAGGGCATACTTCTCTTGCGCTTCATTTCAAGTCATCCGTAGTTGCGTCCAAAAAAAGAGCACAGCTACTGCATCATGGTAGCCGCACTTAATGTAAAGCAAGACTGTAGTACCTGTGCCGGCATGTCGTCGGTCGTCCGCGATCCGTGTGCGGTCTGCCAGCCGTGCCGTCACGAGAAAACAAATCGGCAAACAAGGTCCCGGCACTTGTGATAGAAGCCGACCCGGGATCGGTGGCCGCAACGGATCGCCAATCACAACTTATGCACAACCAAGATATACAATCATGAGAATTACAACAGAACCCTGCGCCCTTGTGTCTAAGTGTGGTTCGACTCGAAGGCATACACAGCATGCAAATGAAGTCTCATGGCCATCTCAACCCAAATAAATGCGCGGCAGCGAACATGCAAAGCCGAGCGATGAAATTATGAGAAAACGACTGGCCAAAGCGCAGGGGGACAACGGGTGCAATGCAGACGAGAGAGAAAGAAATGCGCGGCGAGCACCTTCGACTATGGGCACAGACTCCATGCATAATTCTGATGCTAGTATCTTGATTCTATCTTCTATCCTGATTCTACTATTCTGATTCTACCTCTAGTCTGATTCCATTAGTTTGATTCTACATTTAGTCTGATTCTATTAGTCTGATTCCATTCTATTAGTCTGATTCCCTCTCTTACCTTCAGAAACCGCTTCAGCAGTGCCACCGCGGCGTCTTGCTTGGCCTCCCGCAACGGGGCCAGCAGGCTCACGGCCTGCAACGTCTCCCCCCCGGGCGCCAGGAAGGATTGTGCCGCCGGAAGCAGTAGATGTTGATCAACACGACCCGCGATCTCAACAGAAGTTGTGCAGCTGGTGCCGGGACGAGCAGCACCAGCAGCAGCCACAAGAACAAAACTACCGCCACTACTAGAAGCGAGCAGGGACTCCTCACGCCCGGCCAGGAAAATTGCGTAGGAGCCGTCGTAATTGATGGTCCAGCCGCCCTTCATGGTGAGCAAGTCCTTCAGAATCTTCCACGCCGTCACATCTGCGCCTCTCGCCAGAAAGGCTTTGAAGATGGTATCGGTCAGCTCGGCTCGGCTCCAGTCGCCCCCGGTCAGCTTCGCCAAAATTTCGCCCTTGTACTTGCGGTTGTACGGGGGCCACGTGGACGAGTTCGTGGTCCCATCACTTGATGTTCTCTGATGTTTTTTATTGGCCTCGACGTCCGCCTGCTGCTGCGCCATAATGGTCGGGTGGGACCGCGTGCCGAAAGTGCTCACGACTTCCTTGTCCTCGTGGAGAAACTTGAGAATCTGGATCAGTTCCGAGGAGTCTTCGGGCACGCCATCGACGGTACTCGAGCCGATTTCTACCTTGAATTCCTTGTTCGCGTGCTTGTAGTAGCGGTCCAGGAAGGAAAAGATCTCGTCCTTGTTGTCGTGCGTGAGTACCTCCTGCCAGTCCTGGTAGGACAGGTCGTAGTCGACTTCGTTCTCTTTCTCGTGCAACAAGTGGTTGCGTTGGAAAACGCTGACCGTGCTTGATGTGCCTTTCTTGGCCCCCGCGGCGCCTTGTTGCTCGGCCCTCGACGCAGGACCGCGGCGGGAAAGATGAACGGCGTCAACACCAATGAGGCCGCCGCTTGCCACCTGCGGACCCCCGGTGGAGGTCGTGGACCACCAGCTGCACCCCAAACCAGACGACAAGATCGGCACAAGAGCGACCACTCTCGTCAACAAAGCCGCAGCCGGCTGGCCCCCTCCAGTCGTCCCGGTGTAGCACGAATTCTTCTTGCTACTCATAAGGGTCTTCTTGCGATGTAGCTGCGCCATGGTGGAAAAAATTCCTCGATCTTCCCTAACGCCAAATTCTTGATGGAAATGTTGTCGATCAGATTAAAACGAATTCTTCGGTCGGTCCTGTTCTCTTCGTTCGAACGACACGAACGGGTGCGATGTGATACGCTCTTTCTAAGTAAATTGGGGCGGCGTTCTTGTTTTCAAAAAGCTTCTGTTTCAAAAAAAACCGGGTGAACTACAACAGATGAGCCGATCTTTTCTATTAAAACAAAGGAGGAGGAGGAACCGGTAATAGTACTTATTTTTATCTTTACAATCAGAAATCAAATGTATAAATTCAAGTAGAAGTCAATGAAAGTTGGAATCGCTAAAGCAGCTGCTTGAAAAATTGTTCATCGAAAATTGACGTACAGTCACCCTAAACGCGAGGACAGCAGCGCGTCAATTCCAACCTCATTCCCAATCACCTTCGACATTGCGGGCGCTAAGTTGTAGAGAAAAGGAAAAAAACAGAAGGACAGCTCCGAAAACTTAGACTCGACTTCTGTCTTTCGGAAATGTACTTGTATCTGTTTGCGCCTTTCAAAGGGTGGTGTTTTGATCGAAGCAAGGACAGTCCGTGTCGAACGGGGATCTTTCTTGCTATGATCAAAGAGACTTGACAACTCCTGTCCGAACTTTTTGGCAGGCAGTCGCTCAGCTTCTTAGCGACGCTGGAACCGCCGTGTGGGCGGCGGTATTTGCTAATTAATAGCAAGGCCAAGATCATCGAAAGACACATTCGTTTTCGTACATAGAACTTCCCAGTAAAGGGTTGCGTTTTTGCCGTCCGCACGAGAGGGACCCAACAGCAAACAAACGGTTCGGCAGTACATCCACAGCAACGTACTAGCGGGAGGGTCGGCAATTCAATATACTCAATCGATAGATATGTTCCACTCATTGAATCAACAAATGGAAAGTACGTATTATAAATATTACTGGAACACGAGTAGAGCAGCAAAGGTACAGCAACCCCTAATGTTCATCTGGTTCTGGACGTGGGCAGAATAGAAATAGTGCTAACAGTGCTGGGATTCGATTGAGCTTGGGTACCACACTAAGCACTACGATTTCTTTGACACCTCATGTAGTTGCACGAAAAAACACTACAACTTCAAGTGTGGTGTAGTCCTCTGTGCAGATTCACGACATTGGCTTGCTGTTGCTCGTCTCATCGCCATCATGGCTAGAGTGTTCTTCCGTGATCCTGGCTGCTGCAACTCCTGATCAGGACAACATACTCAGCAGAAATACCTGCCAAGGTTGGCAACCTGAATTTGCAGCTGGTACTCGTGCCATGGAAAAAATGGATAAAAGCCATAGTATTCGCCAATGCAGTTGTTTCACAACTTCTAGACGCCTCGTCCGCTCCTACCTTGTTACGTTCAGGGTCGCGTTGACGACATCCAGCAGAGGGGGTGGACACACCGCGCCTTCCACGCAACACTTGCATATCCTGTGCAAAAATTGGTCTATCGTATCTGCGTACTATCCACGATCGCATGACAACGCTTCCTGGCTAGAAGATTCTTCTTCTTCTCGTCTAGCATGCATGCTCATGCATCCTATTTCAGCTTCGGGCAATCATAATCCGCTTTTTACTGACTCTGTTGAGTCGAAACTTAGAATTCATTCTCATTGCGTAGTAGTACTTACGCACATGATCAGAGATACGTATTAATTTGTCCATCGTTCGTTCATAAAGCTGAAGGCTATGACTGCACTTCGTTCGCAAAGGAGCTGCAGTCTCGCGAGAAGTAGGACGATATTGCGATGAATCTTCAATGCGTAAGATCCAGTAGATAGTACTTAGACACGATACTACGATCAGACCATGTGCAGTTTCCCTGGATATTGCAGACGGGCATCCCGGTGAGGGAGTTTGGGGTATCGTGGATGCCGATCTGTACGACGCAAATCACCGTGTAGATGAGGGCGATGACGAGCGAGATCCACTGCATGATCAGCTCCCAGTCCTCCACCACCACGTTCTTCACACCGTTCAGCGAGAAGAAGAACCCGAAGAGCGCCCCGCCGACGTGCGCGGCGTGGGACACCCCGGTCCCGGCCTCTATGTCGTCCACCATAGACCAAGCCATCGTTGCGGAGATGATGCAGATCAGCAGTAGCCGGAAGTAGTTTTCCTGCACCCCGTAAATCTTTTCGTGTCCGAGCTCGTCCCAATTCAGAAGCACGCCGGATACCTGGATGTTGAAATATAGGGGCACTTATCTCATTTGCACGGGTCAGAAAGCAGTACAGGTTTTGAAATCGCGGACATACACATACGGCAGAGAAATGAGGAAAATAAAGCGCAGGAGGTGTCGTCGCGATTCGAAATTAATGCGAATTATGCATGATATTGCTTATCAATCCTTTCATGTAGTCGTGGTTCTTTTGCAACAAGGGAAGGTCCTCCCGCAGCGCTAAGCAAAAAACCTCCGAAAAGTAAGAAGGTGGCGCCAAATCAGAAATGATATATCAAAAAATAAGTACGTGCATGGGCACCAAGCCCCAGACGTAGCCAGACGAGCCGACGACTCTGCCTATTGGATCCGTGGCGGCGCAGGCAAGGGCGCCACCGATAATCGCGAGAAACACCAGGGGAATAAACCGCACGTGCCCGTGAACCATCTCCAAGCTGGGACCCAACAGAAGCTCGAAAGTATCAGTGAGAAAAGGAACAGCGCCCCAGTCGTGCCCAAATAGTACAAGCGTCAAATATTTCTGTTCGCAAAGCTCGTTCGTTGTTTTGAAAAATTGTATAACATTTAGTAGACTCTTTGTTTGTACACAAAAAAACTCTTTGAACCTAAAATAAGAATCCGCGTGCATTCCTTTCAAGACAAATCTTGCCTGCTCCGTGCGGCCCCGTAACCAACACAGCGGAGTTTTTCTCATTTGCTATTTACCATGCCCATGGCTGCACAACCACAATTTGCATATGATGAAAACAGGTCTTTTTTGTTGGGGGGGGGCTAGAAGCGAGGGGAGCTGCGCCTTTCACTTTGGATAGAAGAAAGCGTTAAACCACACGTGATCGAAATCTACGTGGCACAGGCTGTAGGTGACCGCTCGCCACACTTGACTGCGCTGGTCGGTCCAGGCCGGGCACCCCCCGTGCACGTAGGCATTGTATGGAAGCGTCAAGGAAGTTGTGGAAATCACAGAAGTGGAAGTCGAAATAAGTAAACCGTAACCGACCGCAGCTCCTACGGCACGATCTTCCGTCAGGGTGGAACCCTTCCATAAATAGCCAGGCCGCTGGAGCGTGGCGCATAATAAAACGCGACGCACAAAGTTTGTGCTTGTGGTGCAGAGAAGGCAAGCGGCTTTAGTATTAGCTTAAAGCTACTTACCGCTACACCTGCGAAGGACCACTACGGCAAAAGCCGTATTTCTATTTCATCTCGCTCTTAGTTATACCAAAGCGTATACAAATTGGCGGTTTAGGTGTTGTTCCAAAGATTTGTCATGCGCCCCTTGAATACTAGAAATTGTTTGTGGTCCAAGAACTGAGATCCATTTTAATATTGTTCCCTTCGCATGACACCAAGGTCGTCTTCTCCTCCACGATGGAGACGATTTCTAACTGTTGACGCTAGCATACGTTGCGGGCCTTGTCTATGTCGCAGCTGGAATCGATCCACCACTCCTGTCCTAGGTTTTTGATCCAGTTGGTGCAGTAGGCCGGATCCGCGGCGCAGGTGTAGAACGCGTTGGGCCCGCTGTCGATGCCGTCTATGTCGTTGGTGACGTGGAAGATAATGATTTGCGATATGGGGAACAGAACTGAGAAGTATGGGCGGTAGTGCGCGTCCAGCTCTGCGAAGGCGTCTATCCTGAGTAAAAACGTACCCACACCAGAGTCAGGATGGGGATTTTGCAACACAAACCTAGGAGTTTTGTGAGTCACGCATGACAAGTTGCACTCCGCAGTGTAGTGCAGGTTAGCAAGTGCAGTCGCATGACAAACCCATCTCCTCGTCGTGTTTACAGCATTACAAATGTCAAAACACGACTGGAAATGCCTCTCATGCAGATGCGCATTACAAATGTTCCTGTCGTTGCAAATCTGCATGACAACTCTGGTGTGGGTACGTTTTTACTTAGGATAGCGTCCTCGCCCTCGTCATCGGACTCCGTCTCCACCTCGGACAGCCCGTCGGACGCGGCCTTGCTATCGCAAGAAAAAAGTGTTACAGTTACACATTGTGTTGCAGGCCAAGCAAGACAGACAAGCTCTGTCATGCCGGATATGCATAGGCGCCTCGTTTCATAGGTGTTTTCCCGTAGGATTTCTGCATTACAACTTTTCTCTCTCATGCAGAGAAATTTGTGTTGCTGAATTGACTACAAATGTGTAACTGTAACACTTTTTTCGTTGGATACTTGCTGCCCTCGGTGGAGTAGCTCGACCCCGAACCCGAGGCGTTGTCGTCGTTGTCCTCTCCGGTCTTATTTTCCTTCTTTTTCTTTTTCTTCGAGCCGCCGGGCGTCGTGCTGTCTTGTTCCGCGTCCTTCGAGTCGGACCGCGCGCTGTCCATTGAGCTGCTTGATGAGGACGAACTGGCGAGCTCCTCATCCTCGCGGATAACGGCGAATATCATACAGCAAAGTAGTACACCCGACAACGTGCCATTAAAAATTGCAAACTATTTTTCATTTGGCAGCTTGTCTATTTCGAAGCGTCACACTACACAGCCAGTGTTTTTCATCCAGCAGTCCTGTTTGCATGCACAGGAGCAGCATAAATATTCCTAGTACCTCTACTGTGATTTCATTTTCCTATGTATATACGTAGGTAGTGCATTCTGCGTTCTACATGACACCAGCAGATTGTTTGTAAATGTTGCGGCCTCCTCGTCCGCATGGTCCCAAAGTTGACCTTGACGTGTTTGGCTACACGAGGAATTATGCCGCCTTTTCTGGTGTCACGGGTGTACTTCGCTTTCCTGCTGGATAGCCAGCTCTAACCCGCTCTCCTGCGGCGTGGATCCGGTGGGTGCGGACTTCGGCGTCGATTTGGACGCGCTGCTGGCCGCCGCCTCCTTTTCCCGCCGCTTCTGGGCCTTCTTTTCCTCCTTCGCCGCGGCCTTCTCCTTGGCCTTCTTCTTCGCCTCGAACCGGAGCTGCGCGGTATCCTATCTAAAAACGTCCCCACCCCATAGGCAAGATGCGGAATCGGCTAGACAAATTCACAAGTTTTGGGTGTCTTGCATGACAAATTTGGACTCGTAGTGTAGTGCTGTTTGAGGTACTTCAGCAGCATTAAAGATCTAGTATATCATGCTGATTGGAGCATGACAAATCCCAAAACACGACTAGAAGATACTTCTCATGGGGCTCCGCATGAGAAACATTCTCAGCATGCAGATTTGCATTACAACTCTGGGATGGGGACGTTTTTAAATACGATACGCGGCCGTCATCTTCTTCTTAGCCGCCGCCTTCGCCTTCAGGGACTGCTGCGGCTTGTTGCCGTCACCCGTGGCTTCCCCCTCTCCCTCCATGTTGGACTTCGCCTTGCCCAGCTTGATCGGCGGCAGTGCGGTATCAAATGCAAAAGTGTCTGGGTCTGGAAGATTGTGAGATTTGGCATGCAGGTTTTCCACGACCCATGAGGTGTAGTATGTAGGACATAGCATGACAGATTCTGCGAGACCTTTCTCATGCCTATCCTGCATGAGAATGAAACTGCCTCTCGATTAGGTCAAAAGTGCACAACTTTTGACAATCATACAACACAGTTTTTTGCCTGATACTGATTCAGATTTAGCATGACAAGTTCCAACCTTCCAGACCCAGACATTTTTGCATTTGATAGGCGGACTTGGTCATCGATTTCCCCAGCGACCCCAGTTTCGACACCGCGTCCTTGGCCCCACCCGCGGCATCCACCGGCGGGAGCGCAGACTTCGTCACGGACTTGCCGAAGGACCCAAACTTCATCACCGCATCCTTCGCGCCGCCGGCAATGGTCGCGGAGGACGAGGAAAAAGTATGCACTTTTGCACATATCATGTCAGGCTCTGAGAAAAAGAATGAAAATTTCTGATGCTTCCTGTAACTCACACATACACGAAATCGAAACATTTTATTTGTATTGCATGAGCAGCGAAAACGGTGCGGTTTCTCGCGCTCTAACAAGAAAGCACTTCTCATCATGCGGCATAGGCTTGGGCTTGGCAAGGCTCTGGCAAAAAAATCTGTAACGCTAGGCCATGCATTCTTGACCTCGCGGGGCCACGCCAAGGCCTCCACTTTCTGCATCAGCAATTTCTACATTCTTCGTCTTTCAGACCCAGACATCTTCTATTTTGCAGTGGATACGAAGCTTTTCCGGCGCCTGGATCCGCTCCGGTGGTGGAGGAAGATCCTGCCGCCGCGACATCGATCACAACGTCGTCCGGACTTGCCGGAGTTGATTTCCCCATGCTCCTGATGACTTTACTTTTGCCTGAGGAGAGGTAAGAACAGGAACGCGGTAAGTTCTGTTGAGGTCGCGGAAGGCGTTGTCCTGTCTCGCTCCTCCCTTTCGAGAAATCTGCTTTGCTGTGGTGCTCCGCGAAGTAGGGTGTTCGCTACAGGTCAACGCATAAACCACCTCGAAGATAATTTCACTTGCTTCGTTTTCAGTTCACAGTTTCTCTTTCTTGTTGCGCTTTCTCACGAACGGAGTCGGTGAACGGGCTTGTCTGGTGCCTACAGGAAGCGTAACTACACCTGGAGGCTGGATTTCTGTTCAGAAAAAGTCTCTGCAGACGATCCACTTTCTAGACGAGGAGGAGGCGATTTCGCAGGCTGGATTTCTGTTCAGAAAAAGGCTCTGCAGACGATCCACTTTCTAGACGAGGAGGAGACGATTTCGCGTCCGCATGTGAGGACAGGGACGACACCGTAGTAAATTACTAAATAATCTGGGAAAGAAAGTAGGTTCTTTGGTGACATCGTCGTGAATGGAAAGATATTAGGAAAAGTTGTGGGTAACTTGTTGTAGAGGTGATGTTCTAGAGAAGGGCTGACAAGCAAGCTAGCTTAGCTTGGTTGAATGACAAACCAAATTAAGTAATATACATTACAGATATTTTGTGCTAGTGTACTGGTGGACTACAGATATTAAGGAGACAGAGAAACCTAGTTTGGAAGGATCGTGCAGGGGGTCCTGAGAATAGTGAAAGGCAGAAACGACGATTTCGAAGGCTGCTAGCAGATCTAGGTACGGCAATTCTTCTTCTATCTACAAAGACAAGTCCATAAGCGATAAATCGAGCTTCACGAACCGAACGTCGTCGTACTGTATTTGTTGCACGAAAAGGTGCTGGTGCACCTCGTTTACAGACAGAAGTCATCGCGTGGAACGAACCGACAATATGTGCTGCACGACACGAACGGTTGAATTTGACCTTCGTTCCTGCGAGAAATTCAGTCGCATCAAATAGCTAAGAGACGACTCATAGGAGGGAGGACGATGGTGGTGCAGTACTTACTTTACTACCGACGGTGCGGACGGTGCTTGGACCGACTGTGACCACAGTCAGACTTCTATATTCTTCTGCACGTCGTGTGGTTCTATGCTCTTTTGCTTTTTCAGTACATTCTTACTTGTTGCTTTCGTAGACCTCGGCACCGACGACAGGAACGTGGTAGTTCCTCGCATAATTCAGAACACGGATCATAAAATCTACTTTAGACTCCGAGTTTTATCTCGGGTTCAACTTCGTGGTCAAGATTTTCACGTAATTCGTGCGGCGCAAATTAGTAAACGTGACAAATCTTTATAATTTCAGAGAGGTGACTGTGCGCGTCGACAAGTGGCCAGCACAACTGCTCCTGCAATAATTTCAGAATCACCTAGTTATGATTTTCCTTTCCTGGTAACTACAAAATAGCTCTTTATTTGCAGGAGTAGCGGGAACGGCTTGCCGTGCGGCACCGGTCTGCGGTTTCAGAACATTAAAGCGACAAGGGTATTTTTAACAAGAACGGTTTGTCATCACACATCCCTGTCCTTGTTCAATACCGTGTTTTTCCCCACGCTGCCCTCGAAGCCGCCGCGTCGCTTCGGACCGACGGTGTTTTTTCCTCCCTTTCCCTTCTTTCCTGCGCCCTTCTGGTTGGTCCCTTTATTGCCACTGTTCATCTTTCCACCGCTTTTATTTTCCCCCTTCTGCTCCTTCATTACTTGTTTCTGTTTGTTTTCGAAGGCTTTGTTCCGCTTCTCCTGGACGAGATGCTTTTTGGTTTTCTTCAGCTTCGCGGCATTGTATCCCGTGTAAAAACATCCCCACCCCAGAGCTGTCATGTAATTCTGCATGCAAGTAAAGTTTCTCATGCGGAGCCCTATGAGCAACGATTTCTATTCGAGTTTTGGAATTTGTGACGCTAGAATCAGAGCGCTATGCTCGATCTGTGATGCTTCTGAACTAGCTAAACAGGATTACACTACAAGGACAAACCTACCATGCCAAACAACCAAAGCTTGTTGATTTGTCTAGCAGATTTCCCCTCCTGCCTCTGGTGTGGCAACGTTTTTAATCAGGATACATTGTCCACCGTTTTCACCTTTTCCCCCATGGCGCGCTTCAGCGCCACGTCCATCTTTTCCCGCTGCTCCAGCTCTTTCCGGGTCGCGTCGTCCAGTTTCTCCAGTTTCTTCTGCTTCCGCTCCTCGTCCCGCACCGCCTTGTCGATTTTCTTCCACTTGGAGCCCTTTTTGTTCTCCTCGTACTCGGTCGAAAGCTTGGCTTTTTCTGTCTTGACATTCCCGAAATCCAGGTCGCCGACGGCGGTGTCCTCCTCATTGAGATCGACGTCGTCGCGGTCCTTGGAGCAAGTTGCTGTTGCAGCTGCTCCGGTTCGTTTTGCATCTTTTGCTGCAAGAGCCCCGTGGTCTACAACTGCAGCTCCGGTTAGAGTTTTATCCTTGTTGCTGATGCTGGCCGTTTGCGTCGAAGTAGCGTCTTTATTGTTGTGAGTTGTTCTTGAACTGTGTAGAGTAGTAGGCTCCGTCGTTCCTCGCTGTTCGTCGGTAGATGTTGTACCTTTCTTTATCTTGTCCGCTTTCTTGTCGTTGTCCTTCTTGACCGCCTTCTTCTTCAAGTCCCTTTGCCGCTGCTCCTCCTTCCTTTGCGCCTGCATCTGCGCAATTTTCTCTTGCATCTTCGCCCGCAGTTCCGATTGCGATTGCGGTTTGTTTTGCGAACCATTACTGCCTTTCTGCTTCTTGTTCTTCGCTTTCCCCCGCTGGCTCAACCGCTGCTGCGCGAGCTTGTGGATAACCTGGATGAACAAGAGATGATCGTGATTGATGTTTTCAAGTGATTTACAACGTTTGAAGGGTAAACGTAAACCCCTTTGTGGTTTTTTTTAAAGTTTAAATGCATTTACTTCTTTTATTTCCTGCATTAATCAATGTTGACTTTGTCGCGATGTGTTCGTCAGAAAGGACGCCGCTCGTTTTTTCAGTCATCTAGATCAGACAACCTAAACGATGAAGAAAGTTGCGATGCGTTTTCATCATGCCGATACAGCAATTTGAAATTCTTGTTTACTTACTTTGATAAGTATCCAGCACGATCAGGATCATGATCCCCACCATGGGTTTGCCTTTATGCACAACAATATCTTGACGAGTCCGGTGTAGTTCACGTCAATGTGCAGCATGATCTTCAGGCCGGCCCCACAGTTAGTATGTAGGTATCATCAACCACTCTAAAATAAATAAGTACCTCGGTGGTCGGCGTGGCGTCATCAACGCTTGGTAGTTGTCTCCAATTTTCCTCATCGTTGAGGTAGTACCGTGGCGGAATCATGTTAATCAAGTCGTCGAACATCGCACTAATTTTCCGGATGCTGTCCATCTTCCGACTGGTTGTGAAATTCAGCGCCGTGGAGGTCGTTGTACCACTGTTAGCACGACCGGTTGCCGCAGTCGTAGAGGAGCCAACATGATCCGCGGTCCTTGTCGTGGAGGCTGAACCGAGCTGCAAGGTGGTGGTGGATACCATGGTGCTATAAATTTTCTGCTCTTTTCGATCGGTACTTTATTGCAACAGACGGTAAAAAAAAATGTCGCTGAAAAAGGGACTAAAAACCATACGCGGGTCCAATTCGAAAGAACAAGAACATTTCCCTTTTATACTAAAATGCAGTCCAAACAACTCCGCCAAGGAAAGTACTAGAAACAGTGAAAAAGCGCCTGTCCTGATAATAGTACACCTGAAAAAAGAAGCAGAGTGATTGAGTATGAGTAGTTCTTTTTTAGTGAAGAAAATAAGGACAAATTCCGTGGCGCCGAGAATGATAAGTACGTCTGAGTACCATTTTTTTTCGATGACTTTCGAGCAAGGTTATCACTACATCCTTAGAACAGGGTAACAAGGAACTTAGACGTGACCGGGGGGGTCACGTCCGTCCGTCCGGCCGGACGGACGGCACGTGACCGGGGGCAGTCCGGCCTCGGGGCGAGTTCGGCGCTCCTGAATGCCGCAGCAACTGTGGCCCTCGGTAGCTAGAAGTCCCCGGCCGCGTCACCGACGGCGGACCAGCGGCAAGAGCCGCGCCTTTTTCCGTTTTTCCGTGAAAGACCGAACTCATGACCTTTTTTTTTTAGTTGGGCGCCCGAGCTAGGTAGCTGACACCCCCCGGCCGCGTGACCGGGGGCGGAGCGTGACGAAGAAGGCAGTTCTTCAGTGAAGTGCCGAGCTCATGACCTTTTTTTTTTTTTTTAGTTGCCCGGCCGCGCGGTCCACCGCAGCCACCTCCACCTCCTCCACCACGACCGACCCCCGGTCACGTCACGTGCCGTCCGTCCGGCCGGCCGGACGGACGTGACCCCCCCGGTCACGTCTAGGTTCCTTGTTACCTTGTTCTTACAACTTCTATACAGGAACGTCATCTCTACTTGCCGGGGATCTTTGCGTCGTTCTAGATTCAGATCCCGCAAAAATGCTCTCGTTAGCTGAACGGGACAAGGTGGCATTGTTTTTATTCGATTTTCAAGCACATCGAGTCCACGGCGTCGAACCTTTTTCAAGAGAACCCTCTACAGCTCATTTGCAATTTTGATCGGTTTGGATCAAGATCTTTGAAAAGTGAGCAAGTGAACGGACTGCCAACTACGGACCTGTAAGCTTGCTACCCTACGTGAGGCGGGCTTGCCATTATTGATCCTTGTCCTTCGTTCGCGCAGACTCGAGCCCGACAACTTGTTTATATACAAGCAAGCAATGGAAGATGCGGGGCGTCTACTTCTCCGCCGTGACAAGACCACACGCAATCCATTTTCGATTTCTGTGTGTATGTTTTGATTGCGCGACTTTGATGAATTTGACCTTTTTAATCTGTTGCATCGGACACATCTCGTTCATTGATTTTGCCTGGTTGTTGCAAAAAGATTCAAGGGCTGAATAGAATATAGAAATGGAACGAATAGACCCTGCATCTTCATCGTCGTCCATATTTCATATTACTGTCATTCCAGCATGACAAATCCTAGAGCCACTCGTTGGTCCGGCAGGGTACATACTTTGATGTCTCAATCTGAATCTAACACTAACTCTGTCTGTGTCTATGGGGGTAAGAAAGTAGAAAAATACTACTGAACGACCTGCTTCCTCATCCCAGCAAGTCCTTTACTGAGGACACGAAGGCGACCTTGCACGACGCTGCTTCCTCCTTCAAGACCTCCTCGCCGCGACCGCTCTCATCGAGAACCGCGAACGAGTTTTTGAGCTCCAGCAGGCTCTCCTTTTCCACGTCTTCTGGTGCGCGATCGTCCTCGACCCGCGGGGAAACTGGGGATGCACCGGGCAGCTGCACAGTAGACTGTGGCCCACTACGGGGATGCTGTGCTATTTGCGAGGAAGATGGGACGACAGCCCCCGCAGCTTCCTGAGCAGGGCTGTCCGTCGTGTGACGATGAGGGACGACGAGATGACCAAGAGTAGGATCGTTGATGTGCTGAGGTCGTGTTCCGGGTGTTGCTAGATGACGTCCAGCTCCGCCTGGACATGGGGCCCCGCCCGCTGTTGGGTCAACAGCACTGCTCCCGTTATAATTCGATGTTTTCAACATCGTCGTGGTACCACTACTACTTCCAGGCTCGGTGCTGATCCCCTCCGCGGCTTTGGCGAGCGCATTGACCCCACCAAAAGCAGCGTCCAGCTTCATTTTGCGCAGGTTGATTTCCAAAACTTTTTCCTCGATGGTTTTCAACGTGAGCATGTAAACGATCGTGACGTCGCGCTGCTGGCCCATGCGGTGCACCCGGTCTTCGGCCTGCCGATTGTTATGGATGTGTCAGAGTTGAAATCGACAAAGTTGAAATAATTTGTCATGCATAAAATGAAGGCCAGTTGGGGCCCAGTTTCCAAGTGGCGCAAGACAAATTTCGGTGGTCCCTAAATCCACTTTGTCATGCTGTTTAGGCAAAGAAGAGCGATTTTCTCATGCTACTTTAGCAGCTCGAGCTATAACCCCAAACAGGCTTACAATCGGCCTCACTTGTCTGCTCTGCAACACACGTGCCTCGGGTCATGCATTTTATGCATGACAAACTATTTCAACGCTGACGATTTCAATCCTGACACTCCCATAATTGTTCTGCGGGTTGTAGTCCATGTCCATCAACACGACCATGTCGGCCGCAACGAGGTTCAACCCGACCCCGCCCGCCTTGGTAGACAGGAGGAACACCTGCACTGGTTTCTTCTCTGGTGCATTGACCACCGGTACTACTGCCGCAGCGGCTCCGACGGGTCCTGGTTGTTGTAGTTGCGCCGCCGCCCCGCCGAGGTCGTTCCCCTTGTCCGCCGGAAGTTCTCCATCTTGAGGAGCGTGCGCAGTAGCAGATGTCGAAAAATCTTCCACGAGTTGCTGGCGGTCTTCACTGGCCGTGGACCCGTCGAGCCGCACGTAATTGAACCCCTTGAGCAGCAGGGCCTCCTCGATCACGTCGAGATACTGCGTGTACTGGGAGAACACCAACGTTTTCTCCTGTTGCCGCTCCTCGAGCAGCGCCAGCAAGGCCTGCATCTTCCCGCCGGCGCATATCTCCTCCGCGGTCGCGCGGTACGGGTAGGGCAGGTAAAAGCACTTCGCCGCGTTGTGCACCTCGAAGTCCGACCACTGGCGCACCTGCTTCTCGATCTTCTGCAACCCAGCTTTGAGGAAGTCGTCCCGTTTGGGTAGCAGCAACTGCGCCAGCTCGGTGTACTGCTGCTCCGTGAACTTGGTCTGCGCCAGCAGCGGCGCGCCGCAGATCCGGCGGAGCCGCGAGTAGATGTTTTTGAAGGCCGTCGCGGTGCCCTTGTCCAGCTGGTTCTGCTTGCCCAACGGCAGCAGGTGCTTCCCGGACGTCGTCGAGATGGCTGCTGTATTAGAGCTCGTTGATGTCGCTTTAATATTCGCAGCGATCTTCTGTCGCGCGCTCCGGGTGGTCACGCCCCGGTGGTGATGTGCTGGCTTCACCAGCGAGCTGCTCGCGCTGCTCGCACTGGAGCTCAAGCTCGCGGTGTCCGCGGGGGGAGACAGCAGGGCAGAACTACAAGCGCTGGAGGAGGAGGCGGAAGCTACGCTCGAGGTTGTTGTGCCGTAGCTGTAGACCACGGACCCGCTGCTGCCCTGGAACTCCGCGATCTCCTTCTGATACAGCAGCTTCTGCGACGCCGTCAGGTCGGTCGCGAACACCAACACCTTTTTGTTCGGCAAATCCTTCAGCACGTCGCTCTTCAGCCGGCGGAGGAGAAAGGCGGAGGAGAGGTTCTGCAGCCAGTTGAGCTTGAGTTTCTTGTCTTTCGCGGTGTCCAGCTCGGTCAAGGCGGAAAAAACGCTGGGCATGCAGAACCAGAGCAGGTTGCACAGCTCGTTCAGGCTGTTCTGGATCGGGGTGCCGGTCAGCAGGATCCGCTTCTCCGCCTTGATCTTGTGCATCTCCTGGACCCGCTTCGTGTTCGTGGTCTTCAAAAAGTGCGCCTCGTCCGTGACGAAGTAGGAAAAGCGCAGCTGCATCAGGAAGGCCTTCCGGTCCTCGCGACTCGCCAGCACGTGTTGGGTGGTCAGAATGATGTCGTACAGATTCCCCGCGTCCTCACCGTGTTGCCGAATGTGGTTGTTCACCTCCCGAATGTACTCCGCGGCCTGCTGCCACCGTTCCTTCTGGCTGGAGCTGTGGTAGCGGAAGACCCGCATGCCGGTCCACTTTTCCGCCTCCAATTCCCAGTTTCGCAGGAGCGACATCGGCGCGCACACGAGGATGGGGCCCATGCGCGGCCCCTGGCGGAACTTCTGGAGCTCCAGAAAGGTGAGAATCTGGGCGGTTTTGCCCAGCCCCATCTCGTCCGCCAAGATGCCGCCGTAGCCGGCGTTCGTCAGCGTCGTGAGCCAGCGGACGCCCACCTTCTGGTAGTCCTTCAACTTGCCGTAGCTCGTGTTTGCAGATGTTGTACCCGTCGTTAAAGATGCTCCTGGGTCGTGAAGCGAGGTGGAGGGTGCACCACCAGCAGTAGCAGTACTTGAAGATGCCCCATTACTCGTCGTTCCAGTTGTGTTGCCAGCACTGGTCGTCGGAACAAGTGAAATCTTGTTCTGGGTCACGAACCCCGCGTCGTTGCAATTTTCTACCAAATTCGTGCGCCCCTTCGCGATCGCCTTTTTCACCCGCGCGAAGCCGTGGATGCTTTGGGTTTTCGCAAATTCCTTCTGCACCAAGAAGACCACGTGGCTCGCCGTCTTGCGCATCTTGTCCACACTCGCCTGCCACGACTTCGCCTCCTGCTCCTGCTTCTGCTGCTGTTTGCGCTGTTTTCGCACCGCGCGGCTGTCGTACTCTGGGTCCTCTTCGTCGGAGGAGGAGGCCGAGGGAGGGGAATACTCATCGTCGGAACCGTGGTTCGCTTGCTGTTTTCGCTTCTTCCTCTTCTGGCCACCGGGAGCAGCGGGCGCGGGGGCGGCCAGCTGGTGCACTGGGTCTGGTGCAAAATGATGAACGTGGGGTCGTCCTGACCCAGAAGCTGCGACTTGTTGCTGCCGCCGCAACGCCAGCTGGTGCTGCGCAAATTGCTGCTGCTGGGCGAGCAGCAGTTGCTGCTGCCTCTGTCGCTGCTCCAGCATCTGCTGCTGGGTGAGTCGAGGTCCTGCTCGGCCACTTGTTTGCACAGGAACTTGCTGCTGCTGCTGCTGAAGTTGTAGAGCTGCTTGATACTGTGCTCCACGATCTCCGGGAACTTGAAAATTTCCATTTCGTTGTTGTACAACTACCTGGCCATTCACTTTTCCTTTACCTTTTCCCTTATTTACCATTCCATGTATTAGTGTGCCGTTTTGTGCTTGTTGATGTGGAACAGTGGCTGCATTTTCTTGCTGTAGTCGTGCTGCAGAAGATTCTGGCGGAAACGAGACTTGGCCCCCGGCGGCTGCTGGAGCTGGTGCAACAGGTCTTATCATATCAACCATTGGCCCCGACGACGAGGAGGACGGCGCTGCTGCCATTGCCTCTTCCGGCGGGGGTCCCTCCAACCCCGCAAGGAGGTTCGTTAGCCCCTGGCCCAACAGCGACGGAGGCGATAGTTGTACCGATTGATGCTCTATTCTCATGTCTTGTGCAGCGAATTGCAGGTTGGAACTTGATGCTCCTCTACTCGTGCAATTACCCCCAGGAGGGGCTCCTGCAGCTGCCCCTGCCGCGGCGAGGGTTGTAGTAGTCGTACAACTTCTACTGCTAGCGGTGCTGGAACTAGCCGGCGCGTCTAGCGCAGCACTTCTAGTACCATTGCCGGGGGTCGGTAGTCGGTCTGGATGGTGCTGGTGTACCTCTTGCGCGTCGTTTTTCGCTGGTCGAGGTGCAGGCGGAAGATCCTCGTCCTCGTCCTCGCTGTCGGCCACAACGCGACGGCGCTTCTGCCGCCGCTTGATCAAAAGATCCTCACTGTCTGACATAACAGACGAGAGCAGAGCCAGGAGAGAAAAAGTAGAGTCGTGCTAGGACCCGATAGCTAGTAGTAAATTATACAACTGTGAACAACTAATTGATACGAAACGTACATGAGGCATGGGTAGCGCAAATGAGCAGCAGAATGAAGAACCACTCCAAGTATAGATAACCGCTCGAATCGCTTCCGGTTCCACCCCTGTTTACCTATCACAACAGAAGCAGATTCAACCACTTACAGGAGACCTTCATTTGCATTTTCGATTTACATCGATGAGATAACTTACTACATGGAAGATCGATAACGCAATAAATGCACCCCTACCTTGTTGGTCTACCTTGAGCAAGTGAGGGCACTCAACAAATCTTAGTGTATGTTGAAGTACGATGGCGATCTGAAGAGAACCCCTATCCAGAAGAACGTAAAGGGGTTGCAGTGCCAATTTTTTCATTCTAGAAACTAATTTTGTATCCATAACCTCTGCATCCATTATATTTTCGAGGACAACACTTCTCACTCAGCTTTTTTACACGTATCAAGATCTTTCTGCAATGAGATCTTCTTTCATGATAGATTTTCTTGCGACGGTTCTCTGTGGCCTTGATCTAAGCTCAAGATTTCGTTAATACGTGTGCCAAAGGAGCAGTTGCAGTATACATAAAAAAAGCCCGTCGGGCGGCGATAACTACTTTTTTGTCGGTTTTGCCGAGCTTTTTTTGCATCAACAAGCACTGCGCTTTGTATTTGAAAGCAGAGGAGGACTACCACTTTGTGCCTATGTATACAACCTCTTGATCGTCAATGCTACTGAGGATAGGAAATGAGAATGAAACACTAAATATGCGCCACACTAATTACACTGTCACGGTTGGTGACAGGAAGTCTTCGAAGTAAGTCGGCCCGGTGCCGTTCATGCAGGGGTGTACTTGAAGCCAACACGATTGATGAAGATCGATGCCATGGCTACGTACTTCTATTCGCCGTTTGGAAACTACTATATTTGTTTGTCTTTGCGGAAAAAAGAAAGAGCTGGTGGCATCAAATGTTTATTCCTGATTATGAACTCTTGTTTCAAGTCTGAGTGTAGTGATCATTTGCCAACATCACGTCGATCCTTCGTTTCACATCCAAACCGAGGAAGAATTATGGGATCGCCTCATTTTTGAGTGCCATGCACGACTTTTACAATCGCATCAGTGGACGCCCTCCAGTAGTTTAATTTGTCTTCTGAGACAAGCGGTTCACCCATCCATGTTGAAGTTCTGTGCGTTCGAGGGCGAGTACTGATGAAACCGCGTCATCAGATCGTGGCACAGGGCGGCCGGGTCCCAATCCACCTCGTGGCCGTACTTTTCCAGTGTGACGGCTTGCATTTCCTTGCAGGCCTATCAAATGTAAAAATGTCTGGGTCTGGAAGATTCTGAGACTTGTCATGCACGTTTTGCATGGGCCATGATGTCTGTGATGCATGCCCTAGCATCACAGACTTTTCGAGGGCTCTGTGATGCCTATTCCGCATGGCAAATGCCCTCTCCGCGTAGCCAAAATTGCATTCCCTTTGCTGCTTATGCAAGCCAGATTTTTTTGGAATCCAAATGTAGCATCACAAGTTCGGATTCTTCCAGACCCAGACATTTTTACATTTGATAAGGCCTTCCGGTAGCGGTAGGAGCTGTTCCCGTTCGTGACAGTATCGTAAGGAAAAATCCCTCCTCCCCATATTGAAAATTTGTGTTGTTGATTTGAGGTCACAAATCGCATTTGTCTTGCAAGAAGACAAGGGTAGAAGCTTCCGGCATATTACGGAAGCGATTTCTCATGCTGTTGGGACTAAAGGGAAGCCCCTCCCTAGCCTGGGGACTAAAGGGTTTTCCATGCTGAACAACTAGACCCATACGCCCCTCCCTAGCCTGGGGATCTGGGCACAATGCCTCTCTGCAATACAAAGCTGATTTGTGTACACAAATCCAGCATGAGAAATTCCGTTTTGATATGGGGAGGGGGGATTTTTCCTTTCGATACACAGCCGGCTGGCACATCGACTCCACAACCCGCACGAGATCGGGGCCGCTGATCAGCTGCGCCTTGCGGTTGCGGAGAAAGTTTTGGCAGGCGGTGAACCCACGGGGCGTCTGCTTTGTTCGGGTGCTTTCATTTTCCTCTTGCTGCTGGTCTACTTTTTGCCGCTGCTGCTGCTTCACCTTGGTGTCGTCCAGTGTTACAGCTACTCTTGTTCGCGCACGTCGCTCATCGGCAAGTCGTTCGGATTTTGTCTTTGCCACCGAAAGCAGCGCGGAAGTGGATGCGGCGGCAGTTCTGACCGCGCAAATTTCTTCAACTGGCTGCCAAAGGAGCAAAAACGCGACAAGAACGATACTTCTCAAGAACGTGCATGATCCCTGTAAAGAAAAAGACACGATATTATGTGTCATCACAGACGGTAATGAAAAATCTGCATTCGGTTTGCGACGGCGCATGGTTGCGGTAGAGGGTGAAATCTTTCTTCTACGAGAACCTATAGGACAACAGTGTTGAAAAAGATTTTGATTTGCGAACCGTGAAAAGATCTCCTTGAACTTTCGATCACGAGAAGGGTTCGGTCGCGTATGGAAATTCTCATCATGCAAATATCGGATTCATGACCGTGGCCTTGGAAGAGAGCGACTTTCACGACAATGAGTTTAGACAACGAAATAGGTGGAAATTATGTGGTGGTGGCGGTGCCTCTTGTACAGAGCCGCACCGACTTGTGCTACTTGCATAAGGCGTGCCGGGAATGGCCGCTTCATTCCGGATGAACATCTAAATCATACAAAAGCGACTGTGTACAAAAAGATTCGTCGCAGGGACGGAGCAGCATCAGCCCGGTGGCTGCTGATATTAATCTATTGCGCAGTGCTTCCATTTTATTTGCACTTACAAGCGACACAGCGGGTTGAAACTGTCTTCAAAGCTAAAGCCTGTTCCTTTTCGTTTTTCATTGCGAATCAAGAAGAACTCGAGCGAGAAACGGAAACAAACGAGAGTGAAATTTCAAAATTAGCTCAGGAGAAACAATCCAAAAACTGCTTTGCAGCAAGAAAAATCCTTCATCGTTACAACGTGGTCGTACTCGTAGCAAGTTGTTGCATATCAACAATTAAGTTCTTGTGAGTAAAATAGTCTCTAGAAATTCCCAAAATTTGATCTTTAGGTTTGGAATAGCAGTTCTGCCTGGTTCTAAGGAAGCGGCTCCGGCTGCTTCTCACCATATCACGAGAAAAAAGTGTTACAGTTACACATTTGTTGGAGTTTCTGCATCACAAATTTTCTCTGTGTGGCAGAGAAAACTTGTAATGCGAAGATCATATTAAGGGAAAACAGGAAGGAAACGAAGCTTCGAAGCATTTCCTGCATGAGAAAGGTTGTCTCTGTTGCCAGTCTTGCATGACAATGTGTAACTGTAACACTTTTTTCTTGCGATACACCAGCAGCGAGCGGTAGTACTTAGTGCCATTTGGTGAGTGTGTCTTTAGATGTGTCCTCCGCGTGCTGATCTTCCCCGAAACAGAAGCAGAAGCCAGGAGCGAAAAGGAAAGTGAACATTAACATTGTGCGGCTACAGACAGTGCCTACGTCGTGGTCGTCGACACAATATTAAACATGCGCAAAAGTAAACCAGTTCTGCAGATTGATGAAAATGAAGCACACTGTCATGATCTTTTGCAAGGGCTACTTCGCGTCCACCCCGCACACGCAATCTGGCCATCGACCAGGAGATCAGAAGTCCGCTCGCTTGCGTTTCTGCCGCGGTGCTTCTTGTTGGAGCAGGTTTGTGGTGATGTAGCCGATTCCCAAGGCCCCGAGACAGCCCATCGCGGCGTAGGAAGCAACGGCGTTTATCTGGTGAAGATTTTTTGATCATGTTCTTGTGAATGTGCTGCCATCAACACATGAAACTTACATTGATATGCTTATGCACTTTTGATCCATATGAAAGTCTCTATTTCTTATACCCGTTTCTTGATTTCCCGATAGCCGTACGTGTACTGCAACTCTGACGCCGCGTTCCAAATGTTATCATCCGGGGAGGCTGGCAAAGTTGCCGGTGCCTTGTGGTGCGCATAAAACGAACTGGCTCTCCCTGCCATCGTAGTTTCCGCACGGCGAGAGCCGCCTAGTTGTAGTGTCGGCACTGCTGGGTCGACGTCCTCCTGCAGCCCGCGCGACACGTTGTAAGCTGCAGAGATACTTGCATCATTAATTGCATTTCTTGTGTGCAAAAAACTTGTTGACGTCGACGACGCTGATGACATTGACCCGCCCGTGGCGTTTCGTGGTCCCAACGTAGTTCCTGGTCGCGCTTGCGAAAACGGATGGGCCGTCGTCAAAGCATGCTGTGCTGACGAGAAGACAGCAGATGCTCGAGGAGCCGGAAGAGACACCATGTCCCCTACTCCGGTGTGCGAGAAACAATCGAATTGCTCCGGAAGATGGTGCGGCGCCAGGAGCTGCTGCAGAAAACCCATTTTGAGCAAGCAGAAGGGCTGAGGACTCGTGCAGAGATGATCTTAGAGTCTGGCTCGGGAAGGTGGTCGTACACGACCTTATCCTACTCATGAATCCGAAAAAAAACGTCGCCGTTCCAAAAAGTTCAGTATACATATACAACAGGTTCTTGCATTATAAATATCGTGAATAGAACTTCTTCGTCAAGGCGTACCAGGCATAGGCGTATTTTCTTCACTCTCCTTTACGAGACGACGACAATGTACGTTTTTCACGCAATTATGCTCGCTCACGAACGATTTGAAATTCGTCCTGGCATGTGCTACTGCTACATGATGAACATGTGCGCCTCGCCCTGCACGAACAACTCGTAGATGAAAGGAGAACAACATCATATGTGTTCTTGTTCAGCAAACCAGTTAATATTTTCGCTCCATTCAAAGAGCGTCCTTTTACTCTTTCCGTGTATTTTCTTACTCGAGTTGAATATTACTTTACTCTGACGGAACTGTGGTCTTTTTCGTAGTCGCACCAAAAACTGGAAACCTTCCTCGTCAGTTTTTCCATATCCTGAAGCTCGGACTCTTCAAGAAAAACCGTACAACTACTAGCGCGCTACAGCAAGAAGCATGTGCGAGCTCCTGCAAATTTCATGCTTTTAGCCATTTTGACTGGCAAATGATAGCGGAAAGTAGAGGAGGTAGCCCAAAATCATCGACAGGAGACGGAAAGACCTGACGTCTTTTTTTTTTGACCACTAACCACCTGAAGTACTAAGCAGATTTCCCACAGAATAAGACCGTTGCGAGCAGCAGGCTGAGCCAAGCAATTAGGCTTTCAGTGCTGCATGCTTAAGATTGATTAAGTAAGACCAAATCGTGAAGATTTTTGCACGGCATAATTACAAATTGTCAAATGATAAAGTGAGCAACACGGCATCCCAAAAACGACAGCGGACGATTCATTTGTATATTGCATCACTGGACGTGTTAAGGAAAGCCCCCCGGCCCGCCGCCGCTCCCCGGGGGCGGGCCCATCAGCATGCCGCTGTTGTCCGGGTCTTGCATCATGTGGCCCTGGTTCAACTTTTTGAAGTTCAGAATCTGTGAGAACACGTGCTCCAGCACGTGCTTTGCGCTCCTGTCCGGAAGCTTCTCGCTCACTTGAAGAATCTCACCCGCTTGCATGACGTAGTAGTCCAGGTCTTCATCCGTGCACTGGAATTTTTATGTGGTTGACTTACTTCAAATGACAAAAAAAACAACGCAAAACTATCTGTGTCGGAGGAAACGCAAAGCAAAAGTCGTAGTCGTTCCATGCCATACCATTGCCATATCTGCAAGTGCATGACAAAAACGACCAGGTGAGTACCTTGTTTGTCAATTGTGCGAGTCTTGTTTTCTCGGACGCGAATTCCTCATCCAGGTCGTACAAATCGAGCGGGGGCCCTGGTGGTTCTTTGAGCACGGGTGGGAATACCGCTGGCCGTAGCTGCGGCAACGGCGTCTCAAACTCGGGCGGAATTAACGTCAATGCTTCATGCTTCACGCCAAGCGTCTGATAGAGCCTGGACGAAAGGGTAGGTTTTGGTTCGTTTTGCATTTGAGTTTGGGTTTCCGTGCGTTGAAGTAGGTTTGCGAGTCGTAATCAATTAAAAGTCAGTAAAGAAGGTGAGTTTTTGTTGACAGTAAGCGAAAGCCAATGAATAAAACAACCATAATTTTCTTCGGTTGTACTAAGTACAGACATTGACAAAAGTACCTTATTGCTTCTGGTATCAGGCTGGTGTCAAATTTGAAGAGCCGGTCGTCAAACATTTCTGTGAAGTCGCGTGGTATGACATTCCCTTCCTGGAGGCAGGACTTCAAAGATTCCTATGGTATTCTCAAACGTTACATTCTTAACTGTCACATGGATTTGTAATGCAAGAATGGGAAAAGTGAAAGGGGGGGCATTGCGCGTCTTGCATGACAGATTTGGCATAGATTGTCAGCCTGTTTGGCCCTTCCAGAATTTGTCACGCAGAGCAGCTTGATCGTGTAGATGATAGCGGTGGTTTTGCATGACGAATCATGTAACAGTTGAGAATGTAACATTTGAGAACTCCATAATTCCGCTAGCAATTGTGTGTGCGGAAGGAAGTGGTACTCCGATATGTCCGGCTCCTCACCATACCTGGTGCATTGGATTCATACTTTTTTCTGCCCCATTGCATCATGCTCCAAGTTGTAGTTTTTTCGAAACTCCTTGCAGGCGCAGCGACACTTCCAACAATACCAATACAAATACCCCACTGAAAAAATCGCTTCTCAACGCTACACATTACCATTGGGTGAACAACGAACTACTACATCAGCATCACACGACAGTTGTATCTATAAAGGTATTTCGTCGAGTACTTGTAGCTGAGGTCGCAGTCGTTCATTCTGGTGAGCCACTTGATGAGCAGCTCGCAGACTTTCGCGTTGTTCTCCTTATCCAAGTAATCGTCCGAGAAGATGTTCCAGGAACCCAGCACGCAAAGCCTCCCGCCGTTTGCATTTTCGTGCACCGCACATACCGGCCGGTTCAGTGGGTAACTGATGGGGCCTGATAGAGATGAAAAAAGTCGAGGTGTAGTTCTGTCACACTTTTATTTTTCATGCGCTGGAAAGTCCTGAAAGTCGATTCGTGCTGTAACTGTATTGAAAAACTAGGCATGTCTCTCATGATCTCCGACTCCGTGACCGTGGCAGCATAAGAAATGGCGGAACAAAATGTTGTTTACATCAACAATTCCTTCTGCTTTCTCACCTGTGGACAGCACGGGCACCGCGGGTTTTTGAACGTTCATCGTGGCACCGAAGGGATAGACGAACTCCAAAGGCGACTTTGCTCCGTGCTGCGGCGCGTCGTCGACTGCGGACCGGCTGACGGCACCTGATGGGTTTTTTTCCTGTTCAACACCTGTGCAGTACGTGTTGTGCCACAGCTTCGTCCTCCACCAATTTTCGAACTATTATCTTGTTCAGAGCAGAAGTTAGTACAACGCCAGTCGAGCAGAAAAACAGGCTTGCAGTTCATCTTCTGCCCCTGCAGCGCGCACCACGGATCAACAAGTACCTTTCGCCCCCGCACCTCCCCCGCCCCCGTCCGCTTGTATGGTGTCCATCAGTTCCTTTGCAGCCCCCTTTGCGATCCGGAGCAGATCTTTTGACAGCACCCCGTTGCAGACAAACGCCTCCTTTGGGTGGTGGTACTTGCGAAAAGTGGTCCGTATCACCGAGTCGCTGTTGCACATAATCCCGAACTCCTCCTATTGTGAGGAAAAATACACGCTCTCCATATTGAAAACGCACCAGAAGAAAAATTTGCGCTGCTTACTTGTGTACGCAAATGGGAATGCCTCTCCTTTGCATTAACCCTGCAGCAAGCGTCTTCTTGGCTTGCTTCTGTTTGTCTAGTACAAATCGCGCATCACAGCTACAACTTCCCCTTTGAATATAACGTGGAGGGAGTTCTTTTCCTGACGATACTTCCAGGAGGTAGTTCACGTTGGTCTGCAGCCTCTGTTCGCCGCCCTCCGCAAGTAGAAACAGCACCGAGCCCTTGTGGTCCGGGCCAATGTACTTTTTTATCGCCTCAAACTCCTCCGTTGAAAACATTTCCCGGGGCCCCGCGAAGATCACCAGGCCGCAGGTTTTCAGCCGTTCCAGCGTGATCAGATCCTTGTTCAGTCCGCATTTGTAGTCCGATCGCAGCTTGCGCACCAGCTTCTTGTACACGCTGTGCGGGTTGCCGAGCTCCTTTTTCGACACGTCAAAAAGAATTTCGATCTGTCCCGACCCCGTCGCAGCCTGGTTGCTGGTCAGCAGGCTCATCGGGTCCTGCGCAGCGGCCATGTTGAATGTTCTTGCTGCTCAAGTTGCAAGAACGACAAGATGCGCAGCGTGAAAAAATGTCGGCGTACAGAACAGCCAATATAGTTGCCGGCGTCTCTGTCGTTCTATCGCCTCTACCGTGTCGTGGTCCCGGCAACCAGACTCCTCTTTGTTCGAGCCTTTACCGCAGTCAATCTGGACCGCGCAGGTGTTTCTGACGCATGGTGGTGAAGATCCGCATCATCTTGTTCCCTTACTTTTGATACACGAATAAACGAAAGCACTAGCACAAGGAAATGGATATTACACTACTTTTTTCTATTTGACGACCCGTCTGTATCTCTTTTGTTTTCTTGACTCCCAAAGTCAGTGCTACACAATAACTCTCGCCTCCTCGGAAATAGTTTCGGAGTAAAGGTCCCGGGGTGGTAGTCTCCTCGCAGTTCTACTACTTGCACTCATCCAAGTGCAAAAATAAACCTGACTCGTGGCCTTTCACTCTCTGTACAGCAAGAAGGCCGCGGCCTTGGTAAGCAATTACAAGGGACAAGGTGCTGCCTGCAGAACCAGTGCCCGGCTGTTAAAAGTGGATAACAGTACTTCAAGTTCGTTCTTCTCTCATCAGAAAATACAACAATAAGCATAAAGAAAGCAAACAAAACACTTGGCTTCGACGAGCACAGAAATACAGAACGCCCTGTGAGAATAAAAATGCTTGTGAACTCATGAATCCCTTCGATTGATGTTTGTCTTCATGTAGTTGCTTCATCCACGACATGATCCACTACAGTTTGTTATTCGATCTCCATATGATCTACAAAATGACTGGTGGGTTTTTTTGGAGTGCAAGACGAGTGCTTTGTGTCTCGCTGGTTACTAGCGCTCCTGGGAGGACGTCGGTCGTCTTCGTGCACAGAGACCACTACAGGACGTTGAGCAGTGCTTTTCTTCATTTCCCCCACTCTCGTCGTCGTCGCCCGGTCCTGCACGTAGGCCGCGTAGTCTTGGTAGGTGAAATACGGCTCTTCTGGATGTCCCGTTAGTTCGTTGTGGTCCAACGACGTGGTCTTGTTGCGACTCACCGCCCGCACAATCTTGCTCGCCAACTTCTCGGACAGCAGAGGCGGCCGTTGCGCGGAGGGTCCTCGACCAGAGCTTGATGTACTACTGGTATTCCTCGTGCTCCTGCTCCCTCCACTCCCCCCCGTTCTTCCCATTTCCACCGTCATGAGATCACTGACACGGACCTGCCCGCAGTGTTGCACGTCCAGCGCCGAAAATTGCTGATACGCGGTCCTACTCCCACTAGTCGTGCAATTCTGCAGCAGCTGCTTCCGCTCCTGAACCAGGTTCAAGAAGTCCTGCTTGCTGGACAGGAAAAATTCGGCGTCCGAAGGAGGATCATCAATCGTCGTAGAGATCATGTTGACCTTGTTTGATGTTGTTGTACCACCGGGGGCCGTGCTTTGTTGGGATTCTTGCGCTAGTGCAGCTCCTGTTTCCGCGGTGGTGGACGACGTGGCTGTAGTAAAAGCAGGCGTTCGCTGCTGGTGCAACTGTAGCAGCAAGGCCTTGTTTCTAGTACTTGCTGAGAACGAGCTCGTCGTGTGATGTGCTGTTGAGAGGCCGCCTAATTCTGGCTGTAGTGCCCCCTGTGTCACGTCAACAGAACAAGAACCAGTAGGAGTAGAAGTCGTAGTTTTATTCCTACCAGCTCCACCTATAATCTCGTGTGCGCAAGTGTTGTGGCGGCAGATGCTCATTTTCAGATCGTATTTCTTGAACTTGAAACCGAAAATAGCGATCATGGCACACGACAGGTCCGCAAGAGAGAGCGTTTTCACCTTTGACGTTGGGTCGTTTTTTTCGCGGCTACATTTTTGCTGGAGTTGGTGGTCCTCTACCGTATCGGAAGGTAGTCGCAATCCCTGGGGTTGCGGCTGCGCATACAGCTCCCAAGCCTCTTCGGGCTCCATCTTGGGAAATTTTCCGAATGGGTCAAGAAGGTGCAGCAAGGAAATGGAACTATAGCTCAATGAAAAGATAAAAATCACTTCGTATTCTTGAAGGCCGCGTCCTTTGCCGCTGCCGCTGCGACGTCAAAAGTACTAATTGTTTCCTGAGATGATGACTTCGTAAACGCGAGGCAGAACTGAAAAAACCAACTCGTGCCCACAACGCAAAACGGAGTCGGAGTATTTGACACGCTCGCAAACGAAAGGAGATAAAACAAGTCTCGTATAGAATTTGACATCACTCTCGCGGTCAAAAGGAAAACTCGTACTCGTTGATGTGGACATATATTTTCGGGGAGAGGACACACTATCGTCCACACTCTTCAGCAACCACGAAATCTTGAAGATGGTAGACGTAGAAAGATCTCTGATTTCGGATCACGAGAGGACCCCCGCAGCTTGAATATAAAAACCTCGCACTGGACGAGGAACTACAGCCCGACTACATCAATCCTGCTCGAAGCAGAGAAGAACCCAATCATGGATGTACCGTAGCACGGTGCGGCGAACAAGAAGGGAGAAGGTTTTGGTGCCCCCTTGGTCTTTCCTGTTGTTTCATAAAAATTTGACAAGGAGTATTTTTCGCTGGTATCATTTGTTCAGTTTCGCCTCAGGTGGCAGCAAGTATCATATGAACAGTTCACTCGTAGTTAAAGACCTACAAGGAGCGCAGCCGCATCGCTGCTCCAATTGAAGAACAAGGGGAAAGCCATTAGCAGCTTTCTTTCGCGGACTTTAGACTCTCAATATAAGTAGTTCTCGTTCCTTCCATAAGACGAGAGGAACTCTACGTAAATACATCCAGCGCCGGAGGTGGCGCCATTTAATATCCATCTGAGGGTCACTCTCCTGATACGACTATACCCAAGTAGTGCAGCAAGCGCTTACTCTGACAAAGACCAAGACCTCCTCAGGCAGGGGTGGCAAAGGACTATTCTTCCGCGGCTCTTGTTTGTTTCGCCCGAGATGAAGATTGTCACGGGCGAAACATTGTTTCATCTCGTCGTCATTAAGGACGAGGTGGACGGCGTGACGCCTACTGTACTAGAAAAATTCGTCCATAGATAAACGGCTTAGTTGTTTATTCCGCCCGCCGTCAAATTGAGTCAGTAGAAAGCCTTTCCTTGTACCTTTTCGGAAACATTAGGGCAAGCTTCCCCGACCCTTGGCTCAGGCTAAGGCGGAGGGCTGTGTTCCTTCGGTGGATGGAGTTTCTAGAGAGTTTTTCTTTTTTTCCTGCAGTATTTTACTGATGAAATACAAAACCACGACCGTAAGCGTAATAAATGCAAATCCCATCAATAACGACTCCCTAAACTTGTAGAGCGGTCAACCTTTCTTCACACTAGCTATCAAGACTCTTTTGCCAATCATTGCACGCCGTAAGAAACGAGGCGGCTGAAGGAAGCGCTCCAACTTCTTCCCGTCGATCTTTTGCGACCGCTGGGAGAGTAAGTTACTAGGGTTCTAGAGCTCTCCTAGTGTGACCAAATAAACTATCACGACTTTTAGAAATATCATTCTTCACTCCGAGAAGAAATACTTGTTGTACTCTACCCCATAGTACTACTGTTGTAGCGCTTCTCTTAATTCAAAAACTGACGACGTAATTATAAACGATTCGCTGTGCATCTCGGTAGCTGGACCTCTTTGATGTTCTTTCGGTAGTTTCATTTGAAAAATAGCTCTCTGCTCCTGTTTCCGTGATTCGGAAATAAAATCGCCTTCTTCATAAAATTGACTCACTCTACTACTTAGTTCTTCACTGCCACTGGTATATTTCTGAAACAGAACGTATTATTTCTCGTCTTCGATATCGCTATCGCCGTTCTTGAACGTCTTTTTAAAATAAAATCGTATAATGTAGCTGGGGGAAATTGGAACAGAGCAAGGGTTGTTCATGATCTTTGTCGACTGCTAGTAGCATCTACCTGCAGAAAGCGATCCAACGCCGTTGTTCGTTCGTTCGTTCCAACCGCCCCGTAGAATATTTTTCTTAGTACACGTCGCCCTCCTCGACCGTGGAGAGGTGCGTGCCGAGCAGCAACATGTTGCTCGAACGCGAGGACTTGTTCTTCTGATACAGATAGTTGCGACTCAGGGAGATCATAGATTTTCCGTTTATTGTCGCCGTCCTGCTGCTACCGGGTTGATGCTGTTCCCCACCCGCTCTCTATCAAATGCAAAAATGTCTGGGTCTGGAAGAATGCAGATTTTTGTGATGCTGTTTTTGCATGACACAAAATGTCTTTCATGGAAGCCCTAGCATCACATCTTTCATGGAAGCCCTAGCATCACAGATTTTGAGAAGCTTCCGCATACGCATTGGCATTGCTTAATCCGCATGACAAATCCCCCACTTTGGTGACAGAAAGTGGGCATCTTTTGCTACCTATGCATAAGAGATTTTTCTGCGTTCTGAAATGCGCATCACAAGATCGCATCCTTCCAGACCCAGACATATTTGCAATGCATACACTCGTGGCGCTGTACAAACTCCCGGAAGGGGCTCGGTTATGGAACTGTCAGGATCGAAATTGACAAAATCGAAAAATTTGCGATGCAAGAAATGCATGACGCGAAATACGTGTGTTGCAGAGCAGGCAAGTGAGGCCGATTGTAAGCCTGTTTGGGTTCATAGCTCGAGCTGCTAAGGCAGCATGAGAGAATCAGTTCTCTCTGCCTAAGCAGCATTACAAACTGGATTTAGGCACCGCCAGAATTTGTGATGCGCCAGCTAGAAACTGGGTTCGAACTGGAATCCAGTTTATGCATGACAAATCATTTCGATTTTGTCAATTTCGCTTCTGACACTTCCATATCGGTTGTTGCTGCTGTAGAGAAACAGTCTCCTCAAGCTGTTCATCCCGATTGGCATCCAAGGGAAATCATTTACCGCACACGACACACAAATCAGATTCTAATTCTCATGATTTGATTCTCCCAGGGCATGACAAACGCAGAAGTTTTCGACGAAAAGAAAATGAAAACTCATGATTGATACTCAGCATGACATATCTACTCTCACTTATTCGCTTGGCAACCACGTTCTTTTCGACGCGTCTTGTTCGTAATCGTATGCGGCAAATTTTTTGTGTAAGCATAACCGAGGAACTACTATTGCTGGCATTTATCTGTTGCTCGGCCAAATTTTCGATGACCGTCTCTTCCTCGGACCCGCTCGACGAGCTGTCTTGCGTGAGCAGCACCGGGAAGGCTGCAATGATCAGGTTCTGCAACGAGCGGATCAACGCGGATGGGTTTTTCGCGAGGCGAAAAAAGGTTTTCATCACGGAAAAGTAGAAATTTTGCCGCATCTCTTCGTCGAAATCTGGATCCTCGCCGGTTAAAAGAGAATTCTGGTGATAAAGTCGTGGATCTCCTTCTACGTAGTAGTTCTTGTGGACCGAATTCTTGTCCCTGGAAGATGAACCAGTCGCCAACGTCAAAGTAGAGTTGTAACTTCCTGGTACTACGGAGTTCTCCAGTCCGTCCACCTCTTCTATGGTGTCTCTACTTGTCCCGTACGAGGAATTCCATCTGTTCCTACCTTGGATTGATGAGGAGGAACTTGTTGAGGCACCACCGCTGCTCCTGTTATGGTTATAATGCTTCGCCGTGAAAGAACAGCCCGCACTGCTCCCACTGTAGCTGCCACCACTGCTACCACCGAGGCCACTTCCACCGGCTATCCGGGGTATGGGGCGGGCTTCGGGGGGGCGAACGCCGCGGTACCGAGTGCTCGACGAAAAAAGTTCCAGGTTCGGGATGGGAATCGTGTCGAGCTCGGACGAAGAGTCTGTAGAGGATGAGAAAGTTGAAGTTTATTGCAGAATAAAGACCAGCACGACATTCATTTACGACAACGCTTGGACGTTGACCGTCTTTGTTGCAAAATAAAGGCTAGCCCGAGCATCTTCATCGTCTGTGACGTGCAGGTGCACAACATCAAAAAGCTGCCCTATGTCTCTACTTAAACAGCAAAACGAAAATGCAATCAAAACGAAGCAAAATGAGCAGAAAAACATATAAATAGACTATACGTCTTTTCATTCCGCGGCGGTGCTCCAGAGTATCCGGTGATCCCGGGGAATCTGACGAAGTCGACGATTCTGTCGGATCAGAGTAGCTGCTGCTGTGCTGTTGTCGGACCTTGGTCGTTGTACTATTATTTCCTTCCAGTGCACCTGTCATGGTCGACGGAGAAGCAGTGGCTGAAGGACCACGACTAGAGGGTCGTTCATCTACTTGCGTAGAAGAACCAGTATCGTCTTCGTCATCCATTGGTGTCCGGAAATCATCATCCTCGTCGTAAAAGTTGTCCTCCTGAAACATCATTCTGGTGCTCGGCGGCGAGCGCCGCGTGGTGGCATGATCGCCTCCGTGATGTTTTGTCGAGGTTGATAACGCGGCTTTACTTCCACCAGCAACTACCAGTCTGTTGCTAGTAGATAACCCTGCCTTATTGTGTCTGGACGATTTGTCTTGCGACACAAGATGTTCTTTCGCGGCTTCGGACCTGCTATCGGTAGAAGTTCTACTCTTCTTTATCTTATCGCCTTGATAAAGAGAGTCCGTCTTTAATTCTTCGTCTTGCTTCAACACAATTTCCTCATCTGTCAGCACAAGCTCACTCTCGCCGGCCTCCTGCGGTATCGAAGAAAAAAACATTGTTAGTGTAGGATTTTCGAAAATGCATGGATTTTTTTCTTAGTTCAATCAAAATTATTTTTAAAGCAAACCCGCCCGGCCATCGCGCAGCTTCGGGGAGCTTGCGTTATAAATCTGAGTGGGCCAAACTTGCTTTGGCTGCTTTTGTGGAAGTGAAACAGTTAAGGAGGCTAGACTGCTCGCCAATGCCGCGAGGGGGAGGAGACGATCAGCGGGGCTGTGCCGCGAAGTCTGCTGACCCGCAGTCGCGGATCGCTGGTCCTGTCTAATGCCCGAGGCCGGGCCTGCCTCCGACCGGGTCGGCCGCCAGCTACAGGGCGCGCGACCACGCAAAGGCCTTCCGCAAAACGACCGTCACCATGTAGCTGCTTTCTGAGCTCCGCAGCTCCGGACGCATCTCGCAAAGCCAGCGACTTGCGTCCATGCCGGTCAGCGATGGGCGCGCTCGGGGACTTGCGCAGCTCCCTTTCGGATCTTGCCAGTTCTTGTTGATCTCTTGGCCCAAACAGAAGAAAAAGCTCGGAGTGTAAATTTTTATGCGGGTGGGCGACTGTTGGAAAAATGCGTGTGCTTTTTGACCCTACCTCGAAGGGGTCCGCTACACGAACCTTAAAAACTACACTAGGTTTTTTCTTTTCTCTAATCCCCATGGTATATTAAATTTTTGAAGTAGTGTAAATTGTTAGCCGCGGCGGAGATTGTTAAAAAAATAAGCGAAGTTTTTGACCCTACTGTTGACCCCTCTTTTTTCCCCTGTAAAGACCTACACTCCGAGATTTTTCTTCCTTTGGTTCATTTTTGGAAGCCTCAAACGAGCCTCATCCGAATCATGCGAAGCAGCGAGTTCGCCGCCCGTGCTTTGAATGACCGCGCAGCCCAATATTGCACCAAAGGCGGCGCGCACGCCCGTGATTTCCCAGAATAATTTTGCTGCGAAGTGTCAAGCTGGCACCCCTCATGGGCTGACAGTAGACAAGCGACAACACACTCACCGGCAGGAAGATGCGACGTTTTCAAGAATGCGCCGGATTTTCCTGCCCTTTGCTGAGTCTTTAATTATCGCGAGGCCGGGCCAGAAGCCGCCATAGCGATAGGTGACACACCGGCCCGCTCCGCTGCAGAGGTTTTTGCATTGCCCTGCCTCCCCAGCTAGCTAATGTAGTGCCCGGAGCGGGGTAGCCATTAGATTCAGCCATGACAGAGAATCCAAAACACCAAACGGAGAATAGACAGGAGTGCCGTGCTTTAAAAAAATTTCACACCTTTGTGCCAAAAAAAAATTTACTCATTTCAGAGAATCCTACACCAACAATGTTTTTTTCCTCATCTGTCAGCACAAGCTCACTCTCGCCGGCCTCCTGCGGGTTGCATTAGAGCTTGCAGAAATTAGTTCCCAGAGCAGTTCCGAAAGGCTTCGGTTTTCAAAAATTTTGAAGCAGGTGCGCGGGCTCTACGTTTCGACCGGTAGTCCCGGTCTGACTACACACCCTACGCACGCGACTTCCAGGAATTAGTTCCCAGAATTCCCGTGTTTTTTCTACATCGCCGCACTTGGACACGCGGATCGAACTTTCACGAGCAGGGCGCCAAAGTTCGGCACTTTGCGCGCGAAAGTTCTCCTGCAGCTCACATCCGCGAACCTTTCGGATGTGAGCTGACATCCGAGGAATTCTCGGACGTGGGATCCTGGGAACTCATTTCTGTAAGTCGGTTGCGTAGGATCTGCGTTTCGACCGGTAATCCCGACCTGAGTGCAAATCCTACGCAACGGACTTACAGAAATGAGTTCCCAGGATTTCTTCTAGAATCTCAAGGCGCCTCTGAGGCACCTTGAGACTCTAGAAGAAATCCTTTGAGAGTCTAAAAGAAATCCGTTGGATTTCTTTTAGACTCTAAAAGAAGTCTTCTTGACTTCTTTTAGAAAAGGTCCCGCGGAAACCCCTTTCCAGAGACCCTTTCGCTGACCCCTTTCGCTGACCCTTTTATAGCTCGCGATTAAGGCACTTTGCGCGACCCCTTTGAAGACCCCTTTGCAAACCCCCTTTCCGAACACTTTTTCCGGAAGTTTTCTTCTAGAAACTGAGTTCCTAGAAGAAAAGGCAGCTTCTTCTTCTAGAAGAAGCTGCGTCCTCTTCTAGAAGAAGCCGCGAAGTTTTGTCTTCTTCTAGAAGGCTGGTCTCCCTGTAGAAGACACAGACCTTTTTTCTTCTAGAAGACGCAGCTTCTAGAAGAAGCTACTTCTTTTCTAGAAGAAGCTGTGTCTTCTGCCTAGAAGACAAAGCAGATCGCTCTGCAGATGTGTTCAGAAGCACACTTCTAGAAGGCCAGGAGGAAAAAGCTGCTGCGCGAGTTTTCTTTACCTAAGAGCAGAGCAGAACTCGCGCTCCTACAGCTTCCGCTTTCGTGCCCCAAAGAAATGCACTTCTGGGATTTGCGTACTGCGTCTCCAGTCGCCACACTTGGACACACTGATGATCCTCGTGTCCAAGTGAGGCGATTGGAGACGCAGCACGCAAATCCCGGGAACTAATTTCTGTAAGTTTCCTGCATAAGATTTGTGCCCAGATCGGTATTACCAGTGAGAAGACAAATCTTACGCAGGTAACTTACAGGAATTATTTCCCAGGATCTTCGCTGCGTCAAGAATTTCGCGATGCGGCGGAAATCCTGCAAGCCAATATCTGTAACTCACCTGCGTAGAATTTGTGCTCCAATAGGTATTGCCGATCAGACCACAAATCTTACGCAGGTGACTTGCAGGAATTTGCTCCCAAGGATTTTCGCCACATCAAATACTAACTCCTGGGATGTCAACGCATGTCCGAGGAGTTCTCTGATGTGAGCTGACACGCGAGGAGTTCTTGGATGTGACTTCAGGTCCGGGAACTCCTCGGATGTGAAGTCCTATCCGAGAAGTCCTCGGATGTGGAATCCTGGAACCTAATTTCTGTAGGCTGCCTGCGTAAGATTTGTGCCCTGTCAGCACAAGCTCACTCTCGCCGGCCTCCTGCGGGTTGCAACTTTCAGTGGCGCTGTAGTTCGCGAAATCTTCGCTGCGATCGGTCCAGAGCGGGGCAAGGGAACCACTTTCCTCGTCTAGTTCGTCACTGGTGGTGGCGGTTCCTTCTCGAATAGCCTCTGCGCCTAATGCTGTGGTCTCGGAAATTTTTATTTCCGGAAAAGGTTGGTGTTGTGTCGTTCTTTGCCCCCGAGTACGGTCTTGATCTTCCACAGGAACTATGGAAGAGGTGGACTCGTCGCAGTCTGGTGCTTGTTCGATGAAGGGAAAGGTCAAGTCTCGCGCACCCTCGGAGGTCCGGGCTCGCGCACTTCCGTCTGCGGAATTGGGAGTCGTGGTAGTGTCCGTGGTCGACGTATGGTCGCTCTGCTCTTCGGCTTCGGAAACGATTTTCTGGGACGTCGAAGCTGTAGAAGGGTGCCCACTTGGAAAAGATAAAGATGAATCTTCTGCTCGCGTAAATGTACTGAAATAATTACTATCGGACGCTGCAGGGATGAAATTCAAATTCTGGTCCTGGTCTTCTGTCGCGAAGACACTGCTGACATGTTCGACAGGGTCAGCTTCCGGATCTTTTTCTGCATTGGCATAGCCGCATTCTTGGTCCTGCTGCTTTTGCAGCACGAACTTCTTTCGGTCACCAGCCTCGTTGTGAGCAGGCTGACCTGCTCCCGCAAACGCGTCGACGTCATCGGGAAGATCTTTTTTATATCGTTCCTGATGTAGTTGTTCACTACCACGACCGTCTGCAGACGCAGGAGCTCCTGCAACAGCGTTGCTATAAGACAGCAAGCTCTCATGCTCCGCAAGGAGCTCGTGCGCCGTCGCCTCATGACTGAAATCCTGAAGACTCTCAACATGGTCGTCTTCTGCTGCGAGCTGGTCGAAATTTTCGAGCTGCTCGTACTGGTTGATATGGTCCTCGGCGTCCAAGAACTGTTCGTCGTCGTCAGAATCGGCTTCCCACGGTCCGAGCACCCCTTCCACCAAGTTCGAGACGATCCGGGTGATTTTCTGGTTCGGATCCAACAACGGCATCAGCACCGGCGCAACAACGGGCTGGTGCTGCAAAATCGGCGAAAAGAACACGGCCGCACTGCTCGAGCTGCCGACACCCCCTGCCGCCGAGCGATGGTCGCTTATTTCACTGCTTCTTTCATCCGCGGACCAGGAGTCGTATGGGCTGCGGCTGCTGCTATGAGTTGGTGTACTTCTCGAGGTCGTGGTTGAGGAATGTTGACCTCTCGTCACGACCTCAATGTGGCCTGATGAATATGTTCTTGATGTTGATGATTCCTCTGCGGATTTTTTACCGGTTTTGAATCTGTTAAAGTTTTCGTTCGCTGTTCGTCCCACAGATGACCCATGATCTAGTCGTGCTGGTGCGCTAGTATTATCGTCGTCCATGTGGCCACCGTTTGCAGCGTGCTTCAACCGCAGGCCCGCGCCCGCGTAGGGCTGCAACTCGCGCACGCACTCCCAGGCTCCCATGGCATAGGCCAAATGGAGCGCCTGCTCGACGTTCCACGGGATAGTAGGAAGGAAATCTTCCTTTTTGCGCAGGTCTTCTTGTTGTCCACCGCTCCTTGTGATCCTGACCGGGAACCGCGACATCAGCGGCTTGATCAGGTTCCAGTAGCCGGTTCGCACCGTGTAAACGAGCGGATCGTTGCCCTCTTTGTCGATCCAGTGAAAGCTGCCCTCGACGCTGTCAGCGGCGCAGGTTGAAGATGATGTTTTCGTCGTCGTAGAAGTGGTACTTTCGCCCTTTACTTGATCTACACCAGCACCAGCACCTCTCGACGCTCCCTTGTCTTGTCCTTCCGCACTACAACTAGATGTTCTTGTAGGAATATTAAAGAACTTGTCCATCAAGTAATCCACCATTCTCCTGTTGCCACTGGCCACGGCGTAGTGCAGGAGCGTGGCATTGGTGTCTGGGTGCGTGATCTCCAACTTCCCCCCGCACTCGACGAACAGGTACAAAAACAGCAAATTCCCGCTGAGCACCGCGGAAAACACGTCGTAGGTCTGCCGTGGATCTTCCCAGAGGGAGAGCTGCGCCTTGTTGTTCCACCAGAACTGGTTTCCCGAGTTGGTCGTGATCTGTTTCCACTCGCCCAGCACCGGGTGCAGCTCCTTCGGGAGCTGCCACTGGGACGTGTTCGTGTACGTGTTGTAATAGTACAGGTAATACGTGTCGATCAGCACGCGCCACCCCTTCCACGGGTCTGCATCTGGCGGGTGCCTTGAACTACATGTCGTTGTCCCACCTCCAGTCGGTGAAAGTATATCAGAACTGCTCTTGCTCCGCACCAGACTGCCGTGCTGGTCCGGTAGTAGGCCGCTAGATGAGCCTTCACTTGGAGTCAGCATCTTCGCCGGCTGTTGTCCTTGGTAGCTGCGGGACTGCGGGCTACAATTATCGGTTGAAGACGTGGCACCGCCGGATTGGAGTTCTTGGAGAGATGAACTTGCTCGCGATGATGTGCTATGGCAGTCCGGGGTGCTCACCGACCTGCGGCTGACGAGAATGGGCGGGTGATTCGAGGCGGTATCATTTTTGCTTGGATCTAGAACTTCTTCTACAGGTGCAGCAGCAGCAGGATTGGTGACGTCGAACACGGTATCCACACCGGGCTTGCTGCTCCAACTTGACGCATTGCCCGTCGACGAAGAAGAACCACTGAGCTCGTCGTGCTGTGTCGAAGGCTCATGCGCTGCACCGGAAGCTCCTACGATCCTAGTTGTACTACTACTACCGCCAGAGCTACTACAATTTGAGTAGGAGGACGCAGTGGTGTCGATGGTGGAGCAAGAGTCGTTCCCTTTCAACAAAAGATTAAGATTGCTGCCGCTATTACAACTGCTACTACCTCCCAGTGCAGCTTGTTTACAACCTGTCGTGCGGGAGCTGGCGAGGGAAGAAATCGTGCTGGACGTGCTGCGTGTGGTGTTCAACACGTAGGTTGTGTCGCTGCTTCCGAAGAGTGATGTATTGTTGCTGCCGTCGAATATCAAACTGGGGTCTGCTACCGCATCTTCAGCTGGTCGCTCTCGTGGTGCTCCTTCCGGCGCACCGGAAGTTGTACAACTGGATGAGCTCGTCATTGGTTGAAGATCGGTGTCCACGGCCTCCTGGTCAACATGCTGAACTTCCGCGGAACTTCCAGACGCGTTTCGATTCCTCACCTGAACAAGCTCGACGTCAGAGCTAGTACCCGAAGATGAAGACGTCAGGTCTTCGCTCCTCTCTTTGCGTGGTGTTGTTCTATCTAGTACCTGCTGCGCAACAGGCGCTGATGCAGACGCCTTAGAGGACGTCGCAGATAACAGCGATGAAACACCAGGGCGGTGTCGCGCGTAGTGGTCGTCGGCACCGCTCGTCAGAAAACCTGCATGATCACTAGTCGTCCCAAACCTTGGGGAGAGGTTGATCTTCTCGATGTAGTCGTTTCCTTGCAAGAGCTGCTTCTTTCCACCTTCCTCCTTTTCATCAGGACCACCAGCGCATGATGTTCTTTCCAGCACCGTGGAGGTAGCAGGTGCTCCTGATGTAAAAGGTACCATACCAAGTTTAAGAACATCTACATCAGCAGGTCTCGTCGACGTTCCACCGCGCATAGATGTTGAACTTCCATCTTCCGGCACCACGAAGCGACCAGGGGTGGACAACAAGGAGGTCTTGATGCTGTTCACAACAGTAGAACTACTCGAACCGTCTGTCGTAACTTTTGCTACTGTAATTCCCGCTCCGCCTCCTGCAGCTCCGGTATTTTTTGCACTTGCGGTCGCTGCCAGCCCGGCCAACTCGGAAGGCGCGGACCTCGTTTGTCGAGGGAGCGGCTGCAGGAGAGCTGTTGAACTGGAAGTAGATGTTGAACTGGAGGCTGCAGGACCATTTTGATTGCTACCCTGTTGCTGTTGGTCAACATCATCTCCATGATCTCCTCCCACAGTTGCACTCTTGCTATAACAACTCGTCTGTGGTAGAACCGGCACAAGCGTGAGCGTTCCCGTTCCCCCCGCGGCTTGGTTGTAACTGTTAACTGCCGTAGCAATCGTAGATAATGGCGAAGCGGGGGCGCAGGAGGACGAGAGGCTTCTACCGCTGCCGGTGGTCGTGGTCGCGGGCGGGTCTACTAGTGTAGTTCTTGACGCAGTCACAGAAGTCACACCGACACCCACAGGCATGATTTCCACATCATGTTCTCGTTCGTGTTCCACTTTGTTGTTCATCGCAGGATTCAAAAACTTGTTCAGCCGACTTGTAGCTCGACTCTCTCCTTCCTCTGCACAAACACGACCTCCTACCCGCGAAACTGCGCAAGACCTGGCCTCCGCTTCGTCAAAGGACGGCGACGCCGGAACGCGACTCGCCCGGGTGCGTGCCGAGTTGGTGCAGCTCGGTGGGTCGGGGTACCAGGCAGTTTGTGGTGAGCTAGTACTACATGCGGTTGTATCAATGGAAGGCGCGTGCGCGTGGTGGACGACGTCCATGGCCTCGACGTCGACTTCCACGTCCTGGTGGCCCTCATGCTGCGCGTCCGGCACGTCGCTGACATTTTCCAAGCTGTTTTGCCGTAGAGGAAAAGCAGACGGCACAGCAGGGTTGATCGTCGACGGATGCGCACTTAGCGCTGCTGCTTGTGCTTCTGGTACTGGTTCTGCTGCTTGTGCGGAGGAAATATTATTCTCAACTGGTGAGGAGGGGGAGGAGGACATTGGCAGCTCGTCGGTCGGTATTGTTTAGTGAAAAGAACTACTAGCTTGGAAGAAAATGCTGCTGCGATCTTCCCTTTCTTTCTAGTATTTATTTTCGCTCGGGTGTAGTAACATTTTTTTCGTTGTGTATCTTCATTTTCGCAGCGGCAGCATCTTCTCTCGTCTGGCAAAAAAGCCTAGGAGGCGGGATTTGGCACGAAAACTTCAAGTCAATCAGTGCAACTTGCGGATAATCGAACAAGCAGTGACGAGTCTACGCGGTTCATGCAACAAAAACCGCTGCACTCCGTCGTCTTACTTCTAATTACATTTGATTTTGGTTTTCTTGCATGCAGATAAAGTTAAAGGAGCTTAGTAGATCGATAGATAATCAAAAAATAACTGGAGATGAACTCTTGGAAAAAAAATCTACGGACATCAGTTATGGAAAATGAAAAGGCATGAGTTGTGATATAAAACAAAGCGGCGTGCAAAAAATTGTGTCGAGGTGTTCTTGTTGATAGACGAGCCTCAAACTTTTCGATTGCGACGAGGCCGAGGTGACAACGAGTTGTTTATCCCCATGACAATCTCAACTCTTACACGAGTTAGAATAGATTCGCTAGTTCAACTAATGTAAGTGCGTGACCAGGCAATCGCACCCGCCGGTGACTACACCCTAGGGCTGTGGCTCTTCCGAAACAAACCCCCTGGAAATAAATGTAATTCTGTTATACCGGTATTGACTTACTTGCGAAGATGACACACGAGCAGCTACACGTGACTGCTGTAAGTCACTTGATGCACCTGCTCCTGCCGTGGCAAAACTGCAAGGATTTTAGATTTCTTATTCTTACGTGCACGTGAAATAAAATAAAACGACCCAGAGACGTCGAATGCTTTGCTACGTTGCGCGGGGAGCACGGCAATTAAACTTCGCAGAAAAAATTACGCCCGAATCGACATCGACGATACTCCCTTACATCAATGCCGTTTGTGGTCTAACTCTGAAAAGATTGAATGCCGTGCTACTACCTGGCGCAGGAAAATCGCGTCACTAACGTCATATTAGATAAAGCGTAAACTACTGGTGGGACTACTAGTAAAAGCAATGGGTCGCTCCTAGTGCAGGTGGAGGTGCAGCAACATGTGGGTTTTGTTATGCTGGGGCTCTTGCTTAGGGGAATAATATTCTACCTGAGCCCCGCATTCCTGCGTCCCGCCTGTGATGAAATAAGAGAATGATCGCGAAGAAGTCTAATTTTCACATACAACATGCGGCGACTTTCACAAAATAAATCGATTTCCATTCATAACCGATAAAGTGTATTGAGAAGGCACTGCTTGCAGGGCAGGCCGTTCCTCTCTGTACCTCGTCTCTCTACTTTTCGTCGCACTTTGTCCTTTCTTTTGCTCTCGTTTTGTCACTTTCACGCTCTATGTCGTTGATGGGTTCAACGAAATTGTCTCTCGAAGATGTACTACGCGTTTTTCGAAAAAACCATAACAAAAATATCAGAATGATACATTTTTTTCTGCAATGAAAATTTCGGCTAAAAACGGTGCTCAAATTGCTTGTTTCCGCCTCTTGATTCTCTTGTTCTTACCTTCTTCTGACTGTGGTAGATACTAGAAATTGCTTTGCGTTCACGTTGCGAAGTAACCAGGGGTCATGATGAAACCTGTTGTGTCTGTTCAGAAATCGTGAAAATAAAAGACAATTATTGAGCGCAGGCGGATCTGGATTTTACAAAGAGTGTACTTCGTAAGTTCAAGTGAGTAGCTCTGCTCTTAACTATTTGAATTTCTATTCTCTTTTCCAATATTGTCGCTGTAATAGCGGACGTACCCGCAGCACAGCAAATCAAGAAGCAGCGTAAAAAAACCTGTAGATATCAAATATAATAATGTCTCCTCCGTCAACATGTGTGAAACGCAACCTTACATTGGACCGGAGAAAGAGGAAGTTTTGGTTGTCCCTAGTATGCTTTATGCACGGAGTCTACTTCACTGTTTGAATTCGGTTGTCTGCGTTTGTTGAAAAACTACGACCACCAGCACAGCGACCTTACTTAGTGATTGTCCGCGTCATCCATCTCAGCGTAAGCCAGAATCCACGCCAGATCCTATCCTGTGCAAAGACGGTTGGTTCCCGTGTGCTCGTAGTTCCCAGAACTCCCAGAAGCATAATCTTCATGCACCATGGGAAAGGACTGTACTCTACTAACTAGTATTATCCAACGTCCTCGCTGCTACAAGTCATCATACCATTTCCGCGTGAAAAACATGCAAGTGGTGGGAGTTGTTGAACCTTTTTCTTTTGAACACTAACACCATGTCCGCAAACATACATGAAAAGTAACAGACACCACATCGTGGGACTGAAGGTTTTGAACAGGATAGAATCAGCGCCTGATCCACGCCGGGCGCGATCTCCACCACGTAGTCCTGCGGGGTCCACTTTCCCGGGAGTTATCGCACGAAAAAACTGCAGCCTATCAACAAGTGTCATTGTAACCGGTGCAACGCAGAAAGTAGCTCTGGTCTTCTTGCAAGAAGATATGCAAGAGCGAGTCCCACATTCCTTCCGCCCATGCACAGACACGAACGAGGCAGACAAACCTTCTTGTTTAATGTTTTTGTTTATTGTAGGCCGCAAGAAATAAGCTCGCTTGTATAATTTCTAAAGTCATCAAATCGATGTCTCTTAACGAAGTTCGACTACAGTTTTCTCGGGCGATAAAAGGGCAAAGCTCTTCGCAGTCACAGGCGAGTACATCTTGGCGATGCAAATGGCCCCGGTGTCCGCTGGGCTGGCTCCCTCTTTACCGGAGGTCTCCAGCGGGCTGGACGTTGTGTCGGGGTTCTTCAGCAGCCAGATAGTGCCTCCGCTGTAGGCGCAGTAGGACATGTGCGACTTTATCCTGTGAAAAAACATCGTCAACACCTCCCCAGACTTGTTTTATGCAAGTCTGCAAGGAAGACTACAGCGCTTCTCATGTGCAACCTCACCATGATCAGCATTTTCAATATTCGAATTTTCGTTGGCTGCAAATTTTTTTCACACGCTAGATGATTCCGAATGACGCGATCGATTTTTTCTGGTGCAGCTACACAACTGGCTAAACACCATGACGCTTTGAGCCCAAACTTGTAGTCATGAGCGACAACCAAAAGCGGTGAGTTCTTGGTGTAGAAAAAGGCCCATGTTGACTTTGGGGAGGGAGCCGCTCTTTCACACTGGATATACTTCAGGTAAAACTTGTTTTTCCCGGAAATGCCGTCTTCCGTGTACTGGACCGTGTTGGGGCAGTTGGAATTGATCTGTGAAAGATGTCGTTTTAAACATATTTTCATTTGTGTATCGCGAAAAATCAAAACGCCACGAAAATATCCTGATCATGAGCTGAAAACAAGTGCACGAAAATTACGATGTATCCAATATCGTCAAAAAATCTATGGCATAATATACAGTGCAGATGTCCTGCTCCCCCTCTTCCTCCTTCGCGTCAAGCTTTTTGACCGCTTGCTTGTGGTGGAACCAGCCCGTGCCGAAAATGGAAAACACCGGCTTCCCGTCGCTGTCAAAAATCTTTTTCTTCTGCTTCCGCAGGGACCACTTCTCTCCCTTCACCTTGAAAGCGATCTTTTCCTCCTTGTCGTCGTTCATGTCCATTACGTCATAGTCGTTTCCCGTCATGGACCAGAACTTTTGCTTGACCTTCAGCACGGAATTCTTTGCGCCGCTGGTCACATACTTCTTGCCGAAAATGGAGTACTTGTCCGCTTCGTCCTGATGAATCGGACTCAGCTTCTGCTCGTTTAATTTCAAGGACTCCTTGCCCGAGCAGCAGCATGAAAATGCGGCTTTCATTTTCTGATCAGGGATGACCACTTACTGCCGCTAGTTGAGGAGCCTGAGATGAAAAGCGAAAACCGCGACAGAAGCTGGAAATTCGTATTTTCTTACGATCTTGTTCGAAAGACTTCTGCAAATACCACTACGGAATACCCGCTCAAAAGTGTTAATAGTAAGTGAAATGCTACTTAAACTTTTCCTGCTTCAAACGGCAAGAAAATGACTCAGCCGAGAAAACAAAACAAAAAGCTCGACTGTATCTTCGGAATCGAACGATAGCTCCCTGCCACTACTAGCGTCAGGGAAATGGACGTCGTCTTTTTCTGTCGAAGTTGCAATCGATAGAAATAGGTCGTCTTCGTAGAGGATGGAGTGTAGTTCCTCTCACTCTACTTATAGCAGCCAGGTGCGCCAAACAAACGACGACGAATTTCGAGCGCTCTCTCGGCTTTTGGAGTTTCCTTTGCGAGACGAGAGTCCGCAGCTGCAAATGTCAACATTTTTGGTACCGAGCAAGTGCAGTGCCTTAAAGGCAGCAAGTTACCGACCATGAAAAGCATCAGCTTCAACTTCGACGCCCAGGAAGTTCGCGTTCCCTCGCTGAGACAGAGAGGGTTCCTCCTTCTTTTGTTTTCGTACCGAGGGCGCTTTCGCGCGAAACGCAGCGAGCAGCTTGTTTGTCGACATTCGTCCACGACTGTTTTCAAGAACTTGACTTAACCTGAGCAACATACTTTCTTGTGGTCCGACCGAGGTAAAAATGGCAGTTCTTTATTTGCGCGATTTAATCATTGTGGTGATTTATGACGACGCCGATGTTTTTTTTGTACCTTCCCAACTGTGAATGTTTGAAACAACTTTCGAACAAGAACAGAGTCGAGAAAAACCTTTGATCCCGCTTTTCTCGCAGAGAGTCCTCTAGGCAAAAGAAATCGGTCACCACCACCAAGTTGTCGTCTTACAACTGTGATGGAAAAAATGGCGAAAGTAATATTAGTGTCGCTTAATATTCGGTTCTCTCTATACGGTGTTCCAGCCTCCAGACTGGTTTCCCGTACCGCGTTCGTTTTTACTTGCGTTCTCTACTTCTGTGCGTCTAGTGGAAAACGAGGTAAGAAGTCACAGGGCGGGCGCGCTCCTTTTCTTGTTCCGCTCCGGATGGAGGAGCATGCGGTATGAGGAGCTTCATGTATGTCAATTTTCATCCCATTCAAACAGACAACAGGACTGCAAATACTAAAGTGCTTGCAGTTCCGTGTCTACTTCTTTCCTCAATCCACGTCCATCCCGTCCTCGATGTATCCTCCGTTGGTCGCCCAAAACTTGAACGTCCGGTCAAAGGCCACGGAGGCGACGAGCGCGGACAAGGCCCGGCCCTTGCTGCTCAAATTCTGTCCGACCGCGGGACAGATTGCCGCGCCCATCACGCGGGCCTCGTGGCCAACCAGGACCTTCACGCAGTGCCGGTCGTCCACGTTCCACAGCTTGACCGTCTTGTCGTAGCTGGAGGTGAGAAAGTACCGCCCCGTGTCGTCGAACTGGACCTCGGAGATGCACTTGCTGTGCGCCTATCAAATGCAAAAATGTCTGGGTCTGGAAGAATGCAACTTGTGATGCTGCGTTTGGATTCCAAAAAAATCTGTATATATTGCATGAGTACCAAAGGAAGTGCCATTTTTGCTACGCTCGTATCGTATCGCTTTGACATTTGACTCCTGTCAGGGTGGCGTTAGAACAGATTTAGCCTCTGCCAAAGCCGTGGCGTTAGAACAGATTCAGCCTCTGCCAATACCCCTAGGTGGACACCCGTTCCACGTCCTACAGGTACCACCCGACCGCATCCGCTGAACCGTTTCCGATTTCTTACGCGTGTATACGGCCTGTGGGCGTTAGATGTGGCTGACCTGATTTACCATCCAAGCCCGCGAGCAAGGTGGAGCTCCAGTGTTGCCTTGCGGGGTTATTCTTACAAACGTAAAACGCTACTGCTTTTGTGGTCGGTTGCGCGCTATGATATACAGGGGGTCTATTGGTCACACACGTTGACCCTATCACGATGCCGGGCAACCCCAAAGCATGCCCCTTTCAAGCACTTTACCGACCTGCTTCCGCGCACCCTTTTTATGCGCATAGGTAGAATCGGACTTTGAAGCTCCGCGTTAGCAGAGCCGCCACCGCGCCCGCCCCGGGGGGCCCCTTGGGGAAGGGGGGCGCTGCCTTAGCGCAGTCTTTAACTTAGCAACCCTGTTGCCACCTACTAGTAAAAGGGACGCAATGACGACGACGGGATAGCAGCGCCGTGCCTACCGGCTGGCGAGGACGAAATGATTAGCAGCGCCGTGCCTTTTAGCTGGCGGAAACGGAGCCCTTGCAGGCTAGCTGTGACGACCAAGGGAGCCACTTTCTTTCTTCTCTTTCTTTTTCTTTCCTCTGCTTCCTCTCCCCTCCGCCGACGCCCAGAACACTGTGCCCCCATTATGCGTCCTTATGTTTCGTTCTCTGTTCTCTTTCTTTCATCATTTTTGGACATTTCCTTCATCATTATTTCTCAGCGCATGTTCCTATACCTCTGGGCTAACTCATCTTGTAATGGATTTCCATACTTCAGTCTTTTCATAGATCTCCATTCTTCCTGCCGCTTGCGCTCCTCTTCCCGCTCCGCTGCCTCTTCGCGGTCCCGCTTCCGGTCCCTCTCGTTCAGCTCCTCCAGCGTTGGGAATCTTTTTTCTTCCTTTTTATCTTCTTTGTTTTGCCATCTCTGTTTCGCTTATATCTTTAGCGATTTTCTTCTTCAGTCCTCCAAATCCCCCTTCTCCACCTGGTTCTGCTGCTTCTCGTGCTGTCGCTTCTGTTTCGTCCTCCTTTTCCGGCACTTGGCGCACTTGCTGCGTGTTCTTCTCATGTCGCGTCGCATCTCCTGCAACTTCTTTGCTCGCTGTTTTCTGTTCTTTCGAAACTTCCCTCTTGGGCAGTTTGCCTCCTGGCCCCCCTATCGTAATTTTTTGAAACATCTCCCGCGTTGCCTCCTCCGGTCCTTGATCCTTATAATACCCCATGCCAAAATGCCCAAGTTTGTACACGTATCCTGGGCGGCTTCCCTGATACTCCTGCGCCGGGTAGAAATACGCATCTTCCTCTGTTTCGTCCTTTTCTTCTTTTTTTGATTCATTTCGCCCTTCTGTTATTTCCGGCACGTCTCTCCTGGTGCTGCTGCTCGGCGTCGCGCGGGATTCTAGTGGAACGTCTTCGGCTGTTTCTAGTAGGTCTGTGGCTCTTCCTATTATATCCAGCGCCCTCTGCAGCATTTCACTTCCTTCTTTTTGTGCTCTTATCTTTTCCCCTTCTACCATTTTTCTGATTGTTTCTGCTAATGACCCGTTGCCTATCTCCCTGCTCGTGTCCATCGGCGCAGTGTTCCCCTTGGGGCCTTTTCCGCAGCGAGCGTTTTCCTTCGCACTGCTGCCTGCCCCCTTCCCCTTCCTCTCTCCTGCGCTGCCTTTCTTTCTGCCGTCCCCGCCTTCACCGCTTCCCTTCTCCGTTTTCTGCCCTTCTTTCTTTTCATCTCCTATAATCTTCCGGTAGATGTACACTTGTCTTTCTATTTTTGACATTTCCGGCCATTCCCAGACCGGTTTTGTCGGCACATTTTTTGCCCCGAAATCGTACTGAACCCATTCGGCATATTCGTCGTCGTGCTTCGATACGTTTGCCACCTTCAAGGGTATCACTTCTGTATAGCCCCCTTGTGCTTCTCTCTTTGCGAGGGTTTTGGGCGCGTTCTGCTTCCCCCAGCGCCTGGCTACTATTAATCCCGGGATCTGTTCCTCTGCTTTTTCTATTTCCTCCTGCAGCTCTAGCGCTATCCCTTGTTCTTTCCGCAGGAGCCCCCGCGTTTTCTCTTTCATCTCGTCGTAATCCAGCAAGCACACGCACACACCTCCACTCCCTTCGCGTTGCTGCTTCTTCACCATCTCTATCGCTCTCATGGCGTTATTGCAATACGCTACGAATTTTCGTTCTTCTGTCCTAACTTCTGTCTTTAGGTGATCCTGCCTCGTTTCAATTGTTGCCATGTGCTCTTCTTTCCCTTTCCATTCCTCTACTGTTACCGTCGTGGCCTCTTCCTTTTCCGTGTGTTTTACCCATATTTTCGTCATGCAGTCACTTTGCCCTTTCTTGCCTTTCCCCCCTTGTTTTATTTTGTCCGCAAGCAGACTCCTGTCGCATCTGTACACGTGCTGGCATTTTTGCTACGCTGGGAAGGCATTTGTCATGCGTAATAGGCATCAAGAAGCCCTCAAAAAATCTGTATTGCTAGGGTATGGATCACAGACATCATGACTCATGCAAAACGTACATGACAAGTTTCAGAATCTTCCAGACCCAGACATTTTTACAGTTGATAGCGCCTGCAGCGTGTTGGCGCACTTGCGCTTCCGCAGGTCCCAAAAACGCACGGTGTTGTCGTCACTCGCCGAGTATCCAGTGCAAAAACGAACTTTATGCTCGCGGGTCTGGAATAGCACTAGGTAGTAGCGTACTTACATATACAACGACCAGGATCCTTCAGCTTCAGTAGTCGCCCTCATGCAGAGTCAGAAACTACAAGCAACGTAGTGGCACAAACTACAACAGGCCACGAATGGTCTTACAACTTTCCAGATCCCGAAATGATCCAGTTCAAATTCGCACTTCGTACTGTCGCGAGCAGAAAGCCGCGCTGGTTAAAGTCGCAAGCGAGGACTTGCTCGTAGTGGCCCTGTGATGAAATAAACCGATTAGGAGTGGAGATCAGCCATCGATGAGAGATTTCTACTACTTCCAATTTGGATACTACCAAATGCAAACTCGATTGTGAATTGAATTGTAATTCAATAGCGTGAATTGAAATGAAAAGAAAACAGGATCTCGCCCTTACCTGCAGTGGCAGCACGGTGCGCCCTGTTCGGAGGTCCCAAACGCGACAGATGCCGCCCAGATCGGTGGTGCACAGCAGACTGCCATCCGGATGTATTGCGAGTCCGTAAACACCTGCAGAAGTGCGATTCGGAAAAATGATGTTGCAATCAAGTCAACATCATTTTGGTGTTCGTTGCAACTACAACACACCCTCAACTTCTATGCACTTGCGCGACAACTAGACCAACAACTACAACGTGAACGAGCATGCAAACATTTTGTGATTTTTGCGCAGAGACGAGAAAAGGTTGCAAAGAAAACTTCTCAGTATGCTGCCAAAAAAAACTGTACCACTGGAATGGCCCTCCTGACAAAGCAGCTCTGTTTGCCGTTCCACGTCCCAAAGCCGCCAGGTCTGGTCGTGACTGGTGGAAGCGACTAAGTTTGCGCCCGACGGGTGGAAGGCGACCCGGTTCACGCGGTCCTCGTGGCCTATCAAATGTAAAAATGTCTGGGTCTGGAAGAATGCAAACTTCTCATGCATATTTTCCATGCCGCATGAGGTTTGGAATGCAGGACCTAGCATGACAGGTTCTGCGACGTCCCTAGCATGCCTATCCTGCATGACAAACTGCCTCTAAACTTGTTCAAAACTGGACAGCTGTTGGCAGTCATGCAACACAAATTTTTGTACGATCCAGACTTAGCATGACAAGTTCGCATCCTCCCAGACCCAGACATAATTGCAATGCATATGGCCCTTCAGTGTGCAAAGCGGCAGCTCCTGGTCGCTGCGCCAGACGCACACCGAGCCATTGGCCATGGCGCCCGCCAAGTGATGCAGTCGCTGCGGTGGACCAGCAGAATTGTCGCTTGTAGTTGACGCAGCAGCAGCTGTATCCATCAACGCGGTGTTGTTGTCCAGATTGGCGAAACAGACCCCGTGCGCACGGGTCTCCACGCCGGAGTGCAGGGTGCGAAAATGCGTGCCCTGCGGGCTGTTCCACAGTTTTATGTGGCCGGTCCAGCTACTCGTGGCGAAGACGTTTCCGTCCTTTGAAAAACGGCCTTGCGTCAGCGGCCGCGTGTCGCCGACCTGCGACAGCTCAATGGAGACGGTGTCCGTGACGTGCTGGCAAAATTTCTCGTTCTCCTCTTCCCGCGCGGCGCGAATCTTTTCGTCCTCGCGCTCCTGATCCAACCGCGCTTGCGCGGCTGCGAAGGAAAACCTAGAGTACAGGGTTTTCATTTTGATGCGATTTTTCCTTGTAAAGATACTTTAGGAGTAGAAATAAAATGCTCGATAAAGAATTCCCTTTACTCGGCTTGTTTTTTTTTTGGTCGTAAAAATCATTATCATAATATCATACTTTGCTATTCCTTTTCTTCGCTCCCTCAAGAGGTCGCTGCCGACGGTAAGAAATAGTTCTCGCTGCTCGTCGTCCTGCGGCGCGCCGCCGTCCGCATCTACTTTGCCAGACTCCGTGGTGTCCCGGCTCCCGGTCATTATGCCGCGCAGACGCTCGCGCCTCTCATACCTGCAGTGAAATCGAAGATCTATTTTTTTTTTCTCACACATGATCTTGATGCAAGAAACAAAACAGTGACGAAAGTTGTTGTAGAAGACAGTACTTACGAGGACATCAAGTATCGCTCTTCACACACTGCAACATGACGAGCGACTCGGATTGCAAAAAATCAAAGAAAAAATACGGTCCTTCGCCGAAGAGCGTGATGGGCACGCCGTAGTCGCGCAATTTCGCCCGGACCGCCTCATCGCGGGTGGGCAGCTGCAGTGTCCGCCTGCCCTGGATGTCCGCCGTGATCATGGACCTCTCCCGATTAAAAAGCTCCCGCTTCGCGGCCATGTGGTCAGCGCGGAGCTCGACCGTGTGGCCCTCAGGGACGACATCCTCCTTCACGTCGAGGGCCATGGCCGCACCATAGTGCAGGTGCGATGAAGAAGAGCCACCACCCTCCATGTTGTTCATGTCGGATGGTAAATGTGCTTGTGGTGCGTCGCCCGGACGAGCCGTAAGTAGTTACTTTATGTTGAGGCTATGAGGACGAGAATCCTCTTCACCAGACTGCTGCTGCTGCTGTAGGTGTACTGGTAGTTGCGGCGGCGCCACGGAGTCGGGGCAGCTCCTGGTGTGCAGCACTGGTTCCTCCTACGAATCAATTATTGATTCGCTGCGCATTTCCATTTCGTTCTCCTTCGTTTACGACATTCAAATCAATAACTTGAACGCTCTGTCGCTACGTGTTATCTGAATAAATAGACTATAGACCACTCTAGAAGCAGCTCTGCGCAGGTTTGTATTTCGCGAAAAAAGTGTACAACTGTCGTGGTTATGTATATGATAAAGGAAAGAACGAGATTGGAGGAACGAGCTTGCTACACAACAAGTGAGACTTCGCGATTTTGGTGAAACTAAACTGTCGCCATCAAACTAAACAAACTGTCGCCTGAAGAGAGAGTATAGAAAGATCGGTGAAAAAGATAAAAATTTCAAGACATTTGCATCGGAACTTCTTTTTCGATAAACAAAAATGGAAAAGCCTTCTTCTGTGCCTAATATCAATACCAATTTCTACGTGTGTAAAAAGTGTTGGTCTCGTTGCCGGTCGCTGCGGCCGACTCCGACAACAGGGTCGAAGATCATCGACATTATCACCAGAAAAATGATAAGTAGATCGTTCTCCATAGCCAAAGGGCAGATCGTCCTCAAAATTAGATTGATATGATCGCGGCGAAAAGTAGAGAAATCGCTGGCGACGTTCTTGTTCATCGCATTCGAATTGTGTGGCAGTGCGTGGCTGAAAGGTATTAGACCATGTTGTATGAAAACGGAACAAATTCATCGTGTGATGTGGAGATATCATTGTAGCAGATCAATCTAAGAATCTTCACGCAAATTATGTGGACGTTGAGAGAACAAAGGATCGTCTCGAAGAACCAAAGTTCATCCACTTTAACTTCATGCATCAGCGCAAAAATAAAATCGAGAACGCAGTGACAGTGACTTCAGCAGCTCATCTGGAGCTGATCTGTGCATCTGCAACCGGTCATCGACCGGTCGCAAGGTGCACGTCCACGTCGCTTTTCTTTTTCACACACTGTTCAATAACTTTTATGCTTTTCAGCCGCCGCTTAATGCGTCAGAAATTCTCTTGTTTTCCATCCCATCTACTGTAGTTCTTTTCGCATCATCTTGTTCCCTGTCAGTTTTCATCGTCCCTGTTTCTTCTTTTTGTTGTTCGTGGGAGGTTTTAGCTAGTTTATTTTCAGCTACTTCAGCAGCAGATTCTTCCTTTTGCGGCAGAATGGACAGCAAATCCTTCCGCATCCGCTCAAAGCGGGCCACCAAAGAGACTTTTACCACCGGCTGCTCCTGTTGTGCACCACTTTTTTTGCTGTCCTTCCTCGTGGACGAAGAAGGGTTCTTGACATCGCTAGTACTCGCACTCGTTGTACTCCTCGTCGTCGTTCCAACGTCGGCTTTATTTTTGCAGGCAATGTCGATCTCCTTGGCGTCAAACAGGACCGCGAGCGCGTGGTAGCGTTCGAGTTTCGTGAGGAACACCGGCACCAAGCGCACGACCTCCTCCTCCTGTTTCAGGGCGGTTTCCTGGATTTTTTCCTTCACGCGCTGGCGCTTCTCCAAGTCGTCGCGCAGTTCCGCTTGCAGTGCCGGGTTCTCCGCGATGGCGTCGTCCAGCTCCTCGTCGGGCATGTCGATGGACTTCCGCTGGGCGGACTGAAATTTCGTCAGCAGAAAGGTCTTCACCGCGAAGTCGCACACCTCCAGAAAGTACTTGGGGGACAGGGTCCACAACTTGTCGTCCGTTTCCTGCAGCACCCGCAGGACCGCACTGGGGGTGGTCGGCAGCACACACGACTGCTTGAACAGAGTGTACAGCAAGTCCTGGTCCGCTTTGGTCAGCTGGATGTGTGGCCGAAGCTGGTCCTGCTGCGCGCCGCTCGCCACGCTCGGACGGTCCACCAGCGTCGGGATCTGCAGCAGTACCTCCACGGCGCGGCCCTGCGGAATGAAACAGATTTACATTTGACTTTAACCGTGGGGAAACGATTGAATCTGAATGAAAAAACGGGGTCCCAGGAGTGCGTCGCTTCGAAAAAGAAATTCCCTGCTAGCTCTCTAGCTGTAGTAGAAGGAATCAAACAATAAAAAACCCAAGCGTTGCTCCCTCGCGTAGTTCAAAATTTGTTCGCGATTCAAAGCGGGAGCAACTGGATGCTACTCCACTCCTTGGATTCGAACAAGAAAGACCACAGTTACAGAAATCATATCAGGCGTAGTACGTGCTTTCCCAGTTTTTCCCAGGCTTCGCTGGCGCGCAGGTAGCCTTTCAGAAACCCCGGATCCGTTTTCACGGCTTTTTCTGCTTCTTCTGCCGCGCTTTTGAACATTTTCTTTTTCAAGAAGCACAGGCTCCGGTTGCTGTGGAACAGCGGCGCTTTTTCCTTCCGCAAACGAGACAATGTTTCGTTGGACGTCATCACCTGCAGACCGAGGTCGTACAGTTGAAGCGCCTGATCGAAGTCCATCCGCTGGACGCAAATTTTGCCCTGCTCCTGCAGCTTCGAAACACGGTCTGCAACCTGTGTGGAGATTGGAAACGCTTTTTGAACAGCCACCGGTCTCTTCGTCGAATGTAGTTAGACTCTACTGTGAGAACTGCACGACCATCATGCACCATGCAGATGCACATCACTTTGAAATTTCTGTTACTCAACAGGAACAGCAACAACATGATCTCCGTCACTACAATTGGAATGATTGATGTTCAGTTATTGTTCATAATGTGACCTCGTCTTCAGGTGTAGATCGAACAGACGAGGACGCGCTCGCCTGTTGGCGGCCAGCACCAGCACTAGCAGCCGCGGGAACTGCTGCAGACTTCTTGTTCTCGTCGTTTATCAGGCCAACGATCTGGATCCCCCGCATGAGGTTCAGGTTTTCCACACGCAGCCCGTGCGTCCCGTCGTACAAAATCTTGAACCACGGCTCCTGCAGGGTGATACGGGATCCCGGCGGAAACTGCCCCTGCATGTCCGCCAGCGTGAACCGGACATTGCGATCTTGTCCTTGGACCCGATCTGCCGCGGTGAACGCCGATGCAGTTTTTGCCGAACAAACCGATTGTGCCTCCGTGCTAATCCTTTCCTGCGCTTTTTTCTCTGCCACCACATCCGTACTAGAAGTACTACCGCCCGAAGATGTTCTTGTAGTAGAACTTGAGGCCTGCTCTCTTTCTTCTGTATTGTCGACTGCAGGTGTTGGAGATGTATCTCCGCTGCTGTCCTGAACCTTCTTTTCCTGCGTCCCTTCGTTCTTTATTTCCTGCGCTCGTCCTCCCCCCTCCACTTCCTCCGGCAATCTTGCTCCCTCCTCCTGCTTGTTTCCACCTATGACGCACTTTTCGACGTTCCTGCCCTGCAGCACTACCAGGCGCAGCCGGTCGCCGTTGTCGTCCTCCAGCAGGGTGGCAAAAATCTCTTTGCCGCCCGCCGGTACCCAGTTGTCGACAACTTTGGCGTGGACCAGGCATTTGGAGTGAATGCGGTCCAGACGCAGGTCCTTGAACCGCAGGATAAACACGTCGCCGAGGTCCAGTGGCATAATTTTCTGTAGTATTCCGTTCACGGCTCGGAAATAGGTTTTTCGGTGAAACTGAAACTCATGTGAACGACGAGGACATCAGTCGACTTCACTTTATCCGTCGACTTCACTTTGCTTCAAAAAGCAAAATGCTTGGATATGCATATGTGCTCGCTGACGGCGGAGCGAAATCAAAATTATCCTCACAGACATTCATCGTGAAAGAGAACAACGGGAGGGTCACCGTCGCGCTGCCCAACTTGCATCATCATCTCTCCACTGCTCAACCTACACGCGGGGTGCTTCTGCTGTGAAAGCTCGCTCACCTGACGCAGCCGCACGAGGCGGGTCACTCAGGAGCCAGCGCATGCCTCTGGTACAACCTTCTTCAGGACTTGCGAGCTCCTCGTGCCCGAGCGTGACGAACACTAAACTACCCTTGTTCTACTGGTGTCGCGACGGCAGACGGCGTTCGGGAAGGATTTCTTCTTTTCATTTGCACAACCCAAATTCGTCAAGAGCCGATAGAATGAGTGCAGTTGTTCTGGTAATGCAACTTCTACTGCTAGTTCTGCAGCCCCGGTGAAATTGCCTTTTCTCTCATGGTGCAATACCGCTCAAGAACAACAACTAGTCCTCGAGAACTTTTCAGTGGTTTTTCTCGTCGACCTTCCTCACTGCGAGGGTTTCGGCTTGCTCCAGCCCAGAGATTCGAGGAACTGAAGGCTCGAAGCGGATAATCCGACGCCAGGAGCCGAAGATGCTTGTCCTGTTCCTGGTGGTGAAGGCCGACTGCAAGCTGGCTTTCCTAGTTCCGTCGCACTCGCGGCCGCGGCGGGCGAGGATCCAGCAGCGTTCATCATTTTGTTCTTGCTTGCCGTCGTCGCACCGCCACGCCCACCGGCTTTGCCCATTTTTTTCTTCGCTGCAGAAGGTGGTGGTGGAGAATCATGACCTGCTTCTACTTGTTGTTCCTTACCCGTGGTCTTGTCTTGCTTGATGTGTGCCTTCTGCTTCGCTTTTTGTCCGCCGTCGACGTCTCCAGTGGTTGCAGATGTCATGCCCTGCTGGAAATTCGAGGTGGACCTATTGCTCACCATGTTCATCTTGCCTTGCCTCAGTTTATTCGAAGCCTTCAAGACTTTATTGCCTCCCCGTAAAGGGGTGCCCTGCGAAGACTGCTGCGAGTTAAATGCGAAAGCGGAAAAAAAGTCGTCGATCTGGTTATTTCCATCGGAGGAAATGCCTCCGGGTCGTGGACCGCCTTGCTTCTTCTTCGCACCGGGCTTCTTCAAAATGTTTCTGTTCGGTTCGCTTGCTATAGGAAGCTGCTCTTCTTCCTTTTCACCTGGATCATCATCGTCGCGTAGATAACCCGCTGATTCCGGAGACGGGACAGCCGCGCCGACGACCTCGCTCGTTGTCTCATGGATATCATTCTTAGAACCCCCATCGCCCGCCTCAACATGATCCTGCCCACGCGCACAAGATGAAAGGCTGCCTTGTTCTCGTTGTGCCGTATTAACGGTCTTTTGATCGTTTTCTTTTCCGTCTGTTCCCACAAGAATATCCGTGTCGACCACTGGTGCCCCCCCGTCAGGAAGGTGCTGGCTTTCGTCACCGGGCTCAGGCTGCCCTTGTTCGCCAGGACTGCCAATCTCGTCCACCTGTTCGCGAGCCACGTTTTTCCCGGCCACCACCGATGAAGTTCGCCCAGGTATATTCTTTTCCTGCTGTGGTTGTCTATTCCGACTTGGACCGCTGCGGTTAGACAGTTCCACTTGTTCTTTGGGGGGTCCAACAGTGTCACGCAGGTCTTCCCCTCTGTGATGGTGTGCCTGATCGTCCACCTCGTCGTTCTGGTTAGCAAATTGTGCTTCGAAGGCGTGCAGTCCGGCGTCCGTCCCTCCCCCCTCCTCTGCGAGATAGGTGCGCAGTTCCTCTTCTTGCCGGCCGCGAAAACGGCGGGGCACGTACGGCTCGGATGAGGATTGGTTCTCTTCTTCACCGGTCGTGCCGACATCAAGCTTCCGTCGCTTCGTAGAAGGACCTACTTCATCTTTCTTCCCATTACCGACCGATGCAGACGTACCACCGGCCGTCCTTTTCTTCTGCAAACTTAACTCCTTTTGCTGCTTCTCGGTCCGGTTTGTCAACGCCACCGGCTTGAAAAAGGACAGAATACTGATCTGGTTGGGATCCGGATTTGTTTCGTCTTTTTTCTTCCCACCACCTCTCGCGCTATTGTTGTTCTTCCGCACTTTTGTCGCGATAATGCGGGCCGGCAGCGCGGGGCGGGACGCGGTGAAAGAGCTACTAGCACTCGAAGTATCATTCCTCGTCGAACCTCCCGCAGAGGAGAGAACCGCACCAGAACCAGAACCGCTCGCCGCCGCCGTGGACACGAGGTGAATTTTTCGAAAGGTGACCGGATGCATTTTGCCCTTTGCCACTTCGCGCGCCGTTTCCGCGTCGTACCGCCGCCCACAGAAGGAAACCAGCATCTCCTCCGGGTGAGCCAAATTCTCGAAAATTTTCCGGCTCCCCTTCGCATAGTGCGCAAAAGCTCCTGCTTTAGAAGTACTACAGTCCGCGACCTCGCGCAGAGCCGTGAGCCGGTTCTCCTGCGCCGGGTCCGGCCCGGTCGCGAAAATGGTCTGGTGGTGGAAACAGAGCCAGGCCTTGGCAAAATTCTTCACAAAATCTTTGCCCACATCCAGGCCGTCGAAGCGCGCGCACTTCGCGATCTTCTCGGGATCGTAGCCCGCCTTGGCCACCAGGTCACAGACCTTCTTCGGGCCGGCCTTGGGGATGGTCGTGTCCCCGTAGTCGCAGCCCAAGAGGATGCAGGCCGCAAGGAACAGCCTCCGGTAAAATTCGAACCGTGTCTCCGTCTCCGAATTCTCCGATAAAGAACCGGGGTGCTGTTGGCCCCCGCGCGTAGAAGTACTAAGCTTAGCGTGCTGGTCTGGAACCACGAACAGTTTTTCCAACGCGGAATCCTTAATCCTTTTTTCGAAGTCCTCCGCTGATTGCAGCGCGACGAATTTTCCGGTCATGGAGGAGAAGTCCAACTTGTACAAGACGCGGTTCCGCGGGTGGAACGCGAGCAGGTCGCTGTCCTCGGTGATCAGAAAGTCCACGCGTTTGTTTTCCATCAACCAGCTGAGCTGCGCGTCCGCCTCGTAGGGCGCCACCGTGTAGGCGATGCCGTACACCTGAAAGAGCTTGCAGCACACGGAGGCCATTTCCGGCACGATGTCGTAGGCCGAAGCGAAGGCCTTGAAGGCGCCCTCCTTGTCGTTTTTCTGGAAGTACAATTCCAAGCCCTTCTCCAGATTCTTCCGCCGCCCCGCGTCGCGCTGTTTCTCCTCCTTCTCTTTCATCGGGAGAAAGCCACCGTCAAACACCACGTGGCACTGCACGCCGTGGGCCATCAACTTTTGGCAGTAGTTCTTCACCACAAACTGTGCCATCTTTTCGTAGATCCGCATCTTCCGTGGCGACAAGACAGTAGGCGACACCGACACGGCGCTGGTGCTACTGGCACACTTCTCAGATTCATCTGCGGTCCTCGTCGCGGGGTTTTTTTGCTCATTTTCCTGTTCCGACGTGGAGGAGGAAGAGACAAAATGTTGTTGACAGACTCCTGGTTCTTCTTGCGGCTCGTCCCCAAGATCCTTTTCTTCCTGCTCCACCAGCGCCAATTCCGTGGCAAAGCTGTAGGCTGCCCGGTGGAGCCACACATAGCCGTCGATGCCCGCGGTTTGCCCTTCGAACTCCCGGATGTGCTTGTCCTCCTGGACCGAGTGCAAAAGCGGAAGGAGCCCTTTGATTCCCATGCTTTTCGTAGTAATGATGATGATGTCTATTTCAACATGGCATGAAACAAAAACTTCCTATCTGATCAAAAACTGGCGCTTTTTTGTCGTGCTACGTCGGGCGGACCACGTCCAGACATGTAAGCTGACCTCCAAACTGAAACTCGACCCACATGACGAGTCGATGAAGTTAAAGACGATTCGATTGTAATTATCTCGCAGCTCTTCACTTTATTTACTTCGGGTTCCGGCCACTTTGTGCAGCGCCAGCGTTGCACTTGCAAGAGAGATTGCAACAGGAACAGTGACAGTCGAGATAAACAAAAAATAAAGCAGACACTTCTTTCTACTAGATGAACTTGGAGTCTAGCACTTGCTCCGTAGTTCTGAAGCGAGGAAGTGCACTAGACAAGGCGCAACATGTCGGATAAGACATGTAGTTGGATGAGAGAATCAAACGACTCACGACGGTCTCGGTCGTCGCGGCCTCTTTGCATAGGAAGCAACGCTCGCACGAAAGCAAGTGCTGTTTGAACATTCTTGCAATCTCGAGAATGAAAGATACTTACTAGAAAACAGCTCTGCTATTGCCGTTGATCTGTTCGAGCCAATCAAGATCCTCGTTGCCAAGAAGCCAGCGGAATCAAAATCATCAAGTGAAAACTGACATCATCAATTTTCATGCGCAGCAGAATCAATGTGGGTAGACGAGCCGGTGCTTTCAGCGCACTCTACTTTCTTTGGGTGATAGATAATGATGCTCACACCTCAACATGGAGAGCTGCTTTCCGCCAGCTGTTCTACTGTCACCACTCTATGCCCATAATTTTCCCCGCCGGATCGAACTCCTCGAGCTCAATTTCGCGGCCGACCTTGCGTTCGAAATCCTCCTCGGAAGTCGCTTCGTACAGCGCCAGCGGGCGACTGAGAAAAGTGATAGGGCCGATCCCTGGAAGAACCACGTCGTACTTCAGTGCCCGCACGAGTATCGCACAATAAACAAACATTGCTGGTGCGCGTGCGTCGTGCGCGATCATTTCATAGTGGAATCTCGATCATGACTATTGATGGCGCAATGAAAATGCCACTAGATGAGAATTCATCGGCTCGCGGAGGAGAGAATTTGTTGCCCGTCTGTTTTTGCATGACAGATGTTGAGACATTGGAATTGGAAAACGTAAACGTTACAATTTATCCACGCTGCATACAACAATATTGAAAATTTTGTGTGTGATAACAAGCTTGCCCTGCATGAACGGCGGCTTCTTCCAGCGGTCTGACTTGCAGTTCGCGTTGACAACGTAGTCGGCTTGAACTTGATCAACATCCTCTAATGTTCTGGGAACAACATCGCTTGGCCCTGTTTGCGTATGCCTGCTTGACTCCCCAGCACGGTCACCTGCGCTCGTCGCGGCTGAGGTTGTGGTACTACCAGAGGACCTCCTGGCCCGTACGGCCGCGCGCCAGCTCCTGAGCAGCCCCAGGCCGACCCACAGGAGGGAAACCGCGCCACATCCGAAACTGATCAGCGAAGAGGGTGCCAGAAGTCGCTCGCTGGCGGAAGAAGATTTTATGCTGGTTGTACTCGTCGTTGCAGGGGAATTTGTCGCGGAAGTCCCAGCGATCGTCCTCGAGTCGCTTTCGCTATCGGGATCAGCCTCGTCGTCAAAATTCAACGCCACCTGATGCGAGACCGCAACGCCAAGCACGAGCAACAAAAGCCCGGTGCCGCAGCTCATTGACACCCGGTCCAGCTCGGTGAGAAACGGCAGCCGGGGCAGGCGGTCCGCAATGGTCCACTGGATGGCGAACAGGGTGAGAATGGCTGCCAGCAGCCCGCTGAGTTTGTCACCCGCAAAGTCCTTCGAGTTGAGGCCCACCGTGCCGATGAGACTGACACAGAAGACCAGCAGCATGGGCAGCACGCCCTTGTAGAGATAGTATGTGGGGTCGCGCTTGATTTCCACCCGAAAAAACAACTGACGAAAAAACATTCCGGAAAGGGGGGAACGGTTTTCGCCCATGCCGTAGACGTATTACAATGAAAAATGCCCCCTCCCCATATCAAAGCGGAAATCTGTGATGCAGATTTGTGGTCGCAAATCAGCTTTGTGATGCTAGAAGGGAAGAGATGCGGACTGTAGTGCTGGCTGGCGCAGGAACGCCTTGCGCCTTCAGCATGACAGAAAGCAACTGGAAACGGGAAACAGCGTGACAAATTGCCTCCAAACGAGGGAGCAGCTGCGTCTCTTGGCCTTCTAGCAATACAAGTCGATTTGTGTACTCAAATACAGCAACACAAGTTTTGTTGAGGGGGGATTTTTCCTTTCGATAAGACGAACCGCGTCACCGCAAACTCCCCCGAGAGAAGCGGTGCCTCGAACCGGAAATGCTCGCCCGCGCCCGTGGCGGCCGAGATCCCCTTGTCCGCATATCGCGCATGGGACGCGGTGGCAGCTGGGGCCGCTTCTTGTTGCACGACTTGGACATCCATTCTGATGTCTTCATTCCCTGTGGTCGTTCTACCGACAGGTTTCTTATTTTCAGTTCCAGAACCGTGTTCTTGAACAATATGAGTGACAATTTCCTCCGCCACGCCCTTGCCCGCCGCCACATCCGCTTCCCGCTCCGCTTGGCGCCAACGCAAGTATTCGCCCTTGATTTCCATATTCTCGAGCTGCGCGTCCACGAGGTCGCTGCTTTCCAGCCGGACGGCCCCGTTCATAGATACGACAAAGTCAAATTTGAAGGAGTCGAAGGGGAAGTTCCGCAGGGCCTCTCGATTCCGCGCGTTGCCGTCGAGCAAGTCGATGGACAGGAGCTTGCAGTCCACAGTCATATGAATCAGATCCCGCACTATGCTGTGTAAAAACGTCCCCACACCAGAGTCGACATGGGGACTTTGCAACACAAACCTAGAGCTTTTGGGGGTCACGCATCACAAGTTGCAGTCCTTAGTGTAGTGCAGGTTCGCAAGGCCAGCTGCATCAGAAATCCATCTGCTCATCCTGGTCACAGCATTACAAATGCCGAAACACGATTGGAAATGCCTTTCATGGGGAAGCGCATCACAAGTGTTTCTGTCATTGCAAATCTGCATGACAACTCTGGGGTGGGTACGTTTTTACACAGGATACGCACTTTGCGGTCCTTACTGAAAAACATCGGCTGGGGCCCGGGGGGGATAGGTTGCTGTTCGAGCAGATGAGAAGAGGACTGCGGCGGAAGTAGATGGTGCGCCTGCTTTTTTTCAACCATTTCCAATAGGTGGAAGTTGAACTCCGGGCGCCAGATGTTTGCCGGTAGTTGGGACGACTTTTCCGCCGGGTAGTCATGGAGCCGGTGGTCCTGCCACAGCACGTGGAACGACACGCGAATCTGCAGCTGTTCGCGGCCGCCCTCGTGCGCGATGCGCAGTTCCCGGACGAGAATGCGAATGCGGACGGCTGTCGGCGTCGCGGGCAGCGTCGAGAAATCGACCGGAGGTGTTATTGTTGAGTTCTTGTTGTCGCCCTCGGCGGCGTCTTCCATTTTTTTCTCTGGTTGTCTTGTACGTTGATGTTTATTAAAGCTGAAGCTCTGTTACTTATCGTATGAAAAGACAATTTTGAAGCAGCCCCTTCTCGTTACGCCGTCCGGAATTGAGCTGCACTTTTCGTTTATCTGTGGCTGTGAAGACTAGTCATATTTCGGAGTTGTGCTTGTGGCTCTGCAAAGTTACAACTGGCACGTTGGTAGGCTTCTGCTCTCTACCTACGACTAGATCTAGAGAAGGACCGCGATACTAGTACCTGAACGACAATAAAACGCAGGAGACAACACTAGTAACGAGAAACCAAAACGCAAACCGAAATTGTAACGCAACAGAAGAACCAGCAAAACTTGTCAACATTCCACTTGAAATTTCGCGGTTTGCACAATCACGATTATCGATCGAGAAGACGTTGACAGTTGGACCGAGGAAGAGAGCAGGACCACAAGACAGTTTTCTTCTTCGACATCAGCGCCGATCTAAATACCTCCATGGGAGCGTCCTACCTATTGAATGTAAGTACTCTAACTAATCTTTTCTACTGGAATTGCAGGAAAACACGAACCAGTGACAGCTCGTCATCCGAACTCTCGCGGACGAGACTTTCTGTGAGGTCCACCACCGTTCTCGAAGGTTTTTCAAACCAGCAGTTGCACACTGTATGTACCCTCTGACACAAGAAGTACAGGTGAAGATTCGTCGTTATGAGACAAGACATGAGTCATGCGAAGTTGTCAAACATCTATGAATGCCGTACGTCAGCCAGGACATACGGACCGGAAAACAGAAGAAAAGGCCTGATATAGCAAAATCCAATTCGATGAACGTTCACGTGAATGAGTAGCAAGAAAGTATGTTCTTTGTGCAACAAGAACAGTGCCGATGAATGGATATTTTTCATTGTGAGCTTCTATTGTGTCTTTCACACTGGATCGTGATTGTTCATGATTGTTCATGATCATAAGGCGGTTTTTCAGTACTCCTCGTCCTCGATATGGACACACTCTTTGCGTCCTCTTGTTGGCACCTCCAGTTCTTCCCTCCTAGTGTGCGAAAAAGCGTAAGCCCTGCGCTCCGGGTCATACTATCGACGACGCTTTTGTGGGCGTGAAGATGATCCGTCCCTGCACCACATTAGCACTCACCTTACCCGCTTTTGCAGCATCAGAATTTTCAGCTCCGGGTTGGTTCGGAAGTCGCTGTTGTGCGCGAGCTTTCCGTACTGGCGCCACCGCGCCTGCATGTCGTCGTTCTTTTCCGCGAGCAGGTCCCATTTCTCGCCCAGGACGGAATTCACCACCCACTCTTCCACGTGCTGCTGCCTCGTGGAGTGGGACAAGACCAGCACCGCGCCGACATCCGTCATGTAGTCGATCGTGGTGGCGAGCAGCTGCAAACAGTGCCGGTGTTCCGCCTCACCAGCGTGGTCCCCGGCGAGGATGTCCGCACCCAGGATCAGATCAAACTTGTGGCCCCCCTGCAAAAGCCGGTCCATGTCCGGCCCCGAGCCCCAGGGCAGCGGTTCCGCCCGGAGAAGAGGAGACGAAGAAGTTCCTGGGTCTTCTCTATTCGAATGAATCTGCTGCAGGTTTTGCTGAAAATTCGCATTCACGTTCTCCTGTGCCCAATCCAGAAGTGCGGGAAGAAAGTCGGTGCACACGATGGCTATGCATTGCAAGAAGTTGTACTATTTGTCTTTGAACGTCAAGGTCAGGAGGCTCAGGAGGTGCTGCATGACTGCACCAGTTTCTTTCAGATGTAATCTTGGTGCACAAACTGAGCTTGAGCTCTCCAGTACAGTGCGTGAAATAACTTTTACTTCATGCATAGAAGCTGTGGTCCCGTCTTCTTTTTCTTTGTTCCTGACAAGACGAAGCTTCCCCGTGACGCCCTGGAAAAAAAGCACAAATTTATCTCATCTCAGCAAGTGCAACTATCACGAACACTACTATTCCACCACCACTGTGCTCAACTCAATATGTGGTGGAGGACCCTCAGGACCCTGACGGTGACGTTATGGAGGTAATAGTACAAATACAATGGTACTTCCCCGATGCATAACTTCCGCGGGCTCCCATTTTTCGGCACAGATCATGGAGGGCAAGGGCGCGGCACCACAACCGAGCTCCAGAACGCGGCAGTGCTGGATAAAATTTTTCGGGTTCACCGGGCGGTGGTCGGGGCGGCTGTCCAAAATTTTCTGGACGTCCACCCTTCGGAAGAGGTCCTGGCAGTTTTCCTCGGTCCCCAGGGCAAACATGAGGGCCACCGCCGCGTCCCAGAGCCCGAAGCCCAGCGGCACGCGGTAAAACACCGTCGGGTCGGTTCGGGCGTCCACGCTGACAATTTTCGGTAAAGTCAGCTTGAAATGATCCCTTGTGGAAGACGAGCCGCTTCCAGTTCTACTTGCCATGGTATTCGCAACTACGCCTCTCTTCCGGAACAGACTTTCGTTTCCCCTCAAGATCGGCACTTCCAGCACGGCTCTTTCTTCCAACAGGTTCTCGAATTCGCTCGGGTGGACGGAGCTGATGTAGGAACGCGTAAGGTGGCTTGTTATTTTCATCTTCCCGTCGGGACCTGCAGTTGTTGTACCATGACCACCCGTCTGCGACGAGCGGATCACCATTTCGTACATGCGGTCCGCAAAAATTCCGCTGCTGGTCGGGGGAATGGCGTTGTAGGGAGCCGGAAGCGTTTTGTTTTCCTGTGCGGGGTTGTTCGTCTTCTTTTTACGACGAGTAGGCGAAGAATCTACTTCATTCCTTTCGCATGTAGAAGTCGACGCAGAAGAGCCAAAAGTCTGCGCGTCGTCGTGCTGTCCGCTGCTCTGCATAGACGCAGGGGCGTTGTAGTTGATTAGTTTCTCCCGGGCGGCTGCGGCATTGCGCCGCTTGCCAGAGGCATACGAAAAGTTCGCCGGTGTGTGTTCCTCCTCGAGGTCGTCGGGAGCGCAAAATAGCCCCCCCGTGCAACAGGTGCGGGACGACATTTTCTCTGTTTGATTTCTTCTGGTCCGGCAGGAAACAGGCGGATAGCCCGTCTCGCCGTGTTCGTGGAAGATTTAGATCACTCAAGTGATTCAAAAGCTAGCCGCTCCGGGCGACACCGATCTCAAACAAGTCACATCCACTGGTTGCTCGTGGTCATCTATTTGTGACATCCATTGGAGTTCGAGTTTCATCCTGTTGGAGTTATTTCACACAAGGTCTACTTACATATTAGCGCTTCATACCCTTGTTCTAACCTGAGCATATATAAGAAAGCTGACGTCTGAGTCTGCTGGTGGAAAATTATATCATCTCTGTGCACGAGAACGGACACAGTCTAGTGTTCTAGCTTAGCCCGTCATGAGCACCGACGACGGAACTGTCGAAGTCGTCGCTTTATGTTCCGATCTTTTCTAAACTGACACGACCGAGTTCTCGGTATCATAGTAAGTACGTCAACACCGAAGTACACGTACATCACGATAGATATCCGAAGTGAATAGAATCGGCCACAACAAGTACCGAAGCAAGGAGTCACATGACCGACTCTTGTGGCGTTCGATTTCGTTGTAGTGCCAACATGGAACTGAAACTTCTTAGAATGTCGTTGCTAGAACTAATGTTAAGAGGCGATGAGAACAAGCTGAAGCTATAGAAAAAAAGTACTGATACCGGACGGCATTCGTTGCCCATCAAGTTTCGGACGAACATTTATACGTTGTTACGCACATAAATGCATTGCCTGTGACTCGGTGAGAAACGATGCCGAGAACAAACCTCTATAAATACGTCTCAAAGCACATAGCTATCACCGTAGAACTTTTTCTAAACCACGTCCTTCTTCATCCAATGAAAAACGACCTTTTCCTTGTAGTCTGGCGCCACGATGTAGGCTACTTCCTTCGGCAGCTTTTTTTCAAACACGAACTCATACCCGCGCTTGCGGTAAAACTCGCCAATGTCTGGTCTGACTGACATCGTGGGAAAAATTAAAACGGAGCCAGGTTGTAAAAACACGCTGGCTTTTTCGCTGGCCACAGGCAGGAACCCTTTTTCGACCTCTGGATCTGCACGACCTGCTGATTTTCCTTCTTCCCCGATCCCCCGCCGCCGCCTTTTCGTCCAGCGCTCTACCGCCGCCACCAGTTTGGACCCGATCCCCCTCCCTGCGGCTTTGGGCGAGACCGCCAAAAACCCAAGTGTGGTCACGTGCAGGAATGCGGGAGGTGTTTTCGTTTCTACTTGATTGGTTCCGGGGGGAAAATTTTGCTCATTGTGATCGAGCTCCCCCTCCTGCGGCGTGCGGTTTTCTTTTTCTGCCGCCGAAAGCGCCGAGTGCTCTTCGATGTTAGTAATTAGACGCTGCACGTCGTAAGAACACGGAGAATTTGATGTTTGTTTACTTTGCCCGTCGGCGGGGAGCACCGAGGTCGAATCCTCTTGTTTCTGCATCGGCACCTCCCATAGTCCCATGTCTTGTGCGCGGATGCAACCGAGAACCCTAGAAGTACTCTGCTGTTCCTTGTTCGTGCAGCTGGCTACTAACTTTGCGCTTTTGTTCTCGTGAGTCTTCCGACCACTTTCGGGTGCATTCATTTTTTCCGCGTCAAACGTATTAGAAGCTTCGACATCCTCCGCAGCTGCGCCTTCCGGGCCAGAATCTAGTACCAGGCGCTCGCAGTACACGAAGAACAGCTCCCCGCGCTGCAGCATGTTTTTTGCGTCCTCCCCGTCGGGCGAGAGGCGCAAGACGTGTTCCCCCCACTTGAAAAAGGCATCGGACAAAAACGCCGCATTGACCACTTCCGTAATCGCACTCGCGTCTGCCACTGTCGCCACACGAATGTGGGGCTCCTCCGCATCTTCACCGGTGGCAGAACATTCTTGGAGTGCCGCAGGATGAGCCGTAGCGGCCATCATACGAGGACAACAAGATGAAGGCAAGATGAAAAAATGCACGATGTCGTATGTGAACGGGAACAAGATGAAACTCGTTGCAGAAGCAGTACTTAGTCTCTTAGGATACGCTCGTTTACCGCTTGTCTTGCTACACCATAACAATGATAATTACGACATCAAAATAAAGGGTGGGCAATGCCTTTCACAACAATTCTTACGACCATGAGCATGTTCGCATGGTGCTGTATCACTGTAGACAGCGAGACATACGACAACTTTTTGAACGATGGGACGGCGTCTGTCACATGTGAGGGAACACGTCAGGCCACTGCAGGAGAACCTGCCCAGCACCTGCAGCCTTATTTTGTCCAACCATGAATGGAATTTCAGCATCGCAAATATATTTGAAATCTAATACTGCGCCAAATTCAAAGTGGATTCGCTGAGTCGCTCGAAGTTAAGTTTTATTTTGTCATTCGATATCGATTTTCATCATTTTTCGGGAATCAATAGTAGCTGTGATCGTTGAACAGTGTAGAAATGATGATCCACAAGCAGGTCGTCGTGGCCGTCGTGTTCGAAACCTAGCCGCAGCAGCCTTTTCCAGGTTTTGTTCTTGTAGCAGGATAAAAATTCGCTACAATTGAGGACGAACGAGACTTCACCCATTTCTCTTTCCGCCACGGCCCGGGCGCTGCCAAGTCGCGTCCTCCTCAATTTCCCAACAGTTGTCCTCCCCCTCCCAGTCCTTTTTGGACAAACACTCCCGGTAGTGCGCACTCCGCCAGTGCTGCTTCAAAATCAAGGTCATGGTCGCCACTTCGTTCTGCTTGGTCCAGGTTTCCGGGAGTTGGCACTGCGGGTTTCGCGTTTTGGACGTGGACCCGTAGCCCGGACACCACTGAAGAAACATTTTCCGCCCCACCTGCTTCCCCTTCGCGGTTCGGCGCCGGTTGAAAAACTCGCACACGCACGAGCCGCACTTTTTGCAGTTCACCTTGTAATAATGCTCCGTGTCCTCGTCCATGCTCTTCGGGTCCGTCTTGATCATTTTTTGTTTTTTCGTCTTGTTATTTTCGTTCTGTCTATTTCCCGTGGCTGACGGAAGTGTAGTCGCTCCCTTCGTCACAGCGCGGTAGTTCGCCTCCTTCAAATTTTCCTCCTCAATTTCCACGATTTTACCCGTCTTCTTCTTCTGCTGAAAAGTTCGACCATTGTAGGCAAATTCGTCTTCTTCGTCCGAGGTGGAGGAGGAGGTGGAGGATGTTGATGACCCTCGCAAATTCGCTTGCTTGCTCATCTTCATCTTCGAAGTAGTAGCTTTACTAGCACAATTCTGTCGCTTGTTGCTAGTATTGACCACCTTCGCGGCTCCTGCACCAGCTGCACCAGTTTGACGCCCAGCAGACGCCGAGGAGGCGGCCCCTGTGCCCACGCCTACACCGATGTTCTTTCGCTGGTCCTGTTCTTCCTCCGAGGAGCTGACAATCGTCTCACCCGAAGAGGACTCGACTTTACTGTCCTCTGAAGAAGAATCTTCCCCACCGGCTTCGACGTCGGAAGATGATGATGAAGATGGTGCTACACCACTGCAATTATCTTTTGCCGGGGCTACAGCCTTAGCTATACCTGCTCCTGGAACAGCTGCAGTTGTACTCTTCGTCTTTGATGCGTTCTTCGTAGTTGCCGTAGTTTTCGAGCTCTGGACAAAAATCTTATCGGCAGAAGCATTACGAGCAGAGGGGTTGGCTTTCTGCGGCTTGGAAGGGGCGGAGGTGGTACAACAGGTAGAAGGAGCCCCGAGAAGAGATTGATTCATCTTCTGGCTCCCCTCTTTTTCTTGTTTCTGTTTCGATTTCGTCATGTCCTTTGCAACTTTCGGCACTGCAACTGCAGCTTTGTGTTTTTTCGCTGCGGTCGTCGCTGGCCGCCGCGTCGTCGCGGATAGTGCTGCTTCGGGTCTTTTTGTTAGTTTTGACGCGGTAGAAGCTGCGCCTATAGAAGTAGGACCCACACCCCCGCCCTGCGCCTCTCTGTCCTTTCCCAAGAGATGATCCTGAGCTCCTGGGCAGTTGATTGTCTTCTTGCCGAGTGGAATGAGATTGGGATTCTGTGTTTCTTCCGCGGAGGAAAGCGGGCGCCTTGGCTTCTTGCCGAGTGGAATGAGATTGGGATTCTTCGTTTCCGCCGAGACAGCTGAAGTCGGCCGCTGAGTTTCATCTCGTTGTGCTTGGGCCGATGTCGTGGTTGCTGCGCCACTATGGTTTTCCTTCCCCCCTCCGAAGTGCTGGGGCCGGCTGGTTTGCCAGTCTTGTTCATCCTCAGTCGGTGCTCCGTTTGTTCGCTCTTTGCACGACACATCTGGTGCAGGCCTGGTGGAGCCGAGCGTCGCGTTGCTGCTATCTACTGGCTGTACTTCTTGGCCTTCTCCAGCGTCCTTTTTCCTGCTCCCGAGCGGAATCAAGTTTGGGTTCCTTTCAACATGATGATGATTTCGGGTAGTTGCATTATTGTTCGTGACGAAACCAGAACTTGCAGAACTCTTCTCGCCGTGGTGGTAGTCCTCCGCCCTTCGTGGTACTTCTTCCAAAGGCTCGCTGCGTTTCATTTCGTGATCGGAGGCGACGTGTGCTCGTTGACGAGCAGACATCGACGAATGTGACACTACCGCTCTCCTTCGTACTTCACCTCCGTCGTCCCCCGGCCGGCCCGCTCTGATGGTGCACCTGCTCTCGCGGCGGCGCTTCCGGTCGTGTTCCTCTGCTTCATGCCGTCCTCGCCAGTGTTGCGAACCGGGAGTCCGGTCGTTTCGGTGAGATCGATGCAGGGGCGATCTGGAAGATCCTCGCGCTCCTCGCCGGTCAACTGCATCATGATCTCTGCGAGGATCCTTGGCGAGGACACGCCCAGACCGAGAGTCGCCTCGCCGCCGGTCGCGTTGCGGCTTCCTTGTAGACGGTGTTCTTTCGCCCCCCCGCCGCGAGTCCCGCCTCTGTTTACGTCGCGAGCGGCTGCGGCTGTTGTTCTGGTGCCGTCGGCTACCCCGCCGAATAAATCTGCTCCGTGGCGTTCTTCCTCGACCATGTCGCCCGCCGCTTCGGTGCGGACTTCTACTTCCTCGACGATAATTCCGAGCAGACGTGCGGCCAGGGTCAGGAGACCGAGATCTGTCGTCTTTTTTCGCCGTGATATTTGTTTGCACTAGACGATCGTCAGCATTAAAAATATTGTCCCGACCGCTCGGGGTCCGTCGGTGCATTTCATGTCTTTTCGTAACCTCCGGTAAAAACATATGGTCCGGATTGGTATCTTCTCTTCGACGGAGCATGTCGAAGTCGCTTGTAAATCCACTGCGCCGGGGGTTGCCCAAGCTTTGCTCCTGCGGCAAAGGCAAGTGTGCCTGCGGAAATTGTGCTTCGGGTCTCGTCCGCATCAGCTCAGAACTAGTACCCTGTGCCATAGCGGAAACCGCTTGTACATTCCGGGAACACGTCGACACTCTTTGATCGAACATAGGTGTATCCAGTTGCTGGCCGTGTTGGTTTACAACATTCTGGACCTGGTTAAATTCGTAGTTCTGCATCCCCGCGCCATCTCTACAATTGTTGAGGACGCCCGCCTGTGCTTGCTCGCTGCCATCCACGTGATAATTGCTCGGGCTCGAATGGACAAAGCAACCAGCAGCACTGTTAGTTGCATCTGAACAGTTTCTGTCCCGGAATGATGTTTCCAAGAACGAAGCCGCTGCGGCTGCGAGAACATGTTTCACGTCTCGCTTTTGCGGGTTTGGCTGGGTTACATTTGCCCCTGCTCTGTGCAAAGATTGATAGGGCTGACGCCCCCCAGCAGTCGGGATGCCTGCTTGCACGGTCGCTGATGCTCCTCGCGACGAAATATCGTCTACAAACAGCTGCTGGTTCATACCTGCTGTTTGGTGAGGCGAGGCCTGCTTGTTCGGAAGCCGTGTCAAGGTATGGAAGTCGGGCCACTGGAAATTCTCTTGATGTTCAGGTGCGAGTGCGCCAGCATTTGAGGCATAGTTTCCGAAGTTCGTGCTGCTCGGATACGCCGCCGCTGCAGAGTTTTCAGATGAAGTCGCTGCATTTACTGCTCTCCCGCCTCCGCCACCGCCTGCACTTGGTGCGCGTAAACTTTCACTCGTCGTCCCGCTGGGAAAGGCGCCGACAGTCGAATACCGTGGCGGCCAGGACGGTTCCTGTGCCGCATGGTTGCGGGCGTGTAGTGGTGCCCGGTTGTTGTTCATTCTGCTCTGCATTTTATCTGGTGTGCAATGGTAGAGCTCCACGACTTTTCTTCCACAACGCGCTCCCCGCTTGGCGTTTCTCCTATTTCAAGCTAAGCAGCACGTGGCCTTGTGGGACGTGGACAGGAAACGGCGCTGCGGGACTACAACTGGGGACCACTGGGGACCGTGGCAAGCGCATTATGGGGATTGAAATTTTCGTCTTCAACTTTACACGACTACAAAAGTAGATGAAACTGCGTCCATCTACGTACACGACTACAAAGTCGAAGCTGAGTCATGATTTTCTTTCTATATCGGAAATGTAAATCTCTAGCTCAATCTGAAGGTGCCGCTGTCATTTGTTATTGATGGTTGGCATTTAGGTATCACCTTTTTGAGCACAGAAGCGTAGTAGTAGACAATGACGTGCGATAAAAGTAGGGTGCACGTTATCACGCGAACCCAGCACGAGAAATTATGAAAGAATGCGATCGTGTACGAGAGAAGAGTTTGGGATCTTTCTAGGATCTAGGACCTCCTCACGTTTGTCGTGCCGCTGACAAAAGCTCGATCAACATTTCGATCGCATTCGCAGGTCAAGAGCCATGACCTGAGAAGTACGTGTACGCTGCTGACCGCTCCATAAAAACCGCCGTGATCGCGCTCTTATGCGTCTTCCACATGATCCATATGAGTCCTTGAGATCGTCATTTTTCAACTTACATTCGGATCCATCTGTAATTTCATCCTTCGCACTGCCTGGAGCTGCACGGTAAGCATTTCTCACGGGTGAACAAATAGACGAGTGGTCTTCATCTAAACAGAATACGATCTTCCTCCAAATCGAGTGTGAAAAGTTGTGCTTCCTCGCAACATATTAATCGAGGCCTCACGGTGCAGCAGCATCCGATTCCTTATTCGCAAACACGGCAAGGTTGAAATCTCCAAAAGGGTTTATCCTAAAGTAGGATTTATCTGTCTACCGCCGGCGCTCCCGCCACGACCTGATGGTTATTTTCCACCGCGTTGACCCGGGCGCCAAACGCGAGGGAGCAGGCCGTTTCCGCGACATCCGCGGGGGACACCTGGAGCAGCATCAGGGTCTTGGCGTCGCCCGACAGGCAGTTTTGCAGCAGGTAGGTCAGTGTCGAGTTGCGGAAGGGAATGTGGGTGTTTTTCAGCAGCCGCGCGGAGATAACGTCGCCCAAGGCGGAGAGTGACTTATTGATTAGCTTAGTCTCCTTTTGCAGCGCGCCGGTGGCGCCGGACTTGCTCAGCCGCTCGCTGCCGGCCAAATCGATCAGACACATTTTCGACAAAAAATACGACTTCTTGTTATAATACGCCCCGCCGGCGGTTGTTGATAAACCACCAGAGGTAGTTCCTTTGCTGTTGGACGGCGCATTGTTCGCTGCTCGTTGGTTGTTCGAAGAGCTGCTCGAGGCTGTGAACGATGGTGCCCCCGTGTTAGAAGTTTTCAACAATTCTTGCTTCTCCACACCGCCAGCCAGCACGTCCCAACCCTCGACGAAGACCTGGATGACGTAGTGCGACCGCGACGAGTGTTCGTTCAGATTGGTGCAGCCCGTCTTGCGCTGCTGCTCCCCAATCTCCAGCACCTGGGACACCTCCTGCATGTTCGACAGTTCGTACGTGGTCAGGTTCGGCACCATGGTTTGCTGCTGCTGCGATGAGGAGGGACCCGCACCACTCGACACGGAGGACGTATCGATCTTGATGGACCGCTTGCGGTCGGCCGGGTTGTCGCACAACAAGTCGCGCAGCTCCTCATTGTACACTTCCAAAATGCCCACGCTCACCCGATATCTGTAGTTTAAGTTTTGCGTGAATGATGAAATTGCGACCACTCTTCTGCCCCCTTCGGCTGTGGGAGCCAATCCGCAGACGCACGTTTCAAAGAAACACTACACCTCCGTAGCTTGAAGATTTTTTCGCATCATTTGTTGCAAAACAAAAAGTAGCGGAACCGCACAAAAACTTTTGTCACAAAAGGTTACATACAGGATATGAAACAAAACGCATGTAGGATTCTCAGGATCCAATCGGGTCGTGCAGCTGAGATGATAACAAATTGTAATTGCTGGAAAAGGAGTACGCGTTGTAGCGAAAAAGCACTATCTGATCAGTACTTCCAATTTCCCTTCGGCGGCTTCCTCGCCTCAATTTCGGCGAAGAGCTGCTGGAAGCTGCGCAGGAATATCCCGGGATCCTGCTTCGTGCCTGCCATCGAGTACGTTTTCCCCGACCCCGTGGGTCCGTAGGCGAAAATGCAGATGTTGAAGCCGTCGAGGCAGGAGGTGACCAGATCTCGAACACCGTTGTCAAAAACCTCTTCGTTGGACGTTTGCGGTTTGAACACGCGGTCAAACTGCCACGTTTTCGTGGTGAGTGTGTAGTCGTTGTAGAGCTGAATCTCGTCAATGGAGTCCTCGGGCAAGTAGATACTGGAGTTCGCGCCGGCGTTCGCACCGCCGCTGCGGGCGGAGAGCACCGAAGACGTCGAACTCGCATAAGTAGAGCCAGCACCCGCATTGATGGTCGTGGTCGCTTGCCAAGATGAAGAGCCACCGTTTATTCCGACTGTCCCCGGCGTGGTCCTGTCGGACTCTAGAAACGGGCGCACGCGGCAGAACACGCGGATATTGCCCCGCAACTCCTGCACGAGATTGTGCAACCGCCGCCGATCCTTCTGCTCCTTCAGCAAGCGCCGACGGTAGTCCTGCAGCAAGTGCGCCAACTTCGCCACGGGGTCCATAGTCACCATTGCGTGGTTCATGTTGTTGGCACTAGTATTTCGAGTACCTCTAGAAGAGGACGAAGAGGAGACCCCACTTGCGGCCATGCTCAGTCGTGGCTTCAACTGGGCCAGCACCAGTACCATCTCCTCCTTGAAGAGCTCGTGGCTCTTGCGCATCACCTGCACCTTTCGCTGCAACAACCGAAGCTGGTTCGACAGCTTTATTTGCGAAGATGGAGCTCGGTGGTCTACTTCTGCACCTGGATTTTTTCTTACCTGCTGTTGACTCGATTGGTGCTCCCGCAGTGCGACGTTCCCTTGCAGATCCTCCAAGTCCTTCTGTTTTATCGTCAGTTCGCGGGCCTGGATGAGCAACTTCTCTTCCAAGTCCTTAATCTGCCCGTACGCTTCTTGCAACTCAGCCTGCAGCCGCTGCTCCGCGGGTCGGAGTTGCATCGAGCTGGACGAATTGCTACTGCTCTTCGACGGTACAGATGACGCGGAGTGTGTCTGATTCTGCTCGACGCTGCCGCCCCGACCGGTATTCAACACCTGATACACCGGGGGCCGAGGCTTCTCCCGTTGGTTCGAAGACGGCGCTGAACCAGAACCACCTTGCGACGAGACACCGCCTTGGTAATCTGAGCTCAAGATCTGGTGCCGGTCGTGGTCTCCTGCTTCTTGAAAATAAGCCTCATCCCCTACTTGACTCACAGCTGCTACCTGAGCTGTTAAGTGGTGGTATTCTGGAGGCAAATTTTTCTCGTACCAGTCTAGTTTTTCCTTCAGGACTTCGTTTTCCATTTGCAGCGTGTTGATTCTTTGGTGTGCAATCTCCCTCTCCTGCCGCCGCTGCGTTTCCTTATTTAGCAGCGCGTTCTCAAGCTTTCGCTCTTTTTCGTTCACATAAAAGCCGCTGCTGTGTTGACGCTGCTGCTCCCCTTGCTCCTTCGCCGACGCGTTCGCATTTGCACCCTTCTGGTTCTTTCCGTGACTCGCCGCTGCGGAAGCGCCACTCGAAGATGAGCTACGCGTAGCGCCTGCTGCGCCAGGGCTGGCACTGGATTTCGAATTGGTCTTGCTGGTGCTGCTCGCTGGTCCTCCGCCCGCATGCTGTACCTGTTGGCCGTTCGGAGTTGTAGACGAGTTGTGGTTCTTGGCGCGGTTACTGTGCAGCATGGCAGAGTCTTTGAAGTCGCTGGTGCGTCGTGTGGTAGGGGACAGAGAGGAGCACATTACAGTATTTACTCCTTGGGTAGACATGCTGGGCATCAGCGCAGACCCGTTATTTCCTAGTGCAGCTTGATCCATGCCGCGGCCGCTGCTGCTGCTCGTCGTAAGAACGGTTGTAAGAACACTTGTACCTCCACAGTTGTACGGTGTCTTGCTATGCCGATTCATCTTGCTTCCCCCCGTTCTTACGGCGGGCTGCGCGGAGGAGAAGCGCTTCACTGCGGAACTGTCGCTGCTACGAGGTTCACCATCTTTGTCGTTTTGCATTCGGTTCGTTTTGTTCACGATGCGGCCCGTGGACTGTCGGAAATCATACACTTCCGGCTCGTGCTCCTCCAAGCTGACAACGTGCTCGGGCTTGCTCTCCGAGCGGCGAGGGAGCGGTCCCATCGGCGCCAGGTGCTGGTACTGATTGTATTGAAAGTTATGACCACTCATATAAGAACCTCCTGCTCCAAAATTTGTACCAGAAGGTGCCGACGTGATATTCGACGCGGCCCCCGCCCCAGCCCCACGACCACCACTACCGTTGTTCACACTGTAATCTCCCCGACTGCTGCTCGAAGACGTTGGTCCCCCTCCTGCAAGCACTGTGGAAGAAGTACGTTGACCTGGTGCCACAGCAGAGGAAGCCTGTCCGCTGTGCAGCTGGTGTAATTGACCGGGACCAGCTCCAAGATTAAGATTGTGACCCACGATACCGGTCGTGCGAGCGGCGGGCACGAACGCGTTCGAATTTTGCTGCTGGTGGTATAACAGCAACGGCGCTCCTGCTCGTGGACCAGCAGAGGCGTTACTGGGTTCATCTTCACCTCCTTGCGGTGCGTGCTGCGGCTGCATCGGCTGGTGCACTGCAAACGCCGCTCCGCCCGCGTTTCCCGCCACCAGCAGCTGTGCCTGTTCCGCGGTCGGGCGTCCGGGGACGCTGTTCCGACGCACGGGCGGGCGTCGCGGACGGGTGCTCAGATTCTGCTGCTGCGCGGACGAGGTGGACGCTGAGCTTGAACTACCTATGGTGCTGCCCCCGAGTCGTGCTGCTGGCCCGGAAACTGGAACCGCGCCGCCCCTTTCTACTCCAGCAGGGGAACTACGGGGAGGTAGTTGTATTCGATTACCAGTAGTTCCCGGTGGGGCAACATGTTGCACATCATCCTCGTGTTCTCTTTTCTCATCTTCGCCTACATTGATCATCTTCCCTCCGCTGTGCTTCTGACTCTTCGTCTTCAAAGGTGAGCTCTGCTTTTGTTTCATCTTCTTCGCTGGCGACGCCGTTGCTCCTGTGCTCGCGTTGGCATTTCCAGCGGAGCTGCGGCCCGACGTTAGCGCGTGCCGAGGCTCTTGCGACGTCGAGCCTGCAGGTTTTGGTGGATGTGCTTTTTTTTGTCATGTTTCGAGTTCGATATTCTTTCCCACCTGAAATAACAGAAATTTGGTTTTACCTGCTCCTTCAAGCGCCTAGGGAATAAAATCTGTTTTTGATTTTGCATGCAAATGAATTTTGCACGAAAACAGGAACCGGTCAGACTTTGAGATGAGAATAAAAGTTTGCACAAAATTAGTCATGTCTCATGAATGTCAAAGCCAAAGACACGCAATGTTGACTCACGGCGCATGCTGTGCCTTCCAGAATCCTACACACAAATACTTGTCTTGCTGGATGCACTCCGCGTGATTCGCGCCGGCTGGTGTCGGCTGCCGTCTGCAGGGATAATTGCCGCAGAGTCAGCTCCTGAACTACACGCACCTGGAAGAACCACAAACCCGCTACCAGGCGCCGCACCAGCAACATGGTTTCGGTAGCTGAATTTGACGGCCGCAGTTGGCACACCAGCAGTCCCTCCTGCAGCGGCGGTTGGCGGTTGGCCCGGATTCTCCAGGAATTGCTGCACCAGCTGCGGATTCATGGCTATCGGCTGATGCGAAGCCTGCTGCACAAAATTTGGCACCGGGGTTGAGTGCTGCTGAAGACTCGCCGGCGCGTACGAGCTCTTCACCAGTTGCGACGTACTACTTCCTAGCGCAGGACTCCCGTTTGGAAGCGCGAACCTGGCGGAGCTGGCAGCAGCGGGCTGATGCACAGCGGCTGTCGTACCCGGTGCTGCCGTACCCGTGGGCGCAGCTGGTGCTAGTCCTGGTGCTAGTTGCAACATCGAACGGGGTGAGGTGTATTTGTGTTGCTGCCCCAAACCGTTAGAAGTAGGGTGGAAAAACGACATCTCTGTCGATGAAAATGGTGAATCTATCAGACTGACATGTAACTCGTTCGAAATTAGATCACTTCTAATTATTTGCAAGTTTATTGTTCAACAGGCCCAAGTGACGAGTTCCTTCTTCGCTACGAAATTATATTGAACTGCAAGTACTTCTATCGTCTGTACCATGCATTTGACCAGACCGTCGCTCGTCAACAGTACCAAGACGAGTACACCGTGTCGCTTAGAGAAACTTTTTCTTTTATTTTCGCAAATATACAAAATACTTACGTTACGAGATAATAAACGAGACGGGAGGAATTGCACCGGTGTGAGTGCAGCTCCTCCGCAGAATGAATGAATAACGTGATCCATCTAAAACTTCCTCAAAATCGAACACCTTCCTCCATCTTCCAGTAATACTTCTCGGCTGTGCTACAAACGAGCTTTACAAGTGACGAGCACGAGCAGATAGAGTGTCACGAAGAATTATCAATTTTCGAAACTGCAATGAAACGAGCCGCGAGGCAGCGAGTAAGTCGAGAAAGAGGTTCGATGACCCGTTGGTCATGTTTATCAATATCGCTATCCCGTGAAGGTCGACGCTAGGTCGCGTCTGATGCTAACGAAAGAAAGTGTCTGTCTCTGAAACAAATGCATAATTAAAAGTGGTGCACTTTATACTATATCCTCATGTATTTTCCCGGAAACTTCATGCTGTTTACGAAACTAGTGTTTTGCACAACTTGTTTTTTGTTTTCGCATTCATCGACGTCGTTGATTGGTTCTATTACATACTGAAAAAAATTACTGTTTGTTCCTACTTAAGTCAGTGACTACTCATTTGAAAAAAAACCGCACAGGCACTTACGTATTACCTTATGCCCTGCTTCTTAAAAAACCGGCAATATTTCAGCGGCGCAGCTCGGGAGGCCGACTGGCGGTAGAGAAAATTGGCGTTCGCCGCGTCCAGCCAAAGTTCACGATCCTCCCAGATCAGACTTGTGTCAGAGATCACCTGCACTCTCTGCATGTAGCCGGTCCCGTCTGTGAGAAACTTTCCGTCGTCCGAGATGTCGAGCTTTTGCAAGTGGTCCGCGATTTTCCGATATTGCGAGGAAAAGTCCCCCCTTCCCATACAACTCAAAACGGCAACATGTGTCGCAGATTTGTGACCACCGATCAGCTTTGTCGTGCAAGAAGGCAAGGGCAGAGAAGATGCGCGCCGCATGAAAGAAGCGATTTTTCATGATGCTGGTCCTACGGGGCAGGCGTTTGCCATGCTGAAAAGCCAGACCCTAATGCTCGCAAGCAAGGAAGCCGGGCCTCTGGCTGCGGTCCCTTAGTGCAAGACTGGAATTATTTGTGTAAGTACTCAAATCCAGCATCAGCATTTTTGTTTCGAATAGGGGGAGGGGAAAGATTTTTCATCTTGATACCCGCGCGCCGCCTCGGTCCTCGGCACAGAGTAGCCAGATGCCCGCCAGGGGTAAAACGCTGGGGGAGGAGTATAGGTGGCTCAGATGTTCCAAGAATGCCGGCGATTCGAAGATGCAAAAAAAGTCAGTGCGCCGGATTTGGCCTACGCCTACGTACTCTGACAGGAATGCGCATGACAAGTTCTGGTGTGCCGAACCCGAACAGAATCCGGCGAAACTTGCATTGATGCGACAAGCGCAAATCTATCTCTGTATGTTGTTCATTCATGCTGTTCATGCGCGACCCCATACAGCAGCGAGCTAAGGTTCTTTATTGCATGACCAGTTGAGATTGCTAAAACACCTGAGCAGGTTGTAAGGAAATATGGTACGTTTCCACCGTTGTTGCGCTAGACCCCCCACAGGACGACCAGTGCGACGCTTGCTCGAGAAGTAGAGCCTCTTTTTGCTGAAGAAGAAGAGACTCATTTTCTCGTACTCCACTGCTAGTACTTGGGTATGACGTAGTTGTTGTACTAGCTCCGGAACAAGAAGGTTGCTGATCTGCTTTCGTTTCTCCCTGCTTCTGTGCAGAGCTACGGTTTTTTTCCGCCGCACAAACCGCGCCACGATCGCCAGCTGCCGCTTGCACTAGCACGGGCGAGAGCTGAAGCACGACCTGCAGACTGTGTTTTTCTGGAGGAACACCAGAAGTTGCGCTGCTTCGGGCAGGAAAAAACGCGTGCTGTCCGCGACTGCTTCTCGAGGAAGTTGTGGTAGTGGCGTACTGATCCGGGAGCAGCGAGAGAGAAGCGACAAAAGTGTCCGCAGACTCGCGCTGCAGGCCCGCAAAGTCCTGCTCGGCCTTGACGCGCTTGCGCCGCTCCTGCTCGAGTTCGTCGCGCAGCTGCTCCACGGTAAGGTCGGCGTCGGCGGCGGTGTGCTTCAAATCCCGGTAGAACTGCACGTAGGGGCCCCAGGCCTTCTGGAACTTCCAAAAGACCGCCGCGTACAACAACACGGCCACAATCAGGCGGAGCACGTGGGTGACCAGCAGCCTCGTCATCGCCTCACTCATCCGGTCCTGTACCTCCACGATCAAAACCCGGATATCCGCGATCCGCGACAAAGCCGCCGCGCCGGTGGCCGTAGCGCCGAAGTCCAGCACGGCCGTGGGGAGCGCGATCACGGTCCCCTGCCGGTGCAACGACTGGGCTAGCTCGCAAAAGTCCGGGAGCCCGGGCAGGGATGCGTCAGCAAGCACCATCGGCGCTGCACCTCCCGCTCCGGGAAATAAAGAAGCGTCTGTCGTGTTCGAACTATTTGCCGCACTCGGAACAAGGAGAGAAAAGGCCGAGGCGGAAAAGTTGTGGCAGAAGGGATTTTGGTCGACCGAGGTGGTGTAATTCGCGGTCAGAGTCGCGTTGCGCAGGGCCTCGGCCAGAAAGGCCGCAAAATCTTCGCCGACCACATCCGCGGACAGCATGACCTTGTGCCAGGCGTCCCAATACAAGGGCATCACGCGCTGGTGAACCCGCTGCACGATATTCCGCAACTCGGGATCGTCCAACGGCTCAAACTCCAGCAACTCCCGGGACCCGGCGGCGGACTCATCCACCAGCGCCAGAAAAAAGGTGTCCGCCGCGCGCAGAACGGTTTCCAAGTGCCGCGACGTCCGCATCGCCTCCTCGTGGATCGTGCGCATGTTATGGAACTGTCAGGATTGAAATCGTCAAAGTTGAAATAGTTTGTGATGCATAAAATGGATGCCAGTTGGAACCCAGTTTCCAACCGGCGGTGATGCCTAAATCTTTTTGGTGAAGATGCCTAAATCCAGTTTGTCATGCTGTTTAGGCAAAGATGACTGATTTTCTCATGCTACTTTAGCAGCTCGAGCTCTAACCCAAAACAGGCTTACAATCGGCCTCCCTTGCCTGCTCTGCAACACACGTATTTCGCGCCATGCATTTCATGCATCACAAATTATTTCAACTTTGGCGATTTCAAACCTGACGCTTCCATACATGTCGCCCCAGGTGTAGTAATTGCTGAAGGGAACGTGCGGATTGTGAGTCTGCATCACCGCCACCCGGTGGAGGCTGCACTCCATCAGCGACACAACCACCAAGTTTTCGCTGATCAGGGAAAGCAAGTTCCCGATCGCCATCAGTGCGGACTTCTGATCGTTGTACGTTCCCACCGCCTGTCCAAACACCACGATAGCCACGTACCCACCGAGTGTGAGAAGCACGCCCAGCAAGATGAGCAGCCGCATCTTCATCTCACTATGCATTGCAAAAGCAAGTTCATGAAAAAATGGCCTGACAAAAAAATGCACTAGAGAAGAAAAATGAAATAATTTCTTGTGATGCTGCAAAATTAATACGAGGTAGCAATAGCGTAGCAGATGTGCTATTGCTGCATGTAATATTTCTGTGCTGCAATTTCATCTTCTCGCGCGAGCTGTACTACGGTACGCTTCTTTTGCACCGGATACTCAAACGCGCCCAGCAGCTTCACCACCAGTGCCACACGGGAGAAAAGAGCCGGGGCGGTGCACGTCGTGCTTTGAAGCTGTTGAAGATCCGGCGTTGCCTTGCGCTTTTGCCCTTGATCAACACTAGCATTTATTTCCTGCTCTACACATGAAGGATCATCTACATGTTGATCAGTGAAGCCATTTTCTCCACTTCGACCGGACTCAACGACCACGTCCTCACACGGAGAGAACTCACGCGCGGGGCCAACAGGTAGAACCTTCGCAAAAAGCACTTCCTCCTTGTCGGTGGGATTGGCTTTGACGGCCCTAGAATTTCCGAGCTGCCCAGAGGCCGCGAGGTGAGAAAACACCGGGGCAGCTTTTTTATGAAAAGATGGAGCCTCGTCTTCATGCATCTCGGATGAAGTTGTTGCTTCTCTCTCCTGCGGTTCTCGTTCAGGACCCTCATTATGTGCAGCTGCACGCCGACTCTGGCCTGCTTCATCTTCCAAAAGCGTGCTAGCGCTAGGAGGTCCGGGCCTTACTTCGCAGCTCGCACTCGAAGATATTATCGAGCCAGTGCCATTGGCTCGCTCGTCCTGGTTGTATCCGCCTGATGGTGGTCCACCTGCTGCGTTCTCTGTACGTGCATGATCTACTTCCACCAGAGACGGCGTCAAAGTCTCTTCGAAAGTACTGCGTGCCGCGTTCATCGCTGAAAGGTCTTCAGCCCCTGCCTTGGTCGCGTCGTCGCTGGGTCGTCGGGGTTCCTGTGCGGGACGACCAAGTGCCTGTCGTGCGGAAGAAGAGGACCCTTGTAGTTCCTCCTGCAGCTCCTCAGGCCCGGCTTGTGGTGGTAGCGGTACCACCCTGGTCGTGTCGGATCCATTTGTCTTTCTCGCCGGCCCCAGAGCTCCTGCCGACGACCCAAACGCACCTCCTCCGGAGTCAATGCCTGGATGTGTTCTTTCACGTGTTGTGAAGATGAGCGAGTCCATCCCTACAGAAATACAGCGGATCAAAACTATCTATCATGAAAAGCAGGCAGAGATTGTGAAAACAAGACACTCAGAAGATTGTGATTTTGATTTCCTCATTTTGATTTCTGATCTTGTCGCGCCGAGAAGGAAAAGAAAAAACGTACAGAAAGAACGTGCGTTCCAGTCGTAGAAAACGTACCGACGCGGAAAATGTTAACTACACAAACTTCGGAACCATGACCTGCAGGAAGAGTGGAAATGATGCCACATAAACGGGACACACTTCGACTGAACTATTCTTGCCATGACAACTGCGTCGTCGGCTTTTCCTGTATTTGTTCTGCGAATTATCCTAATTCGGATGTAATTTTATCATACAGCTGCAGGGACAATTTCATTCGTTTTCCTCGTCCACGATGAAACTAGGCATGCAAGTACTCAACTTTATTTCACCCGGTAGAACTGGAATCTTATTGGTCTACCGACCCCTGCTTCTAGCCCTACACACGCTTTTTTATATGCCCGAGCCTCCTGATACTCGTGCTTCAGCGATGGTGGACGAGTTGCTCATACTATACTGCAACAGGATGCATTTATTTGAAGAAAGAATCTACTTATTACACTTTGAATTGGGAGGACAAAGGTGTGTCAAGTAATACCATTTTGTATATCAAAACGGAGAAAGCACCGCTGTCGCGTGCAGAAACTGCTGTAGTACGAATTAGCCCAAATAAAATATGCGTAGATGAAATCAAATCGGCTCTTTCTTGCACGACGGAGGAGATTCACACCTCCACCACCGACGACCTGAAAATAGCAAGGAGCGAGTCTTGATTACTAGAATACGAAGTGAATAATCGGAATGTCTTCGAAAAAGACCGACTCCGATGCACTTTGTATTCCTGTTCATCTAAATCCTATACAGACACATCTTGACAAGGAATGACAGAAAGCTGCCCTTGTTATGCTTATGAAGAGTCAGAAAACCGATTATACAGATTTTACAACTCTGACTTTGACTACGGGCTCATAGAACTATACTTACTATGGAGTTGGAACTGCAGCAGAGGCTACTTGAACAAGCGTCAACGAAATACTACACCCTCTACTATACGATTTTTATGACCTTTATCTTGTCCCAAAAAAAATGCTGCTACGTGCAAAACACGAACTAGCCGCTTCCACACATGGTACCCTTCCCGCAGCAATAGCCTACGTCCTACCGACGTTTCCCCAATTGTACGGCACGGGGTCGTCTCTGTTGTGCGGAGCGGCCACCTTTCGGTGGTAGCGTAGCGGCCCCCCCGCGCGAGTGGCCGACTCTCGGTAGAGGATATCTGGATTGCTCCCGTCAATCCAGAGCTCGCGTTCTTCCCAAATCAGCGAGATGCCCGACAAGACGCGCGTCTGGGACATCACACCACTGTTATCGGTCAGATACATCCCGTCATTATCAAATGTAAAAATGTCAGGGTCTGGAAGATTGCCACGTTTGTCATGCATATTTTGAATGATCCATGATGTCGGTGATGCATGCCCTAGCATCACAGATTTTTAGAGGACTTTTTGATGCCTCTACTGCATGAGAAATGCCCTTTCCGCGTAGCACAAACTGGAGTCCTCTTGCTGGTCATGCAGTACAAATTTTTTGAGAATCCAGAGACAGCATTACAAGTCTCGAATCTTCCAGACCCAGACATTTTTGCAATGCATAGTCATTGTTGATGGTCAATTTCAGCAGGTGCTTGGAAATTTTCGGCCCGCCCCCGTTCCGATTATGCATTGCAAATATGTCTGGGTCTGGAAACTTGTAATGCTGAGTTGCGTAGCATGAGGAGGCCACAGGTGATGGCTCAGCATGACCACAAGTTTCTGAGCTTCTAGGCGTTGCCAATTCTGCATGACAAACTACGTTTCAGCATCACAGAAAAATGGGGCTTTTGGGTAACGTGCATGACAGACTTGAGAGTCTTGCTAGCCGAGCAAGACAAATTTCGCACTCTTCCAGACCCAGACATATTTGCAATGCATACCGATCTTCTTCGGACAAAAGCCACACACCGCTGAGCGGCAACGGTGGAGTTGGTGTCACATAGGTATGGATTGCAAAAATGTCTGGGTCTGGAAGATTGCGAGATTTGTCATGCTTGCCTGGCATGACAAAAAAGTTTGTGATGCGTGTCCAAGAAGAGACCCTCTTGCCCGTCATGCAAAAACGCAGTTTCTCATGCGAACAAAGCAACACAAAATAGCGCAGATGTTTCTCATGCTTGGCTGTGCATTACAGAGCACTCACTATTCCCAACATAGCATTACAAGTTTCCAGACCCAGACATTTTTGCAATTGATAATAGGTTCGGTCCGACGATTCGCCGTCCTGGAGCCGGCGGTCCGCCGCCCGGTTTGAATACGCGTCCTCATCAACACCAGCCTCGACCTCGGGATTTCTACACGGGCTCGGGCCCCGGCTGCGCTGCTTCAGCAACTCTTCCTTCAGCAACTCGTCTACCTCCAGCGAGGCCACGAAGAGGTCCGCAGATTCCTGTTGAATGCCGACCAGCTCCTCCTCGATGGTTGCGTTCCGGGCTCTTTGCAATTCCAGCTGCTCGCGCAACTCGTGTACCGTGACGTCAGACTGGCGGCCCATTTCCAGAATCTCGTGGTACAGAGCAACGTAGGGCTCCCACATTTGCGCAAACCTGAACAGGAGCACAGCAGACAGCAGCAGCGCCAACGCCGCCCACATCCAATGGGTAACATTCACGGCGAGGAGCGCGCTCTTTTCCTGGCCCCGGAGCGACGTGAGCAAGCTCTGCAGGACCGCCGCAGACCCGCTCCCCTAGCCAAACATGTGGTAGGAGGCGTCGGGCGACTCCGCGAGGCGACGCGCTTCCGCGCAAAAATTGAGCGCGGTGTCCGTTGCTCCACCCGAGGTCGAGGTTGATGTGTTGTTACTCGAAATTCGCGGGTCCGGCACAAAAGAAACTGACATGTGGCCGCCGAACAGGCTGCGTCGCTGCTGATGATGGCCATGTTGACTACTTGTGCTCATGTGCTGAGGTTGTTGTGAGGAGGAGAACGAGCTTGTTGCAGTTACGTTGCTTTGGAGTCCGTTCGAGTGGTGCAAGGCATGGAGCCTTTGATAGAGCCCCGTGTAGTGCGTCATGACCGCGAGCCTTATCTGACGCAGCTTCTGCAGGTCCTCTTCTTCTTCCAGCGGTATCAGTCCGGTCTCCCCATCCAGCTCGCGATCGGGCGCGTCCCCCAGGCCGAGCAGCACAACAAACCAGTGCTCTGCCCGGCTCAACAATGGCCCGAGGGAGAGGCAGTCGGCCGATGCGACACGCAGCAGAGTCGTATAATCGGACCCCAGCATCATGTCCTGAAACCCCGGATACGAGCCCATTACCGCTCCCCGGGCGTTGCGATAGTCCAGAAACGCCCCCTCAATGAATTCGCGGGTGAATCCCGACGTTGAGGAGTTGCTGGTCCAGTTGCTGTAATCCAATCGCAGCATTTCACCGTCATCTCCCCCTGGCATAAGGACCACATGCGGCACCCCCTCGACGAAGTGTGGCAGATCCTGAAAATCGCGCTGGCGCACCCGGCCGCACTCGACGGTAAGCACCAACCGCAAACTGTTGCTGGTGTACACAAGCAGCTTGGAGAGCTGCTATCCATGGCAAAAGCATGGTCATTATACTCGTGCTAGCATAAATTGCCTGTATGAATATACATCTCAGCACTTTCAGAGCAAATCACGCAGTAAGAAGAAACCAGAACGACGATCACATGGATCTGCTTTTATGCCCCTGTGAAGATGATGCAGTTGCAATTTATACGAGCCCTGACGGAACAACTTTTGCGCAGGATAGCCTCAGCACCGCCAGGAATTTGGGCGGAAAACTTCTCCCGGTTGCGCCCGAAAAGGAAAAACAGCAGGTGCCAAAAAATACTCATAGACAGCGAGAAAACCAGGAGCGCCTTAAATCGCCAACGCAAGGTTTTCGCAAATTGTAGCACCGGCCGTCCAGTTTTCACCTGCTGCACACTTTTACTTTTAGCGCTATCATTTTCAGCTGGTGTTTTCGTTGTGCTGCCCGTAGTGTGATGCTCGTTCCCAGTGCTGGTCTTCTGCGTCTCGATCTCCGCCGCGGCGTCGGCATTTCGCTTGGATATGGCATTTTTCTCAAACGTTAGTTGCATAGGTCGTTGTCAGTCGTGTGCAGCCCTTTAAGTCTATTCCTTGTTGTCATGCACACCCACCACCACCCTGTAAACGGTCGTCAAGAACTCATGACAAGTTCTCGACGCACTCTCACTCAATAAATCAAACTAAAATAAAAGTAGAATCTTCTTCCGCGCCATCAAGCCATTATCGCCATGCGCACAGGGTCTCGCCCGTTTTCGCCTTTCCTAGTCATGATCTACTCGCGTCACAAACATAAACAAATCGTGAAATTATAGCGATCCATGTAACCGTCGTTTGAGAGTGCCATATTGGAAGAAGAAGACTTTGAGCCTGCTCCGTCTTCGACTCGTGGTTCCTCGGTCGAAATACTGCAACCGTTTTTCTCCATAATCCTGGTAGTGGTCCTTTTTTCCGTTGTTCCGTCTTTGCTTTTTTGCAACAACTGGGAAACACCATCGTGCGGAAGAACAGGATCACCTGTGCTTCGACTACCCGCGTGTCGTTGGTCCACCCCGTCGTCCAGCAGCGTGTTTATTTTGCCGGGAAGTAGGTGCCCATAATTTATCTCCTGGACTTCATCAGCATCTCCCACTGCAGGCAAACGTTGACTGTGACTGTCTCCTGGTGAAAACCCGATGTTGCCTCGTGGTGGTCCACATGCACCTGCCTCACTGGCTGCAACCGTCGAGTCAACCGGACCAGCTCCGACAGTCGTGCTCGTGGTGAGTTGCTGTAGTATTAACTCTGGAGGTGAACAAGCGGGAGTGGGTCGTAGTTGTCCACCTGTGGAGCAGCTCCTGCTGTCCTTTTTGTTCTCGGGAACTAATGCCAGCACACGATTGTCCTCATCGCCCCCGTGTGTTGGGACGACCCGGTGTAAGTCGTGCATCGGGTGGTCGTCCGGTTCCCGCTTCGTTTGCATGCTTTTACAGCCGACAAGCGGATGAACGAGCAAAAGCAAATGCGAGTAAATTCCTTGTTACACCTGGAGCGCAGCTCGCTGCCAATGCCATAGCAAAAGCAATTGAAATGTGAATATTAGATACGTACCTTTTCTAATGATCTCTGCTTGCCACAAATATGCTACACACTGTGACGTTTTGAGTCGTTCCAAGCTTAAACTGCTTTTTCAACAACACTCGTGGTGTTCTAATAATGCACTTTGGAAAACTAGTGGGTCGAGCGTCCGAAGCCCGTAGTAGATGGGCTGCAATTATTCCTTGAGTAATTGACAAACGACCCAGACGAAAAACTATGCCGTGCCTTCTATATTTGAATGCATACCCAGGAGAGGGGGTACGAAATTCAAATCCCAAAAGTTACTACTTCGGGAATGTCACACTGAACAAAACATTGATTCATTTCTCAAAAGGCCTCGTAATTCTTCAGCATAGGAAGCATACTTATGCTGCTGTCTCCCTCTCGCAACCCTCAGAAAAAAAGACGGAGCACCAAACAGAGGAATCTTTCGTCCGGACCTCGACTGATCGTATCGGGAAAAAACGCACCCTGACAGAGCATAAAGATCACCACATCACTTAGACCCAGCGTCTGCATCGATCCATACTATGGAAAAATAAATAATTCGAGGCAAAAGAAAAAAAGACGCTCATGCTCGAACAAGAGTCGGCGTGTGAAGAACCTAGTGCTCGAAGATACATCACAGTCTGTTTGTCTGGCGCTCGAAGCAGAATTTCACTTGAACAAGCGCGATGTCGCTCTCGTTTTGCCATCGGGAAATTCATCTCCATGTCCACCCCTTCTCAAAGAAAAACCACATCGGTATACAAAAAAAAAACCGCCGAAGTAGAAGCCCACAAGTACAATTTCCGCACTACAGCTTCTGCTTCACTGAACAGATGGACGGTGCCGCACGGGTAGTGGACAGATCCGCAGATGAGCGCTCACGTCTGTTGTTTGTCGCTCGGATTGTTCACGCCAATCACAATTTTTCAATTCTAACCAAAAATCGAGCACAACTAGCGCTTGTTCGAGCAAACAATTTTCGGTTGACGTACCTCCACGATAAGACCGACTGCGAGTCGTGGTGTAACTTTCCAAATGGAAGTCTTGTGCGTCCATAATTAAAAGAAGCTGACTGTTTGTCCGGTACAAAAAGCCGGCGCTGCACACATGAATGCAGCTTGGGTCTTACGCACACCTACTTCACACAGCGCACGACTGGGAGGAAAAAAAGCGAAATTAATAAGAGTTCTTCTTGTTAACCCGACGAGATAGAGAGCCACTTTTTTGCAAAGCCACATGTTAAACCACGGGAATGACGGGCGGCGCGTGGGACGTTGAAAAGTGCTAGGAACATCATCATTTGTTCGTGGCACATACAAAAATACCAAGTTCCGCCACGTAATACACTACATACTGATAGATAAAACAAAAACGCGAACCCCTTCGTTAATAGAAACGCACATGCACGTCGCACTGAGCCACTCTTCCTTGTGCTGTATCTTTCTATGGTCCTCAGGCATACACTTCTTCGTTCTCCTCGCGTCGCCCGTCGGCACGTGCGCGGTTACGATTCCCAGCCCCCGTGACACGACCAGGTTCATCTACCATCGGTGGCGACATGTCCGCCGTCTTCCTCGCCCGCGGCAACAGCGGCCGCTGGTGCCACAAGGTGGCCAGGTGCGTGCACAGTTTCCAGGTGCGCTCCATGCGCAGACAGGATTCTACCACGTCGTACCGGTCCACGTCGACGGACTTGAGCAGAAAGTACCAGACAGTGAACATGTTATTGGAAGTATCGAACACGGGGATCCCGTAGGTGTGCACGTTGTCCCCGTCCGAGGTGCGACGTATCTCGCCGCTTCTATCAACGTCCTGCGAAGTTGTTGTACTAGCGAGTTGTAGACCCGGCACCGAACTGGAGTGGTTTGTTCCACTTTGATGTAGTCCTCGTCTTCGCAGCAGATTGTTCATGTTGTAGTTGCTTGCAGCGCCAAAAGTAGGTGTGGCGGTACTAGCAACTCCGATCTTGGTGGGATCTGGGCACACCCAGTCGTCCATGCCGAAGGAGCCCACCAGGAAACCAGTGCGGTCCGCAACGGTGGGAGGATGATCGTCTTCACTCCCATTAGCAGAAGAAGTTCTTGTCCCGCCCGTCGTTCTACCTTCGGTAGAAGTTGTTCTTGTAGCCACGTAATTGTTAACTACCGGGTGGCTGCAGTGTTCGTGACCCATGGCGAACGTCAGGCGGCCCTCCGCGTGAAACTTCGCACAGGATGCAAGCAGCGACGAGTCCGAGTTCTTCGCGTTCGCGTCTTCGTCGCTATCGCTGGCCATAAGCTTCGCCGTGACATTGAGCAAATCCATTTGAGCGCTGGTCCCGGCACCCTCCTTGTTCCAGTGGCCGAGCACAAAAACTAGGTCGACGGAGTCGGTCGCCCAGAAGGCGTCGCAGGCGGTTGCAAAGTCGTGCTTCATGTCCTCCCACGAATGCACCGCCGAGTAGCCAATAAAGCCGATATTCCCGATCTGGTTGTAAAAAAACGTGTTCTCCTTTGCGGTGTACGAGCACTTTCCCGGCTGGCCTTCTGGTGACTGGCTCGGGTCGATGGAAAGGTCATACGGAGCTTCTTGATGTTGATGTTCACTTTTCACGACCCGGCCTAGCGAACTCTTCGTGTCCTGTCCGTAGAACTGCACGAAGCCGTTCCCGCACTGATCGGATGGGGTGGCCCGAACCGGCGCCCCCTGCACCCAGTAGTCGTGATTTCCCAACACGGACAGGAAGAGCTTCTGCTTGACCGACCTCGGGATTTCCTGGTAGATTTCTTGCGTGATTTCCCCGCTCTTGTCGTAGAAATTGTCCCCCAGCAAACCCCAAAAATTCACGTTAAAGTCGTTGCCGACGAAAAGCTCGAGCAGCTTCGGAAACTGGTTCCACAGATCCCAGGCGCCGCCCTCGGCGCAGGGCACCGGCTGGACGCGGCCCGAACCCGACTGGACGCAGGGATCACCGATCAAAACGCCCGAAACCGGCTGGCCCTGCCGAGGCAGCAGGTACTGAAAGTGCGTCGAGAGCAACTCCGGTCGTGTGTTGCTTTTCGACGTCACGTCTGCTCTGCTCTTGTCCAACTTGCTCGAAGAAGAGGTGGGCCGTGTTGCTGCTGAAATTTTGTCTTGAATATCTTTGCCGGCCGTGGCGGCTGCATGTTGACCCGACTGATCATGTTGTTCTCGCACGACCGTAGTTGCATTCGTCAGCGTCACTGTCTGTAGCGTGCCTGGTTCCGCCGTCCGTACCATTTTTGTGTTAAGCTGCAAGTCCTTCCAGACCCACTGAAAAGGAGCGGAATAGGTTCTTGCGGCAGACGATGCGCAAGATGTGGCTGCTGAAGAAAGTTCCACCCGGTTCTGCTTGTCATCATCAACTTCGTTAATATTTCTGCTGCCACAAGGAGTTGTTTTGTTTCCCTCTTCGATCTGTACGACCTGTCCCTTCTTTGTGATTACGGAAATGCGCACCTGATTGTAGTCCTTCGATCCGTAGCCCTTCGTGACCCGGAAATCGACGTACGGCTGCTCCTGCTGTGCTGCTTGGTTTACTTCTTGCAGTTCCTGCTTCTTACCGTTTGTGTTTGCCCTTGGATGGTTCTTCATCGTCGTCTTCATTATCTTGGTCGGAGGCTTGCAATAGATTTCCTCGCAACTACCAGCGTCGAAGACGATTTCGGTCCCGTCTCGCTTCAGAATTCGTTCGAACCGTTCCTCTTTCGTCTCTATGTACGCCAAACAGCTCGCACACGCCATCTGCTCCAGCGGGACATCGGCAAGGGCGAAGAAAAAGTGGTCTCCGTTCCGGCGGTGAAGTGCTACTAGTAGCAACAAGGCAGAAAATAGGAGCCCGCTCAACAGCATTTTGCCAGCCGCAACAAGAGAGTGGCGTTTGGTTGAGAGGTTCAAGGCTGCGCGTTCTCCTTGTGCGATCCGAACGCGTTCTCGCGAAGAGAACTGAGGAACCGTCGCCCCTCTCGCCGATTTGTAGTTCTCCCGCGACGCAAATGTAGGGCGACGACGCGTTTCAGAGATTGCAACGACGGCGTTCGTCATAATTTCCATGTGCGTGATTCCTGGTCTGTCTTTCATCTATTTGTTTGACTGAATATCAAGCTGCTGGCTCATGTACTACTGCTAGAGATGCAACAACTGGCAAGTCTTCACTTGGAACTTGTTCTATCATCAGTGCTATTATATACGAAGTCAAAATTCGCTCATACCATGGCGTTACCATCTAGAGTGCAAAAGTTTCTCGTGTGTCTTGGAAGGTAGCTCAGTATTATTTCCTTTTTTCTGGCTTTGCTAGTTAGAACTAGTGCTTTTCTCTCATCGAGTGAGGCTAGCGCCGTCGAAGGGTCGTTCTTTGACTTGCGAAGAGAGAACACCGGCCTCATTGAATCTTAAACCTTAGCGTCACATAAAACGAAAATGCGCCGCCCGATGCAGCCAGAAAAATGCATTGGCGAGACCACGCCAAATCTTATTTATCGAATGTGATGAAAGTTCGTTGCGTAAAGGTGCAACAATGGGTCGTCGTGTACTTTCCTGTAAGTATGATGATAAATAGCTCAGGAAGTAGATGACCACAAGGACGCAGCTAGTTTCATCGCCGCGTCCAACATCCTAAAAAAGCCGTCCTTGTCCATCTGCGCGCTCGGTGACGCTTGCAAGAGCACCACATAATCAGCATCAAGATCCGTGCCTTCGTTGTCCCCTTCGTGTGTTGGCTTCGACCGCCATACAGCATCCCAGGCTCCGATGCGTTCGTCACAGCAAGCGACGTAGATGGAATTTTTCGCTGCGCCGTCTGTTTGGGTCTTACTTGCAGCACCACCATCTTCTTCCCCAACCGTCATTTCCTTCGGGTACTCCCCATTCGCAAGCGGAAACGGCCCCTTCTTGGGAGGCCAATGGGCGCAGGACGAAGTTTGGATATACTACAGAAAAGTTAAACTTAAAGTCCACCCGTGCCAGAAAAAAGTCAACTTGTAGTGCTGTATCTACGTACGACGATCCTCTTTCTGTTTGCTCGACATGACAAACTTTTTTGGGACCTCTCTAGTTTTCACCAGCTACCAGTACCATTACAAAACGCGTTCTGCATGACAGAAAATAGCCGCTCTCCTGGTGTCCACATTTCTTTGTGCCAGAAAAATAGCCACACAAATTCTTTTTTTTGTCTGCAATAGGTGCGCTCTATTTTATCTAGCATATCGGCGAAGCCACACAAAATGGTGCGGCCCACAGCGGTACAGCAAGAGCGTTTCGACAATTTTCCTCTTTTCACGACCGGGCGCACGACCCGAAGCAGGAGAGTGCGCACCTTTAGGGACCACGTTGTCCTCTTCACGATATAGCACCCCGACGCTGTCGAGATGGTATTGTGTAGTCTGTGTGCGGCCTTCACCGACTACCACCAACGTACGGGCCGCTGCGGCGACGTCGTCTCCCGCTTCCCCAGCCACTTTCCACACCGGGACAACGCCCTTCCGACCATAGTTCCAGGGAATGTCAAACAGCGAACTGGGTCCGCGGTACCCATGCGTGGCACCCGGGTGCCGAGACCAGTAGCATGCCTTTGCATAGGGGATGATCATGGCGATTCTACAACCTGTTGCGGCGCTGGCTGAAGAGCTTGTGCTTCCTGACTGACCGGTGTTCTTGGCTGCATCGGTGCATAATTTTTCCTCCTCCCGCATAGTTCTTGTAGGTAGCAGCGAAGAAGATGCTATCAAGTGGAAACACCTCTGGGTCTGGAAGAATGCAGTTTTTCCTTTTTGCCATGCGTGAGCGTGTCTGGCTCTGGCATGCCTCAGAAGCTCTAGACTGCGAGCTGTAGCATCACAAGTTTTGACACGGATAAGATCCCCAGTGCCTATCCTGCATATGTTGAAATAGATACCGCCTTAGCGCGACCAAAATGATCGGGTGTGTTCTCTACTTCCTGCTCATGCAATACAGAACTTCGTGTCCTCCTCTCCGGGAGCAGGAGGACCTAGCATCACACAGAACAACTCGGCTTCATCTTCCAGACCCAGACATGTTTATTGCAATGCACAGATGCAACCGCTACTCGGAGGGAGCTCAGGACGGGTTCGAAGACTTCGTCGACGAGCTGCTTGCAAGTGCCTGCTGCTCCACGACCCTTGCTCAACAGCCGCATCTCGACCAGGGTGCCGAAGAGCGCGACGCAGGCGCACGTTTGGCCCCCGTAGTCGACCCCCGCAAAGGCTCCGACCTCGGGGGCAGCTATGGTACTGGGACCTACTTCGGAAGAGGAATGACACAAAAACGTCTCTTTGACCTCCCCCCAACCGGGGCAGAGTGCCGCGTGCGGGTACGGAGCGGGGCAGTAATCATTCGCGAGGTACTGTTTCAAGCGGAAGCTAGTTGTCTTCACATCAGCACCAGCTGTGGACGTCGACGACGAGATGTTGTTCTCGTTTTTGTTTTCCAATACAAATTTTCCCCTCACCACAACGCAAGCGACGCGCGCGTTGGTCCAGTCCGTCGCATTGTTCTGCTGCGTCCCAGGCGGCTCCTCTTCGCGAAGAGAGAAACTGAGGTCCGCGACGCCCGCATGGCTTGGCATCAGCAAGTGAAACCGAATGCGGTTTTGCGCTAATGCGAGTGCTTCTGCAGAAGCTGGGACAAAAACCCCACTGGATGGGGAAGTCGACGATGATGACATAGATAGCTGTTTCTTACTTCTTAGTCAATTTAAGCGATTTTTCAGACTCCGAAGAACAGAATAATTCCATGGCAGCTCGTGTATCAAATGAAAATAAACGATACCAGATGTAAAAAAAGATATTACTTTTTTGATTTTTGTTGCCAAGAACGTCGAAGTAACAGCAAGTAATGCCCAGCTCTTCTTATCTTCCGTGTAGTCGACTCTCGAAAAAGAAAAACGGACGAACATGCACACTACGTACAATAAAAGGTGAAAGATACGCATACAAATTGACGAGTTTGTTTTTAGAAGGCTCCACCGCTGTACGTGTCACAGGCATAGGCATGACCGGCAACCGTTGTTCCAGCGACGCTTCTACGACGAAGAAGAGTCAATGCTCCGTGCAGCGTAGAAAGACAGTTGCGTTTCTGAAACTGAGCTGCTGTGCCGCTCACTCGAAGTTGGTTTCTAAAAGGAAGATGATCTCCGACATTCTTTCAACATTAAATCCGGTATCACGTGCTTCACATTCACTTCATGTTTGTCATGTTTTATCGCTGCATGCTCACATCACGCCTTGTAGTTTCATCTTCTCATCCCCGCTGCTACAAACCCCCCAGTAGCTTGAAGCCTAGCGCGACGGTGGCCGGGCTGTCCGTTGTGCCGTCCTCTCCCTGTACAAACTTGTCCTGTTTCACTTGCAAGTTCGGCAAGTTCAAGTGGTTCACGTGGTCCACAAACAAAGCGGCTTGGAAAGGATATGGATTGTAAAAATGTCTGGGTCTGGAAGATTGCAACTTGTAATGCTAGCTTTCCATACCTAGAGAATCTGTATTGCATAACCAACAAAACTCGCAGCCTCTTTTGTCATTATCATCATCATCATTGCATGTTTCTCATGCGAATTGCCTATGAGAAAGCGTTTTGGGAAGTTATCATGCCGGACTGCATTCGGAAGTGCTTTCATCATGCACATTTTAGCATCACAAGTTTCCAGACCTAGACATGTTTGCATTTGATAAAGGAATCCAATCGAACATGTTCGGTGTGATCGACCCGTCGGCGGGCCGTGGCAGGTCGTTGCCGTATCAAATGCAACAATGTCTGGGTCTGGAAGATTGCGAGATGTGTCATGCATATTTCCGATCACACAAATGGCGTCTGATGCAGGCAAAAGCATCACAGGTTTTGAGCACGCCTCATGATGCCTGTCCCGCATGAGAAACTTCCTACGTGCGTACCAAGAAATGGACAGCTTTTCGCGCTCATGCAACACAAATTTTTGTGTGTTCCAGAGTTTGCATCACAAGTTCCAACCCTTCCAGAGGACCCAGACATTTTTACATTTGATATGCCGTACAGCACAGCGATCTTCCGTGGTGGGGGTGCAACTGCAAACGTCGACTCGCACTTGCTAGAAGCTTTGAGGTTCTGTGGGGTAGTCATATCTCGTCGTGGTCCACCTGGACTCTGTTTCATATCGTCCGCAGCCTCGTTCCCCGTCAACTGGTTTTGCCGATGAGACCGTACTCGAAGACTTTGGGACCCCGCGCGGCGTCCTCCGATGCGCGGCGCGGTAGGTCTTCTCGCTCCGCGATAGGTCTTCTCGCTCCCCTGAAATCCTGAGCAAAAACGTCCCCCACCCAGAGTCAAGTTCTTGGGATCTTAGCATCACAAATGCAGAAGTTTTGGGAGTCACGCATGCCAACTAATTGCAAAGAAACCTGCATGACAACGAACTCTGGGGTGGGGACGTTTTTGATCAGGCTATCCGAAGTGGCAGATCCTCCACGAGCGTACTGTTCTTGGCGTCCTCCACTTCCTCTGTCGTGAGAGGACACCACCGCGAAATAAAGTCCGCATACTCTTCTTGCAGGCGGTCCAGCCACTGCTCCCGGAACAGCCGGTTTCTGGTGCTGTCAAGTTTGCGCTGGTGCAGTTTTGTCCGGCGAAAATTACGCGTCTCCTATTGTGAGCGACAATCCTCCCTCCCCGTACTTAAAAGGACAGTTTGTGTTGCAGATTTGGCGCCACAGACCAGCTTTGTTTTGCAGGAAGGCATGTCTAGTCTGTGCGCCCTATTGTGGAGGTCGTGATTTCACATGCTTTATTTTGGGCCGTTTGCCATGAACAGCAGCAGCTACACCCGAATGCCGCTCCTAGACAGGCTAGGGATGTGCCTGCAGTCCCCATTTGCAAGTGCAAGACGGAGCTTATTATTATTTGTGTACGGAAAGAAATCCAGCATCAGAAGTTCAAGTTTTTTTTTGAATATGGGGACCACGACGACGACGAGAAGGGGGGATTTTTCATGTTGATATCTCCTCCGGCGTCACCTGTGGGCAGGTGGGGTCTTCCGCGGCACCGTAGCAGTGCTTGTCCAGCTGCTCCTGGAGGAAGAAAAACTTCTGCGCCATCGCAATTTTCGTCGGCGTGCCGGAGGCCAGGCTCGCGACGCCCAGGTAGACGGGGAAATTGTGGGTATTGAAATACTCCTTCTCGTGCTCGAACTCGCTCAGCGTGACGGGGTACGCCACCCGGGCCGCCCGTCGCACCGCCCACGCCTCCGCCGCAGCGTCGTTTTCAACAAGGTCCACTGCACCGTGGTACAGTTGATGTCGCATCTTGGCTTCTTGTTCCTCTTCCCGAGTAGACGAGATGTACTGGTTGATGATTGGGAGCACAAGCTCCCTCTCCCCAGGAAACTGGTCCTGGACCGAGTTGGTGGCGGACGTGAGGGTGACGGGGCCGTCTTTCCTGTCGTCGTACAAATATTCGAGGTAGTCCCGAAACTTCAGATACTCCGCCGGGGACGTGTACGTGGCGTCCGACAGTTCGGCAATCAGGTCCTCTGCGGCCAGATTGTCGGCCTTCGCCGCCTCCGTATTCTCGGGATTCGCGCGCGGCTGCAAGCCGAAGCGGAGATTCGCGCGCGCTTCCGGACTGCCGGCGAGTTTGGAGCTCTCCGCGTACTTGACGCCAACCTTCTGCAGCAGATACCGGGTGTATGACAGTGCACAACTCGCCCTCCCCCTCATTTGTAGTATTGCATCAACAGGAGCAATACAAGCGTCAGCAAGAATACACGTTTTACATGACAAATTTGGCCAGGAGTGTAGTGCTATTTACTCGGCTGCCAGAACTACTTGTCATGCAAACAGTGCCATCAAGGGCCAAGGCGTAAAATGAGGGGGACGAGGGAGAGTTGTGCACTGTCCTAGGGTGCTGCAGGTCGGGAAATCCGGATCAATCAGCAGAAGCTGGTCAAATAAATGCACCGGAGACGTCGCGAAAATCTGCCACGCCGTCACGGCACTCAGCCGCTTCCCGACCAGCGTCCGCATGATTCTCGGTCCCGGGCGGGCTGGACTTGCGCCGACGCTGTCCTCCCTGAGGAGAAAATCCTTTCCGTCGTGGAGCTGAAGGCGAACCGCCTCTATCACCTGCAGAAACGTCGTCGCGAAGGACAGGGCTTCTCCTTCCGGACGAGAGATATCCAAGAAAAAAACTGTGTTGGTGTAACTATCTTGGGCTGACAGCATCACAAATTTGCTCTACATGACAGAGAAAACCTGTCATGCGTGGCTTGTAAGGGAAAACACACAGGAAAAGAGAACTTCATGTCTGTCTGGTAACTCTGTTGCGTGTTCTGCATTACAGATTTACACTTACACAGTTTTTTTCTTGCATAAGAGATGTCCTCGATGTACTCCGGGATGGTATGGGAGTGTCAGGATCCAAATCGACAAAATCGAAAAATTTGTAATGCATAAAACGTAGAGCACATAAGGCCTGTGTTGGAGAGGAGGCAAATGAGACCGATTGCACGCCAGTTTAGTCCTAAACATGTACTGCCAGAGTAGCATGAGAGGAGCAGTCTTCTTTGCCCAAACAGCATGACAAACTGGATTTTGGTGCTCCCGAAATTTGTCATGCGCCACTTGAAAGCTGAGGCTTCAACTGGTATCGATTTTGTGCATCACAAATTTTTCGATTTTGTCAATTTTGATTCTGACACTTCCATAGATGGGGCGGCGCGCGTAGAACTTCCGGCGGTACACCGTGCGGTCCTCCCCAGAAAAAAAGGCACCCCGCGCAAATTTCGTGGGAAACCAGAGCCTGACGACCAGCGTACGTGGGGGCCGCTGTGCATCTGGTTCAACGTGGTCACGACCTAGTACAGGGTTGGCGTTTAATATTTTTTCGTGTGGGTAATTGTATGCGCCCGCGGCCAGTTATCCAAGGAAAAAAGTGTTACAACAGTTACACATTTGTAGTGAATTCAGCATATTAATGCAGAGATCATACTCGCAAGCATTTTGCGCATTATAAATGAGGTCGTCTGTTTTGCATGTTTTGCATCACAATGTGTTACTGTAAAATTTTTTTCTTTGCATAGCTGTCTTGCGGCCGCAGCACTGCCACGATCCGCACTGGCCAACTGCCGATGGTCCTCCGGGACCGCCTGTTTGCAATGCTCCACCACGGCGGAGGAGAGCTCTTCCGAGAAGACGTAAACCAAGCGGATGTCCCTACTGGCAGAAGTTCCCGCGCTCGAAGTAGAAGGTCCGCCGGTGTTCCTGCTGTCAACATCGGCACCACTTTCACTTTCCTCACAGTCGACCACCTCCGCTTTCATCTTCAGGGTGTGGTGCGTCCACGAGGTAGCGAACGCTGCCAAGCCCTGCTCCACGCCAAAGGGTCCAACGGTAAACTCCTTCCTCAGGGAGCCAGGCACCGGTTGACGAACCAGATGCTGCAGCTCATTTTTGCGAGTCGGTCCTGCTCCCGCAGATGAAGCCGATCCGGGCTCGCCCTCCGACAACTTCTTCTCTTTTTGGTCTCCCCCATCGGCGGTCGCCAAGCTGTCGCTGGTCGTGTTCTGCTCCCCACCGCGCCAAAAGCCACTACCACGAGCTTGAGCTTGACTGAGACTGTTCCTGCTCTCTGCTTGATGATGTAGTTCCTCCTGTTGCGACAACAGGCGCTTCTTCTCTGTAGCTGTAGTACTGGCGATGTGTTCTTCCGTTCTCGTGTTCAAAAACAATTTATTCCCTTCGTTTTCTCTCGCGAGAAACTGCAGTTGTCCTTCAGTTTGTGTGTTTCTGTTCTGCGTCTTCAGTTGGAAAAAATCTGCTGCGGTCGATGCTTGCTTCGTCACGATTTTTCTCGCGGGACGCGCTTCGTCCCAAGAACGATCTTCTTGTTGATCTTGCACCTGCTCTTGGTCTTGTTCTTCATCCGCAGTAAAATATTGAACTGATGGTGGATCCGCATCCGCGTGATTTGTTCCTTCCGCGTCAACTTCCATTTCTGCCTTCTGCTTTCCATATCTACTACCTCCTCCTCCTCCTCCGCGGTCGTGATCCTTCTCACTGTTGCTCGTCTTCTTACCCACAATATTTTTCACGTCCGCAACTTGTTCCTTGCCTCCTGTAGTACCAAGCGCCGCCAACCTCGAGCAGCAGAAGAAGAGGTGCAGCTGCCATGAAGAACGACCACAATGATGAAGAGGCACCAGGGCGGATGAAAAGACACGCAACAGACGAAAACGAACCATCGTGCTGTTGTTTGATATTTTTGCAGTCTCGGTAGGTGGTTTACTGTACGATTATACGGATTGGAAATCAATGAGTGGCGCTTGAAAAGATTTCTTTGGGTGACGATGCTGGTGTAGCGAGGTTTCCTTCTCACCGTTCTTTATCGTGTAACGACCCCCGGTCCGCCCAACGATCTTCGAGAGAGTATACGAGAATTATAGTAGATGAGAGTTATTCACAAGCGACGAGTTGAATTCTACTTCTAGTTGGGATCTACCCCGTTGTTCCTTCAAAAAAAACACTATGGTCGCAGCTGAGAGAGGTTGCGACAAGGTGGGCGGATTAAGTTGATTCTTGGCCCTCTTTGTAACCAATGCGAAAAAAGACACGTATCAAAAATCCCTTCTACGATACGTGTCGCCCTTGCAACGAAGAATACGGAGAAGAGCAGCCCTTTGTCGTGTTTTCTTGCGAAGTGGCAAAAGTGCAAGTAGTCAAATTCCCTCATACACACAACCACCCACCCCTTTGAAACGACAGAAAGGACAAGAAGAATTACCCCGTTTTTAATATAGCGGACGAGACCTGCTTTCGCAACGACCCACAACACTGGTGATTTCCGAACAGAATAAGTAGTGAAGATGAACGACCGACGCTAACTTCTTCCATTATGATGGTAGCAAAAATCTTCACCAGACGACGTTTAGTTCTGATGATCAACGCCGCAGATATCGACGGCAGGCCGCTTGATCACACTACACATGTCTAAAAGCTCGATCGGTCCTTGGCGAAGAGACGGTTTCGATCGAAGACAAAAGAAATGTGTTGAAGCTTAAGCTTTTCTGTTAATGCTGCAATCGCTTGTAGTTTATCTGTACAACTACTAACGTGTTGATTCTCAGGAGTATTAATGGTCGCGTGTCATCGTTCTTGATTTCGTGTGGATTCTTAGGTTTGAAGATGTCCTCGCATTTGTCGCGAATGCTGCAAGTTGTCCAAGCATGTCACTATAACTAATGTTTTAACTCTAGAAGCTCGTCTTTTTCATCTTCTGCCCCCTTCCCGGCCCGCACCCCGCATTGCTTTGTAGAAGGCTCGGTCCTTGGCATCGGAGCTGCTGGCCGAGGAATTTTCCGCCTCGTTGTCCTCCATTTTGTCACCTACCTCGTCCGGCGCGCGACTGTAAAAGTTAAAGCTCCCGGCTTGTGGATGTCCCGCATTAATTTCATCCAGGTTCATCATGGGATTGTTGACTTGGACTTGCGTTTGCGGCGCACCGAAAATACCAAAGGAATCCACATTTCCGCCGGCTTGTCGAAGATGGACATCTGCCGAGGACGCGGAGGAAGAACCGAAGAATTGTTGCTGCGAAGAGGAACCTTGTAGTTCTTGTTGAGGAAGAACAAGTCCCGGAGCACCAGCGCCAGCGAAACCTCCGTGTGCCGGAAATAACGACCCATAATTTTGCTCGCCTCCTTCTTGGATATGACCTCCAGCGGTCAACAGGTCTTCATTCCCATATACTTCTTCGAGGTTATTGAAAGAGGAACTGTACTTGCGTTCGCTGTACTTGCGCTGCATCGTGGAATCAGCATGGTGAAAAGGACCGTCCATGGCTAGATTATCGTCGCCCTCAAATCTCGAGCCAGGATCAAAGCGTTTCTCTGCATCTTTTCCGTCTGTTTCTTGTCGAAGATGCTGTCCTGATAATGATATTTCATCTTCCACGTCGGACCTCTCCTGGTAATGCTTTTTCAACTGGATCAAGCCCGAATCTGTCCGTGTTCTGCCGGTCCGCGCAGCTGCTCGGTTCAACATCGCTTGTTGTTCTACTGCAAAGGGTAATGCACTGCTACTTGTTTGTCCAGGTGGTACTTCTTTTCCGATGAAATTATGTGTGCTATTCTTTCGACCTGTCGTACTACGCGTACCTCCAGCTCCACCTGCTTTGTGCAAATCTTCCTTCTCTGCTGCGGCCGCCGCGGCCGCGCGCAACGCCCGCGCGTCCTGCCACTGGGCTTCTTTGCCGGGCTTTCCCAGCCATTTCGTGTTGGTCGGGAACTTGAGCTGCAGATTTCTCAGCCACGTCTTCTTCTGGTACCGCGACAGCTGCCACGCGTGGTTCCCGCGTTTTCGCTGCTCCTCCTTCTCGACCAATTTTTGCTTCCGCTTCTCCTCCCCCCGCTCCCGGCGTTTCACGTACCGCTGGTCCCGCGGCACGTCCGCCTTGCTGCCATCGATGCGTTCCGCACATTCGAAATCCGCCTTTTCCCGTGCCCGCACGGCCGGGAGCGCGGCTGCGCGTAGAAGTGCAGCTGTCGTCTCGGACGAGAAAGTACCTCCGAGTGGGTCTGGATACGGAACTTCTGCTGCTGCTGCTGTTCCGGATAAAAATTGCTGCTGAGATGATCCTTGCGGTTGCGGTGCAAACCCCGTAGTTGACCCTGCTGCTGCGGCCCCCTCGGCGAAAGAACTAGTCATAGTACCTGGCGTTTGCTGATTTGGAAATCGTACAGCCTGCGACGACGACATGTTGGCGGGGCCACTAGTTGTACGAGCCAGTGTAGTCGCTTGTTCACCAGTAGCCATCTGCGGATACATAGAATTTCCGTTGCCAACTTGCTGGAGATGCAGGTCCTTGAACATGGGCAATTTTTGGAGTTCCAGAAACGGCCGCTCGAACTTCTTTTTGCGGTCCATGTCCCGGAGCTGGAGGTATTTGTCGATGTTGTCGTCAAAGATGTACTGATAGGACACCAACACCTTCTTCTTCCTCTTGCCGCTGTCGTTCGCCTCCAGATTATCATAGTCGTCGACGAGCGTCGACCCCTCTTTCAGCGTTACCACTCGCATCACGCGCCGCTTCTTCGGGAATGAATCGCCCTCCTGGCCGGGGAAGGAATCCTCCTGGCTCCTGGGCGAAGAATTCATCTCTTCTGACGAAGTAGAGGACGCGGACGATGTGGAGGAGCGGTTCGTGCGATCGCCGGGTTTGCTCCTTTCCTTCGACAACTCCTCTTCCAAAAACTCGGGGAGGGCATCGGTGTTCTCTTTTTCTGCATTCATCATACCCACATCCTCTGACGGGTCGTGAAGTTGTCGGTCAACTGAGTCGACGTGGGTACCCGTACCAGTAGTCGCGCCGCCGACCAGCAAATTTTTCACTTCTGCTGTTTCTGCCCCGGCGAGCTTCATGCGCTTCGCATCCTCCACCCCGTCGAAGGACTTTTGCATCTTGTCGCGCAAAGCGGCGAGCTCCTGCTTCTCGCTCTCGTCGTCGTGAAGGTCAGCAGGTTGATGCGGTTGCAATAAAATCTGTTTATTTTTATCTTCTCCTGGCAACAGCATATTGCCCTCGGTTCTTCCTGGTTCCGCCAGCATATCGACATCATCATCGCCATCTTGAAACCCAAGAACTCCGCCTCTCGTGCTGTTCTGTCCCGAGGAGGATACGAGTCCCGTCGCGGTCACTGCCGCAGCGGTGGTGACGCCTAGGCCGCCCGCAGAAGTTGGGAACAACATATTGCCACCCGTAAAGACCTCGTCCAGTTCTTGTTCTCGCCGGCGCTGCAGTAATAATTCTTTTTCGCGTCGTTTTCTTTTCTTTCGCTTCTTCCTCTCGCGCCGCCGCACTTCCTCCGGGTCTTCTTCCTGAAAGAAATCCTGCATAAAATCCTCGTGCAGTGCCGCTTCCTCGTCCGTAGACTCCTCCAACTCGGCGGCAGCACCGGTTGTACCGAACTCCTCCTGCAACTCCTGCGGAAGTGGGACAGAGACGGTCCTCGCGCTTACTTCCTCCACAGGAGCAGCGAAGTTGTTCAGAATGTCGGTATTATTTCTGCCGGTCTTTTTTGCAGTTGATGCTCTCGTCTGCTGTTCCCGTTCCGCTTCCTCGACCTTCCTCCGTAATCTGTTCAGGCTCCAGTACTTGTGATACCGCAATTGCGTCAAGATGCTATCAAAGTGAAAAATCTCCCCTCCACATATTGAAGCGGAAACTTCTGTTGCTCGATTTGTGTACACAAATCAGCCCTGTCTTGCAGTGAGGCACCACAGGCAAAGCCTCAGCCTGCGTAGGGGTGTTTTGTTGTAGGCGCTTAGCATAGCAGAGGCCTGCCATGTAGGTGCAACAGCATTACAAATCGTCTCCATTAAGCGGCGGATTTTTTGGATTTGCCTTCTTGCAAGAGAGACAGGATTTGTGGCCACAAATCAGCATCACAAATTTTTTAGATGTTGAAACATACCTCTTTAATATGGGGAGGGAGGATTTTTCTCCACAATAGATGCCGGTCCAGAACCACTGGTTGACGGACTCTTCGTACATCTGCCTCTTCTATGGATTGTAAAAATGTCTGGGTCTGGAAGGATGCAACTTCTGATGCTGTCTTCGGATTCTAGGAAAATCTGTGTTGCATGACTAGCAAGAGGATTCGATTTTGTGCTACACGGAGAGGGCATTTGTCATGCAGGATACGCATCAGAAAGCCCTCAAAAAATTTCTGATGCTAGGGCATGCATCACAGACATCAGGAGTCATGCAAAATGTGCATGACAAATGTCGAAATCTTCCAGACCCAGACATTTTTACACTTGATATCTTCTTCGTGATCGACAAATTCTTCCCCTCGAAGACCACCTCGTGGTACAGAAACATCGCCTCCTTCTGCAGTTTCGAAAAGTTTCGCAGTCGCGCGTAGATTTCCAGAATTTCGGAGTAGCTTTTGTTCTGGAACACCTGGACTTGCTTCCTCTCCTGGAAGTACTTGTACACGTTCCGCCGCTCTACCGTCGCCGCGCCCTCCGGTAGGAGCGCCAGAAGCAACGCGCGGTCGTCCTGCTGGCTGAGGGACGCCCGCTGATACTTCTCGATCGCCTGCGCTTTCGCGACGCCGGAGTTCTTCTGCAGTTCGGAGAAACTGCTTTCCGCGTTGATATGGGAAGAAAAAAGTGTTACAGTTACACATTGTGCTGCAGGCCAAGCAAGACAGACAAGCTCTGTCATGCCGGCATAGGAGCCTCGTTTCATAGGTGTTTTCCCGTAGGATTGTATGCATTACAAGTTTTCTCTCTCATGCAGAGAAATTTGTGTTGCTGAATTGAATTACAAATGTGTCACTGTAACACTTTTTTCGTGGGATAGTTGATCAGAAAGGTCCACTGGTCGGGCCGGTCTAGGATGATTCCGTAGTCGGTCGCCTGCGCCCACGGACAGGAGTTCAGTTTGTCCAACAAGTACCGCGCCGGCGGAACCAGGCGCCAAATGCTCTCCGGCTGCAGCTGATTCATCATTTCAGCGGGATCATGATGATCTCCTTGGTTTTGCATATTCGTCGAATAGAAATCCTCCAGCAATTCCATGCTCTGCAACGCCCGCAGCAGCTTCTGCTCGAAATTTTCCCCGCGCGCGGAGGCGGGCAGCAGAAAGGGAATCCGGAGCTCCTGGACGAGGTCGAAAATCCCGTCGATGCAGGCTTGCCAGCTGCAGTTCTGCTCGGCGTTGACGCCTTTTCGCTGCTCCAACTCCTCGAGCAACTGCGAAAAGTAGTCCGTCGACGTGATCATCGCCCCCAGCAACGGGCCCCCGCGCGCCCGCGCGGTCGCCGCGGAGGACGTGCCGCCACGGTAGTCGGGCCGCATGGTCAGGGCGAAGCTGACGGCCGCGAGGGGCTCCTTGGCACTGCCGAGGAAGTACAGACTATCTTCGCTGAACATGTTGGCGCAGAGGTTGTGCAGCTGTTCCTTGCTGTTCTCTTCGAGTTGCGAGACCTGGGGAATCACCTTCAACTCCTGCGCCTCGTGCAGCAAACGCAAAATGGCCTGCGCCACGCGCAACGCGCGACTCGCCTGGCTGACCTGGTGTTTCAGCAGACTGTCTGCCGCGATCGCTGCTGTGGCAGGTGTTGCATTTTTAATCAAACCACTATCGTCCTGTTCTGTAACTCCGTCAGGCTTGTAGTTGGGCCCCTTGTTCATGCGCCGGCGAGCAGCGTGTTGCGCAACCAGATTTCTCCTGCGGTTCTTTTTCGTGAAGCTGCTCCCGCCGGACACGCTGCTCGCCGTCGTGCCGATCTTCTTTTCCGTTACCGCGGTACGCAAGGACTGTGGTTTCAGCTCGGTGGGCCGGACAATGCTTGTCGCGTTCGAAACTAAGGAGGTTGTCGTAGTGGTGGTTCCATTATTCCCCCGCCCGGTTGCATGATCTTCCGCCGCAGCGATTTGCTGTTGCGTGGTTGCCACCGCGCTGCTCGCGGATCCCAGCAGCGGTTCCAGCGCAGTGTCGTGCTGCAGAAAGAGGCGGTCCAGCTTGTTCAAAAACAGTTGGGGCTCCACGCGCACGAGACAGAGCTTCCCCTGGTGCACCGCGGTGCCCGCAAAGGAAGACTTGAAACACCAGGCGGACCGGGCGGCCTCCTCGCTGAAAAACCGCTGGGCGTCTGGGTTGTCGGAGAGGAGGAAACGCTTCTTCGGCGTCAGCACCTCGAAGGAAACCGTCTGCAACAGGTCAATCGCCTCCAGCTCCTCCACCTCGCCCGTGTCGAAGAGCACGCGGATGCAGGGGCGGACGGTCGGGGTGATTCTGGTGGTTGATGTTGTCGCGGCGGGTGCGGAGGAACTAGGAGCGCTAGTTGTAGTCCCATGAGGCCCTGCCGCGCTAGTACCCTTTTTGGCTGTTGTTCCTGTTGCACTGCTAGTACCTGCTTCGGCGCCGCTATTAACCGCAGCTGCGCCGCTAGATGCTGCCACGACCGGCGCAATTGTAGTTCCGGCATGATCTGTCGCGGGTAATTGCGCGGGGGGCAGTAGAGACGAGGATGACGTCGCGCCAGCTGCAGCACTCGCGCTCCCCGCCGCAGCTGTACCAGTAGCGTTTGGTATTTTCCGCACCAAGACCTTGCAGATCACGCCCGATCGAAACGACTGCGGACACCGCACGGGCGTGCCCACAAACTCGGGCCACACTTGCTCCTCCGGGGTAGGGGCGGATACAGCGGGCATCGCTTCCTGAGGGTCGAAGGACGAAGCGGCTGGTCCTGCCTGTCCACCTGCACCTTCTGCCGCGACGACTCGCGGAAGCAGAAAGAGCTTCCGGTGGTAACGCGCCAAGTTCTCGATCTGTACCTTAATCCCGTAAAGCGCACGCGCATCCAGAGTGTCGTCCTCGTGCAGCGGATCGGACTGAGGCCGTTTGCTACTTCCTGCATTGTTTTGCCCGGTGCTTGCTTTCTCATTCAGTAGCTGCTTCCGACCCGCACTGCTGCTCGCCCCGGTATTTGATATTCCGCGTGTGCCGCTGTCAACACCGGGCCGCGCATCGTCCTGTTTCTGATCCGATTTGCGCGCCCGTTCTGCGTTTGAGGATGTGGTCTTTGGCAGATATTTTTCCTTGAACAGAGGTTTGAAGTGCGAGCGATAAACAACTGCACTGCTGCTTGTCTTCGCGATTTTCTTTTTTGCAAACCCCGCGTCTGGGTCCCCGTCTCCGCTCACTGTTTTCTTTATCGGCGACCTGGAGGAAGATGCTTTGCTTCTTCCGATAGAAACACCCGAAACTACACTGCCCCCTGCCGCATTCGATGTGGCGTCGACAACACCTGCTGCTGAAGCTGCAGTAGAACCGAGAGCCACCGTTTTCTGGTACTCTGTGGCCGGCCGTGGCTGTTTGCGGATCAAGAGGAAATCGGTGTACAAATCTTCGCTGCTAGTCGTCGGCATCTCCAAGACGGGCGCTTGACTCACGGTTGTGCGCAAAAGTTTTACAGTTCTGTTCTTCTGCATTCGGACACATTTCCCACCGAACAGCTTCGGGATTGCGGTGTTCGGAGTCAAGACCTCGACGGTCGGGTCCAGCTTTGACGCGGAAGTTTTATGCCGGCTGCTGGCACCACTCGACGCATTGTGTTGCTGGTCTGCCATGATCTCGCGCACCGAGTATTCCATCCCCCGCACTGGCATCACCATCGGGGTCGCAGACAAGTGTTCAACCAGAGTCGTGGCAGGAATCGCCTTAACATTTCCTTTCCGAGAAGCCTGCTTGCTGTGGGCCGACTTGCCATCAGCGTCCTCTCTTGCAGATATTGACTTCATAAAATTCTCTTTCCGCTTGTCGTCGATCCCGCCGGAAAAGGTCGAGGATGACCTGCGCGGTTTCGCGAGCGTGAGCTCGTTGCTGATCGTCGAAGCGGTGGTGGATGGGGTGTCGCCGTCTGGTGCCCCCGCACCTCCACGCGAGGCCGCCGCGGTTCCAAAACTGTTGAAATCGTCCTCCGCTTCTTGGGTATCTTCACTTCCCCGCTTCCTCTTGCCGGACGAATTATGCAAGTACTCCGTCTTGCCCCGGTCTCTGGTGGAGGTTCTTGTGCGAGCGGAACCGTAGTCGTTTTTACCATCACGGGTTGATAAAATTTCATCTCGTACCTCACGGCGCTCGTCCTGCGGGTTTGAAGACGACACGACGAGGGCGGGGTCTGCCTGTGCCGCGATCGAAAACAGTATCTGCACCTTCCCCAGATATCCTATGTCCTTGTTGAACTTTCGCTTTTCTAGCGTGGGCTGCAAAAAGTGGGGAAACGTACCGCGCGACAGGCGCGCGTGCGGGTGGTGCAGGCCGATGGGGTGAATCGTGTGGAACGTCCCGGCGCTGAGCCCAGTGCTGGTGGTGGGGCAGGAGACGATCTCGGCCACGGGGTGGCGGAGCGGTCCGCCCAGAACCCGACTTTTCCACAGCCGCTGGTCGCATGCATGCTGCTCCAGCCGACACATCACCTCCCACGAGGCTTCGGGGTGCCCGGGAGGTCCGTACACGTCGTGACACCCCAGGGCGCGCTGCGGACGGAACTGCAGAATGTTCTGCTTCTTCTCCAAATGCGTAACGATATGGTCACGCTGATTGTTCACAGGTCGAACTGCAGGAGCTCCTTCTCCGGTACTACTACTGCTGACCGCAGACGCACTAAAAGCACCAGCAGCAGCGGCCGCTACGTCGCATTCCCGAACACCGCAGCCCGCATTCCGGGGTCCAAATAAGGCTCGCCTTTCGTGATTCTTAACGGAATTGTCAAACAACACCGGACTGTCGTACTGCGGCCTGGTCACTGACTGGTTTGGATCGGTGGCGAAGTGCTGCGGATCCAGAAAAAAACTCCTGCTCGAAGAGGAACTCGTGGTGCCTGTAACAATGCCCGCCGCGCTTGCCGCACGTGTTTTTACACCAGAGGTGCTCGCTCGGGCGTCAAAACTGGTTTTCCTCTGTTTGAACGGCGCGCGGCGGTAATTCCTCAAGTCCAACAGCTCTTCTGACGCAATGCCGTAGCGGTTCGCAAGAATCGCCCGTTCTTGGGCAGCGGTGAAGGGAGGGACGGTCGGATTTTGGATATTTTTCGCCGAAGCTCTTGCTCCGGGTGCGAAAGCATCCGTGCCGTCGTTGGACAGCAAATAATCCCGGACTTCGGCGACCAGGTTATCGTCAGCGAAAAAGTTGCTCCAGGGAAGCATCTCGGGTCTTTTCAGTGGCGGGCGTCGAAGACCGTGCTGTTGCAGAGACTGTCGTTGCAGCGACAGAATCTGTTGCAAAGACTTGTTGTCCGGGCTCGTTCTGTTTGGTACCCCAAGTGGCATTTGAGTTGTTTCTGAAGCTGGCAGCCCGCCACTTTCCGGAGCGCGACTTTGTGCTTCCAGATTCCCCCCTCGGGGACCTCCGCCAATATTCCGTAAAAGTTTTTGCTCTGAAAAAGAACTACGACCCGCAGTAGCACTGTCCCGGGGCTCGCCCCAGCAGGGGTTTACTTTGCTGCCCTGCTTCCGTCTCTTCAACTCCGCTAATGCTCTGCCCAGTCTGGTTCTTCTCCCGGCTTGCGGGAAGTAAACCCGATGGCTGGACGGAGCTAAGCGCGCAAAGGGCGCAAGGTTCTTTCTGCTCCTCAAAGTGCTCCTCAGGCGTTTTGCTAATACGTCGCTCACGTTCGCATTAGGAGCTCGTGGAGCATCTTGTTTACCCGTGCTGTCCCTCTCTTGTACAAGTGGTCCACTCAGCCTTCCCATGCGTACTGGTTTCTCTGGCGGTTTCTCAAATCTCGCATCCGTGCGCGGGGACCAGATCGGCGAGGTAACGATGGTTACGCCCATGTTGTTCTTCCGTCGGTACACAGACGGATCGACGTCGTCTTCTGCTGGTCTTGACGCGCCATCTCCTGCAGGGCCTTTATTCATATGATCTCCTTGTTCGACGTCGTCCCCTCCGCTGTCATCTTCACTCAGATCATCGGAATCGAAGACAAAATCCTCTGGCAGCTGCTCGCCGACGACATTTTGGTCGTCTTCATCGTCTTGTTCTACAAGCGGTATGTGCTGGAAACCCTCCGAATCTTCGTACTCTTCTTCGTCTAAAAGAATGTCGGAATCGAGATCGAGACCGTCGGACTTGAAAAACCGCAAATTATTAGGATTCCGTCCTCCTTTTGCGCCGTGCAAATTGTTCGCAGCCTCCTCCTCGTCCTCGCCCGAACCAGCGGCCGCCGACCCTCCGTTCTCTCCCTCTTCGTCCCCCGACGAGGGAGCCCAGTGAAGGTCTTCGGGCTCGGCACCTCTCGGCTCCTGCTCTGCGGGGATTCCCATGAGGCTGTCCTGGTCCGAGGTTGATGTGCTCTCGGCTTGTAATTCTAGTTCGTCTTCCTCGTCCTCTTCCTCGTCCTCTGCGGAAGACCCCGACGCGGAAGATCGGCCGGAAGGGGGGGAGGAGCCAAGTTCCTCTTCCTCTCCCGGAGCCGCTCGCTCTTCGGATAAGAATTTTTTGAAAAAATTCTCATCATCGGTTTCGTCTATGTACTCGAAGCTGCAGCTCAGCACGCCGGAGTCCTCCTCCTCGAGCGGAGGGCTCATACTTGTTTCACGTGCCGCGGCCATACTCTAAGATCAAGGACTCACACATCGCGCTGTACCAATCAGAGTTATTTGTGAACCTACTTACTGCATCAATCCGTGGCTCTCATTTCTAAGTAGGTGGCTCTTTGGCGGGAAAACTTCTACGGCAGCCTCGACTAACCACTTTACTTGATTCTTGCCGCTGGTATTATTTCAACGAAGTACTTATGATTAGTTTAAGAGAGTTTGACAACAATAAATAGGCAATAAGAAGGTGATGCGCAGCGACTACACACCAATCGTTTACTGGTTAACGCGCTGTCAGATCCACAGCACAGAGAAGAGATCTAAGAAGCTATGGATCCACAAAGAAACATTTTCGGATCCCATTTTGGACTGAGAGTCCGTGGGAGGACGGAGGAGCTTGGGCAGCACTTCTTCTTGCATAAAGATCAAAAAAAAATGTCGGACACATCATGCACAACAGTCAGAGACAAAGAAATTGCAACCTCACACCATACTTCCGGAACTCAGATGCAGCAAAGCGAATGGTGGCGCCTGTGGAACAGACTCGGTCTGCTTTGGAGAACTTTTCCAGCCCGTGGAAACGCCGCCTGCACTACCCCAATCCCTCTTGCCATGAGGTGGCGAGGATGCGGATGGCCCTTCTCTGCGAAAAAGAAAGCCGCTGCTTTTACTTCGTTCAAATGGTACAGCTTCCTGATGCTTATTCCAATTTTCTTGTTGTCCTCGTACTAATATGACTTGTTTTTTCTTGATGTGCTTGCTGATGTTGATCTTCTAGATCGCCAATTCAATGTTGTATGTTGTGCGAGCCGCTTCGGGGGTGGACCTGTCAAGTCGCCCTGGCGCCAGCAACCTCTTCCCTAAATTTCGTCGCTGTGCCCCCGTCCGGCGTCGTAGCCGGATTCTGCAGCCGGTATGACCTGGTCCGGTTTTATCTCCCCCGGACTGTGCTTCTTCAGCCACTCTAGGAGTGCGTCGGTGGTGCGGGGCCCGTTGTATTCGATCGAACTGAAGCCGGATTGTCCCGCTTTGAAAAACAGCATCGTTGGATATCTGGGTTTATGTGTTACAAGGGTAGAGCTTGACTTTTTCTCTCTGCATGTTCTGTGATGGAAAAAGATAAATCAATCTATGCCGCACTTCATAGATTGTCATTGCGTTTGCTCGACGTCCTCGTGACCCTTAGTCCTCAACCAGCTTCTTAAACAAGCACAACAAATCGCTGCCAATAATTCTTGTTTCGCATCAATATCTAATTCGTCAATACCCCATGACCGGAATATCTGGTGTTTCATTCGCCGTGCCGTCAATCTTCGCAATCGTGACCACCTGCTCATTTCCCCGTAACCGCGTGGCCAGGTCCCGCCAGACCGGCTGCAGCCGCTTGCTGTGCCCGCACCAGGGCGCGTAGATGTTCAAAAATATATCCGTTTTTCGGTTCGCGATGCCGTCGTGCAGCGTCGACCCGACGAAGACCTCGACCGGGTCGTATTCGTCCTTGTAGGCCGGGTCCGGCGCGGGCTCGGATTTCAAATACGGTCGCGCGGTTTTTTGCTCGAACGACTCCAGCAACCCCCTGAGATTGTCCACGGTCGGCGCCACTTCCCCGTCGTTGTTCCCGCCTAATTTGTACTTCAGCACCGCGGAGGCCCGGGACCGCGCCTCGCGGTTCCGCGTCATCAGCCGCAGCACAGGGAAGTCCTTGACAGCGGAGAGGTCCAGCATCTCGAACAAAAACTTGTACGCCGGGTCGTCGCCGCTCTTCAGCGCTTTCGAGCATAACACCCGGCCCTTCATCTCCTTTGCGAACTTCCGTACGGTCTCCTCCACCTCCGCTAGTTTCGCCATCTGCGCAGACTGCGCCCCGGTTCCGTCGTCCGAAGTAGACCCGCTGTCCTCCTCGTTGTGGATCAGCATCAGGAGCGGGAGTTCCGCGGAGCTGGCGCTTTCCAACACCTCGTTCATCGTGTTGACGTTGAAGTCCGTTATCAGCGACTGACGGTACTTGTGCACGAACTCGATCAGCTCGACCACGTTGATGTGCGAGGAGTGGTCGGCCGGGAAGGTGTAAACCTGCTCGTCAAATGGCGTGAACATGGTCACGGAGGGGATTTTCAGCTCCAACGGGGCCTCCCCCTGCGGGTTGTATTCCAGACAACAGGAATACTGCAGCCCCTGGTCCTATTGTGAGGAAAAATGCCCCAACCCCAAAACTTGGGAGCATTTGCATTGCAAATCTTTCCAATGGAAGCACTCGCCCTGTTCCTTTTATCAGCATCACAGATTTTCCATCGTGAGTAGCCAAAATTTGCATTGCGAAAGATCCCAGAAAGCGCGACGCTTGTCATGCAAGCGATGCTGCATACGACTAGACCCTGCATCAGAAAGATTCATAGTCCTTTCATGCAAGACACAAAGTTTTCATTTGGAAACTTCGCATCACAAATTGTTGCAACTTTTGGGGTGGGGGCATTTTTCACTGTAATAGATCCCACCCGCTGTTTTGGTCCGTTCGCTTCGCCGTCACGTGCGTTTTGTTACTGGTCACTTCGAAACTGTCGTTCCATTCCGGCCGCTGCAGGTTCTTCGGCCCGCGACACCGCATGTTCTCCTTGTTCGGCGTTTCCACCGCTTTTGTATTTTCCTTGCTGGCCCCAAAATTCACCACCTCGCACTTCAAGTGGTGGTGCTCGCGGAGGTAGTTCGCGATCTCCCTGGAGACCCCGCTTTTCCGGCTCTCCGCGAACAGTACGTTCTCGAAGTGCTTACTGGCTTCCTGAAACGTCTGCACGTTGTGCCGGTTGTCGGTCTGCTGTTGGGGGGAGAGCGTGGAGTCGGAAGCGGTGGTGGCCGCTGGATTGTCGCTTGAGGTCGGGGCGTCAACGGGGGTGTCGTCTTCGAAAAGACCAACAACGAAGAGGGGGTTTTGAAAATGGAAATTCCGGAACTCTTCTAAAGAATGCACCTCGTGGCCGGTTGAAAGGTGCTTGGAGAGCTGAGATTTTTTTTCGGTTTGGGTAGAAAGTAGACGAAGCTTCTAGTATAGAAGACACGTACTGACTCAAGAATGTAGAACTTGAACTTCTGGAACTGTCATGTATGCACAGCCCTCAAAATCCGCGTCATAGTACCCAGCTCGTGATTGTTTCCATGGTTGTCTGCCACCCTTTTGGTTCGTATTCGAACATGTCAACTTTATTCTCGTCCTCCACGATCAGCCGGACTACTGGATACCCTGGGTACCCTTGCAACTTATACTTCTTCATGGCCTCCATTTCTTGATTCGTTAAATCCACCCGCACGACCGGGACTTTCCTCTCCATTTTGTGCGCCACCTGGTCCCAGATCGGCTGCAGTGCCTGGGAGTAGACGCAGACCGGACTGAAAAACAGCACCGCGACCATATGCTTCGACTTTAGGAGCGCATTCCAGGGCTCGCTGTTCAACGTTAATTCCGGCGTGTAAAAGTTCGACACCTGGCGCATGTGTGGTGGCGTGCGGAACAGGTCGAAAATACCGCCGAGATAGGGGGCGCCGTGGCCTGAAGAGGACGGGAAGCGAATGACCTGGATCTGGGCGAGGGTGGTGGTTGGAAGCAGATGGAGGGGAAGGAACAAGAAAAGGAAAAATGTCAGTGAAGCGACACATTTCCAACAACGCACAAGGCCTCGTATCCTGGATCTATTATTCTTGTGAGCAAACGAGTATGGCAACCATATCGAAGGAGGCACCAGTTGTGTCCAGATTCTCGTCCAAAACCAGGCGACGAGCACGCTAGCACTGCTCTGGTCGCGACTTGACCCCGGCCGAGGTTCCCCGACAGAATAAACGCGCACCCGTCCTCTTCGTTTCTGATCCTCCCGCCCATCTACGGCGATCCAATTTTGCATTCCTCGTCGCTGTAAAATTGACTTCGTGCGACACGGTCTGCCACTCAATCCGAAGAGGTGATGCGCGACCGCCCAAGGCCTTCGCTTTTTGGCCGTTCCATCACATATGCTAGCACGGGCCTCGGTTCCGCGTTCTCCCAAGCCGCTGCTTCGCGACGAAGACGACGAAGCGCAGCGCCGAGGGACTGAATCGGAGTACTGCATCCGGAATGTGTGAGGCGACATCAGATCTTCACACAACTGCTTGTCATTGCGCTTCGTCCTCCATAACGCTCGCCTTCTGGTTCCCTGTCCCACAAAAACCGGCGCAGCCTGGTCTTCTCTACAAACTTATCATCACAAAGCAGCACGTAAAAATGTCCTTCGAAGACGAGGCATGAAGATTTAGTAAGAAGTTGTAGAGTGAAACTTTCAGAAAAGCCATCCGCGTTGCCGTCGCAAAACTTGAAAACAAATGGAACATTTAAATTTATGTGATGAAACAAGTACATATAGATGCAAGGAACGCGTCTAACGACCTTAACATTGAACCTCTAACTTTTCAGATTGAAATGCTTCGCTTGCCATAAATGCTCAGAAACGCGATCAGTAGAACTATACGCATCCGAAATAATCCTGTACGCGGGAACTGTGTTGATCTTGCGTACCAAAACGTTGCTTGTCACAGTGTTCCAAGAACCGTGCAAACAGCAATCAAAAGATTTGCAAAAAACACTCAGCACATCGCTGAAGTATCAAAAAATCATCTCACTACGGAATCTGAACACTGCTGAAAAAAGAAGTAGTGCAGCCAAACTACTCGGCGCGCCGTTCGAGATAATACCGCTGTTGCTGCCATATATTTCACCCACGACAATTATGTGCACGCTTTCTGGGATGTGCTTGATGAAGCTGAAGGCAGGCTTGCTTTTTTCGCTGGTTGGAAAATTTGTCATAGTTACAGTTTCTTGATGCGGGATACAAGGCAAAACACTACTTGCTATTTTGATTTGTCGATACAGGGAAGTTGTGATACAAAAACGCATTCCTACCGAAACATAAAGAACAGAATACAACCGTCAGACTTCTTCAACTCATTCACGTTTTCATTATACAGTGCCTGCACGACAGCCGAAGTCAATCATACAATCTTTTCAACTTGCCGCTCCTATCTTCGTTAGGGTTTGATTAATTATACAGGTCAATCTGGGCGAAAGACTATCCATGTACACTGGGTTTCAGTTTTTCAGATCTGAAGACACTGATTTTCGATACATACATCAGGTTGTTACTTCTCATCAATTCAAAGAAGCAAACAAAAGCTCAGTGCTCCAGGTCGATCTTTCATCCGGAACTGGCAGACCATCGGCGCTGTTCTACGCAGGCGTCGACGCGTCGCCCATCAACTGCGGACTCAAACCGCTACTCGCGTTGGTATCTCGTCCACTGCCGGAATTTTTCTGCTTTTTCGAATCGCCGCCGGCTTCATTGCCCCACACTCCCCCGGAAGCACTATCTTGTTGCGATGAAGCTGCACGTTTTTCCCCTTCCTCTTCCGTATCCTCATCAACGTATTTAGCGTGTCCCGCAGGAGGGGCATCAACTGCTGCTCCGATGTTGAAACCAGACACGGTCTTCGAAGCAACTTCCACCATGGAACTCGAAACAGCAGCTCGGTCATCTAGTATCGAGTTTTTTTACATCCTCATCCTTTCTCCAACTTGTTTGGAATTCAAACACATGCCGAGCGACATCATACCGATCATGTACCATTTACGATGGTGTTTGCTGCTTGCAGTGCTGACTGGAAATTTTGAATACCTTCAATTGCCGCGAAACTCCGTCTCGGAAAATTCGTTTTAGATTTAGTGTCGGCGACGGGATCAGCAGCACTTGTCGTAGGCTCTTGTGCTCCTTCCAACTGCACTGCACTTCGGGTTGTTTCTTCTCCAACTGTTGGGGTAGCAAGACTCGGCTGCACCGAGGCCGCAGCACGTGCTGCTGCTGTTTCAAGTTTAATCATGTGATTTTTTCCTACATATCAAATAAACCTTTACAGATACATTCATAGTCACTATGAAAGTCTGTCTCAAATCTATGTCCGGTATTCCTGCCGGAGAAAGATAAGCAAAAGCTAAAATGAAGCACTACACCGTACATATAATCATCATGGTGTAAATCAGCAAAGTTTCTACCGCTTTGTTGGCTCACGAAATTCTCAAGGGCGGCATTGTCCTCCGCGGTAATCTTCTTTCCGGCCTCAGAAGAGTTTCCAATTGCAAACACGCTCTTCAAGGCAGTTTCGATGGCAGCTCCACCGTCAGGTGTCATTTTTTCCGCAGCCTGCACGAGAAGATCCCTCCGCGCGTCTTCTGCGAGAAGCGGATGCTCTGCTTCCGGTGTCTTCTGCGTCTCCAGCCAAACCAGGTAGTATCGGAAAACAAGAGCTCGGGGAAAATTTCCAAAGTCGTCATTGCGACCCTTCGCTTCATCAGCTTTAGCAGCCAGCTCTGTCAAAAAGGTTTCCCACGGTTCAAGAGAATCAGCGCCGGCGCTTTGCAGTCTTTGCCTCTGAGCTCTTTCTTCCGCGTCCAGGAAACGTTTCGGACGGAGACGCTCTTCTACGCGTTGCGCCCCGCCGCCCGGGTAGACCAAAATGGACGTCGGGGTGCGCCCCCCTCGTTGCGAGGCAGCCTGGACCACCAGGGCTTCTCGGGCTTTTTGGGTTGCAAGCAACTGCGCAGCACGCTGCCGCGTAGATTGATCAGGAGTCCCACCGAAAAGAGGACGAGGAGTCCCACCGAGAAGAGCAGAATTAGCACCCAAATTATTAGGACCAAACATTTGCAAGGTACTCTCATCCTGCACGTCCCGCTCGCTGTTCGCTACTTTGATTTTACTGCGACTTTGCGCAGTGTCGTCTCCTGCTTGACGACTCGTTGCACCCACCAACTTGCCCGACTGCTTGTCAACGATAGGTCGCAGCCCGTTTTGTTGTGTATGTGCATCCTCACTACCGCTGCCTTGGTCGTACGAACGCAAAGTTGTGGAGACGTCCCTTGGGGATTTTTCTCCCCGGTCCGCCACGGCCGCTATGCATGTCGAAAGTAAGTTGAGTCACAAAATCCATCGTAATGCATGTTCGCGCAAATAAATGTTAAAAAGAATCTATCTTTATCAGGGAAAAGCCGCAATGCTGTACTATCTTCATCCTGATGGACGCTGTTGAGAAGCGCCCTGCATTATGCTAGCGTCCGCCGCCTGCGCGAGGTGCGTACGCGTAGCAAAGTTGACGGCGCTTCTTTTCTTTAACTGCCCCAGCAAAGAAGTTCTGATGGCATCCCCTGATGGTGCGCTTTCCGGTCATTTCCGCTGGGGGTTGTGCTTTGTGATGGTTTGTCTATCTTTTTCCTCTCCTTTCCCTCGCGCCGGCTCGTCGCCGGGGCGGCGGACGGGGGCCGACCGCCCGTTCTAGAAAGATAAGAACTAGGTTTAGACAGTCTGTCTACTTTCGGTTCTCGTCGTATCTCGGATAAGCATAAGAACATGCTGTAGTTGAAATAACTTTCATTCTTTGCAGCGTACACTTACCGATTCGACTCAACTCAACAAGTCACAAGGCTTCCCGAGGATAGAACCCGCTTCACGATCCGGCGCCGCTCCCGTTCGCGCTCTCGACGTCGTCGACATGTTACCGTCCCCGCCAATACTCGTCGCTGTACTAGATGCTTTCTCCACGCTCTTTTCGGTTTCCCCATGCGAAGAAGCTTCGACGGTAGTAGATGGAGCACGTTTGTCCGTGCTCGTTTGGGCCGCCGCTAATTCCGTCACGATTGCGTCCCTGTCCTTCTCGACCAAATCCTTCTTCGTCGTCTTCCCAGCCGGCCTTACGTCGTCCCTGCCAGCGACCGTGGCAGCGTCACTGGTTTCCAGTTTCATCCCCGTGTTTGTCGACGACGATGAACCGTCCTCCTTGCCACTTTTTTTCTCGTCCGCAAGATTCTTCATCTCGCCGATGTGCACGCGTGCCACATCATCTGGCTTCTTCGACGAGGACTCCACCGCACCGACTTGTAAGAAATCCGCCGGTAAGGATGTGCCGGCGACCCGGCCATCAACAGCCTTGTCCGTCACGGGAGGACCTTCATGCGCAGGAGCTCCTGTTTTATTTTGGTATGGTATCTGGCTTGCGCCCTTTGGGCGCAAATGCGACTACCGATGCATGACACCAAAATTTTCTGCAAGACCATTCAGAGACGACCACGTGACACACCAGCTACGTCAGCCTCGTCAACACCAACGACCGATACCTGCACTCATGTCGCCACCAACAGTCTCCGCCGGCGCCAACCAGTCATAGATACCGTACGCAAGTTGGAAGAGCAGCCCGTTGCTTCCCGAGGCCACGCCCCTCTTCTTGCCACCAGATGTAATTCCAGCAGTAGACGCAGGTCCTTCATCGCCGCTACCCACGGTGTACAGCACATCCTCTTCCACACCCCGTTCGGTCCGCAGCAACCGCCCGCTTTTCTTCCTTTGGTCTTGCACTACTGCGAATGCGCCAATCCCGGAAAAGTACACGACACTGATCAGATCAGATCAGAGGTGTCACGCACGCACGCAAGGGGATTGGCGTACCGGAACTTTAAGAGTGCAGCCGGTTTTTTCATGAACTAGAGCTCGACCACGCTTACTGTACTAGTAGAGGCGGCTAACAGTAATGCTTGTACCCCTCCCGCAATACATGAGCTGCCGTGAGGAGCTGTAAGGAGTGGGGCGAACTCGGGGCTGTAAGAGCTCCGGCGAGTGCTTTCATGAGCTAGACTTGACCACGCGTACTGCTATAGTAGAGGCGGCTACGCAGCGAACGCCGTCACGCAAGCTGGGCTCAACGCAGCAGTCAGGCAATCCTAACCACCACGTCGGCCGTAAAACAGATTTGCGTTTGTCAGAAGAGCATCTTGATCAGGCGACGAGCATCTTGATCAGGCGCAACTGCATGCGCAGCGAGCGGGTCTCGGAATTTTCCTCCTTTTTCTTCATCCCCGGACAGCTGCAAGGCTTGCTGGTGTTGCTCGGGGGCCGCGATGAAAATCCTCGCGGAGAGCGAGCCGCGGTCTCAGTATCTGCGCGGACCATGCTTCTCTGTCGTACAGCCTCGGTACAGGTGAAAGTCGAAATCTTGTGACCACGAGTGCTGAAGCCCTTTTTCCTGAAGATCAGGAATCAGAAACCTCTTTTCTACGTTTTTTGTTTCGCAGATGGCTTCGAAGATATTCGAACAGAGCACAACGAAAGCACGTTGCAATTTTTTGGCGAAAAATGGCGACGGAGGAAAAACTAAAAAACAGTAACTCATTCGAGACTCTCAGTGTATGTGCTCTACGATTTCGGCTCTCGCATTGGCACAACGCTCGACATCTCAATATCTGATCCCGGCTCTCAGGCGAGTCATCATATCGGTGTAGTTTCGAATCTTTACCGGGTTTGCGTTTGACGCCACTGCGATAAAGGTAACACATTTGAGGCAAAAACCATCCACCGCGGACAATCGGAGCGTTTTTGGTAGTCTGATTTTTTATCGCCTTCATACGTTTGTTACACCCTGGACAGAACTGACCTTTTTCAAAGCCATCGTATTCAGGTTCTGCGCAACAGACCAGTTAAGAACTTTTTGGAGGTATTCTGCGCAGTCGAAACCAGCTCTGCATGTGCCAGTTCCGACTGACTGCGTCGAAGAACGAACAGTAGTATCACCTGTCTTCACCTTGCAGCGGTTGTTTCTGCTGCACCAGGCGCAAGGACCAGGTCTTCCCAGACACATTCCGCCTGCCCTGCACAACGGCACACCACGCCCACCTGCCCGACGTTATCAAGTGGGGCACAACCGGCCCATACTGGTGCACGACGGCTTCCTTGGAATGGAATCCTAGTCGACAACACCGTGCGTCACTTTCCTTATCGACCGTGGCATCGTCCAGACTAGAGCTGGCTGCTCCTCAGCTCTCGTTCTTCCTCGTGTCGAGTGGCTAGTACCCCCTCCCCAGACTCATCAGGTGATTTACGAGTTCCTGGCGGTCTTGGGGAGAGAGACTTTCCGCGAGTTTTTTCATCACATCCACGGAAACCATGGCGCTGGAATAGACAAACGTGTGTAGGTACACGTGGCAGAAGAGACCTGATGTGGAGATTGGGCATGATAACTCGAGTCCAAAACGTGGTGGCAAGCGACGTAAAAACTCATCATGTACCTGCAAGAAAGCTACACTAAAATTCATCATGCAGCAAACCATTGCAACACACGTACTTTATTAATATTAAAGCAATTTCTCTATACCCATCACGATCTGGCAGTCAAACCGGTCGGTCAATCCTCCGTGTCCCGGGATCAGATCTCCGAAATCCTTTATTCGGAACGCCCGCTTGAACCCGGACGCGAAAAACCCGCCAAAAGGCGCGACCAGGGAGGCAAAAAGGGCCATCACCGTGGCGTGCACCGAGAGCATCGACATGCTGAACGAGTAGGCTTCCGGGTCCGCGGTGAGGTACTGCACTCCCGGTATTCGGAAGACCACGGTCTCGAAGAACTGCGTCGTCACCTCCTCGCTACAGTGCAGGTTGCTGATCCCCATGAACGGGAGCCCCACCAGGTCCGGCTGCGGACAGAGGAAGAAATCCATTTTGGACAAAATGTTGACCGCAAACACCGCCCAAATGCAGGTGAACACGCTGCCGCCGAAGAAACCCTCCACGGTTTTTTTTGGGGAGAGAGCAATGAGTGGGGTTTTCCCGAAGCGGATCCCGACTATGTATGCGAAAACGTCGTTAGTAATGACCAGCGTTGTGGAGAGCAGAAACCAGACGATGCCACTGTAGATGTTTGACACGTGGGCGCAGCTCTGCATCACGATCAGCAAAATCGTGAGCATGGCCCACCCGAGCTGGTGAAATTGGTACTTGAGCGTGAATTTCCGGAGGGAAAGCACGAAAAAAATCAGCCCGCCCAAAAACCCCAGGTAGACCGTGAAAGTGTAGTACCTGAGAATCGTTGGTAAAATGCATAACTGCAATTTCGTTTCTGTACCAGTCGAGAGGCAGGCTCGGTGTTGCAGGAAAAAATTAAAATGCTAGTTGGAATACATCGGCCCAACCTTGAACGTGAAAAAGGGGTCCTGGTAAGTCGGCAAATCTTCTAGAAAATAACAAGCGGAACTAGCACTATTCTATACCTGACGAAAAGCAGGTAGGGTATCTGGCCGCCGATTTCCTTGATTTTTATTTCCAGCTCGTGTGATGGGAGTATGCAGTGGAAGAATTCGTTTCAGCAACTCGGTCGTATCAATCACCATCGCCAAGGTCTCTAATCTTTTTCCTAGTACTTGGATAGTTCGCGCATCTTAAGCTGAGCATGATACGACCGCGAGACTGCTGCAACTACAAACGAATCCTTTCATAAGCGGTAGAAGTCTTTTGATCGCGTAGAACTCCGCCAGGACGAAAAAGTACCATCGCATCGTCAGGAACCATGGTATCTGTTGTACGGAGGTTCAATTTCTTCTTGCAATCATATACATTTTCTTTATGCTTATGCGAAACAAACCCGGACAATTCGTGCCCAGTAAGGCAAAGTAAATTTACATTGTGCTACTTCTACTACACAAGAAACGCTTTCCTCTCTTCTACTACAACATACAGCCTGTCATTCAAAACGCTTTCCGATGATCTTCCTCCTAGCATTTCGTACCTTATTGTCCTTTTCCTTGTTCCGCTTCAGCCCGATGACCTCGTGAAACATGCCCATGGTCAAAGCGATGACCAGAAAGGCCAAGTACAAGTGCCCCATGGCGATGACGACGGCGAACATGGAAACCATGACGCAACTCCAGAACACCCGCTCCTTGACACTTCTCTTCTTCGCCTCAGACCAGGGCGCGTTGGCCTCCAGCACCACAGGTAATTTCGATTCCTGGTTTCGCTGCGTGGCGGTCTTCTTCACGCGGAGCCGGGCCCCGTCGCTCGGGGCCGCGGCTTGGTCCTCGCCGCTGGTGCGCTTGCGGTTGTCCCACTCGCTGTACTCCGTCTCGCTGGAGTCCGCGATCGCCCCGTCCTTCTTAGGCGTGTCATCGTCGCTTTTCTTGTTCTTCATCTTGCGCTAGTTACTCCTCTGACTGCTGGGCGATGTGTTGATGACCTCGCGACGTTCTTCTTGTTGGAGCGAGGGCTTTTTAGGTGTCCTCTGTCTTCTCCCTAAGAACATGAGCGGAGATGAAGACCCTTCTCCTCCTGCAATTAGAATGTTGTTGCGGGTCGTGAAACAACAGTGTCGCAAACGAACTTTCCTGTTCCAAAGCCAGAAGTCTCGACCGTTTTGACGCGGGCGGGTGAATTGATTTTGTCGTGTCGAGGACTCGGGCGTGGGGGGACATTTGGGTAATCTATGAAAATGTGTGGGTTCGAGGTGTGGTGTGGAAAGAACTAAGGGAAAAATTACAGCTTCAGAAGGGAAAATGTGTGTGTTGTGGGTTGTAGCTTGTTATCGAAACTTATGATTACAACATGAATCTTCAATATGGAGAATGACTAAAAATGTGTAGTTCTATCTGCTGAAGTTCCTCGCTCTAGCGGAATATCTATGCGTTGTGAATTGCTCGAGGTATAATTTTTCTATTCATGGGGGGAATCAAAATTATTGAGAGTGAATGGGTCAGGGTCGTGGTGGACTGTGTCGAAGAAGTTCGTTGTATCAATTGTTCATACCAGAACAAAGACGACGTTCCTACTGCTGGGATACTGAGATCTGAGATGAAAGAAGGCCTTTTGCTGTCAGCCAGACTGCTCGTGACAGAACTAGTCCTGCTCGTCGTGGTTGAATGTCAATTATTCGACTTTCCTTGATGAGAATCAGATCTTCAATGCAGACGAACTGTTCGAACAAGCTTTTCTCTGCGGCAGAAAAAAAACACCGAACACGACCACGCTTGTCCGCGGTCGTGCGGATTTTGCAGCTATCAGTCTCAGTTGAGATTTCTACAGGAGTGAGTTCTGTACATTTCTTCCGTGACAAAAATCGTATTGAGTAGCTCACTTCGCCTGGTGTTGAACCAGGCAGCATTGTCTGACAGGAGGAAAAGGTCGCGTTGTCCCATTCGAATTTGCAGATGACAAAAAACTTTTCTGTGCAAGAGCAACTAGAACCATCTAGTAACCTATACTGTGGTGGAATACTTATGGCTAGGCAAACGAAAAACCAGCACGACAAGAAGTTTCTTTGTTGTGATGACCACAAAACAGTTCAATTTCCTTCCGTCCGTAGTTGTCCCGCATGAAGATGCGCCGAAACGTGTACACCTCTGTTTTTCATTATTCAGGACAGCTCTTTTGTTCAGAAGACCATTTATCCACTGCGCCCCAAGCGTAATCACGCATGAGTAGACCCTATGCAGCGACGAACGCCGGCAAGTCAGTAAAACTACTCTAAAGAAATGGAAAAAAGTAAAAGAACGGAAAATGATATTGCACCCAATCGTTGATGACGAGGTAACCAATCGATTCAGCCACTTCCTCGTCTTGTCGACAATGCATTCAGATGAAACAAACTAGTATCGCAATAATTATCGCAATGCCCCCCATAAAAAAGCTGACCACTACGAAGCACAACAGACTGCACTTCGCCTTCGGGCTGTCTATCCTTCTAGTGAATACGGCTACACATGATCGCAATGCTTCCGGTTGACGAGGCACATGCAACGCACCATTGTTCCACAGCATCGTCGACCTTCCCAAGTAGCTCTACTTGACGTTGAAAACGCAAGAAAGATCATGAGGAGGCTGTTGATTCATACTAACAGTAACTCCCCGAGAATGGCACTTTCATGATTGAAACAGTTCCCCAAACTACTTTATTTCCAGTTGTGATCATTTGTAATTTTTGAATGCAAGTTGAAAATTGCCTAAAACGGCTTGCTAATCTATGTCGAAATAGTAGAAGAGGAGGGTAAAATACTGAAAAAGAGCAGTGACTTATGCACAAGGAATGCGCTGCAACGTCTCGATTTTTCGCAGATGACTGCTACAATTTTTATTTTTCGTCTGATGTCTAGCCGCGCAATTCTACAATATGCAAAGCTCTACTGGAGGACGAGAATCTATTTTCATGGGCAAGTTCACAAAGTGAACTGATTGTACGAAATTGTCTGCATCCAGTCAGTCGATAGAAAACGCGAACAAACTGTGGTCTCAAGTTCTTCAGCCATCAGTACAAAACTCCAGAAGTACATTGATAGGAGTAGGCACAACAGTTGCAGGCGAAAGAGTTCAAGATCATCATACAAATTGCAATGGTAATTCCTTCTAGCACTATTTATTTTCACATTTGATAGATACAAGTGCTGTTTCTGACACAGCGTGTGTGATAGTGACAACTACCTTGGTACAAAAGCAAAATCTTAGTACAAAAGCGAAGCACGTGCACTTTTTTTCTGTCTTTCGCACTCAAGCTCTCTCAAGTAGGATTAGATAGTTGGTAGTTCTTCTACAACACCTCGCTGCTTCGCCGCAAGGAATGTGTTGATCAGAGATGAAACCGGATCTGCTCGTCGGCAACAAACAGGACGAGCCTGCAGAACTCCCTGCGATTATTCCGCCTGCTGGAAACAAAAAAGCCACAGTCCGAAGTCAACAAATGACAACTTGTCACGCCCGGAGCCCTCTGCCGCGTAGCGCTGCTGCGCTAAAAGCGGCGGTGGCATGCGTTCGTGCGCCATCCTCCCGCGACTGTCGTTTGTCACGAAGGTCACCGACCGAAAAGTCGAATGACCTCGGGGGCAACAAGGAGGAACCATTTCCGCTTACTTCCGTCGTCGTTGGCGCAACGGGGTTGGAGGATCTCGCCCCAAGACGAGCTCCATCATTCATTTTCCGGTTACTTTCATCTTTGTCGGTGGTCCTGGCCCCAGTTGGATCTACGTTCAGTGGTGGTGGTGCTGCTGCTGCTGCGGTGGCGTTTGATGCGACGTTGGTGTCGCTTCGATTTGAGGTTCCAGCAAGACCGGCCTCTTTTCGGCGGCTACTTGCTCTCCTCCTTATCTTCCGGGTAAAAATACCAACGCAAGTGATGTTGTCTGTCGACCGCTGCTCGATGGCTCGCCGCATCACCGCCTCGACCGGATTCGTGGTGGCTGTTGATAATTATCAATGTGCTGTCTTAGAGGACGACGACGTCAAAACTTACTTTTTTCTGTCTCGCAAGAATTCATTCGCCAGCTGTGACATCACGTAGACATGATCAATGCACGACCATTTTTGTTGAGAAGCTACAAGAAAAACCCTTACCCCCGCTCGCTGCAGCCTCTTCCTGCGACCTGGCTTTGGTGCGCTGTAGCTCCTCACACACCTCCACGTTGTCCAGTACACCGAACACACCGTCACTGGCGACCAGGATGTCCGGCGACACCTTCTGGTCGTGGTTTCCCTGCTCGGACAGAGCTTCCGGTCTCGTTACTCTGATGTGGTCCGGAATCGCGGAAAACAGACCGGTCTCCTTGCCCCAGCGGTCCCCAAAGCACCTCATCAACTCCAGCGAACCCGGAGCGCCGGAGAGCGTCACGCGCGTGTTTCCGGAGAGAAAGCGGGCGCCGGCTGGATTGTTTTTGGGAAAGAAAAAATTCTACTAATCATCATCTTCACAAACGGATAAACCAACGAGAATACGCAGCTTGGAGAATCTGAATCACGCACACCTAACAAACGTAGATGTCACTTTCACGACATGCTGGAAAAACTACACTAGTAGCAGACAATACTTTTTGTGGACAGCGACATGCGTTCCTGGAAGCTGAGGTTCCGCACGGAGTGGTCATCCGTCAATGGACGGGAGCCAAACAAAGCGTTGCTCTCTTACCTGGCCCCAAAACTTGGAACGCCAGGTAAGAGAGTGCCCTGGTGTTTGGGCCAACTTTTTTTGGGCCAACGGGGCCTTTTTTCCTTTCAAGCGCCACGCTATGCTCTTACCTGGCGCCAAAACTTGGCAGGCCAGGTAAAAGAGTGCCGTGGTGTTTGGGCCAACTTTTTTTGGGCCGACGCGGTCTTTTTCCTTCCAAGCGCCATGCTATGCTCTTACCGGGCCTCAAAGTCTGGAGGCCCAGGTAAGAGCACAGCGCGGCCTTGTGCTTCAAGGGTGTCTCTTTCATCTGGCCACCTCCGCTCTTCAGGCCAGGACATTTTCGCATCCCAAACACCACGCTGCTCTCTTACCTGGCCCCAAAACCCGGCAACCCAGGTAAGAGAGTGCCGTGGTGTTTGGACGAATTTTTTTTGGGCCGATGCGGTCTTTTTTCCAAGCGCCACGCTATGCTCTTACCGGGCCTCAGAGCCTAGAGGCCCCGGTAAGAGCACAGCGTGCTGCTTGTGCTTCAAGATCACCCTCCTTATCTGGCCACCTTCCCGGGCCAAGACGTTTTCGCATCACAAGCACCGCGCTGCTCTCTTAGTTACCTGGCCCCAAAACCTGACAGCCCAGGTAAGAGAGTGCCGTGGTGTTTGGGCCAACTTTCGCGGGCCGGAGCAATCTCTTTTCCAGGCGCCGCGCTATGCTCGTAGCTTGGCGGCCAATCTATTTTTGATCTATTCCGCCCAAATATCTAGTCGAAGAAATTCACTACCAAGAATTAGTAACACACGATTATACTTTTTGTGGACAGTGACATGCGTTCCTGGAATATCCAAGAAAAAAACTGTGTTAGTGTGACTATCTGTGGCTGACAGCATCACAAATTTGCTCTACATGACTTCATGCGTGGCTTGTAAGGGAAAAAACACATAAAAAGAGGGCGCCATGGTTGTCTGGCATGACAGGTGTAACTCTGTTGCATCTTCTGCATTACAAAGTTACACTTACACAGTTTTTTTCTTGCATATGGAAGCTGAGGTTCCGCACGGAGTGGTCATCCGTCAACGGACGGGAGCCAAACAATATCAAATGTAAAAATGTCTGGGTCTGGAAACTTGTGATGCTGGGTGGCGTCTCATGATGAGGCTCCAAATGCTGGCCCAGCATGACAAGTTTCTGAGCTCCTCGGTGTTGCCTATTCCGCGCGACAAACTGCGCTTCTGCATCACAGAAAAACGGAGCTCTTGGGTAACGTGCATGACAGATTTAAGAGTCATGCCAGACAAGCATGACAAACATGAATTCTTCCAGATCCAGACCCAGACATTTTTACAGTTGATAAACAAAACTCGACAGTCCCCAAGGTGCCAGCACTCGACGATCTGAATATTGTTTTTTTCTTCATGTTGCGTAACAGTCAATTTTGATCGTCATGCGGTTTACATCTATCGTTGAGCGAGTTGAAGTGTAGAGAAACTACGTATTTCAGTTGGTCACCCTAACCCTTGCCGTTCAGGGTCTACATCCAACGTGCAGATATGATGGTACTACGGAAAACATGACTTGAATCATTCTGCGATATTGGCCTCAAGAACAAAATAGAAGCACCAACCTCCGGATTCACGTGCACCACGGCGATGGCGGCGCCGCTGCAGTAGCTCCGGCTGTCCTCCGCTAAATACGCCTCCGTCGCCTCAAACGCCCGAAACATGTCCCCGTCGCAACTGCGCAAAAACTCTGGCACCTTGTTCTGGAGCTCCGCGGCGACCCAGCCGCCCTCCGGGCCGTGGCCGTCGATCACGCCGAAGTAGTGCTCTTCGCCGTCCTGGAAGATAAAAAAAGCGTCCTGCTGTTCGGCCCGCTTGTTCTTGGAAATTCCGATCTTCGCCTTGTGCCCGTAGTCGTAGAGGTCGATAAGTACGGCATCGTCCTCCGGTTCATCAGAACCCCCGGCAAGAGCTTCGTCGTTGTCCTCGTCGGGGTTGTTTGAAACTTTATTTTCCCCGGTGGAGGAGCTGAAGCCATCAGTACCTGCTGCTCCCGACCGGTCAGGAGGCAGAGGATGGTTGCTGCAGAATTCCCCCTCTGTTTGTTTCTTGAGGGCTGCATCCTCCGAGGTGTTGCTCGTCCCCTGGATCCACCTACTGGGGTGGCAGATCCCCTGGTGGTCGTACTGGTGGTAGCAAGTTAAGTGCGAGCGCTTCGCCCACTGCGCTAGTAAATTAGGCGGTTGCATCAAACTCGTAGAAACCATGGGCTGCGGTGTCTGTTCTACTTCAGAAGTTCCTGTGATTCCCGGCTCGGTGTCCAAGTTTGGTGCGGCTAAAGACGTAGAAGAGGAACTCGGGAAGTAGTTCTGCTTGTCTATCACCGGTGGTGGCGCACCGCCCGTATGGATTGCAAAAATGTCTGGGTCTGGAAGAATGCAAGTTTGTCATGCTTGTCTGGCATGACTCGAGAATCTGTGTTGCATAGGCACGAAAAAGTCCTCTTATCTGTCATGCAAAAACGCAGTTTGCCATGCGGAATACGTAAGACATGGCAGCCAAAAAATTTGTCATGCATAGCTGCTTGTTGCAGTGCGTCTATCATTCATTTTTAGCATTACAAGTTTCCAGACCCAGACATTTTTACATTTGATAGCCCGTGCGGGTGTGCAGCTTGTAGAACGGCGGTGTGTTCATTTTCAAGGCTGGATGACGGAAGAAATTAACTCTTGTTGGTCGGGAACCTTATTTCCTTGTCTCTGGGATAAGAACAAGCAGTTCTTCTGGTCGTGCTCGCGCAAAGTGCAGCTATGGGAGGTGACCGGTAAAGTGGTAGACGCGTTGCTGCATTGTTCCCAGCAGCCGCTAAGCCCACTTGCTTCTCCGTTTGAGAAATCGTGACACGGCAGAAAAAAGCAATACGTGGGTGAAGAGGTAGTGGAGATACTCCAAGAACGAAACAACAAGTGTTTTCAACTGACACTCACACTTGTCCTACATGATTTTTTTGTCAGAAGGCGATTTCGTGAAGCCTGATCCACCAAGTGAAGAAACGAAAGGCATAAGCGGCGAAACTGATGAAGTGATGAAGCGCAAGTGCTGTGCGCACAACTCTTGGCGCACCATGCGACAATTCGGTTGGCGAAGTATAGTTTCGTCCTTTTTTCGAACCACTTGCATCCGGAAGCACGCAACGATCTCTCTCCCGTCTCTCTTGTCATGTATATTTTTTGTTCGCACCGAGAAGCAACTGCATGAACTAGGTTTTCCGCAGGCTGAGAAATCGAACAACGTCGAATCAGCAACGAATTCGAGAGAGTTTTTTGAGTCGAAACACGAGAAGAAACCAGCACGACGAAAAAATCCATCGTCCATTCCTCATCTCTTCTGGGCGCGTATCGGCAAACAAGCATAAACGAAACACAGAGGACGCCGGTGCGAATCTGCTACTGCTTTACAAGAGCCTCATTATTGTAAAATGCGACATCGACTGACGATAACGTTCTTGCGGTTTAGAAAAATCGCGCACTTTGTCGCGGCACAGTGATCGGTCTTAACGTTGCGCACATCCAGTGCTGGCTGATAGTATGAAAAAATATTGTCTCGGATCAGATTGATAATTCTACTTCCCCTACTTATCGTGCAAAAACCGCAGCTCCCCAAAAATCTACCTTGATGCGGACTCCTTCACATTCACCCGACCAGAATCGCCAGCAGCACTGGCGGGACGGTTAGAAAGAGGAAATTCTCGTCCACCTTTGCCAGCACCGCTCGGGCGCTGTCGACAATATTGCTGAGTGATCCATCTTCACTGTCGGCCCCCGCACCCTGCTTACCCTCCTTTCCCCCGCCTTTCAGGACGAAGCCCTTGAGCATTTGTTTGGGTTTCTGCACGAGGAACTCCCGCACGGTCGAGAGAAAATTTTCCAGACCCTGGAGCGGCTTTTTCTTCTTCCTCTTCGTATCCGCGTCCTCAGCCAACTTCCACTTTTGCGACTTGGCCAGCGGTGCCAGCGTCGTCGCGTCCACGGTGTCCAGCCATTTTCCGGCGTACTCGCGGGTCCACCACTGAGAAGTAGGGTTGATGGAAGACTTTAGTTCTCCTCCGTCGCTATTGTTTTTCACACGAGGACCTTTCCCCGTTTTCCCGCTCCCCTGCTGCTTCGGGTGCCAGGGCGGGTTTTCGTAGCGCGAAAAGTCGTAGAAGTACCGCTGCACGCGAACCGCTTTGATTTCCGCCGTGCGCCAGTCCACATCCGTGCTCGTATCCAGCTCGAGGAGTTCGCGCACGTCCGTGGTCGGCGAGTAGAGCGGGGGTGCAGAAGTTTCTGATCCTTCTTCACCAGAACCCGCCACCCCTGTCGTTCCAGCGGCAGGCTGCACCTTCTCCGTGATCAGCAGCCACAGCATCCTCACAAGCCACGACTGCCCGGCATACTGGTCCGCCAGCGCGGCAAACCAGAGCTGCCAGTCGAACCGCGGCTGGTAGGGCGCCGTGCGCACCGGCATTTTATTCAAAAAAGTGGGTGCGTACCGAAAGGGAATCTCGTGCCACTTCTCCCTGCTCGTCGTAATATCCGCTGATGTTTTTGTTTTTCGCCCCGTAGATTTCAGCTGCGCCTCGAAAATCAGCACCGGGACCTTCGGCACCGGGGTGTAACTCAGCCCCGCGTACCCGGATTGGAGAGAAAACGCCTCCTCTGTGGGTGGATTTTTCGCTGGTGCGACGGAAAGTTCTACACTCGTACTGTTCATCTTCGTAGAATTCGAATCATCTCCTGCCGTCACCATTCCCAGCAAACCGCTCACCTTCGGCACCTTCTTCGCCGATCGGTCGTGACTGCCGACGCCGGTCATGCGGCGGAACAGGCCGTAGCTGTTAGATAAACTTGAGTACTGGTCGTGCTTGAAGAGCTCGGAGTACACGTGCGTCATGACTTCCTTCTGCAGCAAAAAATTGGTCGGGCCCAGGTGCGCCCAGGGGATCATGCCGAGGTTGAGCGCGACGAAGGCAGCCGCTAGGCGGACCAGTGCGATGGGGAGAAAGAGGAAAATCCGCTTCGTCTTCGACAGAATCGTCGGCGGCGAAGCGGCCCCGCCCTGGTTCTGTCGCTGCATGGACGTCCACGTCGAGCTAGGCGAGCCGTCCGGAGCGGTGCTGAAGTGGCTCTTGTACGATGAGTTCGAAGTAGTAAGCATTCCAACCGCGGACGAGTGCGGCGTGCCGTCCTCGATCGCAAGGCTCGGGGGTTCTTTGGATTTCTTTCGGGCGCTGTGCCCTTTTCCGCTCCACAGGTCGAAGCACGTGACGTCATGGTCCGCGGTAACCGCGAAGAGGTACCGGAGGGCGGAAATGAAGAACGCGATTTGCACCGCGACCAACCCGTACTGCGTGTACCAGTGCAGGTACTGCCGGACGCCGCCGTCGGTAATGGTGGACTTGATAGTGAAAAAATCGCCGTGGAAAATTTTCCAAAAATCTAAGCCTTCCAACGCACGACCGAAAGCGAACAAATAAGTGCCTGGGTGTTCTTCATATTCACCGCTGAAAACGACAGCAGCCGAGGAAAGAACGGCATCCTTCATCAGTTCGAACCGCGCGAGCACAACCGCAAGCGTTTCCGCGCTGAAGAGGCTTTGCACAAGAGCAACACCAGCACCAAAGCTGGTCGGCAACAACTGCTGGATTTTCCCCTCGCCGGGAAGCTGCACCATCTTCGCTGCCACGAAGTCAGATAAATCCTCTGTAACACCGAAGTCCGTGCCCTGGAGGATGAGGAACAGCGAGATCAGCACGAGGAGCGGCAGTTGGCACGCGAACAGGAGGAAAACTTGCTTCCTCGTTTTCTGGAAACACGACAAAGAGGAGGATTTTTTCAGCTTCAGATGACTGCTCATGGCGGACGAGTTTTTGATGTCCTTCGATTTATTTGCTGGTGTTGTTGCGTTTTTTTGTACTTCATTCCCACTTATCGAAGAACCAGTGTCGAGGTCCAAAGCCGCTTCATCAAGTAAGTCGATTTTTCTCGACGAAGATTTCGTCGGCGTCGCCAACCGACTCGCTTTCATGGCCGCTTTACTCTTCTCCGCACCCGCTCCTGCTTTGCTCTTGCTAGTCGATTTATAATTAGTCGTCATTTCTATCGCGCCTTTGTCACGACCAACACCTGTGCTCCCACTACTTTTGCTCCCGCCGCCGTAACTTGTGAGTGATGCAATTCCACTGGACGCGTCTCCAGTCAAGTCACTCCCCGAAGATGCGGTCGATCCGCTGCCGAGGCAGGGCCAGAGGAGAATTGCGCTTAACACGTTAAACCAGTTGTAGTTCCCCGTGAGGAAGATCCCGATCTGCAATACCGCGTGGAGCATGGCGACGTAGTCCCGCAGGTAGGGCACGTAAATCAGGAGGATCCCCGGCGCCAGCTGGATGGAGAACATGAACGCGACGCCCAGTCGGTTCACAAAGGGGTGGACCTGGTGCGCAAACCAGGCCATCTCCGTGGGCAGGCACTGGGACACGTAGTGGTACTCCAGGGCGGTCAGATCCTTCCAGGTTTGGCAGTTGGAAGACTGCTTCACTACGCCGGTCATGAACATTAGCTTCACGAAAAGCGCGCGGAGGAGCCAATCGACGCAGTTGTGGAAATAGACCGAAGAGGACAAGTTGTATATCCTGAGTAAAAACGTACCCACACCAGAGTCAGGATGGGGATTTTGCAACACAAACCTAGGAGTTTTGTAAGTCACGCATGACAAGTTGCACTATGCAGTGTAGTGCAGGTTAGCAAGTGCAGCCGCATCACAGATTCATCTGCTCATCCTGTTCACAGCATCACAAATTCCAAAACACGATTGGAAATGGCTCTCATGGGGATGCGCGTTGCAAGTCTTCCTGTCTTTGCAAATCTGCATTACAACTCTGGCGTGGGTACGTTTTTACTCAGGATATTGTACAGGTTGGCCAAGAAACCCACTTCGAGCAACAGAATGTCCCACTGGAAGGAGAGAAACGTCTGACCTGATAGGAAATTCATGGTTAGTTTTTGATGATGACAGTCCTGTACAGCAGCTCTGCGTCTCGTCGTGTCTCGTCCTTGTGAGTATGTAGGGAAAGCTTCAAGGAAGCAAGTAGTTGTAGGTCAGCAACGCGATACAGATTGACTCTCTATAGACACAAAAATTCTTCACCAACATCTATACCTACAGAGTACAGCGCGAGATAGCACTGCCAACAGGCAAACGTGGTTCCGCAGCGCAGGAGCCAAGTTCTCGGAAAGAGCCACAGCAGCAGCGATAGCACCATACCCAACAGACTGACCGCCTCCAGCACGGTGTGATCGGTGCTTGTGCTCGATGTACTTGTTCCTGCGCCAAAAATAGCGTACAGTGCGCTGCTCAGGTAGGGCAAGGGCGCATAGGGCGACTGTGCGCCGCCGCCTGCTTTTTTCATGTCCGCCACCGGCATGAGACCATTTAAGCCGTAGAGCGCCCGGACCTGTAAATAGTACCCCGCGAACGCCCAGAAGTACACCAGCCCCAGGTAGGAGAGAAAGCGGTCGAGGTTTGTGACGGTTTTGCCGTTCATGCCGAGCAACCAGGTCGGGAGAAACCGACCGAGGAGTCGTGTGAAAAACGTCATCTTATTGTCCAATTTTTTCTCCTGTACAGCTGAATAAATCAATAGCGTGGGTGAGGATATAATAGTGTTTTTTCTTCTGGGGACTGGCACTGGGTCCTCTTAAACGCCGCCTACATTCTTCGCAAAAGTTATTTGTCGCGACGAAGATCTGGTGCGCAGCATCTGCTGCTGCCGCGTTAAGTATGTGTAGTTCCAGCGGTGCTGTCCCAACTTTACACCAAACTATGCAACAGCAGTACCAGACTATGCTTCATTAGCTACAGCGGCTAGCTGTAGCTCCTGCGATGTGGTCCTGTTGAACACTGTAATGTACGTCGGAAGCGCTTTTTCCATGTCTGCTGAAGCACGAAACGAAGCAACACCTGTCATGTCACATCTTTTGATTTTCATTTTGTTTCTAGTTCTTACAAAAGTTCTGAGTCTGCCGCGTCAAAATTTACACAGAGCGTTGCGTGCCGGTGAAACTCAGCAGCATCAGGCGAGACAATAATTGTTCTGAGAATTACAAATTCCGTGAGGGCAGTGCTCCTGCGAAACAATTTTTACAAAGGGGAAACAACGGACCTCGGGCCAGTACTCAGCCCACACTTGGAAAAGTGCGTCCATTCTGTCAATTTCGGAGTTAGAGCTACGTTTTTTACAGTTGCAAAGTTCGATCGTCGAGCGCCGAATCAATAGCATTGGTTTATCTACTGAATTGGTACATTTCGGTATCAAGGTGTATCTATTGTTACGTCGACCAAGACATTGTACTCGTATGAAATACATTGAGCTGGTGCAAAAGTTCTGGGTGTAAAGACCGAACGTAAATCTATTGCCACCCTTACCTTCCTCCTCTGGCGGCCAAGGAGAATAATTGCTATTTTTAATTGATGTTTAGACGTTAAGCAGCTTAAGGATGATGATGATGGAAAGATACAAGATTAATTTCGAATTCGACAGTCAACGCCCATTTTTAATTTAGCTCGATATTGTAGACAGCGACGAAGGTTCCGTGAGTTCTTTTTGCGTCTCAAAAGTTTCCGCAAGACGTAGGCTCGGATCCTCCATTGTGCAAGGGTTGTAGTCCTTATTTCCGGAGGTTTCCGTTCCCCATGATCCACGTGATTCGGATGTCCATCTGCTCCTTGTGATCGAGTCCCATGGGCACGATCTGGAACCGCAACCCGCCGTCTTGCATGCACTTGTTGGAAACCTTGTCATTTTGCAATTTGGATTGTGAAGACCAAAAAAAACCGCCTACGTCATGATGCTAAACGTCCTAGTACTTGTACAGTTTTACTTTCAGGAGATGAAGCAAAAAGTGCCTCTCTTACCTGTATTTCGTCCATGGTGAGGCTGACGCTGTTGGCCATGATTTGAAACTTGCAGCCGATGACTCCGTTGACCAACTTCATGTCCACCGTCAAGTCCAGGTCGAAATCCACTTTGGTTCCCGACCCGGTGAGAAAAACCGGCTTTTCCGGCTTCGCGGACACGCTCGTCATGCAGCGAAGTTCGTAAATCCCCAGGAAGTCGGACGCTTGCACCTGATAGCCGCAGAAGCAGTGCTCGTTGTAGACGACGCCGACGAAGCACGTGTGGTTGCTCAGCCACAATTGCGCTAACTTCTGCGACATTGCCTGTGATGAAAAGAGGTTTTTTTTTTGAGTAGTCGAGGAGAGAAGCAAGTAGGAGGAAATTTGTACTAGTAGGAGTCTTTGTTGCACAACGAGGATGCAACGGCGCATGACGCCCGACTACAAAAAAGCACGATCATGCCGTGCAGCAATACTAGGGCTACATCAAGACGTCTGCGAATTTTTCTACCACTCGTATTCTGTATTGACCCGGGTCGCGAATGGCGCACAGCTGTGTCATGGTTTCTCCCGCAACCACCGTGAAACCCAGCCCTGTCTGGCCGCCGAAAAAATGCCCGGTTTCTTGGTCTTTCTTCACCACCATAAACGCGTCTGATGTGTGAAGTTTTTCACTTTAGCACAACAGAAATTGCAATATGTATATGAAAAAATATGGTCGAAATATAGGATCGATACCATTTTTCACCCCTTCACACACGTTTCCGCATGACAAAAAACGCGAATTCCGTACCGAGGTCTTCGTCCTCTACTTCCACTTCGACGACCTGGTTACTCCGTGATCCACTGCAAATCCATCCGGGTCCTCTGGAAGATGATCGCAAGCCTTGCAGTGCGCAAATGCGATGTTGACTGCAACCTCTGCAATACATCTTGCGGCAGTAGTAGAGGTCATGGACAGAGCACACCCATGCTCAACTTCTTCGTCATGCTTTTCACTCTGCCTACTGCCGTCGAGTTACCGAATGCTCAAGTTAGCATCACAACTTTCCAAATGACACGGACAAAACATTTGAAATGCATATCTGCTCCACCGCGGCAAATGCCCCCGCCAAATCGTCCGCCACTGGTTCCGGTGCGTCGTCGTCCTGATCCCCCGTGGCGGCCGCGGTACCCTCTGCCACTGCGTCCTTCGGCCCGGATTCTTGCTCTGTTTGGAAGTAATGGGGAAACAAGACTTTGTTGTTTTAAGTTTTTTGTATATTTTCCAAAAATTACGGGGCTGCAGTTGAACTTCTTCTCAAAAATGACAATTTCAAATATCCTGTCGCGTCCACCAAGACGCAGAGGTCGGCATCTTTCATGATTGACACACTATCGAAAACAGCATGATCATGCCTTAGTTTAATTTAGACTTACGAAACCAAGCCTCGTAGTCGTATAGTACAACGTACTTTTCTTTTTCTTTTCCGTTTTGCCCCTTCTTGGCTTGGTGTTTCTCCTGGGCAATACCGCGAAGAGTTTCGCCAACTGGCCCGCCTTTATGGCGTCCTCCTTGTTGCTGAACGCGGACTCGTCCACTTTTTTCTCCTTTTTCGCCGTCGCGGTACTCTGCTCGAGCATGCCCAGGTTGGAAAGGAAAAACACCAGCGCCTCCACGTTCTCGGGCGTCTGGCGGTAGCAGCTATGGAAGTGTCAGAGTCGAAATTGACAAAATCGAAATGATTTGTCATGCATAAAATGGATTCCAGTTCGAACCCAGTTTCTAAGTTGCGCGTGACAAATTCTGGCGGTGCCTAAATCCAGTTTGCAATGCTGTTTAGGCAAAGAAGACTGATTCTCTCACGCTGCTTTAGCAGCTCGAGCTATAACCCCAAACAGGCTTACAATCGGCCTCACTTGCCTGCTCTGCAACACACGTATTGCGCGTCATACATTTTACGCATCACAAATTTTTCGATTTTGTCAATCTCGATCCTGACAGTTCCATAGCAGCAGCAGATTTCGTAAATCTCCTCCGGGTCCTTGTCCCGGTTGGCGTTCTATGCAAGAAAAAAACTGTGTAAGTGTAACTTTGTAATGCAGAAGATGCAACAGAGTTACGCCTGTCATGCCAGACAACCATAGCGCCCTCTTTTCGCGTGTGTTTTCCCCTTCAAGCCACGCATGACAGGTTTACTCAGTCACGTAGAGCAAATTTGTGATGCTGTCAGCCACAGATAGTTACACTAACACAGTTTTTTGTCTTGGATACATTCCACCTTTCTATCAGCACGAGCAGCTCCGCTTCCGAGGTGATGGCCAAGTCGTCGTGGTCGAGAATGAGCTGGAGAAACGTGTAGGGCAAACTCGTCCAGCGGTCGTCCCAGGAAAGCAGCTGGAAGTTCATGCGCACGCAGCCCATGCCAACCAGCGTTTGCTTCATCAGATTGCGGAACAGCGGTTCCTATGGTAGGATTTAGGATTCGATTTTTTTTTGAGTACTTTTATCCACCTTTCCTCCTCGCAGAAGCGCCACAGGAGAGCTACGCGAGATTTTCAGTGTCGCGATGATAGAACTTCCATGCAAAATGATATTCCTTCGCATACAATGACGAACTTCGCATTTCAAAATGAAAAAAAAAACGAAGATTGGTTGCTCAAAAGATTATACCTCCACGGAGTATTGCCAGTAGTACTGTATTTTGTAGTACGCGTCGCAGAAAGCGGCGTCGCCACAGACCGCTCGACAGTGCGCGGGAAACCAGCGCATTAACCGGGCGAACAGTTGGTCTACGGCAAAACGGTTTGCGAGAAAGAGCATGTCGACCATCTGGTTCAAAAGTTTCTTCTTGGCCTCCTCCGTGTCCGGCTTCATCGACATAAATTCGATCTGGTCCAGGTATCTGTGACAAAAAATGTCCGACGAAGTATCAGTACCACGCACGGGCACGTTAGAACCGGATATATAAGATCAGCAAAAAGTTTCAGACCCGGTACAAAACTTGTATCTACGTTCTGTAAGTAGTTCTTGGATGGTCGTACCGGAAGCCACTTCGACGAAGATGATAATTCTCAACAAACTTAGTAACAGTAAAACAAAGTACACAAATCTGAGCAGTTCCACGGCCCGCTCGACGTCTTCGGACAGCTCGTATCGTTCTGCCAACCGCAGCGGGTCTTTCCTCTGGAACCCGCACCTGGTGCCACTCATGGTGTCGCACGTGGTCCAGCCGCCTTTGGTGACCACGTCGGTCCCCTCCGTGTACCGATCTTCGGCGAAAGACGCGAACTGGATCTGCTCCGCGATCCGTTTCAACCCTTTTCTCTTGAGCCAGTTCATGGTGTTCAAGGGTTGCTTCTCGATGTACAGGGGAAGGGGTTTCAGCTTCGTCCGCAACTGCGAGAGAAACCCGGGGACCCGACCCAGCGCCACTGTGTGGCAGCGCAGCAGGGGGCCGTCCTTCACCTGCAACCCGATGTCGCCCGAGCTGGTCTCCACAAAGATCTCGCCGAAGAGCTTCTCGACCCCGGTCGGGGGGTTTTTCGCCGGGGCCCCCTTGACGTTCGCCACGCCCGGGTCCTCATTCTCCTTGTTGTCATCGTTTTTGGCCTTTTTGTTCCCGTTCTTCTTCGACGGCTGGCTCTGCTGCAGCGCCGACGGAGCCATGGTGCACTAGCTGGAGCAGCTTTCTGTGGCGGTGGTGGTGGTGGTACAGATAAGTCGGCCGGCGTTGTGGTGCCAAGTCTGCTTTTCGCTTGCTTTTTGCCAAGTCAATGCCCCGGTTTGGTTTGGTTCGCTTTCAGAACAACTTCGACTGCAATCAGTGTCAGACGATCCGGGTGGTGCAATCAACCAACGCAACCAAGCGTAAGTCGCCAAAATCACAGACACGAGTCGTAGCCGAGCTTCTGCTTCTACCCGTGCGGGGTGGCACGACAGTAGAGTCAACACATTTTCGAATTCATCTTACAGGTGCAATACAATACTCTTTTCTGCCATGTCGCTGGAGAATAGGGAAATAAAGTTTGTTTTGACTCGCCAACCTCTGCTTCGTGCAGCGAAAAAAGAGAAGGAAAACGTAGCAGCAGGGTTACAGAAATTATTATGCCGCTCGAAAAGTTGGAAAAACCGCTTGTCTCGTGCTTCGCAAATTTGCGGCTGTCCACTTCTTCTTCTTCGCTCACTCGTCTCGCGAACCACTCCATGAGACCACTCACACTGTTGTCTTTTCAGATGACGCTCAATATCTTTGCGATTTGTACTACTTCCCTCTGGTCACTTATTCGCTCTCGCACCTCCGCTCTATACGTCGCTCTTACGAGCATTGATTCACTCCACCTCAGGAGAGAAAAGCTAAAGTGAGAGTGAGTTTCTATCTGGTACAACAACTCCGAAAAAATCGTGAACAACGCTGAAAAGTTACGAGCTTGCCGTGTATCAAGAGGCTGTCGAAAGCCGGGCAATGTTTCACCGTTACGTGGCGAAGTAGTTGGATGAGAAACGAATTTCATCGTGCTATCATTCAGTCGCAGTCAGTCTTTCCTACTATACTCCGGTTGCACAGACACAGCCCTTCTGTTTTGGTTTCTCGTTGCAAACGTTTAGTAATTCTCTTTCGTGACTTGAGCTGTACTTCTGCATGCAGCCCACCAGCGCCGTCAAACGGAGGCACAGAAGAACTCGTGTAGAAATCATATATATCCTCAGTTGTCTCTTTGTTTGTATCTTTTGTGCAGCAGCTGCTCTACTTATCTCGAAAGTCTCAGTCTCAATCAAATGCAAACATGTGTGCATGTGAGTTGCTCCAACCGCTGTCGCCGGTGCAGACATTGCTCCAACGGTTTTCTACAAGTGAAATTTCTTTGGTGTGTTGAAAATTGTGAAAACATGAAAAAAGTGAAAATCTTCTCAGTTTGCTATGCAATCCAAAATCCTGAATGACAACTCTTGCGGCGCGGACACGATGTTCAAGGAGATTAGGGGTATTCAGTATAATCGCTTGTTCGGAAAATAAATGTACTAGGGGGAGCTGAAATAATGGGAAAAAAATGCAGAAAAGGGGCTTTTATATCAATCGGACGCCATGTCTTACCGCCCCGCATTCCCTCCCAGGGGCAAAGCCAAAGGCGGCACGAGTACAACTAGGGTCGTAATCATAACAATGCAAAAATTCATCTGCTGCAGGTACTTCCTTGTTGTAACAAAAAAACAGCCAACCTGTGTCTATCGTTGAGCGCTGTCCTTTTGGTTTTTCGAGCTTTGCTTGACATGCCGGTTAAACTGTCGGTCTTGCTCGGAGCGTGCGGCGGTGAGTTCCCGTGCGAGTTGCGTGCCACTAACCCCACTGATCGTGGCCGCCGCGTTGGCTATTACACAGGCGCTCGCCCCTGGCGGCTGGTGCAGCGCGTTAGATTTCACGTTCAAATCGAACAAGGCAGCGGCGGAAGTGGTGGAAGAAGTGTTGTAGCTGCTACTGGCGGTTGTACCAGGGAACAAGACGCCGCGAGAGGATGAATCATTCCCCCTTGCGTCGTCCTCTTCGAAGTCATCGTTAGTAGGCAACGTCGCCTCTGGACCACGATGCTCGACGCTCTGTAGTTGTCCCACCAGCTGCCCGGGATGATCACTACTACCAACAAGAACATCGCACGGATCTTCTGAAGAAAGCGTCGCTATCGGGGGCAAAATCTTATCTACGGACGGTGGCGACATCAGCGCAGGTGGCGACCCATCTTTCGCCGGCCCGGCCCGCTTCGGCGGATTTATTCCGCTTCGCTGTTCATTCGCTTCTTGCTGTTCCTCTTGCGTAGCAGCAGAATGACTCATTAACTCAGTGTCAGTTCGGCTACTTGCAGCTCCACCGATATTAACTACCTGCTGCGACAAAGAGGATCCAGGAAGTTCTTGTCCTGCTCCTTGATAGAGTCGAGTGGTCTGCAGGTGGTTGATTTGCTCCGGTTCGGCGTGGCCAAACGAATTGCTTTCATCGGTGATGACCCCTCCTTGCTGGTGAAAAATGAACGCGCTTTGCTCCGTCAATCCCTTCAGAGTACTACTTGTCGACGTGTTCACCTCCAAGTTGTTCGGCGCGAATACGACCACGTCGTCACTGCCCGCACCAAATTGCGGAGTGGAGTCCGGTGTCATGTGTAAAACAAGCATCGCAATCGTATTTTAATAATGCAAAAGTCTACTTGCATGACAGAAATTTTTGCACACGTTCTTTCACTACGTAAAATTTTGTCATGCGTTCATTATAAATATACGAAGTCCGATCTTGTTTGTGCAATGCATATCCGGCGTCAGTAGTTCCGCCGAAGTGTTCGTAAATTTCCGGAGGTCCTGGGAATGCGTCGAGAACATGGGACTCAGCTGTTGGTGCGAGTCCGCGGCCGTCGCTGGGGGCTCCGATTGTTCCGCCGCGGAAAACCGGGCGTAGGTCGTCGCAGTTTCAAACTGCAGAGGTGGAGATAAGGAATGGGGGCCGTAATTTTGTTGTGGAAGAAGTTGAGCCGTGTAGTTCTGCGGATTGTGTTGGTGGAAGGACTGAACACCTGCCGCTCCGAAGCTCAGATGTTGACCTGGCTGGCTACTTTGCAACTCGCTTCTTGTGCTGGCCACATCTTCACCAACAGCAGTCCTCTGATCTCTAATCATATGCTGCTGCTCGTTTCCTCGGAAGAAGACCCGACTGCTGGGCGCAATTTGCTGGTCCTCGATTAGGATCCGATCCGAGTTAAGTACTACAGCCTCCCTGTCGTACGAAGGAACGCTGCTGCTGCTGCTCCGGTGGCTACCCTCGCGGATGGAAGAGTTGTTTTCCCGCTCAGAGACGATTGACACCCTTCTGGTCGTCCCGACGTTCCGAGAAGTTGAAGAGGGGTAAGAATGGTCTGCTTCGGGTTTAGTACCAATTATAGCCGCCGGGGCGGAGGTAGTGAGGTCGTGGGCGTTTTCTTGCCGGCCATCGCCTTGGCCACGGCTTTGCTTTTTCTGGGCTCGCCATACCGCCGTGAGTAACGTTAGGCCGCACGGTATGGCGGCCACTTGATAAACGTCGCAAAGTTTGGCAAATTATCGAAATTCCTTTCCGAAGGCCAGCCCCCATGCTATGGGGCCGATCCGGGTGCCACGGGGGGCGCCCAAAAAGCGAAGAAAAATCGGGCCCATAGCATGCGCATTGGCTTTGCGCGTCTGGGGCGCTTTTTCTTTTTCGCGTTTTATTTTTCACGCCGGCGCGTTTTGCAAACCTTCCCAGGCTCTGAAACCGGCGAAAAGGCGGCCGCTCTCGCGACCGCCCAAAATGCTCCGAAATCGCGGCCGTGCCATGCTGTTTCGCTGTTCTGATTTTTGGCGCGTTTTTTGCGCGCCCCTTTTTGGGACCCCCAAAGCGCCAGAAACTAAGGCGGTGGGCGCCTCAGAAGGGCGCCCCTTTTGCCGGCTCCCCTGCGTCGTTTTATCAAGTGCGAATCGATAGTTTTCAACCGGGCTTGTTTGACTTCAAAGCCCCGGCCGCTTGATAAATGGAAATCTTTTACGTCCAAAAACACGTCCGCCCGCCTGAAAACTTCCGGCCGTTTTGCTGTCTGGGTGTCAAAAAAACTCCCCGGTTAGAACCGTTCGGTGACCTCACTACATACTATTTCTCCTTCTGCAAAGAAGACTGTAGGCGTGATAGAGGAGGAGGTAAGCCAGGATCCACTGCTCCCAACTGACGTGCGCAAGAATCTCGTCTTGCAAGATCTCGGCGATCGTGCTTACTGTCTCCTTGGAGAAGAACACCTGCAGCGAGCTCGGCAAATTCCGGTGTACCAGTGCCAGTTTCTCCTCGAAGAACGGGAGAAAGCGTTCCAAGAAAGATGATAGCATTTTTCCGGAAATGGTGCCACTAGATGCCGCTGCTGTTGTAGACGCTGTTTTACTGCTAGTTCCACTTCCACCCTTCATCTTCGTCCCTGCTGCTGCGCCCTTGTTGTCCGTACCAGACGACGGAAACAACATAAACGTCTCGTCCCCGAGCACGAAAGCGAAAAGCGCGTTCACTTGCTGCAAAATTGTTTCCAGGCCCGAAGTGAGCAAGTGCACGACGTATTTCTTTGACTGCAAGAGGCGGGACGTTGAACTCGAGTCGTCTGAGCTCGTTGCTGACGCCGGGGAATCTCCAAGATGGTGTGCAGCTGCGGCCCCGGTCACCCCGCTTTTAGTTCCGTTCGAGGAAAAATTTGTCGCCGCGCCGGCGGGATTCAAACCTAACTTCGAAAACACGTCCTCCCCGTGCGCTGCGGCTTCCTTGATGGCAACTTCCAGAAGACAGAGCAGCGGATCGTCGAAGGTGTTGGTTCCTCGGTCTACTGGTGAAGACGCCGCGGAGGCGGCGCCGCCTGTGGTGGCGGTAGAGCTGATACCTGCGGACGGGGTAGGTTCTCATGATCCTATATAAAGTGCGTCGAATTCAAAAAAACCGTATGAAAATATCAACTCCGTGTAGTAGTCTGAAATCCTGAAAGGACTTTTTACCATCCGCTCCACTGGCTTGGTTTAGGACAATGCCGCCGGCTGCCGACACAACCGCGCCGGTCTGGTTCGCGAGCGTTTCGTTCTTGACGGCCGCGACACTGCTACTTCCGCCCGAGACACTCGCCGAAGCCCCTGCTGCAACAAGACCAGTGCTCTGTGGCGAGAAGCAGTGCTCGCGGCTGAGTGCGTTTTTCCGTTCGTTCGCGCCCGTGCCTCCTAACACCAGCCGGTGCACCCGTTCCACCCGTGTCTTGTAGTCTTTCGTGGCGCTTTCGACGTTGAGCAGCACCGAGGAGAGCAGCGCCAACAGTAGTTCAAAGTTGCGCATGCTCCCCACCAGATTCCGCGACAACTTGGACAGGTCCACGTGCTTCGCTTCCAGCAGGCGAATGTTTTCCAAAATGCGCATCAGGGCCGGCTTTTCGGTGCCCCCGGGCATGTTGACCGGCGTTAGCGCCTTCGCCGCCCTGGCACCCGCCCCGGTCAAGGAGTCCTCGCTGTACAGAAAATCGGTCGGAAGCCCCCGGCCGTCCGCCCCGGCGTGATGCGGTCCGCCGGCTTGGCCAATCAAGGAGGTGAGCAGCGTGTCCAGCTGCTGCATGTTGCTCGCGCTATTCGCGTAGTGTCCACCTGCCGAGCCGGGGTCGCTACCAGTGCCAACGCCCTCACCGCCACTACCTGCGCCGTCTGCACTGCCTCGCTTCGCGTTGGCATCGAAGAGCGTCACGATCTGCTTCAGCAGATTCGTGGCCTCCTTCGTCCCACCGATATTGGTCAGGGACTTGTCCCCCGCGCTTGTCATCCAGGGAAAATTTCCGTCCAGGTCATCAAACTGTAGGATCCGGGCGGACACCGAAGCAGCGCTCATGGGATGACTCGTTTCTATCGGTGGCGTGTAATCGCCCTCGTCCCCGACAAAATTTAGCGTCTGCGGCGGCGATTTCGTCGCGGCGGCCGTGCTGGTCGTACCACCAACCTCTCCCGCACCGGTCGCGGTTATGTTGGCTTGTCCAGCTGCGGCAGAGGACGATGGGGCGGCATTTCCAGAATCGCCTCCGCCAGCAGTGGCTGAACCTGAGACTGCTGGTGTTCCTGACAACGAACTGTCTCCCCCATCGGCCCCTGATATAGTTGTTCTTGTGCCCGAATTATATGGCATTGAACCAGCACCGCCGTCATTTGATGTCGGTTTGTTGTTTTGGTTCTGCTCTGCCCGAAACGACGAATCCATTCCACTTGCGCTTGCACCTCCAAAGTCAGCGGCTTGCTGTCCGCCGTTTTCCGTCTGCGATCGGATTTTTCCATCCTGCCCGCTACTGCTCCCGTTCGCTTGCGGACCGAGCAACTCGCTGCCCTTTCTCCGCAAAAGGCTGCCGGTGGGGTGTAGCTCTCCGCCGTTATTCTTGCCGGTGAGTGGGAGACCACCTGCTGTCGCTCCACTTGCAGAAAGATCCGCAGCACTACTCCCCTGTTGTCCGCCGCCCAGCGTGGACGTGCTCGTGGCTGTGCTGGCCCCACCTGCCCCGCCGCCCGCCTGCTCCGGCTGCGCGGCCCCCGACGACCCGTCGGAAGACGGCCACATCACCGGCGCAGCGGCTGGCTGTCCGCCGGCGTTCAGCGAAGCAGAGCTGCTCGCACCGGCGGCGGGCGCAGCTCCAACGACCGCCGTAGGAGAACTCACAGGGGTGCCGCCGCTCATCCGCAGGTAGCCCGCCGTGTCGAAAATCCCCAACCGCTTGAGGAACAGGTCGGGCTCGAGGGAGAAAAAGTTCTCGCGGTCGTGGTACTCCCCGAGCACGTCCTGCACGTTCGGCACCGGGAGGTTTTGGCTGGACAGCGCCTCGTCCTCCTTCTCCAGCTGCCGGTCCAGTTCCTTCAGCGCCGTGCCGCCGAACACCTGTATCTTTGTCAGCGCGCAGTACACGGACCCGTCCAGGTTGTAGTGGGACAGGGCGCGAATCTTCAGGAACCGCACCCAGCAGCCGTTCTCCTGGCGCCCGCACCGCTGGCTCACGTCGAAAATCTGGTGGGTTTCCGACAGCGACAGCTCCACCTCCGCCAGCACCCGCCAGCGCTCGACGGGGTAGGAGGACGACCCGAGGATCTGCAGGTGCCGAAACTGCGAGGCGAAGAACTCCAGCGAGGAGAACCCCACTTTTTCCAGCGATATGTACTCGGGCAGTCCGATCACGAACCAGCTCGGGGTGTGCGAGCAGGGGGTGAGCATGTAGGCCGCGGGGTCGGGCCGCAGCACGTGCGACGCGCCCGTGGTGCCTTCCGCGAAGTCCAAAATCTTCGCGCCCGCCGCTTGATTGGCGTAGTCGAACTCCATCTTCTTTAAATCCTCCTTCAGATTGATCGCGGTGGTGAGGAACCGGTTCTTTTCCAGAATTTCCTTCTCCTCCAGCTTCTTTTTCTCCTCCACGAAGGGCTCGAATGCGGAGAACGCCCCGTCCAGCCACACATCCGGGATCGGCACCGAGTGCATGTAGTGGGTCAACGGCTCGTCGGAAGCTGCACCAGCAGCAGGGTCTGCTTCTTCATCCTCCTCGTCATCTTCATCTTCTGTGTCGGGGGATGAATCATCATCCTCTTCTTCCGTCTCTATAACGTCGTCGTCATCTTCACGACCCGCTGCCGTTGCAGCATCGTCTTTGCTCGCAACTTCCTCGGATGAAAGTCGGAGATCTTTTGTAGCAGCTTCTTTTTCCGCCGTTGCTGCCTTCCCCCTGCCCAGCGGGTCGAGGATGGCACCGAGCAGATTCCCCATCAGACTACCCGCGGACTGCTGCTGCGCCTCGTCTGCTACTTCTTCGACTGCGGTGTCGTTTGTCGCATTCGCTGCTGTCGCATTCTCCCGAAGCTCCTGCTCCAGGCGTTCCTGCTCGAGCTGCCGCTGGCGCTCCAACTCCAGCTGCCGTAACGTCTCCCCCCGGTGCGCGATTCGCGTCCTCCTTTGCTCGTTGTACCGCCGCAACGGGTCGGCCGCGACCGTGCCGGGGAGAAATTTGGTATGCACCTGCTCCACGTCCAGCCCGTACATCGCGTCGGCAACGAACGGCCCAATGTGCCGCCAGATCACCGTCCACTCCGCGCCCTTGTACGCATCGCACTGGTAAAACGGCTCGGTAATGCGGCATTTCTCGAGCTCGAGACGAAGGTAGGTCTTTGCGCGGAACGTGGTTCGACCACGGAGCGGGGCGCGCGGGGTCCAGGCTGTTGTGTAAATATTTTTCGGAGTTGATGATGTTCTAGCTCTTTGTCCTTTCATAAAAACTTCTCTGCTACATAAACTCAACGTTGTTGAAAACCACATTTACAGTCCAGGTTGAGCAAAGCCAAAACAAAGCCCATGAGATTGCAGACAATTTCTTGTCCACCTCTCTGATCATGACAACTAGCCATCACGTCAACAACCACAGTCAAAGGATTGCAAAAATAACGCGACGCGTGCACAGAACTAGAGCAGTGCGACGTCGAGAATGGTTCATATCACGCTTTGATGACAAGAATGAACCCTCAATCAATATACTTTTCCACTTGACCGGCTCTGCTGCGGCCTCGTCCGGTTTCTCCTCGGCCATCCCTCTGGGCGCAAACTCCGGCTGGACGGCCGACTCGCTGCAGTAGTTCGCTCGCTGCAAGAAGGGGTGGCAAAACGTTTCTGTCATCCCGAGCTTCCACCACTCGTTTTCCCGCCAGTGCGACTGGCCGAGGAAGAAGTGCAGCGTCGTCCTCAACGGCCCGTCATCCAACCTGCCAGAGGCGCCAAAGTAGTCCGGCAGATACAGCAAATGCTTGCTCGCTTGCGACTTCAAAAGCGCGCACCGTTCTTCATGCTGCGTACCGGAGGAGGTCAGGAGCCCTGCTTGTTCCTGCTCGTAGTCGAGACAGTGCTTTTCGCGCTCTTGGAACCACTTGCGGACCCAGGGGTAGCGGTAGTAGTGGATCGGGTTCAGCTTGACGGCCGGAAATGGAAAATTGCTCAGCGCGCAGAGCTCCGCCTTGTACCGCTCGAGCGACCGGTACTCATTAGCGTTCACCGTTGTAGTTCCGTCAAAAGTCATTAACTCGTACAAGTCCATCATTTCCTCTCCCGCGCGAAGGCCATGTGTCGGGAAAAGGCCCGCGGTCCTCGTGCCAGAATCGTACAGCACCAGGCCGCGGCTGCTGCTGAACAGGCAGTAGTCGAGTCTTTGGTTCCCGCACTTTTGCTGTTGCGGAAACAGGGGCTGGTACCAGGAGGGCAGGAAGAGAAAGTCGCAACGGTAGAAAGTCGTTGGATGCTGGGCACCATGTCTTTCCTGCGGGAGGGCAGCTGTACTACTTGATCCGGAGCTCCTTGCTGTACCGGTGGCCGATGAGAACTGCTCGTACGGCAACAGTACCTGTTCTGCGGAGTTCAGCAGCGCAAATTGGTTCACCACGGCAGATTCCTTTTCACCGCACGCGTCGTCAAACGGGGACAGAAAAAACTGCCGGGGTTGATGGTGTAGTACAGACCTGCTGCTGGGATCTTCATCGGCAAGAAAAACATTCGTATCCTGATGCAGCAGGCTGCGTGCTGGTACAACGAGAGGTACAACACTCGGGTCGTCACTGTCGGGGGGAAAGTCGCTGTCGCTATGCGAGTCGTCGCTATTCTTCGCCTTGTCGTTGTAAACGGGGTCGTCCTGCTCCACCAGAGCGGCCGCGAAGCGCTGGTTCATTTGGCGTTCGTGATCCGTCCTCTCGGCACGACCTCTCTCGAGCTTTTTGTCGTCGTGGTCTCTTGTCGCTGTAGAAGTGCGGTCTTGATGCTGTTCACCCAGACTGCCCGGGTTGTTATCCTTGACAACTTCGTGCTGGTCTTTCTTCATCCGGATCTGCTCTACTTCCCCCACCAGCATATCTTTGGTGGAACTCCGTGCCACTGACGCCCGAGAAAATATCCTCGGAAGGAGGCGCGGAGGCTGCTCTTCGACTTCCGAGGTTGTTTTCCCTTGTGGCGGTGATGTAGGAGCTTCTTCTTTGCGCGGAGGCACCGCATCGCCGCTTTTTTCCGGCACGTCGGGGGGCGGATGATCCGTGGGGAGTGTAGACACAGGAGCCGTAAGAACGTCTGCAGGTATCTTTTCGCTTTTATCTAGTAATGTTGGCACAGCCTCGTCCAGAACGGCTTCGGAAGCCAAGTTCGTTTCTCTTTGATACTGTTCTTTCTCGTCCTGGAGGTTCACTACAGTCGTCTGTCTACTATCTTCGTCCTCTTTTGAAATTGTTGGACGAGGCTTCTGGAGTTTTTGTTTTGTCGCCAACAATTCTGCTCCTTCTTCTACTTCTACCCTCGCTGCAAAATGTGTGGTTCTTTTTGCTGTCTCCGCTGCAGCTTTCTTTTTCAGAACCTCCGCTACCACATCTTCTTCTCCTGGAGCGTCTTCTTCTTCTCCAATTTCGTGCGCCGTCTGTTTGTGTTCTGTCCTCCGATCCTCCGGTGTTCGGGCATCTTCGGTCTGCTGCGTTGACGCGCCTACTTTCTTCGCCGAAGGTGCCTGCTCCCCCGCAATTGATGTTGTACTCCTGACAGTTGTTATTGGCTTCTCTGCTGCTGCTCCCCGAGCTTCCCCCACGGCGTCCGGTCCGGCGTTCGGTGCGTGAGTAGTATCTCGTGTGGGAGAAGAACGACCCTCCTCGAGAGTGGACTTCTGCCCGGCGTCCTGATCGTGCTTGCTCTGCGCATTTTTCTCTGGGCGAAAAATTACCTCGGGCCAAACGAACCTCGGACAGCCCAAGCAGAAGAGGGCAATGAGAGGAATCAGTCGCCGCATCGCACGGAATCATGATCTGCTTCAGAAATGAATTATTTCTTGTGCACGATGTTCACATATGGAAGACGCGTGCCTAATGTTCTTCTAGTCCCTTGCTCCGTTGTTGATGCACATACTGCAATCCAAAAGGTGAAGACCAAAGGCAAATTCAAAAATGAAAAAGTTTCTACAAAAACTTCAAATCGACTCCTACGGAGAAGTACCACATTCTTACATCTGGGCACACTGTGGCTGATGTTTCTTGCAGATCAAACCTATAATGCTGCAACAAACACGATGGTTTTGGGGATGAAAACGACAAGATTATCATCGCCGGTTGCAGAAAATGATATGAGAATAAATTAGGAAACTCGTGCATGGAATAAACGAACCGACTTCAAAATTCGGGTTCGAAATACTGTGGGGATCCGTTTCAACATCCGTTTGTTACCCGTCATCAGAAAATCTTTTTGCCAGCGTCGTGCGTCGTTTCTGGAACACTCGAGCCAACATTTGAGCAAAGTGCCTTTCTTTATTTTTTGGAAGCTCCCGCATCTTCTCGAGCCGCTAGCAAAAACTTGAATCGTCGCTTATGTGCTTTACAAGTCGCTCGGAAAGCTAGATCACTGTCACATAGAAAAATTCGCCCGAAGCACTGGTCCTGCTAATGCTCAACTTCAGTATTCAATTTCCTCAGCCGGAAACTCGGCTGCACAGTGAAGCGCTCGCCTTTTTTCTTTTGCAAAACCTGGTTTAGCATTTCTGTATACTGCTTTACGGCAGAATAGGTGCCAAACTTTTCATTGTGAAAAAGCCCGTGAGTGTGTATATTTTTGGTCAACATTTTTACAGCTCGTACTTTTGATTTCATTGTTGACTCCGTTCCTCCTTCAGTTGTACCAGTAGCTTCATTGGCCGCAACATCATCTCCCGATATAATTGCGAGATGGTGCTCCTCCTCCTCCCCGCCGCCGTCCTCAGAAGTCGAACCCTCGATTGAGTTGGGGCACGAGTTATAAGCTGATGGCGGTGATGAAAAATATCCACCGTCGTGGTGAAACAGCACCGTGTCCACGATGTTTTCGTACTGTAAAAGTTCCCTTTCCAAGTCTACCGGGACGTAGGTCACTTTGTTGGTCAACGGGTCGCGCTCGTCGCGGACAATCGTGAAAAGCTGCTCCTTCGTATCACAGTACTTGGGGTCCATTTTTGGGGTTCGCTTGTTGTGGTCGAAGAGGGTTCGACGTCCCGCTGCCCCATTTTTCAACAATAGGTCGTGCTCAGCACTCTTGCCGCCGCGTCCGGGAGTAGAAATAAGGCACTTGGTACTAGAAGTTTTAGCGTGGTTCGCTGCGTCTGATGCTCCATTAGCATTCTTGACTCCTTCATGCTCGTTCCTTATACACCCACGACTCTGTAATGCAACAACACTGTCGCAGCTTTCTGAAAATCGCCTCATTTCCGAGCAAACGGCGTCGAAGCAGTTGGTTAAGAATTCCGCGACTTTTGCATTTCGCTCGTCTATCAGCGGAAGGCACAGCGCCACCGCCTCGAGTGTGGAGACAAAGCCCTTTTTGGGTTCCTTGCGGATGCCCTCGTAGAGCGATTTTTCGTATGACGTATTCAAATGGATCCGCTTCATCCTTTCCATCTCGTCCGGAAACGAGTGGAGTAACGCCTGGTACAGCTGGCGCGCCTGACTCCAGGTGCCGTCGAGCGCCAGGAGGCTGATGATACGGCATTTTGGAGATAAACTTCTTCCACGACCCGAGGAATTTTCTCCTTCGTCGGGGTCTTGCATATGATCATCTAAGGGCTCGTACTCGCATCGTTTTTCACTTCCAGCCGGCATTCGTGACGCTGTCAAAGGGGTATTCAACGCACGCTGTGTTCGCGCAGTGGTCGCGCCTTCCGATGCAACGACAGCCCGCGGTGGCGTAGAGTAAGGATCGGTCTGTGCTTGTTCGCCAACAGAACAAGAACTCGGTGCACTACTATGACTTTCATCTTCCGTATGGGTTGCGCCGCCTCCAATATAACTACTCCTCGCTGGTGCAACAGCAATATCAAGCTCATCGCCCTTCATTCCCGCCACCACGTCTTCCAGAGACACGGAATTCTCTCCCGGCCACAGCAAGACGGTATTCGGGCTGTTCAGCATATTTTTCCATGCTGCGGGAAACTCGGGCGACCATGGAGATCGATTTTCTTGCTGTGGTGCAGCTGCCGCTCCTTCGGACGAACCCGGTTTGGGTGGCGCCGTGGTGTGGACGCGAATCGAATTGATCCGATGCGTGCTGCCGTGGTGCGTGGCGTCCTCCTGCCCGTGCCTTCGCTCTAGACCCCCCAGACAAGCTCTCAGGACTGGTACGCTGCTGATGGCGTTCTTCTGCGATTCCCGCACGTGTTGCAAAACCCAAACCCGACAGCTTTGCAACTGACAGTCAACAGCCGCTTGACGAGGAGCGCCGTCGGCCAAAACCCCAGAAGCCTGCTGCGCATCCTCTCGCCCGCTTCGCAGCTCCGCCACCAACCGGTCCAGGTGTGTCTTGACGTGGCGACACAAACACAGCTTCCGCTCGCACTTCGGGCATTTCAAGTTTTTCACCGGCAGGGGCTTCGCGCGACGTTCATCGACGTGAGCGTCGTGCTGCGCGTGGTCAGCAGTAGATATTTCGTCAGCTATGCCTGTCGCCGCCGGTGTGCCATCATCTTCTTCAACAGCGAGCTCGGGGCTCCAGGGGAAATTGTCCGACTCAGTGTCTTCGATGTCTAGAAGGAACATGCTTGGGGAAGGTTTGCCGCTATGCCACGAATCTCTAAGCCAAAATAAATACTACTTCCTTACTAAGGACAAGCTCTTTTTGTACCTGAATTTTCAGAAGCGAAGGACAGCGGATTTTCTTTGTGTACTGGAATAGGAAAGCTCTTCGCGTCACAGACCAAACCCATGGCTCGAGCTCCACTTCTTGATCTCGCCCAAACGCCAGCAGAAACAAATAAATTTGTAGTTGATCAACTGTCAAAGAGACGTTGTCAAATCCAATCAATTCTATCTTTTTCACTCTGCAACACAGATCCTTGCATGCTCGCGATTTGCTAGCATTTTTTGTAACCTGATCCGTGCCTTCCAGAGCTTTTCAACTAGCAACGTGCCACAATGTGTTTTCCGATCAGATGATCTTGCTGATTTCTGTCGATCTCGATCTGTAGCCGGTGGAACCAAGACCAACATCAAAGAAGCCAGCAGAAATAACAACCGCACTACGCCCCCTTGTTCTTCCGATAATCCACTGGGCCAGCGACGACACGACGAATTTTTGAGACCAGAAGGCGCATAGGGAATCAGCATTCTGAGAATCCTGTTTCCTATCCGCCTCCCTTTTACGGGAATCTCTCTCCTAAAAAAGCGATCGTGTGCAGTGCAACATCAATTGGCTCATCATTGCTGTGCAGAAACGTAACCGGCTAGTATGTGACTGTGAAGCCCTCTCCATGTTCTGTGTGGCAACAGACGTCTGGACAGCATGTGAAGAAACTGTGTGTAACTATGCCAAGACGAAGAGCTTCTTTACCTATTCAAAAAGTTCATTTTTTTACGTGCCAAAAAAAGAGAACTACATGATGAAGCTTCTACAGTGTTTCAATAGAACGGTCATAGAAGCACCATGGGGGACGCACCACCCCGGGTTATTTATGTGCGACGATTTTTGAAATCAAAAAATCTGAACTGTAGTAAATGGACAGCAATTGCTATGTGTCTCTGTAGAACTAACTACCGTTTGCTGCGCAATATGATGCACAGTGAATTTGAAATTGCCTAACTTTATTCTTGGAAAATGACCTAAACTAGTACCGTGCCTGTTCGTCTCGAATAAACGATCACTAATAAGTAATCTCAGACTGTGTTGCTCTGGAACGAGTATAAATAGAAAAAGTGTACTGAACAGCCTTTCTTCCTCACGGCTCCACCGCAGCCGCTCCGTTTCTGATCCCGCTTTCATCCTTCTGTCCCGTGGAACCACGCGCCTCCCCGATGGTGCGGGCCTTGAACTCGCGGTAGAGCAGCACCAAGTCCCCGAACTTCCCGCTCGGGCCGCAGAGCAGCAGCACCGCGGGCAGGTAAAACAGCGACATGACGAGCGAGTAGAGGATGGTGAGAAAGATCGCCACCCCCATCTGCTGGAAGAAGGGCGTGACGCAGAACAGCATCAGAAACAGACCCGCGGCGATGCTGGTTGAGAAACCGGCAAAGATCGTCGGGCCCATGTGCTGGAAGGCAAACTGCACCCGGGACTCGCGGGACTCGTAGCTGTGCGTAGGGCCGTCGTGGTCCTCACTGTGCAGCTTCGACTCCGGATCGACGCCTGTTCTGTGCTTATTCTCTCCATCCGCAGCTTGTTCCACATGAGGAGCATCACTATCGATTCGGCCCGCCTCCGTGTACACGTGCGAAAAGTGCAGCGTGTAGTCCATAGCCAAGCCAATGACCAGAATCCCGGCCACCGTTTCCAGCAGGCCCAGCTCCCAGTCCATCAGGCGGAAACTGCCCATCACCTGCGACACGATGCAGATCACGTTAAAAATCGCGAGGAAGGCCGTGACGAGGTTTCGCGAGGCCAGGAGGAGGATCGCGAAACACAGCGGGATTAAGAGGATCAGGCCGGACACCAAAGTTTGCTTCAGCTCGTAGTTTAACGTGTAGGTTCCGTACTCCGCAATCTGGATTGCTTTTCCAAGCTTCGCCGGCGCTCTGGCATTTTCTTGGTCGAGAAGCTCCCTCTATAGCCCGGAAAAAAGTAGTTATGTTTTTACTTTGTGTAAAACAGAACGCACGCCGCACCTTTGCATAGCTTGCGTACGAGTTGTAAGTACGTGAAGACAGCATTCATGAACTCCGCAGATGTTCTCGGCTCTCGCGCATGACGAAGACTGGCGTAGTAACAAACTGTGCCGTGCATCATGTTCGGCAGAATCAATACAGGGAGGTTTAATTAATACACCAAATAAACATAACTTTTTTTATTTCCCGCCTACCCGCACGGTTTCCTTCAGGGACTCCAAATCAGTGAAACTGGTACCGTCCTTCAAAGCGGTGAGCGGGATGGAGATCGTCAGGGAATAGAGCTGGTACTGCAAAGAGGCTCCCCCGGCCGCACTGCTCATCCCTTTCCACTTGAAAACCCGACCGGCAAACGTGCCCGTCCCGGGGTGCGCCGCATCGGTCGTTTCGATCCAGTCAACGGCAAACGGATCATCCGCTGCCGCAGAAGTGCCTCCGGACACTCGACGCACGGGCGACGAGTGCCTCGCGCGGGCCGAATAGTCGTACGAGGCGTGCGAGCGGTAGTAAGACTCCTTGGCTAGAACGCCTGCGCTCAACGTGCCCGCGGCTGCTCCAGCTGTTGCAGCTGACCACGTAGGGTTGGACAAAGTCGTGTAGTCGAAGCCGCCGCTCGCGTCCAAAGTCGAGGAGATTGACGCTGTTGAACCTCCGCCTACGCCGTCGTAGTATAGTTCCGTCAACTTCGTAGCCGGAGTGGTTGCACTGGTCCGTAGCTGGGGAAAGATCGTGTCTCGCAGCCCGCACTCGAGGGAACGGGGGACGAACATCTTGTTCCCAACGACGCGGTCCTTGCAAAAGCTTTTGCCGTTGCAGTTCAGGTTTTGCAGCTTCTCTCCGAGCCGCAGGATAAAACTTACGCTGTCCTTGTCGGTCGCGTCGATGGGCACCAGATTCGGGTCCGCGTTCCAGGTCCACGGGAAGAACTTCGACAGCTCGTCGTGATTCTTCAACGGCTGATCGGCGTTGAGCCCCCACACGATGTGCAGCTTGCGGTACTCGGATTTCGACCCGCTGGACAGGAAGAGCTGGTAGTTGTCCGAGTGAAACCCGGTCATGATGTGGGTGTCCGGCAGAAACTCAAACGGCGCGGAGGGCGAGGGGAGGGTGGTAGCCTCGGCAAACAACCAGATAGAGAGGGACGTGAAGAGCAGCACCGTCAGTAAAGCTACCGGAAAAAGCGTGTAGTTATCTTTCACGGTGATTCTCTTCGCGGTCAAAAACTCAAACGTCTTGTCCATAGCTTTGTCGAGAAGGCGCGTGGTCCGCTGCTGTTGCTGCTCCCCGTCCTCCTGCTTCCCCTCCTCGTTAGTATAATTTGCGACGGTCGTGAACATGGACGTGGTCCCGGTATTTGCGTAGTTTCCGGGTTTTTTTTCCGGTGGAAAACCCGCCACCGCAAGTTCGATGGCTGCAGTGGGTGTACTATCGTTCGCATTGGCCGCAACGAAGGCGGTTTGAAACAAACCGTTGTGCAGCTGATTGGCGTTTGCTTTATTTCCTGTTGCGAGTTTGGCGTCCGAAGCTTGCAGCTTTTCGGGCGTCTGTTCCTGCAGCAGATTTTTCAACCCGAAGTCGCAGTTCTTGTTGCCGTCTGTCGACTTGTGATGCTGTTCGCTAGTATCGATCACCACCGGCGATCCCTCCTGCAGCATCATCAGCGCAGCAGCACCGTTATTACTTGTCGCAGTTACACCCTGATTTTTCTGAGTTTCACCGTCTTGCTGAACAACTTCGTTGCTCTGCTTGCGTGCGTTGAAAAAACGCAACAACTTCGCCTTGCACCACTGCCACACCGTCGGCTTGTGTTCCAGCTGCAGCAAGTAGGCCCCGATGACCGAGTATCCTGAGTAAAAACGTCCCCACACCAGAGTCAAGCTGGGAAATCTGCTAGACAAATCTGTCAGCTTTTGCTGCTGCGCATGACAAGTTTGGCCTCGCAGTGTAATCCTGTTTAGCTTGTTCAGCAGCATCACAGATCTAGCATATCATGCTGATTCTAGCATCACAAATCCCACAACACGACTAGAGACTGCTTCTCATGGGTCTCCGCATGAGAAACATTTTCAGCATGCAGATTTGCATTACAACTCTGGTGTGGGGACGTTTTTACTCACGATACCGAGGGGAAGCACAGCACCGCGAGCACGTAGCTGCCGAGAATCATGAAGGCCGCGAACATGCCGAAACTGGCGATGGGGGGCACGTTGGAGCTCGCCATGGAAAAAAACGCCAAGGCCGTCGTCAAACTGGTCTCCATCATGCTGGCCGCGGCGCGCTGCGATCCCCGGTACAAAGCCAGGTAAATTTCGATCTGCCTGCTTTCGGCAGTTCTTGTACTATCGATGCTAACAGGAGAAGAAAGACCGTCCGAAACGCCTGCCGCCGAAGAAGAATCTTTCACTTGTACCTCACCGCTCAACATCTGGCGCGTCAGCTTCATTTTATCCCTCTGCCGCAGCACCAACTCCTGGGGCAACTTGATCGCGGTGACCGGGAGCTCATAATTTTCCAGCATCGCGGTCAGCACCTCGATCTGCGGCAGGATTTCCTTGGCGTCTTGTCGCGCCTGCGCCCGCTCCAGCCGCACCGCCTCCCAGATCACGAAGAAGTCGTCGGCGCCCACCGCGAGCATGAGAAACAGGGTGAGCGACATGAAGGGCTCCATATAGGCCAGCCGCGCAAGCAGGTAGTAGCCCGTGTAGCCGGAGAGCATGGAGAGAAACACGAAGACGAGCACGAACGAGGCGCAGAACTTGCTGTGGTTGGTGAAGGAGAAAATGATCGCCCACACGATCAGAAACGTGATCGGCAGTCCGACGCCCAGGTCGCGGCCGAGGTTCAGCATGCGGCCCGCCGCGTTGGCCAGCGCCGGATCGAAGATGCGCACCTCCAGGTTGTTCGCGGCCTGCGCAAATTGCGGCATGGGGACAAACTTGTGCTCCTTGTCGTCCACGACGAACAAGGGTTGGAAAAAGGACGACTCGACGTTCAAAAACGCTTGCAGGCTTTTCAGCGCGTCCTCGGCTTTCGCAAAATCGCCGGACAGCTCCTGGAACCCCGAACGGGTCAACGACGTGAATTTCGGCGTGGTGGTCATGGCACTGAAGTTCTTGTCCAGGAAAAACCCAAACTGCGCCTGGTTGTCTACCTCGTACCGGTCGTATGGAAGGGCAGAAGCAGGACGAGTCCCTCTCTGACAATCATTGGTTCACGTTCACTTACAAGATAAATGTCTCAAGCAAAAAATAACGCCGCCCAAAACGAAAAGTTCCATATCCATTTTACGCACAATCTTGCATGATAAACTCCAGATGACGTCGATGCACCTCCCTATCGTTCGATAGGACTACAACTTTGCAGTTGTTCGTAGAAAAAAGATAAGTTGCCCTCTGCAAGCTTGTGTTGCAGCGCTGTCGCTGCCGGTGCAGTTGCTGCTCACCATGGCGCTTTCATTCAATCATCAGCAGTCGACGGACGAGATCGCACTGAAAAGAAGAGGACTTCTGACTTCTGCGCCCGGATAGGTCGAAGATTCGTTCTTTCACCGCCACGTCAACTTCCGCCTGCGACTTCGCCAAGATCAAGTCGCAATCGGACGCGGGAAAGGCGTTGGGGTCGTTTTGGCTGAGCGTTTTCCCCGGACTGACGAAACTTTGCACCAGCAGGTTCGACAGCCGCGTGTGTGACTGGAGGAAGCGGTCCTTCCCACTGGCACCGTCATCGAAATCGTTCCACGTGTACCACAGCTGCTCCAACCGGCACATGGCGTACAAATTCCCCCTTGTAAACACGTTAGAGTTGGTATCGAAATGAAAGAAAGCGCACATATTAAGTACGCCAGAGCTTGGGAGCACAAGGAGGACTCAAGTGCCACACATTTTTCGTACCACTATAGCACAAATTTTCGACGCAGAAGTAGAGCAACAATTTGCGTTGCGAAGACCTACCCTAGCTGCACTGCAGCCGGAGCATTTGCTGCGGAAGTGGAGATGCTTGTTTCACAGCCTCCGTTCCATTTTAGCGATAAGAAGGCCCGCAGGTCTTTCATGTAAAACAGCAAGTCGCTTTTTGAAAACGTTCCAAAACAGCAGATTCTTTGTACTTCAGAACGTGACTTGCGCCAGCTTTTCATTTTGATAATTGCCACCCTTGGTCTTGTACACGATTTGCGCGTTGCCGCCGAAATTCTGACTCGCTGCGGACGGCGCGGGGCCGTGCAGGGCGGTTTGCACTTCGGGATTGACGGCGGGAAAAGCGGCGGCCAAGCGACGGTGCCGCTCCGCGTCGGTTTCGAACTCCTCGCTTGCCTCCTTCCACAAAGGCGTCCAGGCCGTCACCGCCTCGAACGCATGCTGGTCCTGCATCAGCTTGTGCGACTTCGGCCGCCAAATGTTGACGTTTTTTTCCACCTCGACGGACCCGCATGACAGTGCACAACTCCCCCTCCCCCTCATATGAATGGCATGAGCAGCAACACAAGCAACGCCAGAAATGTGACATCCGCATGACAAATCTGCAGACGGATTATAGTACTGTTTGAGGGTTCAAAATTTGTCATGCAAGCTGTGCTCGAAGGCAAGACGTGGATTTGGTATTTGGCATTACAAATGAGGGGGAGGGGGCGTTGTGCACTCTCATAGCCCGGTGGGGTAATAGTTCTTCGTGACCAGCGCTAGCACGTACAGCACGATGCAGGTGAGCGTGATCTGCAACAGCGTCCGCCATGGCCGCAGGACCGCATTCAGGCAAATGCGCTCGTGGAGCTTTTTGCCATCCCGCAACGTCTGGAAGAACCCGGCTTTTTTCCCGTGGGAAGTCATTCCGTCGCCCGTTCGGTTCTGCTTTCCCTTCCCGCAAACCCGCTGCGCGCAGGCTGCGAAAAACGACATAAATTCGGGACAACTTCGAGTCGTCGCTTGAGGACTCGAGCTTTATTCAGCGCAGCTGCACGACCCTGCAATAAACGCTACAACGGTCTGGATTTTGAGTATACGCTAAAAGGTTTATTTCGCAGTAACCAGATAAAGGTACGTCGCTAGAAGTTGTACGTACTAAACGCTAGCCCGTCTTCCTTACCCATCTCGCGGTGCGTTTTGTTCCCGCACGACAGGACAAAGTTTGTCTACCCTGTTGCGCCACCGCACTTTGATGCACTCGACTCCAAAGGTCAGTTTTTGAATTTAGGCGTTCTCTCAAATTATCGTGGCACCACCGAGTTGTACAACATATTTTTCAACCCGCCCGCTCATACGTCACTGCTACAACAGCACCAAGAGTGTAGCATTTCTAGCCCGACCTCTTTTCAAATATTTGCAGAAGCAAGTATGGAAAAGAAAATGTTTTGTAAGACGTCGTAACTGAGGTTACTCATCATTTCAGCTCGAGAATTTCCAGCACCGCGTTTGCTAAGTAGTGAAAGTCCGCTTCGTCTGTGTACATGGCAGCAGAAATCCTCGCCCAAAACTCCATCTGTCCGTCCAACCCCTGCAATTTCGTGTACGGTACCCAGGTGCTGTATTCGGTACGCAGCCGTGTTCCCAGGTGGTACGCCGCAGGGTCGATAAAGTCCTCGTCTTGTGCACAACTGCTGACGACTTCTACTTCCGCTGAGGTCGTTCCAGGTCGTTTATTTTTGCTCTCAGCATTTGCATTCATTATTTTCCGGTGCGGGAAAAATAGCTTGCGCGAATACGGAAGCCGCACATTGAACAGACAGCCGAGGAGGTCCGAGTCGTTTTCATCCTCGGAGGTGCTAAGAACCTGATGTAGTCCCGCGCAGGGAGCAGTAGTTGATGCGCCGCGGCCAACCACAACATCTACTTCACCGCGGCCAACAACAACACCATCTTCACCACAGGAATCTGTGCGCTGGCTGTTCGCCACGTCTTTACAGCTCTCCCGCGTGATGTTCATTTTCTCGACTTGGTGTTCACTCACCAGCACGAACTCCCTCTCGGTCGTCTCGACGTCCCAATGAACTTCGTCCTCCCGTGCTGCCGGGACTGCATCGAAAAGGTCATGTTGTAGGCAGCTGGAGGATGGCTTGGGCTGCGAAGAATATGTACCGAAGATCTCCCCTTTCCCGGTTTTGTTCTGTGTACTAGCTCCAGGTACTTGTAGAAGACCCCTTCCTTCCCCAACGAGATTTGCCGGCATGGTTTCCGATTTCCAGGCTCGCTTCAAGATCGCCGATCCGCGAAGCGCCAGCGCGTGTTGGTACGCGCAGATCTCCCTTTCGGTTTTCTGGAGCACGTTTCGCCGGTAGTCCACGCCCGCCTTCACGCCGTAGTACGCTGCCGGGTCGGAGGTGCCGCGCCACGAAAACTCCTTTTGCAGAGCCGAATCAAACGCGGGGGAAGGGATGCTATCCGCAACCAAGACGTCGCGGACGAGGAGGCGCGGCTTGCGGTCCGATCGGGAAGGTACTTCCTCGCCAAGAATTTCCGATGGATTTTTTCCCGTCAAAAGAACGCCGTCTTTTCCTTTACTCTGAAGATGTAGTTCTTGCCGCGGTGGATGATCTCTGTGAACGTTGAGATGGTGCTCTCCATCTGCTTGTATAGCATCAGCTTCTGGAGGAAAATAAATGATCGGGTTTTTCACATAGAGCAGCGCACAGGACCGCGCGCCACTGAGCCACTTGTGCGCGTTGCCGAAGTAAAAATCCGCATTGATTTTACGCACGTCCAGATCCGGAATCTGTCCGGGCGCGTGCGCGCCGTCTATCTGTACGTAGTCGACAACGTGCCGAAACTCCGTTTTGTATGCATTCGTAAATTATATGCAGCTTGGTTCTGGAACAAAGTTGGAACTTGTAGTGCTGGTGTTAGATTCTTGTGCTTGTGCAATCTGTATTGTATGACCAACATCAGCCGCGCCGTGTTTTGTCATTTAGGTACAAAAACGCAGCTTCTCATGCAGCGTATGAGATGAAATCGTTCTCGCAAACTTGTGATGCTTAGCTGCATTCCGAAGTGTTTATTTCAGCATCATGCACAAGTCAGCATCACAACTTTCCAGGCCCCGACATCATTTAATCTCCATTTGATATTTTGCAAAGCTGCACGACCTCTTCCACGGGAAACCTGATCGCTGGGATGCAGGAGATGTGGTCGAAACTGGCCAGACGAATCTTCTTCTTCTGCTTTTCTGCCATCTGCAGCGTTTCCCTCACCGCAGCGAGAATTCTGGACCGCAAGGGTACGATCTGCACTTGTTCCGTAAAATCTTTCTCACCTCCCGGACGCTTTGACATGCGATCCGCTTGCGCAGGAGGTTGTTGCTCGTAATTTGTGGCGTCGGTTGATATTATCTCGTCGTGGTGCGCCGTCGTGATTCCGGAGCAAGACGAGGAGAAGTTGGTGTCTTCTTGACGATGAAAACAAATCCCCGGAGTTGTTCTTGTACGAGCTGCGGTTCCCGTTCCGCACAACCCGCGGCGGGCACGCACGTCCTCGAGCAGCACTTTGCGAATCGGCACGACAAAGTGTCGGCCTGCCACGTCGGGCACGACGGACTGGAAAATTTCCAAGAGGCTTCCGTAAATCACGTCGAAGTACAGAACGGCGTGGTCCCGAGACTGTACCACTGATTGAATCACGCAGTTAGCGGCGTACGTCGCGTTAGGCACCAGCACGGCATTCTTCCGGTCCGCCGGATCCTCCACGCCTATGCGGTGGAAGAAAACTGCTTCGTATATATTTGATGCAAGTAGTCTGTATCATAACATGTAGAAACGAATAGTCTGGCAACATACCAGGACCAGCCTGCCGCGGTCATCTACTCACCCGTTATAAGAGGTCTTTCTGCGCGTTTTGCGTTTTGCATCAAACGATTCTATGGTAAGTTTTCCCGCTCGGGTAAGACCAACAACCGACGCGAAGGCCTCCAGGCCCTCCCGCATCCACACGGAAATGTGATTCGGGTCCAGCGGTTCCACGTGACTGTCATGCATGGGCACGGAGGAGTCTCCCGCTCCGTGCAGATCACAACTGCTTTTCGTCGCTGCGTACGTATTGCTAGACCAAGGTGGTTTACTAGAACGGGCGTCCATCGTCCCGCTCGGGTCCGCGTCGAAGGGATAGCGAAACACACTCTCCGGGTCGGCTTCCATCAAAGCCCGCTTTGCGATCCTGTTCAAAAGTGTCCCTCCCCTGGAAATGGAAAACATTTCTGATAATTCACAGTGTCGAAGTGACGAGTTTTGGATTTGCAGGAAGCGCCGCGCAAGGCACGTGTCACATGACGGTCGCCCCACTGTCGCTGGGTCTTTAAGACAAACTCTCCTGCAACGAGATTGATAGATGTGTGCTCTAGACCTTCCTGGTGATACATACTTACATGCAAGGTGGCAGAGAAATACCCATCCCACTATACAAAGTTGTGTGATGCTTAACCGACCGTGATGCTCAACAGAGTGGATAAGTTTTGTATGCAAACGGTGTTCGCGGTCTTGCGTCGGGGCACTTTTCATGTCGGTATTTGCTGCGGTCGCTTCCTGCACCGCCACGGGAACGGCGCCCCAGCTCCCGTGGTTCAGGTTGCGGTACCCCGGCTTGAAACTGTAGTGCTTCAGCAGTGGCTTCCCGAAGCCGGGCGGTAAGGGAGGTAGGCTGGGAATCGTGTCCTCGATGCTGGCCGAAGGATTTTCATGTCTCCGCGCCCTGTTGAACTGGCGCGTGGCCGGGGCCACCGACCAAACGACGCCGCCCATTTCGGCTTGCGTACCGTATCGCGAAAAGAGAAAGAAGCCGCGTGATGTCTCTCTACTCCACACTTCTAGTGGTAAGATTTAGCACACTTGCCCAGGCAAGCAAACCGATCGATCAGGCGAGGCGTCTCCACCCCCGTTGTGCGAGCGTCGCTTGGCGATCCGGCTCACCTGTTCTTTCGTGACCCGCCTCCGAGCAAGAAGGAAGACGGCCCGGCAGCGAGAAGCACGTCCGGGCTCACCGGCTCTCTGCCGGAAGTAGGGCGAGCGCCGGAGCGGCGCATGCAATCGGAATTCGTCGAGGCGCGCGAGTTAGGTCCTCCGGCAGCGACAGCAGCGGACATATTTTCTATGGTCCTGCGTCCTGGCGAGTAAACTCGAGGGCCCCCGCTGCACGGATAGGGGTCGTGGGCGACTGCAAGGGCCGTCGTTGCGCGTTTTTGTTGGCCCCATCGGGGGACAAGCGGTAATTTCCGGGGCTCAGCGGTGCGCGGCGGCAACCTTTTACCGCGGCCATAAGACGAACGGAGACGCTTCGGTACTCCCGACGCGCGGACACAGGTTCTTGCCTGCTTCACAAACACAGAGCGAGGCTCGGTGCGGGCGGGCCCCGGCTCGCAGTTGACGACTTCATTGCGCCGGTGGCGCGCGGGTAGCGAATTTGTGGCGCTCCCCGCACGCAGACCGCGACTCACTGACACCCGAGGCACACGGACGGTGCGCGTTCCCGCATTCCCGGCGCAAAGACGGGGACTGTTTCGCGCTCCTAGCGCGCGCAGCGACTGCCAAGCAGCCCCCGCATGGTCACAGGACCTTTTTAGTCCTCCCTGCGCGCCTCGACAGCGGTCCTGTGGGGCGGACGGCGATTCTTTTGCGCTTCCAGCTGTCGGGCGCCGCGTCCTTGCGGGCCCCGGCGGGCAACCAGCGCGCCTGAAAGGATCCCTGAACGCACCCAGCTCGTTCTCGAGGGGCCACGCGATTCACAGGCAGGCAGCGGGCGCTCCTACATTGGCGCCCGGGGGTGTGCGGTGCTTTTGTGATGAGTTAAATAGATGGGCAGCGCCTAAACTATTATGCGCGAAGTCGATGGCGCTCCTGATCGGAACACCGGGCCTGATAGGACGCCCCGCGTGTCCCATAGTGCTAACAAGTGGGACGGTTTCCCTATTTGCCAATTTTGGACGCGCAGCCAGCCACTTTCTTGCATTTCGAACGCACGGCCGACGGTTTTTTCGGCTCCCGGACGCACAGCCAGCCACTATCGTACAATCCAGACACGTAGTTGACGGCTTTTCTGGGGCCGAGACGCGTGACCGACAATTCTCGTGCTCCCTAGACGCGCAACTGATAATTTTTTTGCGTCCTAGAGGTGCAACCTTGCGTCGTGGACGCGCAGTCGGCGATTTTTTTGCGCCCCAGACGTGTGGCCGACGATTTTTTTGCGCCCCAGACGCATGGAGGATGATTTTTTTCCGCCTCAGACACGCGGCCAATGATTTTTCTTGCTCCGTGGACGCGTGGCCAATAATCTTTTTACACCATGAGCGTGCGATTGATGATTTTTTTGCGCGCCGCATGCGTGACCGACAATTTTTTTGCGTTGCGTTTGTGTGGCAGAGGATTTTTCTGCGCTCCATTTGCGCCGCAGACATTTTTTCTGCGCCCAGGACCGGCTGCCGACAATTTTTGCGCACGTGGGACCCGTCGCCAACGATTTTTTTGCACCCGCAACGCGCAACCAACGATGTTTTTGCGCCCAAGACGCGCAGCGGACGATTTTTTTGTGCCCGTGACGCGCGGCCCACAATTTTTTTGCATATGGGACGCGCGGCCAATGATTTTTTTGCGCTCAGGACGCCGAGCCGCAGATTTTTTTGCGCTCAGGACGCCGAGCCGCAGATTTTTTTGCGCCCAGGACGCCCGGCCGCCGATTTTTTTGCGCCCGGGACGCCCGGCCGGCAATGGTTTTGCGCCTGGGACGCGCAAGCAACAATTGTTTTGCGCCCCGGAGGCGCGGCCCACGATTTTTTTGCGCCCCGGACGCGCGGCCTACGATTTTTTCGCGCCCGGGACGCGCGGCCGCCGATTTTTTGGGCGCGCCGGTGCCCGCGCCCGCGCCCGTCCGCCGGTGCCCGCGGCGTGAAGCGGCGAGGGACGAGCCTGCAGTTTTATTCTGCCGACCGGCATGGAGATAGGCCCAAACGGGCCACCCTGGTCAGGTTGCCAGGCTGCTGCCTGGCCGCTGTTTGTTGGTTCTGCCCTTTCTGGGCTATTTTGTATATTTGCTGGAGGGGGCTGCAGTTGCAGCTCCACCTCCAGAAAAGGGCAGCAGGGAGAATTACGGTCGCAGATTCGTTGCTGCGCGTTTTTTCTTTCCCACCCCGCCCACCCGGTTCTGCGATTGGCGTTGCAAATTTGGTTGATGGCTGTTGACAGAAGTTTTCGCATCTCTTGCCAACGCCAGAGCGAGGCTGCGACGCCGTCTTGTCTCGCTGTGCTTTGGGGTCGGCATGTTGTTCGTACAGGCTCGCAGGCCACGCTGGTCGCGCCTGGCTTTTTCTATGCGCCCTCGCCTACAACACGCACGCTTGCGTATTTTGGGGCATGCAACGGTGGGAGGCGTCTTCAGGCGGCCGTAGGTGCCGGCGCTGTTGCCAGTTTTGCGCTACAACCCAGCACGTGCTGTGTCTCGTGGGGCGCCTACGACATTTGTGCTGCGAGGCGCTTGCGCGACCTGCACTTTCTGGCCTTTGAAGACGTTTGAGGGCGTTTGCTACTGGCTTTATCCGGTCCTAGATGCTGTCTCTGTCTCCAGCATGCGACTGCAGTCCGTGCTTTAGGTTAGTTTGCTGTGATGGCGCCAGGCTGTGGTCAGCGCGCGCCAGCAATCAGTGCAAGACGCTGGGCGCGTCACTGTCTCTTCCCTTTGGCCCCTTTCGGGGGGCCCTGCCGGTCAGTTTCTGTTTCAGGGCCTGTCAAAGGTTCAGGCCATTCGGTTTACGGCTGTGTAGCCTGTGTTGTTTTCCTTCGTGTGTCATGCAGGCATGTGCCATTGCCGCAGCTGGTTGGTAGTTTGCGCACACCGTAGGTGTGCCGGGAGCAGTGCTTGCGCTGTCCTCCCGCGGCACACACTTTGGCAGCTCGGGAGAGCGGCTCGTCGCTTGGTCGACCTTCGGTTGAGGCTTGTTGGGGGTTCTCTGCGATGGTGTCTTCGTGTTTTCGGTGCCAACCCCCCCTCGTGCGGCCTTCGGTGCCGCTGTTCGGGTTCTCGTGCTTCAGTCGAGGGTCGACTGCGCTTCGCCCCGCTCTCCGGGCGCTGCTTCTTATCAGGGCCAGACGGTGTGCCATTCTGCTAGCCGCGTCGGACATAATAAAACGGGCCGGCCGGAGCGGCGCAGCATTTTCTGTAGTGGCGGCGCTCGGGCTATATGCACACTCGCGGTTCGCGCCATGTGTTCCGCTCTTCCCCGCAGAACAGCGCTGATTTGTATTCTCTGCCGCGTGGCCTGTTTGTTTTCTGCGTGTAGATTCAAGATCGCCGTTTTGTTTCTTTGTTGAAGTTTTTTGCTATCCGAAGCTACGCGATCGAAGTACGTGCGGTAAACGCGATTGATGAAACTAAATACCGCTGTTCCAGAATCCGGTAAGCCGAAAGATCCGAACTTTTTTGCAACCAGGTCTGAATCCCTAGAGTGCTTCTCCCTTCCAATAAGTAGCTGCAGAAGTAAATCGAAAGTAGTTTCCAAGGTTGTAGGGTTAGTAGAGTCCGGCTCTAGACGAGAGATCAACGTACCCGCCCAGAAGGGGCAACACGAAGAGGAAAATCTGTGCGCGGAATTTTTCTAGGGCAAATTTTTCTCGCAGCTCATACATAGCTTCGTTCCCCAAGAACCGATGACGGCAAGTGCCGCTGAACCGCAGGTGCAGCAGCCGGCGACGGCCCCCGCCACTCCCAAGGTGACCCCCGCGAACAAGAACAAAAAGGGCGCCAAGAGAAAAAACGCCACAACCGTGTCGCCAAGCGCAACGGAGCCGCGGGATGGCGCCGGCGAGTCGGGATCGCCCGCCGGGGAATCATCGGAGCAGTCGCCGGAAAAAGGAACTGCCGGGCACCTGCACGAGTCGCCCCTTCTAGGTTCCGCTGCTCTCTCCGGCGCGGCAAGGACAACCTCATCGCCGTCTATGCAGCAGGAGCCCGCCAAGACTACTAGCCTTCCCCCGTTCGACGGCCAGGCGGCGCTCACCTTCGCCAAGGACGTTTGTCTGAACGCGGCCTCCGGGGCGCACTACCTCGCGATCTCTTTCGTACGGCAGAACCGGAAAACTCTGTTCTTCAAGGACGCAATACTACGGCATAACGCCAGCGGCGGCAGTGCAGTTTCCACCACCGCAACGACGTCAACAAGCACAAATTATGCGGGTTCATCCCCGGCAGATGGCACGGACGAACTAAGCGCAGGGTCCCCGTCCGCAAAGCACATAAACTCGCTCTGGCACGATGTCTCTTGGTTCCGGGTCTTCTTGAACGTAGTGTTCTACATGAAAGACATGCAGTATCCTACCGGAAAAAAGTGCACCATACGAGGAAAGAAAATTGTATTGCTGTTTTCAATCCCGGCGTCACAAAAAAAACATCGTGTGCTGATCTGCACCATGGGTGACCTTTTCTTATGCATAATGGAGAACGTTGTAGGTGTAGCGCGGACCAGCATGACAAAGGTCGTGCCTCAAAAGAGCGCGCCAAGTTTTTTATTTTCTTGTATGGGCGCACTTTCTTGTAGGATCCGCAGCTTGTCCGAACGTTTCTGCCGCTTTTTGCGCTGTCTCTGTGGGGTCTATTTTCCTCCCTGGTGGGCGAAGAAATTTCGCTGAGCGTCGGGCGGTTGCTCTTTGTGACCAAACTCGGAGTCGTGTATGGAGTTCTCAACTGTTACATTCTGAACTGTTACATGAATTTGTCATGCAAGAATAGCAAAAGTCAAAGGGGGGAGGTTGCGCCTCTAGCATTACAAACTTCGCACAGATTTAGACGCTGTTTAGCCCTTCTCAAATTTGTCATGCGAAGCAGCTTGATCGTGTGGATGTTGATGGCAGTTTTGCGTGGCAAATTCATGTAACAGTTGAGAATGTAACATTTGAGAACTCCATATCGCGTTCTACTACTTTGTGAAGCTGCATTTCGCCCTATCGAAGCGAATACTTTCATCGTGCCCACGATCTGCTTCCCTATTCACAGCAGAGTAGTCGTTACTTTAGCATATGTTTATGCTGTGTTGCCCTGCCAAGACGGGAGAAGACCGGTGTGTAGTCAGGCGTAGAGAAGAAAGAACGGAATCCACACTTGCCTCTCGGGGATCAGTAAGCGTCGCAGAGCGCGACAGTACACAACTGTGTCCGTTAAAAACAGCATGACAACTAATATTAAGTACCTGCTGTCTATTGCTAAGCGAGGGGTGTGGGGCGATCTGTTTTCCTTTGGATAGGTGATTGCAAGAAAAATGAGCGACGGGGAGATGGACCAGATTATTACCATAGAAAAGAAGGAGATGATATCCTATGTAAAAACGTCCCCACCCCATAGTTGCAATGCAAATCTACATGCTGAAAATGTTTCTCATGCGGAGGCCCCAAGAGAGGCACTTTCTAGTCGTTTTTCGGAATTTGTGATGCTCCGATCAGCATGATATGCTGGCTCTGTGATGCTGCGGAACCTCCAGCTAAACATGATCACACTCACTACGAAGCTAAAGAACTTGTCATGTGAAACAACCAAAGCGTGTTGATTTGTCTAGCAGGCTTCTCCTCTTGACTATGGGAAGGTGGGGACGTTTTTACGCAGGATAGATGAACGCGGAAACGTGGAAAATGGACACCATGGAGGAGCGTAATAATTTTTTTGCTGTCGGACATATTACAGAATGCTATTTTACTCTTTCCTCCTTGCAGTGATGCTGAGCTACGCATTTTTTTTTTTTTCGAGACGAGCATGATGGTTAAATGAATATATTTGCAGCGATCACCATTGGGGAGTACGACAAAGAAAAGCTGCAGGACATCGTGAAAAAGGTCGTTTTTCAGTCGGCGTATCAAACCAGGAAAGTGCAGCCTCGTGTGTGATGAACTGAGGCTAATATTTTATTGGCAGCTGGGAGGGTCTTCTACTATTGTTCGCTGTTGCATTTTGTATCTATGAGTTTGATGTGGCCAAAAGAACTTTTTGCTGTAGTGCGTTAGCTCTCTCAAGCTTTCGCAAAGGACTTGTTGCTCTCAGGATTTATTAGCTGCATACTTTCGACAGTTACCAGCAAGCCACAAGGGTTGATTTTTAATGCACCACGGCAAATAGGGTGAGTATGTATTTTCCTTGTTGCGAAAACAATGTTCTTTCGTAGGTGCATCGTCAACATTTGCCTCTACTAGCTCAAAATACGCTCCGCCGGACTGCTCGTTTCAATGTGATACGCTGATGGCCATGTTTGTCCACTGGAAATGGGGCATGACGGCACCCCTGATGTTTGCGATTTTTGCAACGTATAGTATCTACCACGATAAAATTTTTTTGGTCGTTTGATTTTTGCGCCGCATGGTCTACTTGATCGTAACAAATTGTAATTACAAGTTGCGAACGTTCATCCGTGTCGCATACAACGAATGTGGCTTCGCGGAAGAGACTCGCGTGAAGTAGATCCGACGCTACTATGATGCAAGAGGAGGTCTTCTATTACTTCTATACAGGTACACTGTGATGTACAACTCGCCACTGCGGAAGATTCATTTGCTGAATCAAGACCAATCGGATAATCCACAGCTGAAGCGACCCTGGGTGAACCAACCGGGAATGGGCGACCCTATGGCAATGATGGAGTGGTGGCAGGATAAGGTATTATCAAACTTTTTTTCTACTTCTAGCGCATCTACTAGTAGTTACTACTAGTAGATGCGCTAGAAGTAGAAAAAACTTTTGTAGTGTCATACATACTAGTAGTATGTACTGCTTGCAGCTCCTGCAGGAGCTTATCGGCCGCCGTTGCTGTGATCAGTTTTGAAAATTGCCGCCCCGGTCGTCCGGGAATAAAATCGACATTTTCCATTATCACCAAAATCCCTAAACAGTCGAATGAGTTGTACATGGCCAAGCAGGGCGTGCAGGTGGGCGGAGGCACAGGAAAAAAGCAGCCGACGTCGAAGTCTCTGTATCACGGAGAAAAAAGCGTACCAGGGTTATTTGTGATGCACGCAGCACTAGAATCGGGTAGAATAAACCGAGAAACATCTTCACATCTCAAGGGGCCCGCCCACAGCATGGGTTGCGCGAGAGCAGATGCTAGTCAGTTTATTCCGTCTGTGTATTCATTTTTGCATAAAACCTGGGTGCTTTTTTCTCTGGGTTGATACTCAGCGGGCCAAGGAGAAAGCGGCTGATAAGGAGCGGAAAAAGCAGATGTAAATATTGGAATGGAGGACAAGGGGATTGCTTCTGCCAGAACTCTAGCTACTTTACTAGGAGTGACCACGCGACAGGATGTATTGAAGTGGTTGTTTCAGTATTGATACAGTGACACGTTTCCATTCCTTCTTCGAAACTGACTTTTAGTTTCAACAAGACGATTGGGGATGGGCATAAAGCACATAAAAGCAATACAACGCACCAAAGCATGACGGAATTCGTGAAAAGCTAGTTACTTGCCTCCGATGCACTTCTCGGGCCTAGTCTGGCTTTGCTTTATGAATTCACGACATTGATAGTTAAAAACAGCATGAAATGTTTTACCACGGGACTTCCGACGTCCTAGTCAGGATAAATAGAATGGATCAGTAGAACAGCAGCAGAAAACATCACAGCGACTGAATTAATACTTTGGTTTATACTCGACGGCGTAGTGGAGTAAAGAAATCTTGTACGCTGGGGCGGCGCTGAAATGAACCACGAAAGATATCAACTGCAAAGATGTCTGGGTTTGGAAGGTTGCAAGATCTGTCATAAAATGCGACCTGAATCTTTACAAATTCGGAGAAACTTGCGATGGTGCATTTCGTACTGCCTATCTTGCATGAGAAATGACATCTCTACGCGCCCAAAAGTGATATGCTTGCGCTCCTTCCGTACTAGAGCTTGGCCTAATCTTACCGAGATCATGCCGTCAGGCGTGGACCGTAAAGTGGATGATTATGCCTCGAGGTGTAAAAAGGTTCACGCAGTACAGATTTTTGCGTCGCCGGCCCGACGTAGCATGCCATAGTCGCACTCTTTCAGACCCAGACATGTTTGCAATGCAGAAAAGACCGCACGAAGGAGCAAAGGAACACTCAATGTATGTAAATCTTCGACGAACCGGGGTGGTGGGAAAAAAATATCTCACTGAGGGAGAATCAAAATCAGAAATCAATTTTTGCATTAGCGCAGTGTTTCCCCGTGGTATTTAGCGTTGCAACTTACTCGCGTAAAATTTTGTCTATTTCATCATTTGACCTGCTAGTACAGTGTTCATACAACAAATGTCATTCGCCGGTGAAAGAAAGACAATAAGTTAGAAAAATCAAGAAATGAAAGAGAGTCATAGACCTTCGGTGATCTACATTTTTTTGCCCGTAATTCGTACAAAAAGTAGGCAGATCGAAGTGAGAAACAAAATTTTCTCCCGTTGGGTCGGAATCAATGCTCTTCGTTCGATTGCTCCGCAAATGAATCAATACTCTGGCCTGTGGCTTCATCCCGTACCGATTGCAGGCAATTGCTAAATGTTGCTAGTAGATTCCACATTGAGTTGCCGAAAGCGAAAAGTATAAATATGAATGTGAATCCTCAATGAAAAAATCTTTCCCTTCCCACAGCAGCCCACATTTGCGACCCAAAAGACCCAAAGTTCGTGCGTTGAAAACACGAAACACAAACCTAAGCGAAACCTTGAATCATCCAACAGTAGGAAAAGTTTTGAACCAACAATCTTTTTTTTTGCTTCCTGAGCAATCAGTCTCTAGTTTTGCGAATCTACTAGTACCAACCACAACCAGACAGAATGCAAATCTTCGTCAAGACCCTGACCGGGAAGACCATCACGCTCGATGTCGAAGCGTCCGACACTATCGATGCGGTGAAGGCCAAGATTCAGGACAAAGAGGGGATTCCGCCAGATCAGCAGCGTCTGATCTTCGCCGGTAAGCAGTTGGAAGATGGCCGCACCCTGTCGGATTACAACATCCAGAAGGAGTCGACTCTGCACTTGGTGCTGCGTCTCCGTGGTGGTATGCAGATCTTTGTCAAGACCCTGACCGGAAAGACGATCACCCTGGACGTCGAGGCGTCCGACACTATCGACGCGGTGAAGGCCAAGATCCAGGACAAGGAGGGAATCCCCCCGGATCAGCAGCGTCTGATCTTCGCCGGTAAGCAGTTGGAAGATGGCCGCACCCTGTCGGATTACAACATCCAGAAGGAGTCGACTCTGCACTTGGTGCTGCGTCTCCGTGGTGGTATGCAGATCTTTGTCAAGACCCTGACCGGAAAGACGATCACCCTGGACGTCGAGGCGTCCGACACTATCGACGCGGTGAAGGCCAAGATCCAGGACAAGGAGGGAATCCCCCCGGATCAGCAGCGTCTGATCTTCGCCGGTAAGCAGTTGGAAGATGGCCGCACCCTGTCGGATTACAACATCCAGAAGGAGTCGACTCTGCACTTGGTGCTGCGTCTCCGTGGTGGTATGCAGATCTTTGTCAAGACCCTGACCGGAAAGACGATCACCCTGGACGTCGAGGCGTCCGACACTATCGACGCGGTGAAGGCCAAGATCCAGGACAAGGAGGGAATCCCCCCGGATCAGCAGCGTCTGATCTTCGCCGGTAAGCAGTTGGAAGATGGCCGCACCCTGTCGGATTACAACATCCAGAAGGAGTCGACTCTGCACTTGGTGCTGCGTCTCCGTGGTGGTATGCAGATCTTTGTCAAGACCCTGACCGGAAAGACGATCACCCTGGACGTCGAGGCGTCCGACACTATCGACGCGGTGAAGGCCAAGATCCAGGACAAGGAGGGAATCCCGCCGGATCAGCAGCGTCTGATTTTCGCCGGTAAGCAATTGGAAGACGGCCGTACTCTGTCGGACTACAACATCCAGAAGGAGTCTACTTTGCACTTGGTGTTGCGTCTGCGCGGTGGTGCGCAGTAAGTGACTCCGAGAAGGAGTAAGCAATTGTTTCTGTGATATAGCAACAAAAAAAAACAAAAGCAACCTTTGCTTTTGCGAAGACGCGGAAACAAAGAATCCAATCGACTAGACAGCTACATTTTCGACGCAGCAAACGACCGTAATAAAATTTTTCTAAAACTCCTTTCTCAACGATCTATCCCTCTCAGAGCACAAGTCCGACAAAGTAGAGACGTCGAGACGCGAAGTAAGTTTCATCCCAAATAAACAAGCGAATCCAAAGTATTACTTCCCTGAGTGATTACCAATCACAACTTTTCCTTTAAAAAAAATCCTGGCGATCCACTAAAAACTTTATCTTTATTTAGATGGGTTTACGAAAGAACAACCTGTGAGCTGCGAAGATGCTTTTCTCACCGCATCGACGCAAGCGCGCAATATGTATGATGTGAAATCTCGAGGTATGCAGGGTGGTAGTGCTGGTGAGAACATCAATTCGCTTTCACCTTCATTGCTGCTTCGTTTTTATCTCCGAGTTCACTGCTACATCTTTTGAAAAATAAAACTCCGTCGTGGTTCGCAAAAACGGAACAAACTACTGATAGGCTATTCTGAGGAGGAGAAAACCGAGCACAGCTGGTGCGTATGGATTCTTTCTTGTTGGGAAAAATGACATACGTCGCTGCTGCTCTCGGTAAACTTTTACTGGGAACAGACTACTTGGTGGCACTAATTTCGATTCTGTTGAGCCATACGGATTATACTAGCCCGGCGGTAGGAGTTGTGAATTTCGCTATTGTGCGGTCTTGCATTTAGCTTGATTCATCCTGTAGTTCCGGCGCTTAGGGGTCTCTACCAAAATAACCCGGGCACTAGCAGCTTTCACAAACCGATTTGAACGAAAAAAAATCGACGCACTTCATATACTACATTCGCGGTGAAATGAAGGAAGCTATTTCTTCTGCAGTTCCAAAAACCTGTACCGTTGAGGAAAGTAGACTTCCTTCAACGATAGATTTTTTTTCGGATCGATTGATTGAAGCTATGTCCCGTATATCAAAAACACGAGCCTCGCGTGGCAGCAGTTTGGGAGAACGCCCGTTTCGGACGAGACAAATCGTGTTCGTTGAGCCTCAGGAAAAACAGAAGAATCGTGTTTGATGCTCAGTGGCAAGGTGGCGCGTTTGTGACCAGGGTAGTCAATTCTGTGGTGCGTCAGTCGAGAGGCAGCTTGTAAGATTGTTTTTCTGAAAACAAGAACGGCGATGAGGAGAAAAGACAAGTCACTTTTGAGCGGCAAAAATCCAAACCGTGCGTGCGTGAGTATGAAAAACTGCAAATGCGACGAAAAAGGATCTCAAAGAAGCGCGACATGTGCGAAAAAAAATCCAATAATCTCGTGGGAAGTTGATTGATAGCTAGCACGTGAAAATGCGAAGAAATCGGTAGCGGTACAGCGATGGCTTGTAATGCAAGAAGTGGTCTATGAGGAAGAGGATTCGACTCTGCCTTCGAGTTTGAACGCAGTGACTGCACCGCAATCTCCGTAGTAGCTGTGACCCACACACATCCTGTCCATCGGTTGTAAAGCTCAAATCGAAAGGTAGAGAAATAATATCGAGTTCAACAAGATTTCGCGTGAATTCTTCTTTCGCTTCATTTCTTGGCGCAGTTGAGCTGTTGATGACGAGGTATAATTGGGCATAAAAATAGTGGTGATTTTATTTCCATAGTCCTGCTTCAAATTTAAAATCAGCCCGCAGTGTTAGTTGTACTTAGACTCACAGTGGGTCCTCCTGAACTGTAGAGATAAAGACTTGATGTCGGCTGGTGCTAAAAAAAGTTTCTAGAGGACAAAATATAGATCGGCTACTTCGAGGCAGCTTCACTAGGCTCTGTGACGAGCAAGAATAGAAACCAGCGTGTTATCGAAAAGGTCTTCTTGGCGCAGCAAGTAAAAAAAATCAAACCAACGATGAGCCGCAATAAGCAACTCGTTCCGCATTACTCTCACACCAGCATGTCGCCCCACATCAGCGGGCGAGCCAGCCCCACGCTGCCGGACGTGCCGGTGCCTAAAGGAAGGCCGGAGGAGGCGCCGGACGACGAAACTTCCACGACGGCGCAGTGGAAAAAACGCCAGCAGGAGGAGATGGAGGCGGAGCAGTCGCAAACCCCGACGAACGAGGACGATGTGTACCCCACCAGCGGCACGCCTGGCCCGGGCTCCTTTTCCGGGGCCGGCACCGGGGACACGGCCTACAAGCAGAAGAAGCCGAAACGCCGGGGGAGTGAAGTGCGCTTAGACGATGAGGACGCCCTGTACAATCCGTTTGCGCACCAGACCTCCGTTTTGCAAAATGCGATGAGCGCGTCTGGGTCGAAGGCAAGCCTGGTGAACTTTGGCCCGCGGTCCGTGGACGAGCACGCCGAGCTTCTGGGGCAAAACGACCCGCGCAACCGGCTGGACGCAATGTCCCTGCAGAAGCACTTGCAGCAGCTGCAGAACAGTAACTCGAACAGCCACGAGGAGACCGAGGTTGGTGGTGGAAATAGTACCAATACATCGCAACTTCGCGTGGGTCAGAGTGCATCCGCGTCGTCCACTGCCGGAAATTTTTTACCGGGGGCTGCTGCTGGTGCAGCGGCGGGAACTACTGCGCTGAGCGCCAACAACAAGGCGGTCGGCGTTCCAACCGCCCCAGGTGGAGTGGTTGGGCTTCCACCAGTGATGCTGGACGGCACGCCCCAAGGAACAACCGGGGCAACGACGAATGATCCCGGGGGAGGAGGAGGGCCCGAGAATCTGCTACTCCCCAAGACGCTGTCCGCGAGCGAAACCTATAGTAAGGCCAGGTTCCTACCACACAGTGAAAACAGCGAGCATGAGACAGGTGTAGTCATGCAAGAACAAATACACAGTCACAGAAACAGAATCAGAAAGGGTTGACGCAAATACACGTTGACGCATAGCTCATGACGCAGCATTGTGTGGGCTACTTTTGCTTACAGCAAATCTTCGCGTCTATTTGTGCTTCTTGCGTCACAAATCTAAATATGCTAGCTTTTTTTCTGGGTCATAGGGCACCACTACACTGAACGCGGACGAGGACCAGAGGGAAATCCTGGGGTTTTTGTATGCACTGCAGATGTGTCTGGGTCTGGAAGATTGGCGCAAAACTTCTAAGGCTGAACTCGCACACGACTCCCGAACTCCGTATTATATGTCTGTTCTTGCAGAAAAGTTCAAGTTGTAATACGGGCTCATCTGTGTCATGCAAAAACGCAGCCTATTATTTGCGCCTGACGCGCCAGCACAGGACTACACTTCAAAAGCCTATCATGTTTGGCTGCGTAGTACTCTACAACTTTTTCTCTTTCATTGATACTAGGTCGTGAGCACCATGTTGACACCAGGTTGTTCCAAACCTAAATCGATATTTGCACTGCAGATGCTGCTGGAAGCCGCGAAGCTCCGCGAGAAGTACACGCCGTGCGGCGACCACGCGCCGCTTTGGGAAGACCACCAGTTCGGGCGCGCGCCCGTACGGGAAAACATCCCGTTTACCTGGAAGATGAACGAGGCCACGGGCGTGGCCGAGGTCTATGTGAAGGACAGCGTGTTCGTGGAAAGTGCAGCGGCTGTAACTACAGGAGGTGGTACAGCGACATCAACTACCTCCACTGTCGACGCCCCAGTTGTGTCCTCTTCCACCACCGCCTCCGCCCCCTCCTCGCCCACCAACCTGTTCCCGCAACCGTCACTACAGGAGTACTTCGAAGACATGGACCGCATGTTCCACATCCGCACCTGCGGCCCGGTGGTGAGCCACTGTTTCTACCGGCTGAAGATGCTGCGTGCGAAGTTCGAGCTGTACCACATGGTGAACTACGGCGAGGAGCAGGAGCAGCAGAAGAACACGCGGCACCGCGACTTCTACAACGTGCGCAAGGTGGACAACCACATCCACCACGCCGCCGCGATGAACGTGAAGCATTTGACGCGGTTCATGAAGAAGAAGTTCAAGAAGGGCACGGACGACATTGTCGGGTACAGCGAGGAGAACGAGCCGGTTACGCTCGGGGATTTGGCGAAGGAAATGGGAGTCGACTGGTCCTCCCTCACGATCAACAGTTTGCAGATGTGGACCGACCGGAGCTGCATGCACCGGTTTGACCGGTTCAATAACAAGTACATGCCCATGGGGCAGTCCAAGTTGCGGACCCTGTTTCTGAAGACTGACAATATCATGAACGGGCGGTACTTTGCCGAAATCACGCGCGAACTTCTCGACGACCTGGAGGAGTACAAGTACCAGCACACGGAGTGGTATCCTCAGTAATGAAAAGGGGGGGGGACAGGCAGCACCCCAGAGTTGTCATGCAAATCTGTATGGTCGTGCCCAAAATGTTCTTTCTCATGCGAAGCTAGTTCCATGATGTTGAGAAGCAATTTTTAGTGGTGGTTTTGATTTTCCCATGCTATGTATGCATAATGAGGATAACTTAGCAAGACAAGGAATTTGTGATGTGGATGCACCACTAGCAAGACACCAGTGCCATTCGAGCCCAAATTTGGCAACGTGCGTGATTCACACGTCTGTTTTATGTCCCGCGTGAAGATCGTTCGCAAATCTTCTGGATTTCTGTAGCAGATTTCCCATTTTGTTGACCCGGGGGTGCTGGGGACCTCCACGACGCGTTTACGCGTGTGATAAGTGGCGGCTCTCGATCTACGGGCGCAAGCGCGACGAGTGGGACAAGCTGGCGAAGTGGGCGCTGGGGAAGGGCGGTAGCGGGAACCAAACCCGGTTGATCAGCGTGAACAACCAGTGGATGATCCAGATTCCGCGGCTGTTTGAGGCCTACAAGTCCGCGAACCAGCTCCAGAACTTCCAGGAGATGATCGACAACATTTTCATACCGCTGTTCGAAGTGACCGTGGACCCGGAGTCGCACCCCGAACTGGAGGAGTTTTGCAAGTACATCGGCGCCTTTGACACGGTGGACGACTATTACAATGAAAAATGCCCCCACCCCCGAACTTGGGAGCATTTGTATTGCAAACCTTTCCAAATGGAATATTCGCCCTCTTGCATCTATCAGCATCACAGGTTTCCAATCGTGAATAGCAAAAATTTGTATTGCAAAAGATCCCAGCAAGAGCGGCGCTTGTCATGCAAGCGATGCGATAGATACACGACTAGACTCGGCACCAGAAAGATTCATACTCCTTTCATGCATGACAAAAAGTATTCATTTGAAAACTTCGCATCACAAATTTCAGGTGTTGGGGAGGCACTTTTCACTGTAATAACGACGAGTCAAAGTTCGCGGGGCCGCAGGAGCGTGCGTTCGCGGCCATGATGAAGGCCCCCAAGGAGTGGGACGCGTGCGTGAATCCCAGCTACAAGTACTACAGCTACTACATCCAGACCAACATGCGGGTGTTGAACCAGCTCCGGGCGAAACTCCACCTAAACCAGTTCAAGTTCCGGCCGCACGCGGGGGAAGCTGTATCCGGGGGAAAGTAAACGTAGTTGTAGTACCCAACATCATCTACTTCCCAGGATTTGTGCTAGACAAATGATCCTGTAGTTTAGTCGTGGCGACGAGCTGCAAGAAAGTGGCACAGCGGCGCCAGAAATTGAATTTGGGTGGCACAGCGGCGCCTTATCGATCTTGATCAGAGAGTGATAGATACAGAGATTCGGATTACATATGAAGATGGGTACTTGGGTGTGCATACTAGGTTTTTGCATAGCATAACTGGGCGAACTACACCACCTGGACACCGCCTTTCTGCTGGCGGACGGCATCAACCACGGGATAAATTTGAAGAAAAATCCAGCACTGCAGTATATAATAGTGCTTCTTTTGAGGCTTAAGTGAAGAATCGGAACCGTTCCCTGAAGTATCTGTTGTTTTGCATTTTTTTCCAGTTCTTGACGTTTAGACCCCCCGGCAGGAAGTCGGCATAAAAAAAATCCACCGCAGGTACCTGTTTTACCTTTGCCAAATCGGAATCAGCATGTCGCCCTGCAGCAACAACCAGCTTTTCCTCCGCTATGACAAGAACCCCTTTTATCACTTCTTCCAAACAGGTACAGGGTCTTCATCTTTTTTGCACTGTGATTGGAAATCGAGTGTGAAGATTGCATTTTGTTTCCTGTGCATTGGCTTTGAGTTTGAACCTGTTGGCAAAGAAAATGATCTCTGCAACATGACTATAACAGGTTTAAACGTGACCTTGTCCACGGACGATCCGTTGATGTTATCCTACGGAAAAGCACGCCCATCTGGTGCCAAAAAAAGAGGAAACTGCGTTGCAGTTTTTCGTGTCACAAGTAGCCTTTTCTTGGCTGGTAGGGCAGCAATACAAGTGTAGTTCTTGGCACCTCGTCTTTAGACCGCGCTAACTAGCATGACAGACTGCATTCGGAATAACACACAATTTTTGCCTGTGTTGCGGTCGCTGCATTTTTGTTGAGGACTATTTGGGCAACGCAAATTGATTTTGTTCTGGTATGGGTGTATTCTTTTCCTTTTCTGAAGGATATTTCTTCCACCAGACGAAGGAACCCCTCCTGGAGGAATACGCCATCGCAAAGCAGTTGTGGAAGCTGTCCCCGTCCGACCTGTGCGAGGTCGCGCGCAACAGCGTGCTGCAGTGCTCCTACCCCATGGAGTATCCAGGAAAAGAACTGTGTGAGTGTAAGAAAAAGAACTCTTTGGGAAAAATACGTGTAACATGTTGACAGCAAAAAGTTGTCATGCGCAGGCACTAGGCTGAAACATGAAAGTGGCTTAGGACCACGCCTGTCGACCGTGATGACAAGCGTCACTGTCTTGCTTCGCCTGCAACACAATCAACAGAGTTCTTGTGCCTACTCAGTTTTTTTCTTGCATAGAAAATCCGTGCTGCACTGGCTCGGACTCGAGCGGCCGGAGGAACTGTACATGAAAAACAGCATCTACCACACCAACGTCCCGGATAGTCGATTCAAGTTCCGGCGGCGAAGTCTCCGGGAGGAGTGGATGAGCCTGCACGGGGAAGTATTGTGAGGAAAAATTCCCCCTCCCCATACTGAAGCGGTACCCTTCTGAACATTTGTGATGCTGATTTGTGACCACAAATCCTGTCTCTCTTGCAGGAGGGCAAACGCAAATGGTCTGCCGCCTTATGCAGGCGGTTTGTCATGCTGTTGCGCCAACATGGCAGGCCTCTGCTATGCTAAGCGCCTATACCAAAACACCCTGCGGAGGCTTAGGCTTTGCCTGCATTGCCTCACAGCAAGACAGAGCTGATTTGTGTACACAAATCCAGCAACCCCCAGGGGGTTGTGGACCTGGCAAAACCGATGAGTTCGGGCTGCTGACTGTTCCACCTCTTCCGAGTGCGATCATGTTACGCCTCACGCCTCACGCCTCACAAATCCAGCAACAGAAATTTCCGCTTTGATATGGGGAGGGGGCATTTTTCATTTTGATAGGAAGAGGGCGTGGACCAAAGCGACTGGGAGGACTCCTACCAGCTGCTGCTGCTGTCCCCCAAAGCCAGGCAGGTGTCCACCAGCAACGTGGTAGCGAACGCCGTGAACAACCCGATGAACAATGCGAGTTTGTTTCGCTCCCCGTCGCACAGCATGCAGCAGCAAACCGCTTCCGCCACCGGATCGAGCGCGGACATGCAATTTCGGGGGAACAAGGACGCGACGCCGCCGCGGCTAAGCATCGCAAATATAATGGTGTCTAGGAGGTGGTGGCTCTCTGAAAGTTTAGAAAGGTTTGCAACGACAGCGACGTATGAAAAGTGTTTGGACCACGCTTTCTGATGCCTACTTAGAAGCTCGCTTAGCGAATCGCTAGTACTATTCGAACGACTACGTTGGCTGCTCATGCAACTACATAGGTCGTCGTCGTTTCTCAGAATGAAATGAATATGATTATGCAAGGCACGTGTTTCTTCCAGATCCAGCTCCAGACACCTGTAAAATTTGCATCGTTGATAGCGGGTGAGCGTAAACCCGCAGGAAATGGTTCTTCCGCTCCTCTCGCAAGTGCAGATGACCGACAGCCTGACGCTGCCCCTGGAGGAGGAACACCTGTCCGCCCAGGCCTACGCGCACGAGCATTCGGGACCGGTGAAGGGGCCCACAGCCGGGTCCTCGTCCTCGCACCTGGAGCTGTCCACCGCGAAACTGCAGCAGTTGACGCAGAATTACTCGTCAATTATCCAGGACGCCGAGGAGATCGCGGAGGGCGGCAAGAATTTCGCGCAGGCCGGCCTCGACGGCTACGAGGCGGACTACGCAGACATGGGGAATTTTGAAGACGACGTGCTGCTTCCGGCGCCGGCGTCGAAGAACGCAGGCCTGAACTCCTCGGAGTTTGGCACGACCCTCCCCGGAGAACTGCAGCTGCCGCGAACGCCGGGCAGCAGCAAGGGCGCCGCGGCAGTCGTCGGGGCGAACAACGACCTGCTGGATCACCAGGGGAATTTGCGCATTCCGCAGACCCTGGGGCTGGAACTGCCAAAACACCCAAAGATCAACCCGGACGGGACCATGATGTGGCCGCAGGAGGGCAGTAATGCAGCTCCCGGGTCGAACAACTACTACAACTCCCCTGCCGGATCATCGTTTTTCGCCCTGCGGTGCTACAACGCGACAAACCGCGTGCTGCCGACATTTTTGCCGGCGAGACTCCGGTCCGGGGTCTCAAACTTCGTCTACTTTGTGTTTTCCTCTGTCACGACGAGCAGTAGTACGGTCGCGTACGACAGCAGCGGACAGCAGCAAAGGATCGTCTCCACCTCCGTTGCGGCCCCGCTCGTTTGGGTGGGTGGCGGACTTTTGTTGGGTTTGCTGCTGGCACAAAATGGCGGAAACGGCTACAACCCGGGCGCCTCGCAGAAGAGGGGGCGGTAAAAAGGCAACAACTAACTACTCTGGGGCGCCAGATATCAACGTGTCTGTGTTGCCGTGGAGTCTGTGTTGCGGCTGCTGGTGTTTTGGTTCTACGGAGCTGCCACGGGGGAGAATTTTTTGAGAATATGGCGCATTGACGACAGACGGGGTACGACCAGACCACAGAGCAGATCAGATGCTGTTCTTACGGTGTTGTCGTGCCACCGCGTCGGTTTTATCCTTACTGATGTTTTGGCCGTTTTTCTAACTTTGAAGTTCTGGATAGTACATTCACCTTTAAAAGTTTTTGACCACCAACGTTATAATTATCTTGGCAATAATGAAGCTATCTTACAGAGAGCTGTGCATTGCTGCACAGAGTACACGAACAAATGTAAAACTCTTTATTCACCTCTTCCAAGTCCATTCAAAAACACCACTTCATGCGCTCGGGAAAGGCTGTGAGTAACGGCTCTCTGGTGCGACGTGCATTGGTGTTTTGTTTGTGGCAACACAAAACGACAGACGCGGAAAAGAAGGTCCGATTTGCAGCTTTACGGTTGGTTCGGTAGTTGTTTCAGCCCTTCGTCAGGACGAGAAATAAAAGCGAAGCCGCAATCTTCCTGGAGGAGGCGCGGATCGGATTTCTATTTCGCCGAAGACGCACCTCATTTTCCTGTGTTTATATTTGTCGAGAATAAAGCTAGTATAACATCTCACATCTCCACTATTCTAACTCTACCTGATGACTATGAGTAGTACTAATGCTTCTATTTCCATTTTTCCGACCTCAATGTACAAAGTTGTGCTAGGGCATGCTTCGCAATCGCGGGCCGGGGAAGGGTAGGAAGGTGAGGCAGTGGAATTCTACTGTCCACGGTGAAACTGTACAAATGGACTTTGAAAAAGATCTGATATCTGCAGGGGTGCGATTGCGGGAAGCAGATGCCATTTTGATGTTAGCACCACCAGTTTATTCCATTTTCACACTTGCTCTACAGCCATTCGTCGCAGTAGTACCTACTAGAAGATTGCTTATTTCGAAAAACATAATGGGCGAGTCGGTAAGGTGCAAGGCGACACACTGCCGGCGGACATCAGGAGTGGACGACTCAGGAGACCATCCGCTTCAGCATCGATCGAACGAGACGTGGCTAGTTTTTTCGTTTCTCACATTATGGTGGAACACGACGCTAAAACAAAAACAGAAATAAAGCCCGCCAGCACCCTCGGGCCCAAGAGTAGTCAGTTTTTCCGCGGTCGGGCGTGCCGCGGCCTGACTTGCAGCTCATTAAAATATATGCTGTTCGCTTGCGAATTCACGGTGCAGAAGGCGGTCCCGTTCTGGAAGATCCTTTGCAAAAATCTTACGGCTTTCGGTTCAATCAGCGATCTGAAGCTCTGAGATCGAAGCGGGTCTACTTTGTTTTGTTCCAGGTAGAGTTGCGGTAGGGAAGATCGAAAGTTGAAATATGCGATGAGCGTTCGAGTTGTTTCTCGTGGATCTGAAAAAGATCGAAGAAGATCTGCACTCTGCTGGTGCACAAGCAGTCGCCAGTAAAAATGGACCCGAAGGAAATGCAAGTTGATGTGAATGATGATGATCCACGACGGTAAATCTAAATTTTTCTATTTCGATGCGAACTTGAACTGCTGAAAGAACATCAAATCAAGCTGCATCATACAACATATATCAGGCCGACGCTAGCAAGTTACCACTCAGAAGTTGTGATGTTGTTGAGATTTGTTTTCCCTCCCTGAGACGTGGTCGAATCTATCACACAGCAGCACGCCACTTGTCGCAAACGGTGCGCCCCTCGAATTTCTTTTGCTCTACTCCTCATTTTAATTTCATCTTCGACATACTATGTCACTTCCCCCGCCGCAACCCGGCCCTGGTTCCCTCCACACGACCACGTGGATCGGGGTCTACAAGCACGGGTTGCGTCTGGCGTGTTTGTACGAGCTTGAGCTTTTCAAAGCAGAGATTGTGTGCGAAAATTTGGTGCACGATTTGATTGTGTTCCGGTTGCCGGTGCACCAGGTGGTACATGATCATCCCGAGAACGAAACTACCGTCGAAGACCTACCGCTGACGTTCGATTTGCTCTTCGAACCCATCGCAACGGCGGGTTTGTTGGGAAGAAGCTGCGACGGTGTTGAAAGCTGCGACAGGAGCGCAAGAATAAATCCAAATGTAGTGGAGGTCCCTCAGCACCAAGAGAAAGAACACTTTTCGCGGGAAAATAGCGGAAGAACCGGAATTATCCCTTTCCCGGCGCAGTCCTTTTTCAAGGAGGAGCAGCACTCGTTCCCGGCGATCGAGCACCGGGTGGGGAACAACAAGAAGTTCCCGCAGCGGAAAAAGGTGGAAAGTGATGCGGCCAAGGAGGCAGCGAAAACGAAGATTTTGAAGCCGTTCATCCTGGAACACCGCGAGAATCTGCTGCGCATCCTGAACCAGCGGAAGCCGTGGCGGGCGACGTGCGAGAAGGTGGGCGAGTTCGCCGTGAAGTCCATTGACCTCTGTAGCCTGTTCGGGGAGCTGGCGACCGAGTTGCTGCCCGAGCGCACGGAGGAGGAGAAAAAATCCTCCCCGGTGTCGATGAAAGACTTCGAACTAGAAATCGTCATCTTTGTCAGCCACAAGCGCGGCGACGAGTTCTCTAAGGAAATCCCCGGAGCGAGGAGAGCGGCGGGGGGAAAGCGGGCGGCGGGGGAAAAGCGGGCGGCGGCGGAGATGAAACGGTCCGTAGTCAGTGAAGACGGAAAGGATGGTCATCCGAACAGGTGGGAAAGAGGCCAAAGAGAAGCAGAGGAAGGAGAAGGAACTGCAACCGGAGCTATAGATGATTCGGAACAGGAGCTGCGACGACGAGACCACAGCACTTCGAGCATTTGGCTCAGTGCCTGCAGGAACAACGCATCACGCGAAAAACCGGTGGGGGAGAAGGAGGACTACAACCCACTTGCTGCGCATTCATCGATGTCCTTCGAAGAGTCTTATTTCGCCCGCGGCGAACAAATTAGTACTCGTACTCCTCCAAAGCATGAGCAGCGCAGTTGTAAGTCATCTAGTTCTAGTTCTAATTCTAGAGTAGAACTCGATGGGACCACCTCCGTCGAACTCCGAGCATCACCTGAAGTTGGTGACTCGACGACTTCTGCCGCGGGGGTGAACAAGATGCTGGAGACTACTTCCGTAGCGACACCAGGAACAACACCGGGACCTCCAGGCTCTTGTGATCAGAGGAACCCCCGCGGCCCTGCAGTACCACAATCACTCTCGTGCTCTACTTCTGCGTCGACCCGGTCGTCCACCCCGGCGACTTCATCCACGTGTAGTTGTATCAACAACCTGTCCGCTTTGCTCGCCAAGGACCAGCTCGCCCGCCAGGTGACGGGCAGCGACCTGTGGGCGCTCGGGGTCCGGATGAAGCGGAAAACACACCTCTTCAACGGCAGCACGACCGGTACCAACACTGCCGTGGCGGCGGCCTTGGGACTTACGATGCTCCGGGCGGCGGAACGGAGGGACGATGTTGAAAAGGGACGACAAACTAGTTGTGTTGAGGGAACGACGGCTCCTCCGGATGTAGTTGATCCCGGCTCGACGGGGAGACTCCCCCATGGTGAAAGCAAAAATGATCCTTCTTTGGTTCCAACGAGTCGCTGTCTGACCGTTCTGGATCCGATGTGCGGGACAGGCACGTTGCCGCTGGTGATGCAAGCATTGTCTTCGCGGTTTAACAAGAATACGTCACACTCGTCCGGGGGCTCGGACCACCAGCCGCAGGCAGGCTGTTTCCTTTCTCCGTTCTCTGGTACTTTTTCCCGATCAAAGGAAGGAGTGTTGAAATCGTGCAGTGCGGACGGAGAAGGAGAGCTACTACTACATGGAACTACGAAGCAGCAGGACGCAGAAGACCAAGATCGGAAAGTGAAGAGGGCGAAGATCCTGATGGACACTGAGCTCGGCGCGGAATGGCTACAACAACGGGAAGCTGCAAATAAAGAGGGGCTGTTGGGTGGAAGAGCAAGTAGTAGTCGAACCTCGGCGTCAAGTTCCGGCTCCGTGTTGCAGGACCAAGAACTTCTACCGGCCCCGAATTCCAGGCGCCGGGAAAACGATGAAAACGATGGCGAAAACCACGACACGGTGGATTCTTGCAGACCAGAGACAGAGCAAATCGCAGTTTCGAATTCATCTTCTGGGCGGAACAATATTAAAGCACGTGAAGAACTCCTTTTCCCGGCGACGAAGTTCCACCTCCTTGGCGCGGACTGCAAGGAGCTGGCGGAGAACTTGAAAGCCACCTCGAGCAAGCACCCGCCACCGGTGGACTTTCTGAGCCAAACCACGTGCAACCGCCTTCCCTTCCGCAGCGGGGTCGTCGATCTGATCTTCGTGGACCCGCCGTGGGGGCAGCGCCACGGCTCGCACACGCTAATCCAAAAGAACTGGAAGAAGTGGATGACTGAGTGGGTGCGGGTGTTGCGCGACAAATCGGGACTGCTCGGGGTGGTCACGATCCGCACCAAACAGGTGTTGCGCGACTACCATTCCTTTTTCGAGAAAGAATTAGAATTGGTGTCGAATTTGATGCTCAACAACGCAGGATATCAACAATGCCAATTTTTCCTGTTCCGGAAGAGGTGATATGAAAAAAATGAATCATTTCTACTTCACGACGAAGTGGTAGCGACAAGAAGTTCTGTCATATGAAAATGAACCTTACCCTAGTAAGAACAGAGGAAGCTTTGGAGCTCATGATCCGTTTCTGTCTGCTGGCTGGCAGTTATCTCCCGTGCTGTGAGATGTTGTGTTCATTCCTCTCGTGCTTCCCACGCAGCCGGTTTCTTTCTCAGCTTTGGTCGGCAAAAATTCGGTTTCCTTTTTTTCATTCGCTGCCGCCCGTCCTCGTGAGTGACTTTTTCCAACACAGAGGGCGTCAATCCAACCCGCGAGCGACAGTTTCAAAATCTGCAGAGGGGCCACAAAAGATAAAAATGGTCTTCACCCGCTTAATAGGTTCTTTGTTCTCGTTCGTCCCGTGCAGTTGCGTAGGTCTTCCTCCCGAGGACTAGTTCCTCCGGGAACGCCGGTATTAAACTGCAGTAGGGACCGAGCATTATCGGACTTTTCCTCCGCACGCGGCCCGGGCACGTGTCGCATTTTGCCAGGATGCCGAGCATCCACGACCATGTCGATGCGCGGTGGCGTAAAAAGCCGAACACCCTATTTCAAGAGCTGCCTGCGCCCAGCACGACATCACCGAAGCACAAGCTGGCGGAGTTCCGCAGCCTTCCGGCGACCGAGATGGAAGCCCGCGCCTGGCAATTGGAGGTCGACGGGCTGTATCCTCTGCAAAAGCATCGTACCCATTCTGCGTATAATTTACTGCACCAGTCATGCATGGCAAATTGAGACCTTTCGTGACCTGAATCAGCAGTAAGTACAACAAAATTCCACATTTCTTCTTGCCAAAATTCCTGATGCAGTTTATCCTACTGCGATAGGGCGATACTTTTCCAATGCATAGGCTGGAGCGAAAAAACGCGCACCTGGAGCACGACCTGAAACAGGAGACGCAACAGAAGCGCTTTCTTGAGCAGGAATTCGCGCAACTGCAGGAGAAAGTGCGGAGCCTGGAACTAGAGAACTTGACCTTGCTCGGGCGCGGTTTCGACGGCGAAAGTACAGATGCGACCGCCGAGGGCGAATCACTACCGCGGACGGAATCGGGGCATCAGGCCGGCGGAGAGCGGAAGAAGGTTGGGGTGACGAGTAGTGATCGCTTTTCAGAGGGATCTGCTACGCGTAGAATCCATTGCGGCGGGCCAAGCGGCGCTGGGAATGGACGAGATGGAGCAGCCGGAGCTGAATCTAGACAGTCAAGGTCAAGATCTTATTGCGGCATGTCGTTTCAGTTGATTCTCCCCTTTTTATCACATAGCTCAGGGTACGGGAGAGGGAGATTGTTTGACTCTTACCGCGGGATCTTGTAAAAGCAACATACACAACCTGCAGCTGCAGGCCCGTGGGCCAGAGTTAGGCGGAGTGATGTAGGTATCTTGAAAATTATCTGCAACAGGCGTTTGATTGGCGCATCCATCACGCACAGCTCCCCGGTGACCATCAGGCCGAAGGGGCAAGAAACAGAGGCCGTTTGCGTTTTAGAAGCCGACGACCGAAATACTAAACTCCTGACCGAGAAGGCGCAGCATTTGCAGAGGCGGATCAATACGCTGGAGGCCGCGAACGCTTCGCTGGAAGAGACGCTGCTGAATGTGGAGGACCAGTTTCAGACCACGGTAAGGTAGCAGATAATTCATTTCGGGCAAGTAAATAGATGCGCATATTAGAAGATATTTGGAGCAGTCGTGCGCTTTTCTTTCTACTGGGAAGCGTGTGATTCTTCGGGACTGCCTAGGGACACTCTAAACATAAACTGCACAACATCAGCTCCGGCGGTTGGAGCAAGAGTTCAAAGACCGGGAGACTCTGCTCAAAAAGGAGGTCCAGACGGCGCAAACCGCCCTGTGGCGGCACGAGAGCAGTTAGGGACCCCTCATTTTTGGATTGCGTCGCCGCGTCCAAGAAAATTGCATTTCGATCCTGAACGCACGATTTGTTTCGCTGTATCTCTTGCCTCGCATTATAGTACTAAGTAGCTTTTCATACACCAGTTCGATCTATCACCGGGGGTCGGGCAAGTAGGCTCGGTTCCGGTACACATCGGAATTTATCGTGGACAAGGGGCGCAGTATTTCTTTTCTTTTCGATGGCAGTATGGAAGTGTCATGTGGAAAGGCATCAAAGTGGATAAATGGGCGGCTATGCATGAAATTGAATAAATATTGCTACACATCATCAAATTGAAATAATGCTAAGCATCTGCATTGCAGCGAGTGCGAGACGCGTGAAGCCAAGAATCGTACACCTGACGTAATAATGACTCGTTGGGCGCTGAATTATAGCATGACAAGAGCTGCACTCGCTTGTACTAACCCGGTCTTCGGTCATCTATGGAGTTGGAGACAGAAACAGGTTGGTGCTAGGTCGTGGCAAAATGAGTATCGCGCCGCTCAGAAGTGGATGGCCGGATTACGATTTTCATTTTCGCTGTGGCCCATTTTGCGCAGTACAGATTTGCTTCAACACCTGGCGCTTGCATAAGCAGTCTGCGTCACTTGGAGCGCGAGAAGAAGAACCTGGAGAAGGATTTTCGTCAGGTTGAACTATGATAGCGGACAATTCCATTTGGAATTCCTATCCCCCTCATTTCTCGTGCATAGAAGTGGCACCGCCAGAAATACTTTTACGCTTTTATAGTAATTGAGTCTGGGAGGTTCTTGTCGACGACAGCAGCACTACTGGAGTACATGTGCTTGGATTTGTTTACGCTGAAGCTACTAGTAGATTTCGGCTGTTATAGTTTTTGTTGCTGCTCAACCTGCCATTGATTGCAAATGAGGGGACGAGGAGTCTGTCCTCGTGCATACGAGAAGGACTGCAGTGTGAAGGTGGAACTGGAAAAGCAAGCACTGAAGAAGGAGGTTTTCCAGCTGCGGGCGGAGCTACAGGGCGAGAAACACCAGCACGCGAATATTGTAGTGAAAAATGCCCCTACCCCCAAAGTTGCAATGATTTGTGATGCGAAGTTTCCAAACGAAAACTTTTTGTCATGCAAGAAAGGAGTATGACTCTTTCTGATGCACAGTCTGGGCGTACATAGCATCGCTTGCATGACAAGCGCCGCTCTTGCTGGCATCTTTTGCAATACAAATTTTTGCTAATCACGATCGAAAATCTGTAATGCTGATAGATGCAAGAGGGCGAATGTTTTATTTGGAAAGGTTTGCAAGACAAACGCTTCCAAGTTCCGGGGTGGGGGCATTTTTCATTGTAATAGCGAAGGAGATCCGGAAGATCCGGGCGTGGTACGAGATTCAGGCCAACTATGGAAGCGTCAGGATCGAAATCGTCAAAGTTGAAATAGTTTGTCATGCGTAAAATGCAACCCACAAAATGCCTGTCTTGCAGAGTAGGCAAGGGAGGCTGATTGTAAGCCTGTTGCGGGGTAGAAATGGAGCTGCTGAAGTGGCATGACAAAGGGCGTCTTCCTTACCCAAACAGCATTACAAACTGGATTTCGGCTCTACTCAAATTTGTCATGCGCCACTTGGAAACTGCGGTACAACTTTCATCCCTTTTATGCATTGCAAGTTATTTCAACTTTGTCGATTTCAATCCTGACGCATCCATACCAACGGGGTCTTCGGGGGCGGCAGGGAGGCGGTGGAAAAGGCAAGGGAGCATGCGGATGTGGTACTTGCAACTAGGAGAACTTGATATTTACTACTACATCATTGGGAGTAACTTCTGTCGGATCATACAGATACATATCACGGCCTCTAAGTAGAGTTTCAAGGCTGGAGAAAAAGCTGCGTATACTTCTGCGCTTGTTTTTGTTCTACTTGTCTTGCATCACTGCGCAGAATTTATTATTGAGCTGCACTCACATCAGTTTAGGACAGTCGCGGGGTTCGTTTTTGCGGGTTACTTAATGAATGCAGAAGTTCGACGCAGGGACAGATCAGAGAAGAGAAAGTCTAGTACCACTCGCGGAAGAAAAAAGTTGCGCTGCGTAGATTTTTTGCATCAAAAACACAAATCACCTTCTATGCACTTCAGGTTCGGTACCAGAATGCGGACTTCAGCAAGGCGATCGAGCGGTTGAACGTAAGGAACAAGAAGAAAGTGGAGGGAATGGAGCAAAAGATAATGCTGCAGAAACCCGACCTCTCTCCTGTGCCGTTGGCCCCGACCGCCGCGCCCCCTTCGGGTTCCTCCGCTGCTGCATTCGGAGGTGACAGGGGCAGCAGCACGCTGACAGCAAGCTCCGGGAAGAGCGGCCGGAGCACGTCGGGCCAGCACCGGTCAGTGGTACGGTTGGCCTCCTCCGCCGGCCGAGGCGGTCCTCCGGGACGATGCGGCCCGGGTACAAGACCCGCGAGCACCTGTCCAACGACGGCGGCTAGCTCGCCACAGCGGATCCTGATGTTCGGGGATAGAACTGGAATATCAAATTATGGTGCGGACAGACAGCCACAGACTCTTTATCAGCGTTCTAGTATAGCGCCAACTCCAACATCAGCTGGAGCTCATCCACTAGCAGAGGGACAAGATGATCCAGGGATGAAGATGAAGCACAGAGGGTCCTCCTCCGGCGGTGATGTCTTTTCAGGAGCTCCGAGTCCGTCGATGTCGCCGCAGCCGAACGGCTTTTCGGGTACTGCAATTGTTGCATCGTCACAACAGGACGAAGATGAACACCGTGATATCGCCGCCGAAGAAACAACGGTCACCCGGGGCGGCGGGCCCTCAACGTTCCCACCGCGATCCGCGAGAGCAGCTTCGGCCTCGGGCGCGAAGCAGGCGACAGCTGGTGAAGTAGACTGCGGTCCGGAAGGTCTTCTTGTTGGGGCACATCAAGAAGAAAAAAGATCGCGAGGAGGCTGTACCACATCCACCAGCGCTGGCACCACGTCGCGGGCGCGGAACTGCGCCAAAAGTGCGAGCTTGTTCAGCAATAGCAAGGTGAAAGCCGGCCTGGCAGCAGCCTCTACCACTCTGCAGGAGCAGCAGCCGGAGCAGCCGCGTCGGTCTGCGGTTGTCACGGGAATTGCACCGACCCCTGCTAGTATCGGCTTTTTCAAGCCGCGAAGCCGCAGTGCGACCGTTGGTGGCGGGTCTCGTACTTTTTCTCGGCCATCAGCAACGTCAGTCGGAAAAACTGCAACAGCGACGGCGGCCGGCACCTCTGGTAGTTCTACGTTCCGCGGCGGAATTCGTAATAGGACAACCTCCGCGGCGGCAGGAACAATTAATAGGAGTGCGGCCAAAGCTTCTTGTAGTACAGTCGTTGAGGCCAGTGCGCAAACGAAGGCTTTCCTGGCAAAAATCCGCACTGGCAAAAAGGCGGGACTGAATTCTGGGAACCGAAATTTCGGCCGTCGTGAGCGATGCGGGGCAGATCTTCAACATGGGCAGCTGAATCGTCCCACCGCAGTGCCAGAAGTGATAAATCCTGAGAGTTCATCATCTCCACAACCACAGGAGATGAAGCTGATGTCCCCGACCACCAGTACTTCGGAAGAAGATAACGCATCGACAACTGTTCCGACGTCGGCCGTCGACAGTGCGCATGACAACTCCAGCTCGGCGGATTGGCGCGGTGGAGCAAGTGTGTGCAGCACGACAGCAGCTGCACCCTTCGTACACATAATTGCCCCGACCTCTACTTCAACTCGTGTTGAAAGAGTGCAGGAGGGGAGCCCCCGCCTGGGTGTTGACGCGGAACAAGGGTCGAAGATGAGCAGTGTTCTTGATCCGGTAATGGATTCCGAGAACCTAATCCTAGCACCAGTGGTGACGGTCACGCTTCCGCGGGTGGTGGGCCCCGGTGCTTGTAACGTGCTCAATGGGATGAATTGTACCAGTACAAAAACCCGAACTCGAACGTCCGCGGCTGCTGCCTGCTCTGGTGCAACAGCAACCTCACCTCCAGGAGAAGAAAATAATTACAACAGGAGCAGCCAGCAGATGGCGGCGGCTGCTTGTGCTTTTTCATCGCCCCCAGGGAAAAAAGGGAAGGAAGTGACTTCGTGCTCCTCACCGGAGCTGGAACGATCACACGACAATTCTGGTTCTTCAACCTGGGGCGGGCCGCGTGCAAGTACAACATCTTCCGGCGGACGGAACAAACCAAAGACGAAGCAACTGCACCGCGACTTGTCTTCGCCAAACTTATATCCAGAGAAACGATGATGTTGCGTTGACCATGTATACGTGCAAAGAAACGTACTGCGACGTGACGTTCAACGTGCGCAGCTCTTGGTATTTTTATTTTGCACGAATACAAACTACAGACTGTTTATGATTTGTGCACGTACTACACGGTTGTTAACTCGCGTTTTTCCGCATGCATAACTTGCACGAGCTGCTGCCGCCCGACGTGGAGTGGAACATCGATGCCGTGTCTGACTTGCTGAAGCGGAAGGGAACAGCGGGCGCTGGGTGTAACGAAAAGTAGGACGTCGTTTTGCCGCTGCTCTGCTGTAGTTTATGAAGGACCTACAGCGCGCTGGCGCTGCTGTAGTCTCTTCCTCAGCGTCCGCAGTAACGGAAGATTGGGCACGGGGATATTTGAAAAAGTTCAAGAACGGTATTGACTTAGGGGAAGTGGTACATCGTCGACATTCGTAGCTGCTATATTTATTGGTTCTTGAATCGAGTTCAAAAGAGAAAAATAAAGCTGCCTTGCCGCGTCAAGATTCTTCTGTTTCAGTTTTCTTTTCCGTTTGTCAGGATTTGCAATGGAAGTATTTGGAGGATGTTTCGCTGTTTTTCTTTTGCGCATTTGCTGTGAGAGCGTGACTTTCTGCTCTGTGATTGTTCTTGTTATCTGTAAGGTCAGTTCGATTTATACTCGGACAAACTGAGTATCCGATAGAAACCGATAGAAAGGCTGATCGACCCATCAGTAAAATATGACTTCCAGGGTTTCTGTTTGGCGCGTTGATTTCAGTAGCCAAGTATGTTCTACGGAATTTCGTGTTTCTAGTATTCGAGTGCCTTTTTTTGGTAGTCTTCGTAGGGGCAAGATATGTGGTCGGATAAAAACAATCTTACCTGCAGCAGTGTCAATATAAGTTCTTGTTTTTCTTGTTTATTCCTGTGTATTAATTTTCGATTTGCTTCTGTTGGCAGGTAGTAAATTTTCTAGTCGCGATGAAGTAGACGAGATTTACTTTGTCGCGTTGAACCAAAAGACGAATACCAGTATGACCAATGACAACCATCCGTCCCGGTTCGTCCATGTGTTTCTGTTAAGAAAAAAACAATAAATTTGGGAGGACCTCGCGTTCCCCGCTGCTGCTTTGTATGTTGGATCTTCGTTCTTATCATCATGTTAGCGCTAGGACCTCGTCGCACTGCCACATACATCAATTTTCAAGACGGCTGGTGATCCATCGCTGCAGGTTTGCCGAGGCGATTGGTGAAGCCCGTCGGCTTGTCTTTTTTCCCAATCAATTTCAGGCTTGGTGGGGTTTCTTTTTTTGCAGCAGCAGGCTGCTAGTCTTAGATATTGGGATTGATTGTCTGTCCGGACAGTAGGATGTGTTTCGGTCTTATTCGTGTAGATTCATTTGCCGCCAGACGACGCGCACTTTCTGCATTGTCCGCGCTGCCCGCCCACTCCGGTCGCGAAGTTTTTGGACCACCTGCGCCAGCGTTCGAGGAGGATGATTTGGTTGTGATGTTGGTGTCGTGCTTTCAGCATCCCTTCCTTTACATTTCGATTTAGAAATAGCTGTGTTGAGTTCTGTTGGTATGACTTTTTTGTGTGCTTTCGCAGAGCCGCATCCTCTGTGATCCCGCCCTTCGTATGTATTTCCCATAGCTGTCTCCGAGCCGCTTTTTTCGGAAACGCTATGATCGCTTGTTCTGCCATCATTTGTATTCGTGGAGCCGCACCCTCCACTGCATTGTGCCGGCGCCTCATTGTACGATGTGCGAGCTGGGTACTTTGCCTGGCACTTTTGTGAGATTTGTAGATCCCCGGAAACATTTTTTTTTCGCTCACTTCGATCATGATCTTCAGTAGGGTTCACGCAGTTCTGTTATTTTCAATTTTTCTACGACTTTCATGTATACACGCAGAGATAGCTGGTACCCCTATTTGGTATCCTGTTTCTGGGGTACCCGGGAGCCGTTTCCTCCCTCGCTGGGTATAAGCGAATTCGCCCGTAAGGGTCCCGTCTAGGCGGTGTAAAAAAAATCCTGGTCTGTGAAACGAAAACCACAGAAGACGTGAATCTGAACCGACTTCGACCTCGAGCTAGGACAATGGAAAAAGGTCAGGAAAGACCAAATAGGAGGCGTTTAGTCCTGTCGTGTCGAAGAGTACGTGACTAGGAGACAGGCAATAATTTTGTCGCTGCTCCCGGTGTGCTTACATTATTTCTGGTCCGATCGTAAACTTGATTTTTTGGTGTATGCGTAGTTCTATGAATAGGTGATCTCTGATGTGAACAGTTGCAGGTTCTCTTCAGATCCGATGCTATGCGGGTGAGCCGAGGGATCTCTTCTGGCTCAACAAGGTGTTAATCAGCAGGATCTGCAAGATATGGAATGAAGAAATTGATTTCAGACTTACTACTGCAACCCTTCTGAAGAAGAGTCTTTTCACTGAATTCGATCGCGGAACAAGAGAAATGAATGCAAGATCGTGAATGACAGGAAGAATGCCGCGGCGCGTAGCTGGTTCGTGACTTCTCCGGATTTTTGAGCTGTCATTCCGCGTTGTAGAAAGCGTTACGTTTTTGATAGGCCCGCGGCCATGTCTGGCGCGTTTCCTTCAGAGTTTCCTGGTTTTGTATCGAAGAATTTGTTGGAAATTCAGCAGCTGCAGGATCATTTTTCCGAGTTACTTATTCGCAAGTGTCGTTTGTGTTGCTGGAAAAAGGACACAAATCGTAAAAATCCTCGAGAAGATGGTACGACGACAGCTCTAGAAACGACCTTGATCTGTCTGTCACCGATTGGTAAAAAGTACTACTGGTGGCTGATGTACGCGAACAAACAAACTTTTTCGCTCGTAGGAAGATCCCTTGTTAGTACGCTGGGTGTAGTAGTTTATGTCCTTCCCTTTGGTTATTTCCATTTTTGCGACCACCCCGCTACGTTGTAAGTACGTGAAATGTCCTCCACGACTAGCAAGCGGCAGACGAAAAAACAAAGCATGCGCGACAAGAAAAAAATGATGAAGGCCAAGGACAGGAGGGTTTTGGCGGCGTCCCTCGAAGAGCACGGAATACTGAAAATAGCTGCTACGACGACGATTGATTGCGGGGGCTCTGACGATAATATTAGTACGACTAGACAAGATGACATCAGCGCCAGGACAGTAAACTACGACGAGAACAACAGGACAAGTATGGTCCGCCTTCCGAGCAGCGACACGGCAGCCACGTTGTCGGATCTGATCGAAGCCCTGCCCAAGACGCAGCCGGCGTTTGACTACTATGATTGTGCGATCCCCGTGCCCAACATCGAGTGTCGGCGGAAGGCTATCAAATGTAAGAATGTCTGGGTCTGGAAGAATGCAGATTTTTGTCATGCTGTTTTTGCATGACACAAAATGTCTGTCATGGAAGCCCTAGCATCACAGATTTCGACAAGCTTCCGCATTGCTTATTCCGCATGACAAATCCCCCATTTTGGTGACAGGAAATGGGCACCCTTTGCTGCCTATGCATGAGAGATTTGTCTGTGTTGTGAAATGCGCATCACAAGCTCGCATCCTTCCAGACCCAGACATTTTTACAATCCATAAAGGCGTTCGACCTACAAAAATATAACCCGGAGCACGTGGTGGATATCAAAAACACCATTTTCAGTGCCACCAGCCTGTTCTCCTTCGATGCCGCCGAGTTTCCGTTTGCCGACCTGGTGAGCGACGTTTTCGAGAAGCACGTGAGCTCCTGGGGCCCGGATCGCAGAGAGATTGTGGAAGAGTACTATGATCTTCAGGAGGAAGCGAACAGAAGAACGACCAAAAGAACCAGCAGCTCAAATGGAATTACGTCGGCAGCAGAGGAGAAGATCAGTATGAATGAAGACGGCGCAGCTGTAATTTCTAGACCGACCACCTCCCCGATAGGGCGGGAAAATAATTGCAAAAGAGCTACCTCCTGCCTACAAGCCGCTGAAGATTTGGCTGTAACAAGGTCGTCGTCGTGTTCATCTTCATCATCTTCATCCCCTACTTTGAGTGGTCCTCGTGTGCATCATGAGGGGCCGCACCATCGCGGTGCTGTGGCTCCTGCCGGAGAGTCGAGCAGCTGCGGCTTATTTTCAGTGAAACAAGAAGAACGCGATCGCGGAGCAGCTGCTGCACCTACCCAAGGTTATGAGACAAGTATCACGGGAAATAAAAGTTTTACCTCCGCGTCTGAGCAGCAGCAGCATGGCGTGCTGCCGAGTGCCGTAAATCGACGAACTTCCGTGCACTGCTACAATCGGCGGGCGGAGAGTAACCGGAACGATCGGTCGGGTTGCTGTGAAAAATCATTCTACTCTAGTGGTACAACTACAACTTCAGCCTCCATAACTCCAGAAGGACGGCGCGACCAAAGCTGCAGCTCCGCTACGTCATCAAAAACAGCATCTCGTCCCCAGGACGATGGCGTTGAGGATTATTTTCATCATACCGCTGGAGCTACTAGTCTGCTGCCAGGACAAGTGCTCGGGTCGACTTCCCCCGTAAGTCTGATATTAAGTGGGAATGATCAACAAGCTCAAGAACAGAAACATCTTGTACATGCGGCGGTGGAAAGTAGCACGCCGATAAAAAACAGTAACAGCGACTCGTCGACTGAAGTTTGTAGTGCGAAGACGACAACAGGCGGCCAAGTTTCATCGAGGTCGGAGGTTTCTACTCCGTGGTCCACGGGATCGTCACCTGTGTCGGAAGATCGCAGCTGCGGGGCTTGTCCTCGGACAGCTGCACTGCAGTCTACCTCTACGGAGAGCAGCTGCATCAACCGCAGCAGTTCTTCGCGCAGCAGAGGTGAGGGCCCGCTGTTGACTGGGTCGCTTGTTCTGGACGACCTGGCCGACGATGTCGAGATGAGGGGCAGCAGTTGTAGTACAATTGTAGCAAGAACTGGGGCAGGGGACCAGGATCACGACCACCGCGAGGAAGACTTGCACCGCATTGACCTCGACCAGCGCAGGCAAACTTTTGCGGAGAGCATGCAGCAGCGGCCCGACTTTCAGCTCTCGCTGATTCACCTCACCGCACAGGGGAAGAACATGGCGAAGTTTCCGCCGCGGTCGGGGCACGATCCCTTCCGTCGGGGCTGGATGTACGCACTGAAGGAACCGACATTTCGCAAGCGGATAGATGCTTTGTTCGAGAAGTTCATGCGGGAAGTGATCAAGCCGCGGTTGAAAGAGCAGTACAGGGAGTATTTGCTGGACTGTCTGGCCCAGAACCGAAAGCCGGAATGCGGGTCGTGGGAACGAGGAGGCCGCGGAACAAGGAACGAGGAGGCAATGATGGTACAACTAGAGGGGGATCATGACTCCAGTTGCGCTCCGGAAACCGCACCGGTTATTTCAGCCGCAGCCCGGGAAAGAAGCACAACTGCAGCATCGGAGCAGCAGGAGCAGATGATCGCGCAGCTTTTGGAGGACTTCAAAGTTTTTTACCAGTACGAACCCTCCCTGCGGGCGCACGTGAAGGACGTGAAGCCGCTGGGGATTCCGCACACGGACGCGGATTACTACCACCAACCCGGGGAAATCAACTTCTGGTGGCCCGTGAGCCACCGGGTGTTCGCGTCCAACAGCCTGTTCGCGGAGTCGCAGCCGGGCCGGAAGGATTTCGCGCCGTTTTGCTGCGGGTACGGCGAGGTGGTGCAGTTTTACGGAAACCAAAACCTGCACTTCACCAAGCTGAACGAGACGGAATTTTCCCGCGTATCCCTGGACCTCCGGGTGGTGCCCTCCTTCCTCTACTGCGACACGTGGAAGAAGGCCGACGGGAAAGTCTCCTTCTCCAACGGCGGCTACTACAGGATGATGTGAGCTGCAGCAGCTTGTTCACAGAAAAGGTCCCTTCAAATGACTTGGCGAAATTAGGAGATGAAAACATGTTTATCATACAGTAAATTCACTCGTCTCGCCCGCACGACCTGCCTCGAGACTGCTTTTTACAAAACGGTTTCATAGCCGAGTTATCTTGTGAAAAAACTGCCGACGGAGTGTGATATCTTTTTGTGACACACAAAAGTGTTCGCTCGGAAGAAGAACGGAGCAGTTTTTCATTTTCTTTTTTGTGTTTGCGGATGTCCAATATGATGGATCTATCCTCTGAGATCATGATGCGCTTTCAGATGGTTGCAGTTCCTGTTCAGTGGTAAGATGAGGCAAACGTCGCGCGTAGGGAAACTTGTTTTTGATTATTCTTGCATTCAAGTATCTCGATCTTGATCGTTCTGTGCCTTGGTTCAGGTTTTCGCTGCATATAGAAATCTCTTTTTATTGCCAAATCGTCTTCGCATTCTTGACAGTTGTGGCGCTTCTTGATTTGCACGGTCAAACATCTTCCGGCACTTGACTGCAGAAGCATTTCCCTTCGCCGCTCGCTACCACTACAGAAGCAAGAAACTATGACCAACTGCAAGCGGCAAAAGATGGCGGAGCACTTGCTAAGAGAAGTGCAACCTGGCAGCGCTGCAGCTACAGCCGAGGTAGTCGATACCGAAACAAGCTTGCAGTGCAAGAAAGCCTATGGTACTAGCAGTACCGAAGAACGCAGAAACATGGACGGAAAAAACCGCCTCCTCCTCGATAACGACGAGCTTCTTGCGTTGATACACCGGGCGGAGTGGGAGAAGAACCGGTTGCGCAAACCCGAGGGGTCGCAGTTTCGTGTGGTTTGCTTGGTCCGGTATTTTCCGTCCAAAGGAGCACGTTCTGCGGGGGACGGGGACTCGGTGCAAGAGACTGCCGCCGGTTCTCTGGAGCCCGATTCCCGATGCTTCGATAGTACGGCACAAATTGCCGTCGGGGCCAACATGGAATCCACCGGGCTGTGCTCCGGGGTCTGTGCGGAGCGGGTCGCTCTCACGCATTTGCGAACCGTGGACCAAGACGCGGATGTGCAGCAGTTGGTAATCCTGACCGACAGCCCCGACTTCATCGCCCCGGGGGCGATGTGCCGCGAGTTCATGGCGGAGCATTTTGGCATTTACGAGAAAAGGGTTCCCATCTACCTCGTGGCCTCAAAAGGGGAGGTTAGTAAAAATGGGGCGAGTTCTTGTGATTCCGCAGTGCTTGACGCTGATGCAGATCCAGACAATGTTCGGGTTGTAGATGACCACACGACAAGCTGTACTAGAACGAACACTTCCTGGCGGCACACGGTTTGTTTTATGCAGGACCTGTGGCGGTTCCGGTGCTGTTTCATCGGCCAGAAGCGGGACGACTGCGAAGCCTTCGGGGGGGAGGTCAGCAAGTGTTGCGAGCCGGTCGTCCAGCGGGAGAGCAACAATGCGGAGCTAGATATGGATGTTCTGTCGCCGGATCAAGCACGAGCACGCACCTCTCCCCTCCCCCACGCCGAGAGCTTTCGTGCCCTCTACGAACGCATCCGTGAGAAGCATCGCGAGATCGCGGCGCAGCGCCAGGGAAAGCCGCATTACCACCCGCTCTTTTTGGTCGCAGGAGCGATGACCTTGAGCAGGCGGAAAACCTTCCTCGCCGCACAAACGCAGAGCATCGAATACCCCGGAAGTGGTATGCCCGGTGTGAAAAGAACGTCGTGCAGGAGAACCCGTAGTCAAGATCACTATTTGGCTTCTCGTGCAAGACAGATCTTTCTAGAAGGTTTGCTTAGGATCTTGTTCCGAGGTGACAACTCTGGACACGCTCACGCAGTGTAAGGTGGTCTCTGCTTGGTCAATGTCAAACTTGCATCACTAATTCATTTTCTCAACTTTCCGATTGGAACCAGTTGAACTGAACTGCTCTCGCAATACCATATGCAAGTACGATGATGAGAACGACTTCTAGGAAACCTTCTCGTTGGGCGGAATTCGACGATGAAGTTTTACGCCGTTTTTGTGACTCTTGCTCGCTGATGCAATGTTGTGTATGACAAATAATCTATTGGGGTGAACTACTGCGCGACATTTTGGAATGGGATAGACGTAGACGCGGTGTCGAAGGTACTAGTTTTTTTGGAGAAGGAACAGGAGGACCTTCAGCTGGCATCGGTCGCCGGGGATGAAAACAAGAGCGTAGTAGAAAATAACGACGTTCTTGCGGCGCACCACAAGTTCACTTGTACAACCACGAGACGACTTGACCAGCCCGAGGCGCCAGTATTGATTCTGCTCGTCGACCAATTTGGAATCTGTCACGCGCCCGCCGCACCGGCACGGGCGTACTTCGCGGAGCAGGGGAATTTCGAATTCGTGCACACACTTGTCCATGACATTCCGTTGCCGATCCGCACCGAGTGCGAAGAACGTTCGGCCTCCTTGTCCGGTTCCGACGACGTTCAAAAAGCCCCACGATTCACGTTCCCCTTGGTACACTGTGAAATGAAAAATCTGTACGACGCGACCAGTTGCATTATCGATTGGAAGGTTCTATAAAGAGAGAGAGAGAGAGGAAGTACAAGTACCTACGTCAGACAGATACACAGGCCGTGAATGTGGTCCTCTTGTTCGTTATTTTCACTTTGTCAGAAGATTGCCGTTCCTGTCGTAGTTTCTGTAGTATTTTTGTTCCAATGACTGCATGACAAACAGCACGCGTCGTCGTGTGGGGAGGTCATCGTCAGAAAGAAGCAGACTGTGGCGCGTTTCTGTTATTCGTATCTTCGAGAGCGTGAAATCTTCGAGCAGAGATGCGGAATATAGTAGATAGCACTTTCAATCGCGTGTGCGTGATGAACAGGGCATGGTTGATGGGAAGGCTCGCGCAATCTTCATCGATGATCTGACCGCTCAGGCTTCGACAGAGGAAGTGGAACGAGAGAGATTTGATGACGTTAATGGCAATGCAGTTCAGGAGTTCCGCACTACCTACCATTGTCTGTTTTACTAGCAGAAAGACCCCTTCATTCTTGCGAGTCTCGGCAGCTAGAACTTTTTCGACACAGTAAAACTGACGGCATCGTTGCTATCTTCTGTCTTGAAGCTCGTGAGTGGTAGTAGTTTGGCGGTGCACTTCATCATTTCTTCGAACCTAGTGAAAGTGATGCTCTTTCGCAACAGGTAGTAGTTGCCCTCGGGAATAATTTAACACCACAATAATTTTACATTCGGTCCATCTAGAGGCCCCCAACCCAGGAGAGATCGCACGATGCATCGCCTTCGTAGCAGTTGCAGCTTCGTGGTCGCTTGTGTCGTAGCAGCGACGTTCCCACTATGCAGCCGCGGCCAGGAGTGGAAAGACAACTTGTTCGCGGCTTCCGACGCCCAGCTCTCCGACATTCGGGATATGTATCAAACAGGAAAACCCTACTCCCCCGACACGTGTCTGTACCGTGAACAATAGGCGCTTGATGTTTTGCATGATTCGTCACCACAAATCAACTTGCGAAGAACATTAACATATGGTGAAGCTTAGAAGGGAGATTTCGAAACGGAATAGATTTCTTGCAGTGGTTCTCTACTAGGTCGTGTGACGCACCATGCCGAAAGTAGAGAACAGGAAAAATTGATGCCCACGCAATCTACGACAAGTATTGTCCCGCTTCTTCGCTGGTAGCTTTGCCTTCTTGCAATCATGCAACTCGGTGGACTGGTGCACTACAAGAACAGAGCCACTCAACTCGGGCACTATGATTTTTTTTTGAGGTTGTACTTATGGTGCGTAGGCCTAGGAGGGATTTTCATTTTTCCACCGGATAGAACGCTGCTGGGCCACAGTGTGGATGGGGAAATTAAGGACTCGCTGAAAGAGGCCACCGCGCTGGTGCTGCAGCAGAAGGGCGCGGAGCTGGCCCACGCGGTATCCATGTACGTGGAGGACATGAAAGAATTGGAATCGGTCCGGAAATATCGAATGCAAAAATGTCTGGGTCTGGAATGTTGCCGGGTTTGTCATGCATATTTTGCATGACCCAGGATGTCTGTAATGCATGACCTAGCATGACAGATTTTTAGAGGGCTTCCTGATGCCTAATCCGCATGACAAATGCCCTCCGCGCGTAGCACAAACTAGACTCCTCTTGCTGATCATGCAATACAGATTTTTTTAGAGGCCAGAGTTAGCATCACATTCCAGACCCAGACACTTTTGCATTTGATAGGAAAAACCTACTGCAGGCCTTGGGGAAGGAGCTTCCGGAGAATTCCCCGCTGCATGAGGCCGTGGACCAGTGGGCGGAGCTCGTACACGACGCGGTGCTGAAAAAGTACAATGCGAACCCAGCGCGAGCGGGGTCCGGTAATAATTGAATTTTGCATAATTGTTTTTTTCAAATTCGAATGGCAAGTATGCGGGAAGTCGATTTTGTGTAGTCCACCACGAATGAATGGGATTGCACCACGTGAGAACATCGTGCTCGTGGTGGTTTTTTTACCGCGGACAACCCGCATAGTTGCAATTTAAAAGGAGACGCAGGCACTACCAGTGTCACCTATCACGGTTGCTCCTGATTCACTACATGCATAAAGAAAAAGATCTTCATGCTGTTACTTAATGCAGGACGACGAATTATATCAACTGAGGAATAGGAAAGCAGCGCGGCTGCATTTGAGGATGGATCATGTTTTCATTTTCATTTTCTCGCATTGTTTCAACAGACGCTGTCCACCAGGCGGAAACCAGTGGCAACGTGTACCAGCTCCAAGCGAAAAACGCGGCCCAAAACAGCGAGGCGTTCAGCGGCGGAGGAGAGGAAGCCGCTATCAAAGTGAAAACAAGTGCCCCTCTTCCAGAAGACCGAAGAGTTTGCGTCGCAAACGTTCCACATGAAAGCTTTTTGTATCGCAGAAATACGAATACATAGGAATACGACCTATTTTGTTGCACAATGTGACTCAGTTTTTGAACATAACGCGACAGATCTCGTGTGCAATGCGGTGCTGTACAGTGCAGATTCTTGGTATAATAAAGTCTGGCCCGAAAATTTGACATGCTGATAGATACACGGATGCAAATTATGCAAATGAGATTCGACATGGACGACACTATCTGGGGCCGGGGCACTTTTCAAGACGATAGCCACTGCGTCGGCGGTTGAGGTGAAGGGCGACTCAAGTACGAAAATGGATGGTCGTGACCGCACGACAGCAGCGGCTGTTCCTGCTGCTGGTGGAGAAAAAGCGGGAACCGCCTCTATGCGCGATGGTCATAGCGCAGCGCCACCACCACCACCACCACCAGCTGCCTCCACTCCGCCTGTGGACGACGCGCAGCACTCCGCAGCAGGCGCGGCATTGTCCTCTGAAAGAGGTGTGGTAGTTTCCGGGGCCGCTCTAGGGAAAGAACAAGAAGCGCCTGCTGATGCTGCACGAGCTGGTGCAGTTTTGTCGACGACCGGCGGTGGAGGCAAGAGAGCAGCATCCACGTCGACCTCATTCACGGAAGAAGGAAGTGAGGCCCGACCACCGCAAGCGTCAAACGGCGCAGAACAGAACGCGGAGAACAAGTCCTACCTGGCTTCCGCGCTGTCGTTTCTGCAGGAACAAGTTGTGACTGGATACAACAGTGCGAGGACCGTGGAGCAGGAAGTCGGGGCCACCGCGACGCCGGAAGAAGAACAGCTCCAGAAACGACCGAAGCGCCAAAGGATGTTGCGGCGGTGGGATGATTGAGAGGGACGAAGGAAAAGTTGTTTCGCCGAGCTGGATGAATTGTTGCATTTTGCTACAGAAGTTTAGATATGATTCTGTTCGTGTTTCTGCAGAAATAATGAAAAATAACTAGAAAAGTGAGCCATCCCATTTGGGGCCGAGAGCTACGCCAGAGAAGAGGCTATTGAAGATATCAAAAGAGTGACTTTATTGTATGATGATGCAAATAAAAACCACCCCGTTACTGACTCTGTGTATGGACATTCAATGTAGCAAATCAATGGACACAGGTTCTTTAGCCAGACTAGGCTCAGCATACCGGGCGACACCAGAAAGTTGCGCCGTTGCTGGCTATTTTTGTGTACTTACTATAGAAAAATTGAAAGCTCAAGGACTGACAGGACAGCAAAACTTGTGTCGCAACTGCTGGTGAAGCGAAAGTGTCCGTCTTCTTGGTACCGGGTGGAACTCCAAGAATGGGACACGAGCACGACCCGAGGTGTTAATTTCAATAAATCAGCTGGCTGCCTCCCTGCCCGTTTTCTCCGCGCAATCAGGTACCACGTCTAAAAAAGGCAGCGCTATGTATCCAGCTTAGCGGGTGTGAAGGGCACTCCGCACCTCGTCCGGAAAAAATACTCAGAAAGATCTTGGATATCTTTATTCCGATCTTGATCGGATGTAATGATCGTGTGCACTACGATGAAGATGCGTCGTTGAACTCGTGGATGTCAAAAATCGGACATGTACGGCTGTGAAAACGAAAAGATCGCAAGGGAGATGAGGACCGTTGTTTGTCACATCGATGGTCAGGCTATCGTCATACCTTCATCGTAGGGAGACATCGTCACCATGACTTATCGTCACCTGAACATATCGCCGCCTAAGACGGTTTCATACGTAATCTCTTCGTTACACATCCATCGTCGTCATACGTAATCAATCTTCGAACGACAAGCACAAGGATGCTTATAATGTGGATCACGAACAGCCGACGCCTTTGAGAGCAGTTCGTATAAAATATGGTTACTCACAAAAGGACTCATCCTCATTATCTTGAAAACAAATTTCAGTAGCAAGAAAACGCTTTTGCTTCAGAAGCTTTTTTTTTCTCTGGCGGAGATACTGAACAAGTATGAGTAGCACGGTGCAACACGACGGCGCTTGAAACAATCTTGGCCACGCATTGTCGCTGTTGAGTCATCACGCATCTATTGTCGTGGTAGGCCCACTCTAGCACCAAGCGCTTGCGCGTTTGCCGAAGATCCGTCAGCTTACATAGCAGACGCGTGAGTTTCGCTCCCAAGCGAGTGCCGGAAAAACAGAGCAGAAACGGAGCAGAGTCTTCTTCTTTTTCTTCTTCTTCTTCTTACTTCGCGCGGTGAGACCGCGGACCACTTTACGTGAAAGGCTCTGGCGCACGGCAAAGAGGCACAGAGGCGCGCGTCACATCGGAACTTCGGGAGGCCGTCCTGTCCGCCTCCAGCACCTCGTAGTCGTGGAGGAGTTGCACGACAACTGGCGCCGGGAACATTTTTCTCTTCGTGATCGATTACTTCCACTTAGGCAGGACAAGAGAAGAGCTGAATCGGGCCGCAACCACTTTTAGTACTTTATTCGTTTTCTTGTTTTTTTTTGCGTCAGAAGATTTAGATCTAGTTAATCGATAAGTTGAGCCACGCCGTCGCCGCGGATGTCTTTCGACAGCGACTGGTTGGTTGCACATGCCAGCTACAAGGATGCTTATAGGTCTCTTAAGCATCGGCCGTCGCGCCTCTGCCGACGGATCGTTGTGGGAGGGGGATTGGGAGTGGCTCTGACTGTGTTGGTGTTCATTGATGTCACTGTATCATGATGTCTGGGCTCGTGAATTTTCGATCTGAATTTTCACCCAATCAATAACAGGCACGAGGAGGATTGCAAGGGTCTTCGAGCATATCAGAGAAAAGAGCGCCAGCCTCAGCGTTAACGGGATTTGTGACGGAAGAATGTATGCAAAGACAATGACTATGCCTTCCGTAGCATGCATGAAGACAGGTAAAAGCAATCTGAATCTGTGAAAATAAACCGTTATCGTATAGCACTTTTCTGGTTGATAGAGCGCGGCGGAGCCACAACAATTTTACCGTGGGCGGTTTCTTCGCTTGATTGACTCGGCAGGACCGCCAGGAAAGAGCAACGAACCAACAGGGTTGCAGAACCAGAGCACACCACATCGGGAGCTGGATAGTGGTATCTTGAGTAAAGGCACTAAGTGATTTTATGTCTGTAGGCACTAGGTTCGAATTTTGATGTTTTTTTTCTGTAGTCAGCATGTGCATCTCGCGTAGGCAGTTTTTGGAGGATTGAATAAGATCGCACATAGTCTGGAATTGAGGCGACTGCTCCTTAATGTCCATGTTCATTTCTCTACACCAGGCACGACGATCCTTGGTTGCCAGAATATCGTCCTCGAGTCCGACGTTAAAAGGGCTGCGGAGAAGATGGCGTCTGAGAACAGTACTTCGCGCAGCGCTTCTTCTGTTGCCGGTAACCGCAGTGCGTTCGCTTCTCCTCGGTTCCTCCGTGCTGTTAGATCTTCTTCGACAGCCACCACAACGCCGATGTACTTTTTTACACTTTCTCCTGTCGCGTTGGCATGGATGTTCTATGTCGTGGTGCCGGTGTTGTGCCGACTCGGTGAGGGGGATGATAAGAGTGCGGTAACGTCGGCTGCGGCGGAACCGCGGCGCCACGTCGCGCCCCCGAGGGTGCTGATCACCGACTACGCGGAAGATGAGTTCTCCGACGAGGTCGCAGCGGGCACGATGTTTCTGGACGAGGAGGAGAGTGCAGCTTTGCCCCGGGATGACCTTCCGCTACATGATGGTGCGCCGGGAGGTAGTTCCACGGCTGCGACCACGAGGACCGTGACGCCAGCGCCCGCTGTTCTAGCGGTGAGTGACACCGGCGTGACGGAAGAAGTAGAACCCACCTCCGCTGGTCAGGCGGGCGGGGGGGGGGGGGGGGGGGGGCAGGAGGAGTCTAACGGCGAACAAGAACGCGGGCAATACGAAGTGGCACTGGCCGCGAATCTGATGAATACAACANAACGGCGAACAAGAACGCGGGCAATACGAAGTGGCACTGGCCGCGAATCTGATGAATACAACAGCGACACAAAACGTGACAAACGATGAGACGGTAGCGCTCCTCCTCGAGGACATGTGCGACCTGGGCGTGGCAGACAATATGTACGCGCACGACAAGAATCGCGACTTCGTGCTCGACCCGAGGACGGGGGAAAGTCCGCCGATGTGTCCGCTCGCAACGCTAGACTTGGACGGAAACGGTGTTGTGGACGTCGTTGAGTACACGAAGTTCTGCAAGCATCAAGAGAGCGCGGGACGCGACGTGTTTCCCCAGGAATCTTCTGACCGGTATGGAGCGAGAGGAAGCACAACCTCGTCCGCGAACGACACGACAGGAGCTCCTGCTGCGTCCTCGGCCCTGGTACAAGTTGCAGTGCGACCACCCAGGAGGAAAAAGGATGCAGAGGACTCATCGTGGTGGTCGTGCTGTTGTAATTCAGCAAGCAGCGAGGAGGAAATCGAAATGGAGATTGAGGAAACGCGTCCTCCTGGCTTTCGTCGTCCTCCAGGCTGGACTCCTCCCAGCAGCGGTGGTGTCATTACAACCGGACGCGCGTTCAAGGTAGACGACTTTGAAATTACCGATTGTACCGGAAGAAGGAGAAGGTTCGACTGTGCCGGTGTGAGACCCGCCTTGGATACGGAAACAGGACGTTTTGGGGTCGCAGCGGGCAACGATGGATTTTGGGGAATGCTGGGCACGGCAAGAGACGAAAAAGCGCAAGGGAACAGAGTAACGGGCGCCATGTATCAAAATGCACATGACGGAATTGTGAACCGCGTCGGAGGGAATGCAGCTGCAAGAGATCGTTTCACGAGAGACCGCGAAGGTAATCCACGTTCGCGCCCGTTTATCCCTTACACGGCTGTTACTCGTCGCAGCGGATGGAAGGAAGACAAAGAAAAAGCGCGCTGGCAAGACTGGCTTCTGCGGCAAACGCAACCAACAGTGCATGCAACGGTGGCAAGCACGAGGCAGACGTTTCCGATAGGTGACCGCGATAATGACGACAGCGAGGAGAGTACGTCGACCCAAGGAACAACCGGGACGGGGGGTGGGTGGCGGTTTTGGCGGAGTTCCTTCGTGCAGTTTTCGGCTGATGATCGAGACCGGAGAGCGACGGTTCCCGCTTCTTCTGCCGGGTTACCAGAACTGCTGGTGAGCGAAACTCGAGGGGAGAGTGCAGATGCTATCGCTCCTTACGAAGGTGAATTTGGAACCAGCAGCACGGAGTTCCTTGGCCAGACCGCCGAACAAGCGGAAACGCCGTCAATTGCAACTGCGGCCGTCACTGACGCAGAAACTGCACCTGCTGTTTCGGCCGTAGAGCTGAGGGGCGAGGAAATTGGCCGGATGGAGGAGATCGGGACCGCTGCAGTGCCTGTTTCTCCAACACCTTCGTCCAGTACATCGCTTTCCACCGCCAACTACCCGTCTGCAGCGGCGCTCACCAGCGATCTCGCTGAGCAGAGAGAGCAAGACGAGTATGACGGTGCCGGGGGCGCGCTTTGGCTGGACGCTCTCCGACCTGAGGAGAATGGACGAGCCTACACTGCTTCTCCCACGACCCCGTTGCTGTCGGAGTCGACCTCGGGGGCTTCCCATATCCTGTGTAGAAGCGTCCCCACCCCAGAGTTGTAATGCTGATTTGCATCTACAGAAACATGCGCACCCCCAGCACGAAAAGCATTTCTTTTTGTGTTTTGGTATTGATAACGATAAGACTGTAAACAGGATAAGCCGATGGATTTCGTATGTTTATTTTCTTGCTAAACTGAACTACACTACATCGAGAAGCTTGTCTGTTTATACGGAGAGTTGCAGCCGCACAGTTTGTTCATACAGAGAGAAGCTTGTCATGCGTTGGCGCAGATGCACAGTCTGTGTATGTCATGCGTGACTCCCAAAGGCAAAGTCTGCAGATTTGTGTTGTAGAAAAATTGCCAACTCGGGTGCGGACGTTTTTGCTCAGGATATTGCAATCGGTTTCGCCATCCTCCATGGGGCATGTCGGAGTGTCTGCTGGCAGCACTGTCTGAGCCAGTGCAAAAGCAGGGCAGTAGTTGTAGTTCTGTATCGTTTTGACGCCGAGTACCCTGCTCGGATGTGGAACATTTCTTCTACTCAGCTAGGAAGAATTGATAAAGTAAAGATAAGTTTTTGACAGGACGAGAAGCCTCACTTGATCTGATGGTTGTACCTTCATTCTATCTTCCTCGACACCTTCCTCCATTTCTTGAGGCTATTTCAAACGATGATCTCATCTTACCTGAGAGAAAGAAATAATGCATTACGGTCGAAGCTGCAGGCGTGGCTGTGGGTGTGGGTATTAAAAAGGGCCAGCCTACTCTGCCTCTGTCAGCCTTCGGTTGAGACATTACCGGTAGGGCGAAAGACCTGAAAAAAATACCAATAAAGGCGCTGCCCAGATATTTCCTTACAAGAAAAGCGCGCGTCGATGTTTCTCGTCCAAATTAATATGTAAATAAAAAAACAATATTATCAATGACCTGCGTTGTTTCCTTCCTTTAAGACACCGTGTATGATTATTTTGAATATTTAAGTGCACTAAGATAAGCTAAGACGTATCTGACGGATTCATTTGATCGGCTCGACCGGACTGAAGGTTTGTTAATGTATTTGATGCAACTTTCTGCTTTTTCCACTTCCACAACAGGTTTTTACTGAAAAATGCGTCGCAGGACTTACAACAGATTGATAGGTAGAGGAGAAATTGCGAGTGCCCGCGACCGCACGTAAGACTTCGGCGGTTGGGCGAAGTGATGTCGCGAAGGTAAGATCCGTGGGTTGTGCGAAACGATAAAGTTCAATTTTTTTGACAGCGTGCCGAGACCGGAAGACTATGCCAGGATGGTTTGTTCTTGCGGATATTGCTCCCTTTTCGGAAACTGCGGCTCGTTGCTGAGCCGAATCTATCAAAGAAAAGATCCTTCCAGCGTAGCCATCACGCACAAGAAAGCGATAAGCAAGACACAGAAAGCGCACCGAGTCGTGATCTCTACTTTGCGGGATCTTGCCGCGCGCGGATCTGCGAAGAAAATGATCGATCAAACTGCTCTGTTTTTATCGCGCTTTTGCCCTTCAGTTAATTTGCAAGAAATTGGTCCATGTATATGATCCTCCAGCAGTGGGTAGAGAACTAGATCGACGCGCTTAATCCCGGTGCAGGGACCAAGTCGATCGAATCGGGGTATAGCTGTGTCGAAGTTTCATGCAGAAGTCGTGGTTCCGCTTCCGCCTACTTCGCTTAGTGTAGACAGAAACACGGTGATACAAGTACAGGTAGGATAACATTGTAGTAGGTACGTGAAGTGTGGATTCACAAGCAACAGCGATGACAGTAATAGCACTAGAGTATGATCTAACGAGCGACAACACGAAGTACTGCTTTTGTTGTATCTTATTTCCCTAACAGTGCTATCATATCATATTGGCCACAATTAAAGGATGCTTTCGATTTCTTGCCTCTTACCCTTGTTACTACACGACTTCTATTATCATCCGTTCGTTGAGGAAAAAGCTTTTGTATAATCACAACTTTTTTCGCTCGGCCGCCCATCAAAAAGTTTAGAGGCTTTTCTCGCCAGCAATGTCTTACAGAGGCGGCGACGAAGTTGCAATGGGTGCTGGAACAACGCCCACCTACCAAGGGACCACGGTGAAAACGTTTTGTACTGACGAGACAGCCGGGCCGGCGGACGATCGTATCGATGTTACCTTCTCCGTGGAGATCTCCAACGAAATGAGCCCGGAAGTGGCTTCTACCACGAAGAGTGATTTATCCAAAGCGGGCCCGCCCCTGGTGGGAAGGGAAGTCGTGACAGGGGCCTTGTGCCCAGATGCGCTACTAGAAGTAGACGCATCGAATCGCGCAAACTAAGCGGCAATACGCCGCTGCTCCTGGCGAGTGAAGAAGGGCGGCGCCCGCAATCCTGCGCGCGATCCCCCTACCCCTGGTGGGTGTTCTCTTCTTGAAGAAGAGCCCCGCTCTGGAAGCGGGCGAGCCTTGCAGGCTCCTGGTGAGCAGGCGAGGCGCCTCGCCGTCTCTTTTGGGTGAGATGGTTGTGGGGCTTCGGCCGGCTTAACCTGAACAGCCCAGCGCCACACCCTGCCCGACCACTCCGAGGAAGGCCCTCGGGTGTGTTGCCGCGTCGTGTGCAAAGAGGCCCGGCATGGTGTGTCCCTCTCGGCCTTCGGCCGAATTAGTGGGCACGCTCGCACCGCCGTAAGCCCTAGCGCCCTACGCCGCGCGCAGCAGCTTGCGGCACTTCCCGGGGATGGAAGGAAGCGGTGGGGCCTGCGCTATTCGGGAAAGCCGCGGCGGGCACCCCCAGCCCCCTGGCGGGGCCGGCGCCGCCCTTCTTGACGAAGGGCGCCCGCCCGCGCGCGCGCCGCCCATGGCGGAGAAGGGCCGCGCCCTTCCCGCACAGATAGTGTCCGGCCTAAAGTCAGACGACAATTAAAGGACGCGCCCAGGTAGCGCGAATCGGGATCCTTTCGCCGTAGTATAATCAATCTGTGTTGCCCACCTGGTGTGCGCCCTCTGATTCATTGGTGCTACTATACGGAACGAGTGCAAGAGCCGGTCTGCCAAGGCCACAAACCTCCAGCGCGCTGTTCTCCTCCAGCTCTCGCCACTTGATGTGGCGACTGCGTAGGAGGGTTACGTTTCGCCGGGCCTCCACAGCCTCGCTGTCCGGCGGGTTGCTGCAAGTATAGCAGGGCTAAAGAGCGGGCGCCGCGTCTGTTTGAAACAAGAGCGGATCAAATACAATACAATTTATCCAAAGCGGCGTCGAATGACTCGCACAGAAATGGTGGGACGAGCACAGAGCAGAATTTGGAGTTAAATTGTCGTTCCCCAGCTTCTCTCTCGTCCAGTCCAGCCCTTGCTGAGACGCGGCCCACTTGTTCTACCACCAGCGACGCTCGAACTACGCCGGCAGGGAGGTCGTCTTCACCACCGCCGTCGATTCTTGGAACGCCGGCGAGCGAGCCGGGGGCTCAGGATTCTCTTCCGACGGCCTCTACCGTGGCTAAAAGTCCTCTTTCAGTGAGGACTTCTTCTTGTATCCAAGGAAAAAAGTGTTAGTATCTACAGTTACGCATTTATTGATATAAAAATTCGTGCGACGTTCTAGAGTACTAGAACCGAAACTAGCCCGGCATGACAAAGAAAAACTAGAAGAGTGCGGAGATCATATAGGTAAAGTGACACGCATGAAACTCGAGATGTGGTGGAAGCATTTCCGGTGTGGCAGAGGTTGTCTTCCTACTTGTGTGGCCCGAGATAAGAAAATGTGCATACTAGAGCTCTTTTTTCCAACCGGGATAAGGGCCTCGACGAAGATGACAGCATCCCGAGTGCCGATTCAGGGCCGGTTCTACCGGTTTTATAACGCGGACTTGGTGGATTGCCCCGTCTGCTACAGCCGTAAACTGGTGTCCGTCGACTACCTGTGCGGGCACTCGTTCTGCTACGAGTGCGCGGCCTGCTGGAGCTACGAGGCGCCCAAAACGGGGTTCGTGTCCTATTGCAAGGAAAAATCCTCCCTCCCCATACTGAAAAGGTATATTTTTGGAAATTTGTAATGCTGATTTGTGACCACAAATCGTGTCTGTCTCGCAAGGAGGCAACTCCGCAGGTTCCGCCGCATTGTGCAGGCGGTTTGTCATGCTGTTCGGCCTACAGCGCGGACGTATTTCGTGCTAAGCGCCTAAGCCAAAGCCCCGCTACTCACGCTTGGTATGGGCCTTCAGTGCCCTCCAGCAAGACGCCTCGGATTTGTGTACGCAAGTCCAGCGTCACAAGTTTCCTTTTCGATATGGGGTGGGGGGTTTTTTCCTTTTCATATGACCTGCCCCACGTGCCGGGCTGAGATGCCGGGCGCCCGGGTCAAGTTTGGGCTGGCGGACTACTGCCACACGGTGCAGGACCTCCGGCAAGTCCTGGACACGCTGCCCCCGCAGGTGTTGCAGCAGTCCACCTGCAGCAGCAAGCAGGAGTGGCTCGGGGAGCAGATCCTGGACTTGATTCACACGGGCGACGTGGAGGTGGTGAAGCAGGTCGTCGAGTTGTACGGCGCCTCCTTTCTGAAACACAACGAGGCGACCAAGATGCACTCGGTGAGCGTGTTGCTCCCGGCCGTGGGGGACGGGCACGTGGAGCTGGTTCGCTACCTGCTGGGGCCCGAGGTGCAGTGCGATCCAAATTTGGGAATGTTCGCCGGGCGAAAGAGGCCGTCTAGTCTACTTCGGGGGGCCGAGGAGATCGGTGGCAACCAGACGCGACAGGAGGCGTCAGCTTCAACTACTACTTCCGGGCCAAGGCACGGCCTAACGAGTGCTGCAACTTCAACTGCAGCAGGAAGTACAATTCGGGGGCCAGCAGCACCAGCGCCCGGTGCCCCCGCCGGCACCAGTACTAATTCTAATGCCGGAGGATCAAGTGCACGCGGCCGGGGCGGGCCCGGGGCTGGAAGTTCTTTGACCACGACGGGTCCGAGCGCCACAGCCGGTGTTATTTCCTTGTCAGGAAACAACGGAACCGCGGATCAAGGAGGCGAACGACCTCCTGTTTCGTTCGATCCCACGCCGGCCTTTCCGCTGTGGCAGGCGCGGAAGCCGGTGATTTGCAACCTGCTGCTGAACTATGGCGCGAACCCGAACCTGCGGAACTGCAACGGGGCGCAACTGCTGCACTGGCTCGCGTGGAACGCCACCGGACTGGACTTGCAAGTTCTGGCGCACCTGAAGGCGCTCCTGTTTCCGTACGAAGTAGAAGGCGAGAGCTGCAGTCACCTGTCGAGCAGGAGCAGCAACGACCCCGTGGTCGTCGAACAGGGACCAGATTCTGACGCGAATGCAACATCACCAACAGCTGCAAAAAGAAATCCAGCCTGTGCTTCTAGAAGTGGGGACGAAAAACAAGATGCTGAACAACAGGTATCAATAGCTGATTCATCTTCTGCGACGGAAGAACAAAGGGACTCCACCCCCCCTGGCCAGGATCATGTTGTGGCACAACCACAGGACCAACAGCGGGCTCACCAGCAACCCGGCTCGTCGGGCGGAGGAACAACAGCAACGCAGTCCGTTGCACGCGGAGCGGAACACCAGCCCGGGCCCGCGGAAATGAAAGTGAACAATAACATCCACAGTGTGGATTTGAACGGGCTGAGCCACGAACTTTCTGCCCAGGGCCAGGTGTTCGACACGAATTTTCTGCAGCTGCTCCTCTGGCGCACGGAGTCGAAGCCGCGGAAGCCCTCCGAGGCGAACCAGGTGGCGGGCCCGTCGCGGGAGTTCCTGTTTAAGGTGATTGACCTGGTGCACAAGAAGGGGGGGTTCGACTGGAACTACGCGGGCGGCGTGGCGCTGCTGGAACCAAGGAAGTGCTTCTATTACTGGAATGAGAAGCAGGTAAAAAGCAGAAGAAGCGGAAATAAGGACTACCGTGAGGAGAAGCATTCTACTCCTCGCCGCCGTCCTACGAACAAGGGCGGCTTTGTTACAACGACGTTGAAAAAAAGGCCAGGGCATCGTCCTGCTCCCGAAGACGATGATCATGTCGTTGTCGAGAAGGGTTGGCCAGTGAGACACTCGGAACAACAAGACGAAGAACACACCAGCACATCTGAAGTAGATGAAGAAGACCGTGTCAGCAGCTGCACTAGAGGAACCATTCCACCCACGACCACGAACGGCGCGTCTTTGGTCCGCGGGCCGTACGCGATGTGTCTGGGGAGCAGTCTGCTGCACGCGTGCGGGCTGTTTCTCGAGGACGAGGTGGGCAGTGCGGTCGCGAGTTACTTGCTGGAGAAACGGAAGCAGTGTCCCGCGTTTCGCGCGCAGTTGGACGTCAACGTGCGGTGCGAAATCCGGGTGATGCAAGACGAAGCGACCGTGAAGGAAACGATTCTGGGGTGGAGGCCGGTGGTGCAGGCGCTGATGCAGGACGCCCCGGAGACCGCACTCGTTTTCCTGAATCTTTGTGACGCGGCGGCCGCAAAGGCAGGGCCGGACGAAGATCAGCGAAGGACGACAGGGGAGAGTGGTAGTGGTACTTCGTCCTTCGTCGAAGAGGCCGTATTAGTACCAGAGAGCGGCGGCTCGCCGCGAACCGCTGGTCCGGCCGACGACGCCGCCGGTGGCGAAGTACCACTTGAGGAAGTCCTACTTGACGCAGAAGGGAACAAGAACAACAGCACCACCTCTGGTCGTCGCGGTGACCGGGGGGCACCGGATGACGAGGACGCTGCACAACTCGTTTTGGACCTTCACCCGGATCCCGGGACCAAGTTGGGCGTCCTGCACGTGTGTGGGGAGATTTCGAACCCGCGGAAGCGCGTGGAAATCGTGCGGAAGCTGTTGCACCTCGACCCGGGGCTCGCGCACCAGGAGGCCCGGCGCACGCCGGTCCTGGTTTCGTTTCTGGAGACGCCCTTGCAGGTGTTCGCACGCCAGCACGACGTGGAAGTGCTGAAAATTCTCGTTGAAGAATACTACGCGGGCTGGATCGAAGCAGGCGCGGAAGGAGGTGACGAGCATGTAGTTTTACGCGGGGAAAGCAAAAGTTGTAGGCAGTCGCAGCTGCAAGAGGCCACAAGGTCCGAGAACCCGGAAGTAGATGAAGAACCCTTCACCTCGCCAAGTAGAACATCTTCAACAGAGGTGAAAAGAAAAAGCAGCGAAGTCGCCGCTTCTGCAGCTGTTCCTGTAGTGGAGGTTGACACGGATAATTATACGGAAGTACAGCAAAGGCTGCTGCAGCAGGGTTACTGCACATCAACGTCAAATGTTGAGCAGGACGGAGCCGACAGTACGGTAGTGTTTCCACTTGATGGCCATCATGAAGGATCACCAGAGGTGGGACTGAACGTGCAACCAGCGGTACACCTCCAGACTGCTACCCGGAGGACGAGCAGGATGAAAAGTGCAGAAGGCATAATTACAAATGAAGAAGCAGTAGAGTTGGTCCACCTCGCTCCTGCCCAGCTCACCGCCAGTAGTCCTCTCCGAAGGAGAAGGACGACGACGTCCACTGGTACAACATCTTCATCATGCAGCGCTCCCGCACTTCAACCGCAGGAGCTGCAGCAGACCACAGCTGCGGGAACTACAATAAAGCGCACAAGAAGTAGAATTTCGACCGGTTGTTCCGCATCACGAGTACTAGACTTCGCGACGGTGCAGCTGGCGATCATCTCTGCGATTTCCTATCCGCATTACACGGAGGCGCACGAGGAACAGGCGCTGGAGACGGTGCAGTATTTATGCGGGCAGTTTTTCCGGGCGTCCTCATGTTCGACTGGACGAGGTGGCGGAACAAGCACGTGTTCGAAGAAGAAGCAGGCTGGAAGATCTTCTCCTACTTACGACCTGTTCGACCTGCTCACGGTCCCGCATCCGCACCATTCCGCCCTGACGCCGCTGCACGCCGCTGCCGCGAAGGGGTGGGTCCGGATGATGATGTGGCTGATGGAGAGCGACGAGCGAGTCGCGGAAAACCAGCCGGCGGTGGTCAATAGGAACTTCGCGACGCCCGTGGTCTCCGTCGCTGTGCGGGCGGGGAGAGCGGAAATGGTGGAGTTGCTCGTTATCCAATGCAAAGAAATATGTCTGGGTCTGGAAGAAATCTGTGATATGGGAGGTTGGAAAATCATGACGCCGCCTGAATTGGTGGCCGAGCATGAGCATGATGACAAGTAGTTTTGAGTCGCTAGGTGTTCTTGAGTCCTATTCATCTGCGTGGCCGCAAACTGCGCTGCTCCATGACAAAAGCGTGGGGCAGCACTTGGAGAAGTTCTTAACGGGCTACATAACAGACTTGAGGATCATGCTGGACGAGCATGACAAACCGTGCACAACTCTTCCAGCACCCAGATTGATACTTGCAATGCATACTCGTGGAGGCTTACGGGGCGGATCTGGAGGCGAGATCGCATGGGGAGTTCGTTGACAATGACTACCTGCCGAGTTTACCCATGGAGATGCAGCAGAGCCCGTCCCAGCCGATGGCGCATCTGCCGAGTGAAAAATCCTTCCGCCTCCTGTACCAGGCTTGTCTGTCCGGCCGCAGTTTCGAAATGGCGGCGAAGCTTATCCGACGAGTGCACATGTCCAATGTTTAACCCCCGCCTCTCGCTTTGTTTCCACATAATTGATTTGGAGTGTAAGTTGTGGTGTGCCCGAAGGTGGTAGGAGCGCCACAAATTACTACACACAAGCGTTGAAAATTACTACACACAAGCAACAGCAACTATGCATGTTTTTTTACATGATATTTTCACATTTGCTTGTCCACATGAAAAATCAAATGCGTATAGTTTTGCTGTTCTTGTTGTACGGAGGACTGCTTCTCGTTCATCCAACAGTTTCTCACAACAAGCAGCCGAAAACAAAGCAACGAATGAATTTCGGCACTTTATTGCATGGCAAGAGGGTGGTAGTGCTCCTTTGGGGAGATGTGCATCGTCATAGATGTTTTGTACTGCTACGGGGTGACCACGACCGACCTGTCCCTAGCGGAATCCTTCGGGGCGCTGAAGGAAATGGTAGAGGACGAGAAAAAAACCGGAGCTGTTGATGAAAATGTATCACGTGCAAAAGTTGATGTTGTATCGCATCTGTTTATTGTTCGGACGAAGAGCAGTGGTGCAATCTTGCATCTTCGCGGATCTCTTTCATCTCTATTTGTGCATTTTTACAAAAGTTAGAGGGTGTTCTTTTTCTCCGCAAAAATTTCTGCCTGGACCGATCGTAGAAGCAGTGCGAAGATGCTTTCGTAGTGCATATTGTGGAAATAACCAGGTGGAGCTTTCTCCCCGGGAGAAACGGGCTGTGCTCGACGTAGCGTCCGCCTACAGCTACCTGGGCCGTCTCACCTGGGAGCACCAGTACCGCTCGAGCCCAACGGCCCAGGTGTTGGGCTTGGCCAGCGCGGAGCATATCAACCTGAAAAATGCAACGTCCGCGTCGACCCCAGAAATGGGAGAGAATATTTCTTGTCATGCGGATCTTGATGTTCCACATCCACCGCACGGAAATATGATTCTCAGCTTGGAATCCCGTGCGCACTACTTGCAAAATTTCGACAGGAATAGCAGCAAAAACCGGGGGTCTTACATGACAGTAGAGAACTAATGCAGGAGGTACACAAGCTGTGGTAGTGATGTGCAGTGGGCTCCTGCCGCTTCCCGCTTTTCCATAAATAGTCTGGACGGAAATGATCCATATCACCACGCGGCTTTGTTTCGATCAAAAATAATGCGCAAAATGATAAAGCATTTGCAAACCGGATGAAGCACTTTTTTGCATCAATCCTCGGGTCGGGGCGGGGCGATTTTCCATACAATAGACGACCATCTCGATTTCAAGCGGATTAAGCAGCTGCTGACGTTGTTAACGGGGGAGACCTGGGAAACCACTCCGATGGGAGACACTGTGCTCAAGACGATGGCTAGCGCCCCCGCACCTCTCGCGGGTCGTGGGACTTCTCATGCGTCATCCGTCGGTCGTACGGGCCAGCAGCAGCAACACCGCATCGACGTGCTGGAAAATGGTGCAGTAGTTGCAACAACTTCTAGTACAACGGGTACACGTACGGACGACGCCGTGCTGACCGCTTACCCGGCAGGGCAGGCTGAAAGTTCATCAAGTTCGGCGTACCATCTCCCGATGATGTATCATACCACCGTGAAACAAAGTCTACCCACGACGATCCGGACCACTTAAAAAGTACTGCTATGATTTAAACTTTTTCGTCTTCTCGGTGGAAATGAACATCCTGCGCATGGTGCTAGCAACAGAAGCAGATTTCCACTGGAGAATAGCAAAAATCTGTGTTCTTGTAGTTTGCTTCGAAAAATAAACGTGGCTTCAAGGGCGAGCGGCGTGGCCGCGTGTTCCCATTCCAAAGCAAAAAGAATTTTTCACCTAGTGGACAAGGAATTCACCTACATTGAGGAAAAGTTTCACGTAATACTAGAGAGAGACTTTATATATGCCGCGCGCATGATCTAGTAGGTCCTCATGCTCGTGGGGCGCTTTTCATTGTCATAGCGCCGGACGGAACTTTTTATTTGGCTGGACGACGCTACCGGTCGGTGGTGCGGCCCGTCCAGGGGGAGGCGGATGGCTATCAAATCTGTGTCGAGGAGGTGAGCAACGATTGTCCAGATTTGCAAGAGGATTATCATGGGACGAGAGACGGTGCCTTCGCGGACTGCGCTCATAATGCTGAAGAGGAGGATCATATTCTTTGTAAAAACGTTGGATCACCCCGGGCCTGTCATGCAGATTTGCACCCGCAGGAACATACCCATGAGGTAAAGCGGTCCTGGTCGTGTTTCGGCGCTTGTAATGCTGTAATTAGTATAAAGTTGAAGTTGATGGCTTAAGACTCGGCTGCAGCGCTTACGAACCTGCAGTACACTTCTACAGAGAGAGCCTTGTGGTCATGCGCGACTCCCAAGATTAATTGATTTCTGGTTTTCTTATGTTGCAGGATTCCCAACTGGACTCTGGGACGTGGGCGCCGTTTTTACACAGGATAGGATTCGGACCCGCGGTAGCAATCGATGTACCTGCGGAACAAACAGGAACAAAAGTTGCTGGTGCGAAGGCCGCAGAAAATGATGGAAAAAAGAGCAAGTCAGCACCACAACATGTTTCCAGTTGCTGCTGCGGCGGCCGGAAGAAAAGAGGGTAAACTCGTCCAAGAAGAAAACAGCGAAAGATAGTGGACATGGTGATAAGTCGCGGCTTTCTACTTTTGAGCATCAATTAATCGAAAGCAAGTGAAGAGAGCTAGAACTTCGGCTGCTCGGCTCTGCGTTTTTCATTTACGTTGTGCGCATGGAACTGTACTGGCAGTCACGCAAATTGGGGCACATGAATAAATTGCACATGGTGACTTCGACTCTTTAACCATTGTCTGTTGCTCGCTGTACTGCAGGCAGTACGGAGGGCGGAGGTCGCCATATCATGGTCTTCTTACATCATCACCTTATGTGAAGCAGCAAGAGGGTGAGTATAAGATGATGATGAAAACAAGAGCCTTGGAATGAAAGATCTGATTGCCGGGCCAGCGTTGGCAAGCGCAAACCCTCCCTGTGGAAAATGCACTTCAAAAGAATAGTGGTTTCTCCCACCAAGAGCACAGCCCATATTTATATCCCGCACAGTTAAAGATCAGTAGTTTGACGATTGTAAGATAACTGTAAGTACACGTGAGTTGTCTGAACAAAAGATCACGTATCAAAACATAAATAATTCCACCAGTCCGGCTTTGTTGTGCACGTCATAGCTTTCGTGGATAATCTATGCACTTAAAAACCCACTTGATGAGTGACTCGTGACGACCTCCACAGTGTTTACCTCCCTGTGCTCGACGACACAGCAGGTAGGATGTCCAACGTGCAGAAACCCTTTTTGAACAGCTACATGTAAGTATACGCATGAACAGCTACATGAAACGATCATAAATCGTGCTGTAGCTGTCTGCCCTCCTCTCTCAGCCTCAGTCATTATTTCCCCGCACGACTGTGTGCTCCCACTCGACAGTAGTGCATTCCTTTGAGAACAACTCAACCGGCTTGCCTGGCTCTAAAGGATGTTTTTCCTCTCCGGCAGGATGTCTTGTTCGTCTTCGCATGCAATTAATATAGTTTCGCGCGAAGTAGGGACTTGGAAAAGTGCTTCGGATCGTCCTTTGGCTGCATGAAGATGCGAGCTCTTGCTTTTCGTAGTGATGTTTCGTGTTTGTTGATGTCAGGTTTGCTGGTTCGAGTTTCGTTGCATCGTGGGCAATCGAGGTCGTCCTGTTATTCTCGTTTCATACGTGATTTCGCGAAATAAAGATGTGTACTACACCTGTCGTATCTCAAATTTGCAGTGTACGAGAGCAAGGAACGATATAAATACAGGCTGCCCGACTTTTCGTTTTCGTTCGTGATTGTGCTGCTGGCGGGGGTCGTCGAAGGCATCAATCAATCGAACTTGTTAAGGAGAAAGAAGCTGTTGAAGTCGCCTCTTTCACTCAGGCTCTACTTTCGTGAAGATTTACAGAAAGAAGTGCGTTGTGCGCTGCTGTAGAATAGACCAGTATACATAAGCATGTCACTAGTGATGTGTCTGTCTCGGGGGACCCAGATCATGGGGAGTGCAGCAACAGCATATCCTGCCTTGAGGTCGTGCCCGTCGGGGAGTAGCAAGAAGCGGAGCGGCTTCTCTTCCTTGTTCTGTTTTCACATCGTGTTCGCCTCTGTCGGAATTGCCTCTGCTTCGAAGGAGCAGGTGGCTGTAGATATTGAGAAGGGTGGCGGTGTGGACGTCGCGTCTGGCGGTCGTCTTGGAGGCCGCAGCAGGTCCGCGGATCTTGTCGAGGAGCCTTACTCTCGATCTGCCGTCGACAGCGCGGAAGCACGGAATAAAACCGTCTCCGTGGGACAAGGCGCAGTACTACTAGAAGAGGACGACAACTACAGCAAAACGCGAGAGGACGCGCCTGGCGCTCGGTCGGCCGGGAAAGTCAGCGACGCAGCAAATAACGAGGAGGAAACAACACTTCTGACCACTGCTGTGAAGAAAGTAACAGCGCCGTGGTCGCCATCTTCAAGACAACTTCACGATGTTGACGTAGCACCTCGAAAAAGGACCAGCCCCCGGATCGTGCAGATGACTTCTGACGATTTTATTCTTGACCGGGATCGAAAAACAAAAAACCGCCCGGTTGCTGCGTCGACAATAAGTCGTCAGGGAGATGTTCCGACCACGCAGTTTGGGAGAAATCCACTGGCTTCTGCGTCTATTTCGTCGGTAGCTCCTGCAGCTGGATCTTCGAGTCGCGGCACGTGGTTGACCACCAGCAGTACTAGAGGTACAACGAGAAGCCCTGGTGGTGATTCTGCTCTGGACGTCTACAACAATAACAGCACCAGCACCTCCAGCAGCAGCGCGTCGAGCAAGCATCGGGACATCCATATTGTGAGGAAAAATCCCCCCTCCCCATATCGAAAACGAAATTTGTGATGTTGTATTTGAGGTCACAAATCGACTTGTCATGCTAGAAGGCCAAGAGCCGCAGTCGTGGCCTCGTTTGCAGGCAATTTGACATGCTGTTTCCCGCTCTCAGCTGCCTCCTATCATGCTGAAGATGCAAGGCTTGACCACGGCACCCAGCACTACAGTCCGCATCTTTTCCCGTGTAGCATGACAAAGCTGATTTGTGACAACAAATCTGCATCACAGAGTTCCGTTTTGATATGGGGAGGGGGGATTTTTCCTTTTGATAATCCACCTGGTGAAGAACATGCAAACGCGGGCCTTCGATTTCGAGGTGGAAAGGAAGAGTACGCAAAGTAGGGCGGATTTGCGACAGGTCTTGAACTATCCTGAGTAAAAACGTACCCACACCAGAGTCAGGATGGGGAATCGGCTAGACAAATCCACAAGTTTTGGCTGTTTTGCATGACAAATTTGGACTCGTAGTGTAGTGCTTTTTGAGCTAGCTCAGCAGCATCACAGATCTAGCATACCATGCTGATTGGAGCATGACAAATTGCGAAACACGATTAGAAAATGACTCGCATGGGGCTCCGCATGAGACACATTTTCAGCATGCAGATTTGCATTACAACTATGGGGTGGGGACGTTTTTAAATAGGATATGAACCGCGCCGAATTCAAGGCCGCGATCACGCAGAGCTTGCTCAAGCTGTTCGCGTATCAAATGTAAAAATGTCTGGGTCTGGAAGATTGCCAGGTTTGTCATGCACATTTTGCATGACTCCTGATGTCTGTGATGCATGCCCTAGCATCACAGATTTCGTGAGGGCTTCCTGATGCGCATACCGCATGACAAATGCTCTTTCCGTGTAGGAAAACTTGGACTCTCTTTGCTGCTCATGCCATACAGATTTTTTTAGAATCCAAAATCAGCATGACAAGTTGGATTCTTCCAGACCCAGACATTTTTACATTTGATATCGCGCGCCACGGTGCTGTCGATCTGGACCCGCGACAGTTGGAGTCGGTCACCGCGTCTCTTCGGGAGGACGGGACGGAAAATAAAAAAGCGAGCACTCTTCAAGAAAAAGGGCATTCTTCTTTTTCGAAAGGAGGGGAACGAGTCCCTCGTCCACAGCGAGAGGAAGGACCGGAAGATGGGCCAGCGCGGGCGGAGCATTATGATCAGAACGGAGCGCGTTCTCATAGTCAAGGCCTCCTGCTGCGCAAGGAAGCTGAAGCAGAGCCGCGGGGGAAGGAAGGGAATAAGCGGGAAAAGAACCAGTTCTACTCGCCTCGTCATGCCGCGTCATCGAACAGGAGTGACAGCGGCAGCCGGTTGCTGGGTAATTTTGTCGCAACCTCGACCGAGAGGGAGGTCGTGCACGTGCAGTTCGTGATCAAGCCCTGGATTCGGTCCAACTCGACGCGGGGCATTCGCGCAAAGAGCGGGTTTCTGAACGACATTTGGTCCTCGCGAAACGAGAGCGCCACGCTGGACAGCAGCAAGGGCATGCTGCTGGAACTGGTGGACCACGTGGAGCAGGAAGTCGCGTCCATCCCCGCACTGGCGGCCTCCTTGACAGTGGTGAACAGTGCTAGCGTGCTCGCTGCGTCGAGCGCAGCGGGTGGTCAGGCGAGTGGTAGTACTGCGGTAGACCATCACGCTAGCGGTGGTCAGGAACCGCAGCAGCCGGGAAGCGGGTCCGCGGCTAGCGACGAAGCCGCCGCCACGAAAGTTACCACACCTAGTCCCACGACGGACACTGTCGCTGGCGTGGTGAATGAAAAGCAAGATAAAAATTTGGATTCTCCTGCTGCGACGACGACATGGACAAACACAAACGCGGCGGCGGCCGGCGACGGCCACGGCCACGGTCTGGATGCCGAACGTGTTTTCTACGGCCTGCTCGCGGGCTTTTTTGCGGCCGCGGGAATTTTCCTGTACGCGGTCCAGTACGCGAAACCCGCCTACTCGGTCGGCGAAAGAGGCCGTGAACCAAGCGAGGAGGGGCAGCGGACCGCCGCTCCAGCCGTCGGTTTGGGTGACGATGAAGTTCTTGCACTGCAGAAACTACACGAGAAGGACGACGTCGAGGCGGAAGGCGAGCCACTGCTTTCGGGGACGAGAGGGAAGGAGGAACACGATCTTGGAGCGCCCGCACCATCTGCGGCGCATTCCCGGGAAGTAGACCCCGGTAAATTTGCTGTTGTGGAGGGAGAGCAAGCGCCGGTGGTGGTTGCGGCGCAGGACGACGAAGAGGGCGAGCAGCGCGTTGTGTTACTAGGTCCAGAAGAGCCGTCTGCTAGCGGAGCAGCGGCTTGTGCGGGGGTGGAGATCCCGCCTCCTAAGGTGACCGATCTGGCTGCGGGAGGGGCGCAGCAAGGAGAACTTGTTTCAGCACCTTTACCCCCAGAAGTCCAGGACGAGGAGAGCGGGATGATGACGAGAGCGAGCGTCATTCCAACAGCCGAACAAGGAGAAAGAGCGTCAGCAGTTTTGGCAGCAGAGGAAAAAACGGGAGTCAAAGCCGAGCGCGCCAATAAGCGGCAACAGGCCGCTGCCGAGGCGGTAGCCGTGAACGAAAGGGCATAGGCCAAGGCCGAAAGGGCGGCAGCGCGAAAGGCGGCGGCGGAAGCAGGGAAAGCGGAGGAAAATGCGGAGAAGGAGACCGCGCCCAGGATGGGACATGACAGCGCCCCCGCCACCAGCACACCGAAGGCTGGTGCCTCAGATGGCGCTACAGTGGCAGGCGACGCTATGGCGGGAAAGCGATCGCAGATTGAGAGCGAGCCGACCGTCGAGCCCGCGACGGTGCGCACGAAGCTGCAAATATTCACGGAGAGCGGCGAGCCGCGGTCTGCGTATTTCGTGTAAAAACTACGTCTCCCGTCGCCCTGAATGATCTTGCGCTTTACATGCATTTGGAGCGCATAGTACGACTACGATCACGATCTTCGTGAATCGCATTTATATCGATCTTTGTCCTCCTCTGCCCCCAGGAAAAAAGTTTCTGTATACACTAAGTAGCCACATTCCCTCTTTGTTCGGGTTCTCACTAGCAGACCACGCACCTGTTCTAGACACGTTTTTTGAGGGGACCGACTGAATAAGTATGCATGTTGACCGAGAAGATGACAGGTATGGATTTGGGATGAATAGTTTCACGTTTTTGCACAGGATACCGCTGGGCTGGAGTTCACCAAAGAGTTCACGGTAAGAAGCGTCGAACCCGGCGGGCAAGCGCAGCAGCTGGGCATTCAAGTCGGATGGCAGATGGTGGAGTTCGCGGGCGCTGCAGTCGCTGACAGCAAATTCAAGCTGAAGCGTGTGAAAAAAACCCTGGTGGTATCCCTTGCGAAAAAAACCACTGACACCCCCGAGGACGGCACATTGATGATTGTCCATACCGCGTCTTTGCTACTTGCTAAGTGGTACTCCCACAGCAAACGCATCATGTTCTTTCATGGCTCCGTCCTGTCTTCTTGCAGCTGTTGCAAACACGAAAAGTAGGAAAACCCGCAAAGGTCTCAGTTTTTTGTAGTAGCGAGACATGTTATTGCGAAGGTTTTTCATTTGCAATACGAATACACATTCATAAGTACTTCGCTCAGACGAGGACCTGGAGGCCGAGCGTGTCTCAGTCGGGGTAGCTACATGAAAGAATGACTCATCGCATCGTCCCTGCGCGACTGCACGTCCGGTCGACAATAGTGCTCCGGGGGGGTGAGGTTGTACCAATTTTCAGGTTGAGAACTCGAGGCCGGCGCAAGGGAGTACGAGATCGTGTGGAGAAAGAGTACAAGTGCTTGACATCCTCGCGCATCTTGGACCAGGCCGGAAGTTTTGCGCGCTCGTCCTCTGTGCGACGCTCAAAGTCCAGAGTTCTCTTGAATTTGAATGTTTTCGATCGGTCTCGGAAAATAGGACCAGACAAGGTATCTGGCGGGGTGCTTTCTTCTAGGAGCCTCTGTCATTTTGAACCGCATTTCTCGTTCTCGTATCTGCCTCATTTTTGAAACGAGCACCCGCATAATGCAAATGAATTTTCTCTCTTCTCCTTGTTCGCACAATATATCGCCAAAGTGGTTCGGGGAGGTGAGTATAGAGGATTTTTGCAGGAAAATAAACGCACCGATGAACGCGATTTTCATCGGAGGTGAAGTTGTACACCACTAGAGTGACAGCTTCGTATCTAGAGGTTTCAGTGTAAATCATTTTGTCTGCAAACGAGCGAGCGACTTGGCTGTCTGTGTTTCGTTATCTGCACCATGTTTTTGCAGTCCACAGTGTAAGTGGATCAACGTCAGTAGAGGACGTTGAGCGGCCAAGAAGTCGTGGCGGATTGGCCAGCTCACACACCAAGCCGGCGCGTTTTGGTCTCTAGTGTGCGGTGCCACGAATGCCTGAAGTTGTCGTGTGTCTATGCTTGCGCTTGTGGAGTATTTTGTACGTATCGTGTGTGAAGATGAACTTAACTGTGCTACAACACTTACATGCAGTTTCCAAGCGCTGCTGAAGTTTATTTTGTAGGGTTAAAAAACAAAATGTTTAAGTTTTCCCTTACCTTCTTTTATAGTTCTACTGACTAACTTCATGAAAATGAAGATGCGTCCGATGTCGTCGCACCCCAATGAGCTGCACCCGCAGCAGGGAGGCGGTTCTCATCACGGTCACGGACACCATTCTCGTGGAGCGAATCGGGCGGCACTATCCTCAGCAAAAACCTCCCAACCCCCAGATCGATGCGGCTTCTGCAAGACCAGAAATCTAGACGCGTTTGGATGATGGAGCACGCATGACAAGGCTGCGCTCCACACAGCGTGTGTAGTACTCATGTAGTTCTTGATTACAACCCGTTTCAGAGATTCACGTATAATAAACGGAATTCGTTCAGTGTCTGAGAAAGAAATCCCCATACACTAGAAAACGCCTCTGCAGATAGGGAGCCGCATAAGAGGACACGACCTTCTGCACATACGACCAATGCAATACAACCCTAGAAGAGTGGGTAGGTTTGATTTACACAGGATATTTTGCACGAGGATTCCATCATCCGAGCCACCCGCATCATCACACGGACCACGGAGCTGTCGGCGGAAGTGCGAGTAGCAGCTCTAAGCAGCCGTATACGCCCCCCCACGAGAAAGTCTCGTATGGGTCCTCGAGCGTTTTTGCTGGTGGTAGCAGCTCCTCGTCGACGGCCGCTGCGGCGCGCATGCAGGACGAACACGGCTACTTGAATGCTGCTGCGGCTGCCGGTGGGGGGAGCAGCAGTAGTAGCAGTAGTGCGACGTCCACCGGGGGCCACAGCACCCGTACGAAAGCGAAAAGACGTGGTCTCGGTTGCTGTGTTGTCTGCATGTGGGAGGTCGTTGTTTCTCGACGCTGTTGTTCCTTGTGACTCTGATTGCTGAACCCTCTAAGTAGATACTGCACCACGATTAGAGCAGCTATGCTGCACGACAGGGAACCCCATGTGCATACCACGACGCATGATGAGTATTATCTTCCAGTATCCGCGGGAATGTTCCAGTCTCAGTCCGGTTGTTCATCTAGTTGCTATGTTTAGAAGATCCATACAGCTGCTACACTGTTGCCGTGGTTTTCCAAAACGCATCTCAGGCCAGGCTTGCAAATGCTGCTTGTAGTGCTTGTGAGAATTATGAATTGACGGTATCAGCATCACGGACCGCGTTTGTCGCTTGCATCACGTACACCGCGATTGGGGGTGCTTCGGCGGTACGGTCTGGCGGTCGGCACCACACTAGTACTGGCAGCGCAAGCGGAGGGGGCACCACAGTGACGGCGCTGCGTCAGGAGTTGTTTGCGCTAAAAGAGGAAATGCGCTCAGTACTTATCTATTTACTTTTTTTTTGCTGGACGAGTTTCTTCTAGCATGAAGATGTCACCACTTCCGTCCACGAAGAGCAGCCACGAGTTGTATTCTGCGATGGCGCCGATGCAGTGTGAGTGTTACTTACCTGCAGCGCGAAGTTTTTCTTCCTTTTTTTTTCCCTTCTGAGAGTGAGGATGAGGAGAATCAATGCAGCTCCTTGTTCGATTTCTGATTTCTGAAAACAGATCCGCACGCACTCTCATCCACCGAACACACCACCGACCGCCGCGTCAACGAAGAGCAACCAGAGCCAGCACCTGGAAGAGGATATGAAGGTGGCGTTCAACTCCCTTGTGGACCGTATGCAATGCCAAATACTTCCGCTTTCTTTCCCTGCTGCTCGGAAGATGTATGAAAGAATGTTTTTTGCGTTGCATCGAGGATGTTGAATAGCGAGGTACCCGACAAGAGAGGCAAGCGCCGGACTGATGGCAAGACAAATTTTTGCGTTATAGAGGACCGACTTGCAGCAATCATTGATTTCGCTGCGGTCTGACTTTGATATTGAGCTGCCTGCAAGTGTAGGTACAGAACAGGTCGAACGACCGCTGCAATGAATGTGGGCATGAGAGAAAAATGTAACCGGGGGCAGGGAGGGAGAGGGTCGTATTTCTGTTGCATAAAGAGAATCGCGGACGAATTCGACGATGTGCATCGGAATGTGCAGTTCAAATTGCAGCTTTGCGACCGGCGAAGTCGTTATGTGATCGAAAATTACAACCGTGCCCGACACGACAAGCACACTTCATTTGCGAAATGCATGACAAATTCCCTTCAGCCAGTTTTGTTGCGGTTGCGTTGGATAGCTGACTATAAGTAGAGACCCTGACGCTGTGAGACCCAAACCAGCGAAACACGACGGCAGCGTGGTTTGTTTGTGTTTCGAATGATGGGAAAAAAATAAGCACACCGTCGCGATTTCGATTTGTGTGTTTTTTTGGGGGATCCGCCCGCTCCCCGGGGATCCGCCTTCCCCCAGGGGATCCGCCC